TCAAGAAAAATTAGAAATAAGAAGCGGAGAATAAATGCAACAGAAAGAAGGAAAGAAGTGCATTGAAGCGTATGGATGAAAAGAAACAAAAGTTAGACAGCTGTTACAAAAGTAAAGAAACGAGTATGGAATAAGATACTTACCTCCCCCCAGTTTGTATCTCGTTGGAGTGGCCCTCCCACTCACTCCATGACAGGCGCCAAGGCCTGCTCTTCTTCGTCTTTCTCCTCTCCTCTTCAAACTCGTCGTCGTGGGCATCGTCTAATACATTTTCTCCAGCGGGACGACGCATCGACGGTGGTCGCGAATCTCAAATTACCAGTTTGGACGTATTGCATGAAGATACGACCAATGTTTCGGGCAGCATTATTATCACGGTCCCACAACTATATGTATAGATAATGTGAGCTTTATGCGCAAGTCGCATGATGCATTATCAAGGCACTGATGTAATAAAACAATCAAATACTAGCTACTTACAGTAGGTACAGGACAATGATCGCAGAACTTCAATGGATACACGGATAATTGGGAACCAGCTGGAAATAAGTTTTGGTATATTATTACAACCATTAATATTAGCTATTGAAGCTCTCTCACTGTTTTACAAACTTTTGTATACACGATAGAAAGTAACAAAGCCTATATTACGTACCAGCGTTTTGACGGTCGTTGGCAAGTCGATGTTGGCCAAAGGTTATGGCGTCGTCATCCACACACCAGAGCTGCCGCGGGCATTGTTCCTGTGTCCATTTTCAGCCGTTCGCGGATCCGACGAATTCTCCGCTTTGTGTGCTCGCGACACACTTGAACACTTCCTGGACGGTCTCGAAATTGACGCGTGTTCGCATCGCAAGCACTGCACACAACACTGGTTCATACTCATCGATGAGCATGACCATTACACGTCTTGCTAGAACCGCCCGGAACGTCTACAAAGTTATTTATAATATAGGCGTCAATTCATAGCAAGGACACTCGCTTCATTCGTCACTAATTAACGTTCCACCACGTCTGCCAGATAAATTTTCTTATTTACCTCAACAGGAATAGGTTCAAATCCTTTGAAGGAGGGCTTAAACCTTCCATCACCATATGCTACAATACAATTGTCTTCCACTCTGAATCCTGCATGTGCGCGGCGCGGTCGGCGAAACCGGCGGCGGTGAGCTTTGCGTTCGCGTTTGGAGGCCTTATTGAAGAAAGGGAGAGGTACCTTGAAGCAACCATATTAGCTTTTGCGACTTATCAAAGAAGTACTCATACACAGAAAGATACTTACATCTCACGGTGATCCAACCCTATCAATCTGTTGGCAAGATTCTCCAATGCGCTTTTGCGCGCAGAAAAAAGAGTGAGTAACGTTTCCCGGTGAAAGAAATGTTTGTTAAATTGTTCATGGATGCTATTTTTTTTTTCAAAAAAAAAAAAAAAACTAGAGTGAATACTCATGCCAAAATGATGATCACGGTGTTCCAGTATATATCGACATAGCTGAGTAACTTACTGTCTGTGCACGCCACTCAACATTCTGATGTAATTTCGGAAACCTTCCGAAGTAGGCGCTGAAGCCGGATGTCCTCTCAACATATCATACACCTCCTGTATCTCCGGGATATCTTGATCCGGATGAGCCTGTCGCTCGACATGAGCATAGCGTGCTCGATTTTTGTTTTCCTTTTGGAGCGCCCACTTGAACATGGACTGGAACCTGAAAAAGGGTTATGTACAAAATCAAACATGTTGGCATCAGATGTAAAAAGCGCGGACACACGCTCATACTTGCTAAAAGTAAATATACTGCACGCAGTACTCACTGGTATGTTCTGTTATTTAGCTGATATACGTGCTCTGCTCTCGCTTCAGGTGTTTCGAGCGGCTCAAGAGTGTCTACAGCAGTGACCAGAGACCGGATGCCTAAAGTAATATACAAAATATCTACTTAGATAACGTTACATATTTTGAGAATGATTAGATATATACCTGGGTCTATGAACACTGTTCGAAAATTATGAAGCCGCTCTGCATCAAGACCATCTGGCTCTTTGGAAAGATGATACATTCCTCTTCTCCACTGTGTGACGTCAATTTCACGAGGAAAGCGTTTAACTTGTTTGGAGCTAGAAGGCATATACTCTAACAATAGATTTATGAGATCTCGTCATGACCAAATACATACTTTTAATATTGCATGCTATGAGGGTACTACCAACCTCCACGCCGCGTTGTCACAGGCCTGCGAAAATGGAACACAATGGCGACACCATCCGTTTCGAATGTGTTATTGAAGAGTTTGAGCTCGCGGTCTTCTGGGGGCACAACACCTTGACCTGGGCACATCATATTTATAAATGTATATGAGATAGATGAGTTTAGATATAACTATCAAAAGATACCACTTTGTGACTATTCAAAATGTATACGGAATCTACCTTCGACTGCGTATCGGCAACGTCGCGGCTCTACGTGACCGATATTAAATAGCGACTCCCAGAAGCCTTCAAGCAGCTCAGGATCTTGCTGTCTGAAAACACGATATGACAAGCAACGTCCACGACCAGGAACGTTATTTGGTCTCTAGATTTATGCATCGATGGAAACAAGCCAGTAAATAAACAAATAACATCTTTTAATAACTGGAAACACAAAGAGAGTAAAAACGCATATCATTACCACAATATTATCCGGCACTTGTGCAGGATCTCGCTCGTCCACTTCGCGTACGATGTAATACATAGTTTCAAGGTCGACCGGCATGAATCCAATGCGGTGACTGGCAAGTGGTAGTGGAGTCCACTTGGGACAGAATTGGAAAGGCTGGGCTTCAAGTGACAGCCAGATATAAAAGGATAGCGAATTCACTAGCATTGCAGGGCCAGATATGGACGGTCGCTGTACTATGCGTGCGATATTCACGCCGGCATATGCTTGTTCGAATCGTGCAGTGTGTTGGCTAAAAAAGTTGAAATTAGGTACACCGTCTTAGTTATAACTGTGTGTTTATCTATGTGTTGTATCTATATAATCATCATAACAAATTAAAAAGAAATTATGTGTAATTTCTTACTTGAAATATTGAAGCACCTCAGTAAAGATTGCTGCTGGAATTCGTTCAATTAAACGCTGAGTCAAATGAGTTCTGTGCGTTGTGATCAAATTACAGATTTCTTTTGCTATAAGCAGATCACCATAAAAAATAGCGGTGAGATATTTTTCAACACTCCAGTATTACCAATTTAAGTAGAAAAGAAAATCATTCTTTTGTTTACCCATGCTAGAGATGCTGATTCGAAAGGTAAGGTTATGTTCATGGCGCAGATGACTCAGATATGCGACCCATACACGCTTGAGAAAGACAGGAATGTTGGTGCATAGGTGGTTCATGGCATCTACAAATTTATTTCCTCAGTTAATAACTATTTTTATAGTTCAACAATCATACATAGAGCATGTAAGAATTGCGTGTACACTACACTTACTGGTTTTAGCCTTTACTGCAAACAGCTCTGCTAATCGAGCCAACAAGGACATTGATAAGTCTTGACGAAGAACAGGAAGATCGTATAACGCTGTTAAGAAAGTCAGTATCAAACATCTATCATTGTTTTACATTTACCCAGTTTCAAAGCGTCATATCGGTATATCTAATACCTTCTCCTGTTTCCGCATTCCGGCGTTGTGGCTGATAATGGTTATTGAAGATATCGCGTAGAACGGCGTAGCGGTTTGGAGTCTATTGAAGTCAATAATGTAAAAACTTGTCAGTGTTGCATGCTCCGCGACATACAGTACATATTATGCACAATTCATCCCAAGCAACAGAAATTATTCTCACGCGAGCCGGTATAGGTGCCTCTTGCGTTGGATTGGTGATCACCATCCGAAATGCCGTAGCCCAATACGTTTGATTGTCTAATTCTGGCATGGGTATCTCACCGTTGCTTTCGTATGCAAGCAGAGCATGCAGATTAATCAAGTTCAAGGCGTCTCTGCGAAGTACTTGGTACCACTCAGCTAACGAACGAAGGTAAGCCTAGCGGTAATATAAGATTGTTTTAGCTTTTCTGTCCAGATAATTATGAATGATCTTGGTGTCGGCTTTATAAATGGTGTACGAACCCTGTACAGCTCACGATTTTCATTTAATGCTACCCTCAACTTGCATTTGCGACTGGCTAATCGCCATGTATTTGCGCGGCCGTAAAACGTGTCGCGAATGAAGTCTGGCTCCGGTTCTATGTAGGAAATAATATAAAGATACAACCATAGTAAGTCTACTATATACATGCTCATAAAAATTTTATACAGAAGACAAGTGGAAAGACAATATTAACAGTACCTGCTGCTCCTTCTTGCTCCATGTACGCTATTTCGTCATAGGAGTACTCATTCTCGGCAAATGATGTAATGTCCGAGCTAGTGTCGTTATCCAGGTCGTCATAGTAGTCATTAACGTTGTCAAAACCAATATTTTCGTCGTCCACATCCATCATAGCCGCACCGTCGCTCGCTTCCGAAAAAGCATCAGTGGTTGGGTCATTATCGACGAGCATATTGTCGGTATCAAATGAGTCGGTTGATTCCATAGTCATATCAGTGTCGCTGTCGTCCACGACACTGATAGACACCATTTTTAGTATTGAGTAAAAAGGTGCAAGGCTTTATGTATATAAAACAATAGTGATAAGATAGAAAGAGAGTTATTGGAGAGAAAGTTGTAAGAAGGAGAAAAGAAGACCTTGTTTGAGAGAAGGAGTGCTGTGATGAACGTGGGTTGTGAATAGATAATAAGAGAAAAGAGATTGAATAAAAGACAATATGAAATACTGTGAGAGTCAAATATGAGATGATTTTTTTTGAATGAATTAACAACCCTTTATATACTCTTGGATATGCTGTCAAGACTTCCGTTTGGATGAACTGATGAATGGATCGCGGACATGCTAGGTTTCGGATGTTTCAAAGATGAAGAAGGATGGTAAGGTTGAGTTTGGCGGTCATGACAATGAACGCTGCCTTCCGATTGTAAAGAGTCATCTTTGTCTTGATCAGTGTGCTCCTTGTTTGGCGAATTTCACCTTTGTCTGTGCTGGAATTGGTATCTGCTCTTTGACATTGAACGTGTGACCAACCAATAAAATTTCAGCCTCCACCTGGCTCATTCAAAAAAAAAGCTCTTTGACAGGTACACTTCGCTCAACTCATATAAGCTAGATTCAAAGGAAGTGCTGACTAACTCGAGAATAGGACAATGTGTATACAATGGTTGGTTCTGAGTTATTCTCGATTGTGATCCATGTTTGAGAGATTATTGATATGGCGCTAATTATGTCATTCGTGTGTGTGGTGTTCTCTCTACTGCTTTCTAATGGTTACAAAGACGGCGGAGTGGGATGAGTTGTCCGGATCAATCTCAAAGTAGTGTGGTTTACCACAAGTGCACTATGACTTTGAAAAGGCACCTTTTATAAAAGAAAATTCTTGTAAATAATTGATGCTAATACTCACAGGTGACTATTAACAAGAAGATATATCTTTTATGCAAATGATTAACCCATGTGTATATCACCTTTTGAGCATGTGAAAGAAAGATAGTCGTGCTAGGATTAAACCAGCGCCTCTTGGGTCCAATGCTTGTTGCGCCGATCACCTACGATGGGACCCCATCGAATAGGATGCAACTAAAAAAAGATATTAAGTTATCCAGCTTTTTATTTATTAATCACCTTCTATTATATAGTCAGTGTAAGATTGGACGATGATTACTTACATCCATTTTAAGCTGTATTTGCTCTGCTCTTTTAATTTCCCCTTCCACAACTCCTCTGGCATAAACGATTTCTCTATGGTTTATCTGGTGACGATAAACCTCCTCACATTCTTCTGGCGGATGATCCACCCGCGAAGTTATTTCGTTCCATGATAAAGGGGGTTTGGATGCGCGCAGCTTTGCAAGGTAATATCGCTGAGTTGGAGTCCAATGAGAAGGTAACGGTGGCTAGAAATATGCAACATATTATGATAAATTTATAATACACGATACCGCAATAGCTCTTTCTGTTTTTCAAATATCATACTCACCTTGTATTGACGATATCGTGCCTTGCAGGCTGAAGGTGTGTGGCGGTTGCCAATTATTCGCGCAATATATTCCCAAGACGCATGCGGATATTGCTGCTTTTGTTGTATCAAAATCGCGATATCTTGAGCTTCCCATAACGGCATGGTTGATAATGTTTAAATTGACGACGAAGGATCAAGAGGTTAAAGCTATTGTATCAGCATAGACACAAAAACTTAATATATCTGTTTATCTTTTTTGAAGACTCTGATATACTACCTGTCTAATTCTTGTTTCTCAATACGCTTCTTTCCCTGTTTGGTGCTTCTTGGTTGATGTGTATTACTATTGCTAATGATGACACATGATCCATGCACACTTATGGCTTTGCCTTTGTTGATAATTTAGATAGCGGCGCTATCATTGATCAGTTCACAAATCCCATGTCCCATATTGCAAGTCCAACAGCTTTATCCGAACAAATATATACCAAGTCCAACCAAGAGTATTAGAAAACAAAATATATGTAATAAGTATCTCTGCTAAATATTTATTTTATTCTTCATTGTTGACGAGAGGGACATGCATTTGGATTGATGATTTTTTCTACGACTGTGTATAGCCTTTATTGTAGAACAATCAATTCTCTAGTTGTGTTGTAGATATGTTTGATTTGTTTCTTGCAAATAGATTATCAAGTTGATTTGTCGAGCGTTCATATTCAGCGAGCAGATCGTTTCTATGTTGCCGCTGCTGGTGCTGTGAGGATGGTGCTAGTTGCATAGATGCTGTTAATGTTGTTGACTAAAGATGATGCTGGTAATGACGATGATGCTGTTGTTGATTGGCGAGGGAAACTTTGGTTTATGATTACTAGAATGGTGGTGTTATATGCGCTAAGATATATATGCTTGCATGGTTGGTTACGCTTTTAAAATCTTCACAACTACAAGAACCAATAACGCCATTGCTATCAGTTTCTTCAAGCTTTAAAGTATACAATGCAGAACTAGCAAAAGATTGATAGGTAACCTATTGCCACAGTACGATCAGCAATTGTAAAAGTAAACGCACACATACAGAAGTGGTACATACATGATCATCATGGATAGTTATCATCCGGTCAGCTTCATCTGGTGATTTTTTGCAGGCTTCTCTTTCGTTTGTTAAGCTTCTCTAGTCGCTGTTGTTTCTTCGACACCAGCCAAAATACGTAGGACTTGAGCACGGTAATCATTTTCAAAAACTGCGTCAACATATAGATTACACGATCAGCACGATGATTGCGACTGTATGGAAGATATTTGCGTTTAAGTTTGGAATGCCAGCTTTCGATCAGATTATTTGTATGGAAGGACGCATTCTAAAGAATATACAACCGTGCATTATGTTGAAGCGCAAAATAAAGCTAAAACGAGCCTAAAACGTACCTCTCTCCAAGCCTTGCTCCAAAGATGATGCTTAGGATGCCCAATAGTCCAACACACAGCCATAAAATGCTCATATGTATCCCGCCAATTGTTAACCAAGCCTGCACAAATTCAACGACGGTTTTGCAATTCATCAAAGAACCAAGGGCAGAACGAGCTTCATCTCTTCTTTTCTTCGTATCCGCTGTTGACAGAGTAGTTTTGATCTATAACCCAACATATAGAAAAAAGAAGGTTATATTGAATATACGATAATGTGGCTAACTAAATGGTACCTTGGACGTGATGTGCTTTTCCCATGCTCTTTTGATGTGCCAATGACACAGAAGAACTTGAACTTGATGACCATAAACTGCTCTGATGCTGTTAATTTCAACTGGACTGCAATCGATCATGATCCTTGTTGGTGTGTATTCAATTCTGTCTCGGAGCCATCGAAACCATACTTGCAAATTTTCACTATCTTCTTTATCTGTGATCATAAACGCAAGAGGGTAACCTTGTCCAGTAACTGTATGCTTGGCAACGATAGAAAACAGATACGCATCAGCCCGACCATTGATGATAGATTTGCAAGTCTTGTGTGTGGCATCAATACAGATCTCATTTGATTTCTTGAGCAGCTATAAAGCACATACGCATCTTAATATACGAACATTGCATTATATTTAAGTATATATCTTTTCTTACCAAAGCTTGTCGTGATGATATCCATGCAACAACAAAAGTAGAATCCGTGATATATTCCAACGTTTGATAACCTTGATCTTTTAAAAAGAGAAGCCACTTGACTACACTTTCTTTATCGATTAAATCTTTTCTTGCTAATCTTGACTGTTGGTTGGCGATGATATTCATGACATGATGCTGCTTCACACGTAAGGCTTCCGGGAACGGTCCTTCGCCTTCCTCGAGCTGATACCACCGGTTAGCATCTCTACGAGTTGATATCAAAGTTTTGCTTTACATGTATACATGATACTTACATCTTGAAGTTGTTTACTAGTCAAACGCAGATGTTCCTGAATTTGATCCCACTCCAACTTGTTATTGACAAGTTTTCAATCCATTTACGTGTTTCAGGGGGGATTTGTGAGCGAGTTCCATTGGTTATCTCGGTAGGGTCATGATACTGATGTTGCCAGTGATATACAACTTTGATTTTGCCTGAGACCAGGTATTGAATACAATATCGAGCACGACAGTTTACTTTAATGGAAGGTTTTGCAAGTCGACGTTTTTTGATGGGAGCAGGGACAGCTGGTACCGATGTTTCTCTTGAGTGATCACAGAAAAAAGTGATGCTACGTTCAACTTTCCGAGGACGGCCGGTATTGTTTCGGCGTGCATCTGAAGCCTTGGGTACGGAGATGTACTTGTTGTTGGTGATGAAGTTGGCAGGCTGCTTGGGGTTTTCTTTAACCCACTCGTCAAGTTGTTGCTGGTTGTCAAAAGTCTCTGTAACTACTTCGGTCGGGTAGGTGGGAAAGACACGGACAAGGTATCCAAGGCTATCAGATGCAGAGGCCATTGTTGTAGGTGAGCAATTGACAAAACAACAAAGGTACAATTGCGACGCGTCGCTGTGGGAACATGAAAAAGTTTTACTCTGTGATTGAAAACTTCTCTGACGTAATTTTTCTTGATGAATAACGAAACCGATCATGTCTGTGTCTTGCTGGCAGCAAAGTTGGCCATAACCAGGACCTCGTCATTTCCATGGCTAACTTTACCCAGAAGGTGACCCGAGCTGGTATTACACTTGCAGTACTTCCAGAGTGGATCGCAAATTTTCTAATTAAGCGACATCTTTCGGTGGAAAGTCAAATCGATCTGATTATGGACCTGCTGGTGCCTGAAATGGAAAAGATCCGTGCCGGCGAAGTTAGTCATGACGACGAGCCATCTTATGCAGCGATGGTGCTCAATTTGCCCAAGGCCAATGGTCAGCTGCGAACGCCCCAGGAGGCTGCTTTCTATTTCAAAAATATTGTGCTTGCTTCCATCCACACCACGACCACGTTCGCCTCGTTTGCACTACATGAACTTGCGTGTCGTCCTGCTTTACAGGCAGAGTTGCGTGCAGAAATCGAAAAGCTCGGTAATGATCGCACGCCTGAAACAGTGAGCCAGATCAGACTATTAGACTCGCTACTACGAGAAGTGTTACGGTACGATACTTCATACCTAGGAATGCATCACAAGGCATTAGACAATGTCATTTTGTCGACTGGCCAAATGATTCCGCGGGGTAGTCTGGTTTTGGGCGCCATGTATGATGCGCACATCTGTCCTGCATACATGCCAGAAACAGCAGCGCTTGGATCATCATGTCCTTTGGATCAATTCGATGCGCATCGGTTTATGCATGCCAACGACGATAGTAGTTGTTCATCCGCATCATCTGTTGGACCCGAATACATGACGTTTGGAATGTTCGCACATGCGTGTCCCGGCAGATACTTTGCCGTTGACGAGATCAAATACATTTTGGCTGAAATGATTATGCGCTATGATCTCACCACTAAATCGGGCAAGCGGGCCAAGGATTATGTGCTGAGAGGCATAACAAGATTTCCACCACGGGAGCCATTGGAATTCACAGGAAGAAGTATTACTACCACATCCAGGTGACACGGGCGGAGTGAGAGAGAGAAAGAGGTACGCACCTCTTTAAAAAGATCGACTGCTGTCAAAAAGCGACTTATTACATACACGCTTCTTTCGCTTTTATGCATAAATAAAAAATATCAGTTTCAGTGACGGAAGGAGTTTGTTATATATAATGTCTCCTATAAAAAATAGAGCCCGAAATGACATTATGCCTAGAGCGGGCTAGGGCAAAAAAAAAAGCATTGTCTCTTTCCTTTCCACATATGCTTCATGGGTTCTGCCGCACAGCACGACGACGTCGACGATTCAAAGGCGCTACTGCTTCCGGAAAATACTTCTGCTTCTTTAACCAAGTCGACGGAAGATTACTCCCCTGCTACTGCTGATGCTGATCACTGGACCTTCAACATCACGAACGGCAATGCCGTCACTGCCGAATACGCACAACTGGATGTCGACGATTCAGAAACGACTCCTCTCGGCAATTTTACGGACCAATCGCAGATTCAAGATGTCGAGTTTGTAGGTGACGATGACGACGATCCGAAATTCTTTGACTATAGGCTTCCAACAGAAGGTGGCTCTATGTTTGCTAGTTTTGTAAGCGGGCGAGGAAGCGCGAAAAGAAAACGAATTTTGTTTCTTAAGAATAAGCCCATCTAATTTTTTCTTTGAATAGCTTAATATGGCCAACAGTATCATTGGCGCTGGCATTATCGGTTTGCCCTTTTCTTTCAAAGAAGCAGTAGGTTTTTTTTATTTTCTACCCTTTTTTTAAAATTTTGATCCGCTGCAGGATGGGGTATACTGATCAATTAAATTATAGGGATTTTGGATGGGCATCATATTGTTAATAACATTAACTGTGGTCGTCGGTAAGAATCGTTTATATAAAATGGGCAGAAGAGCACCGAATGGAACACTAAGGACAAGAATTGCATATTATAGACTGGACCGTGCGGCTGCTCATGTATGATGGCAAGTTGGCGGGTCGTTCCACCTATCAAGATTTACTAGAATTCTCGTTTGGTCGAGCAGGTCTCATAGCGATATCTATTTTTCAATTTGCATTTGGATTTGGAGGTACGAATAGCACTACTGGGGCCCATGATGCTATGCAGTTTGCTTAATAAGATCGAGTATGGATGACCTATCAATATGTTATCTATAATAGGCATGTGCGCTTACTGCGTTATTTTGGGTAAACCCTTCTTTTTTTACTTACGTATACATCAACATTACTGCGCAACAGGAATGACTGAGGAAAATAAACTCACATTTTGCTTCATTGGTTGGCAAATTACAGGCGATACGATACCACATGTCATCCGCTCTCTCGTCGAAGGCATCGACGATATACCCATCCTGTGGATCTTTGCCAACCGTCGACTCTGTATCATTTTTTTCACCGTCTTTGTATCATACCCATTATCACTCTATCGAGATATATCCAAGCTTGCCAAAACCAGTGGACTAGCCTTAATCGCTATCGGCGTGATTATCATAAGTGTGATCATCGAAGGACCCAAAATGCCACCTGATATCCGTGGATCCCCAGAGCAGCGTTTCAATTTCTCAAACAACGAAATGTTCCAAGCAATAGCTGTGATCAGTTTTGGTGTGTATTCAATATGATATATCCTCGAGAGAAATGTTTCTTCAATGTTTAGCAAACAATATATTGGACATCTTGAATGAGGATGACTGATGTTACTTGTCAATATTGTAGCTTTTGTATGTCATCACAACAGCTTTTTGATCTTTGGATCATTGAAACAGCCGTCGCTCAATCGATTCGCTACAGTAACCCATTTGAGCATGGTGATCGCATTTATAACTTGTATGACACTAGCTGTATCGGGTTATGTTGTGTTTACAGATAAAACAGCAGGTAAAATTCTTGTTTTTCTTAGAGTTTCCGTCACATGTTCTTCCTGTGTGATTATTTATATGAAGTTTGACCGGGAAACCATATAGGCAACATTTTAAACAACTTTCCATCCGATAACACGCTCATCAACGTTGCGCGTCTAGCGTTTGGATTGAATATGTTTACGACAATACCTTTAGAAGCATTTGTGTGTCGCGAGGTGCGTTTTTTGTTATATATATGTGTATGTGTTTGCATCGCTGTGTGTATCGTTATTCATGTGACAAAGATGTAAGTAGGTTCTGGAAACATTCTTTTGGCCAGCAAAAGCGTTTCAGCGAACACGACACATTGCCATTACAACCGTGCTCGTGCTGGTAGCACTGACGGTATCACTATTGACATGCAACCTGGGCATTGTGCTGGAATTGACGGGCGGATTCTCCGCAACGGCACTAGCTTTTATTTTACCGCCTTTATGCTACCTTAAACTTGCGCGAGGATCGGTATTCCAGCGGAGCAAGATTCCACATTGGGCCTGTCTAACATTCGGCTTGTCGATCATGGTGGTCAGCACGTTCTACAGCTTGCAAAAAGTGTTCCAGGCCCATCACACTGCAACCAATGGTGGCGAGGTCAGCAGTGGCGACTCGGCTGCTGCTACGTGTGATTTATAGGACACTATTGCTGCTATTGTTATTGTTACCATGGAAACTACTCCCAAAACAATCATAATAATAAAAAGGCTACCCCATAATTATATTGCCATAGCGATTGTATGTTTCTTAGGTGACGTTTTTTATTCCGCCGCTGCTACTACTTTGTGTGTCTGTTGCTACCAGGGTTTTGCGGTTTTTATTTCCTCTCTCTTTCCTTTTACAATAACTTTTTCTGTTCATCATCTTTTTACTACTGCTATACATGCGTCATGAATGCAGCTCCATTTCGATTTGATCTTGCACGTCATCCTACCAAGGATACCATAAAGATGCTGACTTCGTTGCTAGAAAAAGTCACCAAAGCCAATGACCGCATGCATCCAGTACCGTCAAGCCCCGTCGATTCAGCTCTTCCTGCGCGCCATTCACGACCACGTAGCTTGTCACATTCTGATAAACGCTTCACAGCTTTCCATGCTCGGTCCATACCTACTATTGGTGAGTCACTTATTCACTTAAGGTATATGAAAGCAAGTTTATCTGATCATTAAAACTTTTCCTTTGATTAGGTATCCATGCTTACCTGTCACGCATCCTGAAATACTGTCCGTGTGCAAACGAATGCTTTCTGGCGCTGCTCGTTTATTTCGATCGTTTGTCAAAGTCAACAGCTCATCGACAACCACTACGAATTGATTCATTTAACATCCATCGACTCATCATATCCGGAGTAATGGTGGCTAGCAAACTGTTTTCTGACGTATTTTACACAAACACTCGCTATGCCAAAGTATGTAATAAAGGGGGTTGGATTCTATTAATGGTGTGGTTCAATTGGTTTGAAAGAAAAAGGGAGCTTATACTAGGAAAAGGCTTCATATACAAAAGGGCGGAGGAAAAAGAGAAATCTAAGGGAACTAACACATTACTACTACTGTATAGGTCGGTGGATTACCCGTTAGCGAGCTAAACGTACTAGAAGTAGAATTCCTGACACTCAACAACTACTCATTGTTTGTTTCTGTGGAAGAATTACAACATTATGGAGATCAGCTTCTGTTACATTGGATGCGGGAACAGGAAGGATACATTGACAGTCGGATCCAGCCGCGTCAGCTCGCACTTCACGAAAAAGAACTTCAGAATGAGCTTGATGGACAGCCACACAATCCAGATGATGATTATGTTCATGTCAACAAAGTCGCACGGCATCTATCTATCGATAAGGGAGACAGTCGACAGCAACAGCATCATAATCATAATCATCACCATCACCACGAAAATGGCACCGATAATAGCGGCAGTAAAGATTTGAACAGGAAATCTTCTGACGAAATAGACCGTCATCGATGCTTCAAACGCCCCAGCTTTACACAGCAACAACAACAACAACAGCAGCAGCATAGCACTAATATTAATAGTAATATTAAGAGTCACCGTCACGACGATACATCATCCCAGCACTTACCCACACCACCTGATTCCTCGTCACCCAATAACGCGATCGCACCGTCCCCGTCGTCGTCGTCGTCGCATGACACCCCGAGTCAGCACAAGTTTTACCCTACCGTGTCATGAAATAGCCGGCTCTAATTTCGTTTTGCCACGATTGAAAAACTTCTGTTAGATGAATAACATAACATCACATTTCACACCACTTGCAAGTATGAACCTTTCCACTCCTCGTCTCTTCTCCTCTCTCTCTCTCCTTCATGTCGCTCCCTCTCAAATCCCCCAATCCCATTTTTAGTACTATTACCACTATTACTACGTACCATCCCATCCACAGCGTATCACCCATTTGCAAAATCCGTATTATTTCTTTTTTCATATTTACCATACCGTATCTAACATACACTCAACAAGCAACAACAACATATATAATCCTCCATATATACTATTGGCAAAAAATGAACTGCTTTTTATTACTGCATCAATTCGTATTCAGCATACTTGGGTTCCCACATAAATTCTTGCACAACTTTTTGAACATCCTCGAATTGACGTCGACTTTCGCCTTGTTTGATTGCTTCTCGAACGACTGCAGTGGCTACTTTAGCACTGACATGTCGCGCGTCGTTGATGTCCGGGAGCAAGCTCTTGGTACGATCCTTGGATTTAGTAGAGGGTGAGCATTCGCTGATTGCATTGGCGGCTGCAAAGATCATTTGGTCTGTGCAATGTTTTGTACGACCCACGATGCAGCCCAACCCGATTCCGGGGAACACAAACGAATTGTTGCATTCGGCGATCTCGTACGTTTGGCCGTCGTATTCGACCGGATCGAATGGGGACCCCGTAGCCACAAACACTTTTCCTTGCGTCTAGAGAAGATGTTCAAAGAGTTATTCAATCCGAACATTCTCCCACGAATTTGCCACCATTGCAAGGACACACACTCACACACACACACTAGTTTTACACTTACCCATTCAAATAGGTCAGCAGGTTTGGCTTCATGCAGTCGGGTCGGATTTGAAAGTGGAAATATGATAGGGTGATCACAATGCTCAGCCATTGCTCGTACAATCTCTTCGGTAAAAGCACCATGTACTGTTGAACAGCCAATAAGCACCGTAGGCTTGACATTCTTAACTACATCGAGCAGTTGAGGATGCTGCTTATCATTGCCCAGCTTCCAATCTTTAATTTCACCCTTCGAGTGAGCATACACGCGTTGTTGATCGGTAATGACATAATCCCCTTCCGTCAGGTCCTGTGTCAACAACCCTGGCTTGTCAACACACCAGAAACGCTTGGCTGCCTCTTCCTTGGATAAATTGCACCGCGTTTCTAAGTAGGCGCGAATCTGATCAGCAATACCAATGCCTGCTGTTCCAGAACCAAAGATAACAATCTTTTGATCGGTCATCGATCCGTCTGTGAGCTTGAGCGCAGCCATAATGGATGCCAAGGTAATAGCACCGGTGCCTTGGATATCGTCGTTGAACGTAGACATGGCGGGCTGATATCTAGTCAACAGTCGTCTCGCATTGTCCACACCAAAGTCTTCCCAATGCAAAAATGCATTCTTAAAGTTTGTGCGTACACAGTCAACAAATTGTTCAACAAACGTGTCATACTCATCGCCACGGATTCGTTCATGGCGCCAGCCGAGATATAATGGGTCGTCCAATAGCTTTTGGTTGTTGGTGCCGACGTCGAGAACGACAGGAAGCGTTCGAGCAGGGTTGATGCCGGCCAAGGCAGTGTAAAGGACGAGCTTTGCTGTCTATTGTGTTTTATTGAGTTCTCTATGTTTTGACTAGAAGGAAACGCGCCATGGTTGTAATTAATCATGTTGAGTACTTACTGATATAGCAACACCACCTACGCCTTGGTCGCCAATTCCCAAGATTTCCTCGCTGTCAGTGACGACAATAACATCAATATCTTTAGGAGCCATGCCATTTTGCAGTGCTGCTTCGAGAAGAACGTGTTCGAGCTGATCAGACTCGGTAAAATTCAAATACACGCCACGCCTACGATATCAACGGAGCAAGCAAAACATTCATATGATCAGATTTTCTTTCAAGTTGCATATCTAGAGTTGCAGTAGTAGAGAGCAAGACTCACGGACGATGAAATACGTGCGAGTAACTATATCAAATAGTGTAGTACAAAAAGAGCATGGTTGTACATGTTAGATTTAGTGCCAATCCATCATTCTGACGTTTATTTGTCGTTCTCAACTTGCGGGACTAACCTTGCAATGTATTCTCCTTCGGTAGGCGTATAGATGATGGGTAAGATGTCCTTCAGATTTCGTAAAATAAAGTTGTAAAACAGTGTTTCGTTTTGATCATGAATATCTATTTTTTGAAATAAGTTTCACTTTAAATGCGGAGCATTGAGCAAACGAATGAACTTTCTTACTCTGCATAAATGCGTTTTTTATAATGGGTCGTTTCAGCTGGTTGTATTGTTCTTGAAGTCGATTCGTTTGTTCTTCCAACGTGTTGACTTGATACGGGAGTAGGCTGCACAAGTTGAATAGTTCTCGCTCACGTTTAGTGAATGCTGAGCCCTTGTTCAGCAGTGGTTGATTAAGAATGCTCTGGCCACTCATATACAGCTGTACGATATTAGGTGCACCCGCTTTGTCACCGTACGTATGGAGCTTCCTTAAATTGTTTCGCTGGTCGTCAGCAGCAGGCTTAGATTCAGCGTTACCCATACTTTTGAATGGTTTTTGTGAGATGGAGAAAAAAAGTGAGAAAGAAATGTTAAAAAACATTAATCAAAGAGAAGCAATTGATATGAAATGACATGGGTTCTTTCCATGCCTGATAGTGATGAAACCCAGCTCCAATTATCGACACACGAATAATTAAATATGATGTATGCCATGATACTGTAGATCTGCGACTTTTTGCAAAGTCAACCAACTAGTTTATTCTTAATCAAGGATTTCGCTATATTGACCCCGACGCTGGAACAATGTCACCATAATCGACGATTAATCAGCTCAGCAAACATAGCATTGCAGACAATGAGTTGTTAAGCACTGTGTATACCAAAATTATACCTTCTTTATCAAAGCAAAGGAGTTGTCGAATTTACTTCTTTCGCTCGCCCCATATATTTTTTTTTTCTTTTCCATTTGTGCTGTGTATCAGAGTATACGGCGTTCGAAAAGCAAACACATGTCCCCAGCCATCATACACAGAATGATGGCCGTGCTTCTTGATTCCAATACGATGTACTCAGTATTTTAGGATTAAATATTGTATCTGCCTTTTATGCTGACGCCAAGTGGTAAATACAAAACCTGCATTCACGCGAAGAGCTTGAAAGTGTTGCTTGTCAACAAAATCTAGGGAAAGCACCCGCCGACTTATTTTTCAAAGCACTCAACTCGAACTGTAGCCATGCTTCATTATCGATTTCGCACTCACGTCCATGCACGTTTGGCGATTTCGCTGTTTCCGTACGTATTAGCACTTGCGAAACGTCCCTATCTACGCTCATTAGTGCAGTTTACCTAGATGCTTGCAACTTACATTATATTTAGCACAACAGAAGCCACCGTCTTGTTTAGACGGCCAGCACGGGCTGTAGTTACCGTAATGAGGGTACCGAAGGAATTTTCGCGCTCGAAATTGAGCTGCTATTGCAAAGATGAATGATATAACGTTACTGTTGTTGCGTTGCTGATGGTGCTGGCGTTAAAGGTAATATTTATAGCGGGACACATGTAATTACGTGCAGGTTCGTATTATATTGCCTATTGACTTGTCATTGGCCCGCTCCACTTGACTTTCACTCAGAAACACTCGTTGTGCTCTATCAAAACTTCGATCTTGCGCCTTAATCAATCGTGAGGCCGATTTCTTACTACCAAGGGCAGCTTCATGTACCGTAAAATAACTTCTACTCCTCCTCAACACTACATTTTTCTTACTTTGATAGAAAAAAAAATTTGGTCCGCAAATGTTCGACTTTCTGATATTTACTTACTCAATTAATATATCTCGTATTTTTAATGTACTTACAACTTGCATACTGTACAGTTTTGCTTCTAAACCTTGGATCGATAAGTTCTTCGTCAAGATCTCCAGCACCGTTACCAAGCTGTGGTCTCTATCTACCTTCATGGACTCTTCTTCTTTCACCCACTTATTGTATGCATTCTGGAACCTACATCATATTTGAAAAAGAGGCGATTTATACATCAGGACAGGTCGATTACGTATAATTTCGCTACATGTATGCAGTATGCTGCTGTGTCGATAGTTTTCAGCAGCATATTGTCTGCGAAAACTTCAGTGTTTAGCTGTCACCAGGCTTGAGTATATCATAATAATGCGGCTTGCTTGCCATAACTTGACAGGACTTTAAAAAGGGTGAGGAAATACGACTAAAGGTAAACAGTGTAATACAAAGTCACTGGGTTATACATACTTTGAATCTGTTTTTTGATAAAGATAGAATTTCTACTGATAAATCTTGACATCTATTGCTATCATCATCAAAACTGTTTTGTCTCTTTGATATACTTCTTTTTGATAAGATATATCAATTTACTTGTGCTTTGTCGATGCATACGGCTTCAGTTCGTTGTGAGGTTAAAACTGTATTAACGAAACATGGCATGTGTCGGCGACATCAGACACGATCAAGGTTAGAGAAAGCAAGGCTGTTCAATGTTAAATCATGCCTGCTGAAAATGCTGGAATCATCTTTACCTTAACGTGCGATGGTACGCCGCATATGCATAATTCCAATGCGTTAATATATGGACAGTGAGCTTCGCTAATCACCAGATGTTGTGATCGCCGTCTTTAGTTAGACCTGGCAATGTGCTCAACATGGTTACCGTCTTTAGAGTACTATTGGCAATTACAATTATTAGCAGAGAATAATAGAGTTCCAAAAGTGGATTTATCAGATCGTATGCCATAGGAAAAGGCTGACCGTGTCAAAGACATGCTCTCACTAGCAGTTGTTGAAATTATATGATTTAAGACCAAGTTCCACGGCAGTTGTTTGCCTTTTGTCACTTTGTATGCCGTATATGTCTTCATCATAACATTCAACCTGTATTATAAACAGGATCCATGTATATCTACTATGCATAAAGAAAACTATAAAAAAACGAGCTGCGCATACTGACCATTTTATTGCTGTCATTATGTATTTCCTTACACATTTATTTTCAATGTTCTCGTAGTCGCATCAACCTCGTGTTTCGAGCTTCTTTTAACCATATGTATTATCAAGAATCACTTGAGGGGAAGGTCTGTTGTATGCAAGATAGCTTGTCGCTCAGTGTACATTACCTTTTGCTCGTTGAGACGGATTCAACGTGGTGCTACCACTGCCTTCTTCGTAAGTGTTATTTCAAATGCATACATATTGTTCGGCAGGATCACGGAAGCCAAGAGTTATTTGTCTTTGTGTGGTTCCGGGTGTACCCAAAGTAGTTCCAGCCTTTTTGTTCGTGTGATAAAGCATATGCAGTGGACCCCCTTTAATGTCAACCCTCAAATACAGCTGAAAATGTTGACGCTAACGGGGGTTGACATTAAAGGGGGTGGACTATTCAGACAAAAAGTTTACCCGTATAATAAAAATAGTAAATCAGCGCACCCTGACACAGTGTATGTATGCAACGGAGTCATCCCTGACAATATATTTTCAACCAACAATGAGATGAACTCTTTTGATTGGATATGTTTGACCCCAATAAGAAGTCAACCCTGGCTAAGGTGTTGACATTGACCTTGTAGAAGTTGAAATTTATCTCTGCTAAATTGAGGTTCTCAGAAAAAGGTTGACCGTATCGGGGTTTGACATTAAAGGGGGTCCACTGTGTTAGCATAAAACATCTACTAAATCCTATGGACAAATACGATCCATGCTCCTTGACAAACACTATCTTTACCTTTGGTTTTTTTTAGCTTCTCAAAATAGATTTGACACTGGACGAGAGAAAAGAAACACTGCAAATCGTTCTTTTAAGGATGGACAATAAGGTTGCTGTTGCTGCTTTGGAATGGCGTTGAGTGAATCCTAGTATCATAACTCATCGTGGTACTCATAGAAATTTTCCAATGGAATAAGATAAGAGTAGGTAGTAGTTAAAAAGGACTTCAGGAAAGCACAAGGGAGGCAATTATAAACGCTTGATAACAGACATACAACAAAATTACAATAAATGAATCTTGAAATTTAATATCAAGTGATTATTATGTTTTGCTGAAGACTATGTAGACACAATGATAAAACTATCCATCGTTACCGCACCATCATCATTCGATAAATCACAAGCAATGAAAAGCTACTTAGATGGGAAACTTTCTATGTGAGTCTCCAAATGTTGAACGATGCCTTTGCAAGTTGGTTCTCTTAGTTCTCAAAAGAAGCAAAAGTATTATGATTCCCGCATTTGAGGACATCTGCAGACTCATTATCTTTTCGAGATAGAAATTCAACTGGTGATGAATATTATTGAACATTCATTTGAATATTATGAATGAAAAACGAGGAGAACAACGTCAAAACATGTCTAAATGATGGTATATCGACAGTATGTAGAAAGAGTGAAAATTCGATAATGCACCTCGGTCATACATTGACGACAACGTGAAGTCCATGTGCTATATGGCTTTTCGTTGTAAGCTCTCCTGTTTCTCTGGCTTCCTAATAACAATACTGGTGATACCGATGTTCTAAAAGTGAATTACAGCTTTTCGAAGGCGAGGCGTGACTGAAGAGTTGACACTTTGTTACTCCCGCTGCTGATGCTATGACAACTGCTCACCATAGAAACCATTTGAACAAACGTCATAGTGCTACAATCTATCGGCACAAACAACAAACATAAACATTGGGAGCCCTAATGTTGCCCACGCCTTAATGCACAAACAGTCGATCACGGTACGAAAAATTACTTTAATGGGGAGCGGATCGACTCTACTTTTCACGGGCACCCGCAGCAGCCCAATTTTTATGCTTGTGCCATCTTCCACTACCCCTTTCTTCTTGCTTACAAATTCACCCATTCCTTGGCAAATTCAGGACGGCAGAATTCTCTTTGTCTTTGCGGTCCAAAAAAAATGATACAGTTTGAAGAGGCCATTTTAGGCCTCAGCAACGATGTGGATTCCATGACGATCTCCAAAGATGAGAACGATGACGATAATGCTTCAACTCGATCCTCCATTACCGCAGTCGATTCGACCCCGCACGATTACAAAGTCAAGCTTGATCAACAATATGTTTCTTCGACCGTTGAATCGTCATGTCCCAAAGTTGGCAGCAATGACTTTGATTCTCTTTGTGTATTGGGTCGTGGAGCGTAAGTTTTTCCTTTTTATGTGCGCTTTTTCTTTTAATTGGAAACGCTGTTATATTTGTTTCAATGATTTTTTATTAAATATATTTTACTTGCTGAAACCAGTTTTGGAAAGGTGCTCCTAGTTAAGCATCGTGCGTCGAGAACGTTGTATGCTATGAAGACGCTGAAAAAGGCGTCATTGGTGCTTCATGTCAACAATATCAAGACAGAAAGGCAAATCCTAGAACAGGTGCGCCATCCCTTTATTGTTCAATTGTATTATGCATTCCAAACACCTACAGAATTACATATGATTCTGGAATATGCTGTAGGAGGGGAATTGTTCCGGTACCTTGATCAAGGTACGCTATTAAAAAGGAAGAGGAAGAGAAAGGAGTAGGACGCAATGAAAGGGGGGAAAGTAAGCGGTATAACCAGAACCAGAAATTAATCGCTCAACATATATCAACTAGAGGGCATGTTTTCAGAACCGATGGCAAGCTTCTACGCTGCAGAGCTCGTCTTAGCTCTTTCACATTTACATAGTCTTGGAATCGTTTATCGTGATCTAAAGCCTGAGAATTGTTTATTGGACCAAAGTGGACATATTCTTCTAACTGATTTCGGATTATCCAAAGTCTCATTGGATGGCAAGACGAATACGATCTGTGGAACGGCAGAATACATGGCACCTGGTAACTTCAATTCTTTGCTTCATCGGATAAAACTAATGTCTGTTCTAATCTCTCTTAAATTCACTATCTTCAAAACCCTACACCCACGTTTGCCTCCTCTCCTCCGCTTACAATGCCCACGTTTCGCACGAACTTCATAAACGACAGAGGTGTTGGCTGGATTACAATATGATTATTCCGTGGATTGGTGGAGCTTGGGCATTCTAATTTACGACATGCTAACTGGTTCGGTAAGTTTCATCGTCCTGACCCGGGAATAAATCTGTCTTGCTTGGGTAAGCCGTCTGACTTTTTTTTCTCGCGCGTGGGTATGTAAAGCCACCGTTCAAAGGTAATAATAGGCAAAAGACGATCGACGGCATTATGTCCAAGAAACCTGCTATGCCGTATTACTTCACCAATGAAGCCAAAAGTTTGCTTACAGGGGTAAAAAGAAATTTCAAGTGTAGCTAATGGATTTTGTTGAGTTTTCTAATAAGTCTTAATTGTAGTTATTACGGAAGAATCCGCATGTTCGATTGGGCGCGAAACCTAAAGGTGCCGATGCCATTCGTAAACATAGATTTTTTCGCAAGATTGATTGGAAGGCTCTTTCAGAGCGTCACATGGATCCACCCATTGTTCCTCTCGTGGTAAGCTATATGCCCTATCATCTCTCTCTCTCTCTCTCTTATTCGCATTTTGCTTGCGTCTTTTTTCGTACCATCGGATAACTAATTCAGAAGGAAACACAAGACGGATCCTGAATCTGCGGAGGTAAACTTTTTTTCCACCCCACAAGGATTTAAAACTATACACTGTATAAATCATATTGTCAACTGACCAATTTGTTTCTGCTTTTCTAGAACTTTGATGCAGCATTCACAAACGAGCCTATTGTAGGATCCCCACCTCCTGCATCTTCTCCACTGTCGTCCTCTTGTCCGCCAGTAGAAGATCATTTCAGACATTTCAGTTATGTGGATGTTTCAGTGTGTTCCTGAATCACTTCCCATACACATGCAGCCCTTTTACAGTTCAACACCACCAAGTCGTCGTCGGGACTTGTACTAAATGGGCCAACCTGGGTAACGAATCATACACAGTATATATCAAATGCCGATTGTGCCGTTTCCCGAAAGTCGATTATCTTATCATAGAAAGCACACAAGAAACGTTCCAAAAAAGCCGCGAATCCGACAAGCAATTCCGGATATAAAAAGTATTAGACTGCTTATCTCTTCAAAAATTTTTATTTGCATTTTTTTTCCAACAACCTAGAAAGTCTTTCCCCTCTATTACCCTTATTTCATCCTATTTTTCTATTAATACATTGGATACCCGTTCAACACCATCATAAAGTTCAACACAATGGGCCTTTTCAACAAAGCCACGTCTAATCAGACTGTCAAATCGCATGAAATTAACTTCACTAACTACATGCTGTGGTGTGCCTTTGTGGCCAGTATTGCTGGTTGGAATGTCGGTTGGCATATTGGTAACGTATCCAATAAACAATTAATGATGGCGATGCCCAGTCGATTCACACGATTCCCTCCACAGGTGTTCCCAACATGCCTCAATACGTGATTTCTCAATGTACGGACGGCACAGAAAGCAGTACATCCTTACCGAATTGTTTGCCCATGTCGGATATAACATGGGTATGCTTTCTCTATTTCATCTCGATTTCTTTTTGTTGCTGCAGCCTATTGAGACCATTTCGCTGATATATCCCTCCACCACATGTACACACACTATCAACATAAAAAGGGTCATACTGTGGGAGCCTTTTCGCTAGGTGGTCTTGTTGGCGGTCTTGCCACCAACTTTTTGAACGACTATTTTGGCCGACGTATGAATATGATCATTGCTGCTTTCTGGAACATCATTGGTGGCATTCTCTCTGCTACCTCGGTTTCTGTCGAGATGGTAAGTAGTATAAAACAGGAGAGGGAAAGACAACATTAAAGAAAATACCGTCTAATCTCCTTACTTTTGTTATCTAGTATGCTGTGGGTCGCGCATTTGTGGGTATTGCAGCTGGTATTTCTGGTGCCTCTGTCGCAATCTACGTCTCTGAAATTTCGACCAACCGCTGCCGTGGTGCTTTTGGTGCCTTTTTCGGTATCTTTTTAAACGTTTCTATTCTAATCTCCCAATTGTGCGGCCGATATATGAGCTTTACCTATGTGTGGCGTTTCCTGTGGGCCATTCCTGCCATTATCGCTTTGATCCAGATCGGTTTGGTATTCACGATTGTCGAGACGCCACGCCGTTTATGTGCAACCAAGCAAAATGACAAGGCGCGCGCTGCCTTGGCCAAATTGCGCAACTATGGCGATATTGAAGAAGAATTTGAAGCTATTGTCGAATCGCGTCGTCAGGAACTCAATATGAAGATGGTTTCCATGTGGGATATCGTCTCTATTCAGAGCCGCCGCATGAGTTGGAATGCTTTTGTTGTCATTGTCATTCAAATGTATAATCAAGTTGGTGGTATTGGACCCATGTCTGTGTACTCTGTCGGCTTTCTGGCCAAGGCGTTTGGTGGTGACACTGTCTTGGCTACCAATGTCGTGCTGGCTCAAGCTGGTGCCAATATCGTTGCTACCTTGATTGCCGTCTTTCTGATTGGCTGGATGGGCCGTAAAGGCTGCATGTTGCTCTCGACCATGGGTATGACGATCGGTTCTGTATTTATTGTCATTGCTTCTGCCCTGGAAGATCCCGGACGCTTAGGTCCCCTGGTTATCACTGGAGGTAAGAGTTTGATCATGCCGTAATAATGATAACATGATCCATCAAAAAGAAGAAAACAAACTAATTGATCCACATGCGTATGATATATAGCCATTTTGTTTAGCTTTACATACTGTTTGGGCTGTGCCATTATTCCCTGGCTTATTGCTCCCGAATTGCTCCCACTACAAGCCCTCCCTGCTGGTGCAGCCATGGGTAACGCATCCAATTGGTTGTTCAACTACCTCATCAATACCTTGTGGCCAATGATTGATAGAGATTTTGGCAACTACAGCTTTGTGCTGTTTGCTGGTATCAACTTTGGTGGCTTCATATTTATGTTATTGTAAGTACCGTCTCCACTATTTTCTATTGCTATTTCGGTATATCACGGCAACTCTAATGCATATCGAAAAAAAAAACTTAATAGATTCATGCCTGAGACCACTGGCAAGGGTATTGATGACCACGATGCTGCTTCTACTAAAGGACCTGCAGTTGACAATGAAGCAATGTCTGTAGATTCCATTCGACAGGATGAGAAGATTGAACTATGAACCCAATAACACACACACACACGCCCTCCCTCCTTTCTCCGTATCCCTTTTTCTTTTCGCCCTTTCATTGTACAGTTTAATTTAATGCTCTGATAATAATAAAAAAGTACCATTTGTATAGATTCTACTTTTGACAACTACTATCCAATCTGTTTATATGACTACAGTAGAGCGTAAACTGTGATGAAAATGAACGGTTACTACCATACTATAGTATTTCTGTCCTCTGAAAAGTGATCTGTATACTGTTACCGAGGTTTTCGGACTTGAGTCTTAGCTGAATTTGGGTCCGAAGTGCAGTTTCGAGTCTTTTACAACGTTGGGTTGGCTATTCTGTAAGCCAAAGAAGAAGAGAATTAAGGACTTACCATTAATTAGAGCTCTGCTTGGTTCTTTAGAGAAATTGTATCTGCCGTTATTGTACTTAGTGACAAAATAAATATAAATAAATATGCTTTCTGCTGTTGAGAACAAGAATAATAAAGACTTTCTCAGTTTGTGCTGGAAGATGCCCTGGATAAAAAACCTAGCCGTTCTGCAATCTTGAGTGAAAAAACAATTAACTAAGACGCGCGATAGGATACAATGTCTAATATGAAAGTTTTATTATAGGTAAAAGAGGTGAACGTTCGCTACTTTTTCTATGTTTAAGTCAATCTAGGTGTGTTAATACTCGCCGCTAAGGAATGCTTGGCTCCCTTGGCACTTTCGATTGCTTTCGATGATGATCTTTTGGATTTCAAATTCAGTTGTTTCCGTTATTACTTTGCCTTTTAAGCATCAACTCCTTGTGAGCAAGATTATTCTCGGTGTCATCATTTTCTGTGGCGTCCTCCATTTAGCAAAGACCCTCTACGACTAATATTGCATAGCGTCAATATCAGTTTTTCTCGCAGTAAATGTTGCAGTGGCCTTTTGACGATGCATGCTGCAAGATGGTGTACGGTGTATGTTTTTGACGCGCCGAAAACTACGTGATTGTCATAGGCGAGGGGATTGACAGGACAAAGGCCGAGCTGTGCGACCTTCAACCTTGAAAAGACCTATTATGCAACGCATCTCGTTTTCCATATTATCTCAAGTTGCAGTTAGTGGCAGCCGTGAATGCTCTCTCAACCAGTATTCAAGTGTACCCTATTGTCAATGTTGCTTTAAGCGCTGAACTGAGGCGATCCGAGAAATGGTTTCGGTACAAAAGATACCACCAGTAGCCAAAAGTTTCAATTAACCGCTAAAAAACTTATACAGTATCCGCTCGTTGAGCCAATCACTGTCAAACCGGTCAGTCTTTAAGATTACGGCTACATATACTGTTTCCTTCAACTTGTATCAACTCTCTTTTGGCGCTCATTCTAGTCGGCGATGCTTTAAATTACTGTATCGGCAATACGTGCTATCTGATGTAGCTACAGTTATTGTTGATTGGTTTGTACTGGGTGTGTGGCTCGTGGATGATGCTGTCGTCGCTGGTGTTTGTATCAAGCTTTGGGTGTTCATCCGTATCTGCCGTCTGGGCCTTCTGAACCTTTTCGTACCTTGGAAGATCGTTTTAGGTGTCGGGAAGGCCACAATCAGCAAGAAACGACAACAAATTGGAATTTAGAATTTTTTAGAAGCTGTTCGCTGATGGAGCTGCATAAATTTCGAGCGTCAATGATGGGATGGCTTGCGCGTCATGTTTCTTTGTAAAAGTACATAGTGCGCAAGTACTATTGTATGGTGCGCGACATCAACAACCAACTGACGTTGATCGGTGGCCTGCTGAGCAGTGTTCTTCGTGCTTTTATAAGAAATGTCGCTCCTTTGCTCGATCTTGCTTCGTACTGCTTCGTCTGTATCATTCTGATGATCGTCAAGGAACCGATCAAAAGTCAAAGGAAACAGTTGAACATGCTTGTTGTGAGATTCCACTTCGTCAAGTCAACTAGTAGCTCATGCAAAGGTAAAGTGGGAAAAAGAGGGAAAGGATGGTTCCAACTGACAAACGTTTAGAAACCGTGCGTGTCCGAAACGGAGGCGGTCGGAGTAACGGGCTGCATGATCATAACAGCGTCGAAGGTCTACCCACCCACAACAAACAAAAGGTGGTGGGGCCAGAATCCCACACTTGTTTCAGAAGAAGGGAAAGGGAGATCCCGTCATTTTTTGACAGCAGCAAAATGAATGCCTTAAGAAGGGCGCTCGAGTGCTTGGATGCGAGGTAAGGACAGAGGCGGAGAGGGGCGCCAGCGAAAGAAGGAAGGCCCATTAGCAGGGAAAGCATGTGGATCACGCGACAAACAGTTATGAAACAAAGCGAGCCAGTGTGTGTGTGTGTGTGTGTGTGTGTGTGTGTCTTTTTTCTCTGTTTTTTGAAGCTCCGAGGCCACCCAAAGTAAGAGACCTAAGTTGACATGGGCTGTTTTGTTGGAGGGTTTCTCTTCTCTTTCCTCTTCTTTTCTTTCTCACTCAAACTTTTGCTTTTCCGCATGTCTGCATTTACGGTCAATAGGTTTGAAGCCCTTCTGGGCGACGAGCCCTCTGAGACGGACAAGCTTGGAAACACAAAGCCAACGGACAAGAAAGATGATCAACCGCCCAGTCGCAGCAAGCGTCAGGATACGCGAAATTTGCACACCCGTGTAGCAGGTAATAACGTCTTTCTTTCTTGTTCAGAGCTGGTCTTGCTGACAACCATCCACTCTATTGCAACTAGTGTCGCCCCCGTCTCGAAGAGGCCGTGACCGTGGCGCCGCAGGTGGTGGAGGCGATTCGCTCGAAAGCAGCAACACCGCCAGCAACGACGCCGCACCTGCTGCCGCCCAACGTCCTCCGCGCGGCCGTCAGTACGATCGTCACAGTGCCACTGGCATCGTGTAAGTGTTTTCCCTCTTCTCCCTCTCTCCCTACGCCACCCCCCACCCCCCGCGTTTGATTCGTTCAATAACAACAATATAAAATCACTGTCAAAAAAAAATTAACTCTCATGCAACACATATCTCAAGTGACAACGACAAAAAAGTCAATCAAGGATGGGGTCGAGCCGAGACTGCCCAGTGGGATGCGTACGTATAGTTTTCAATAGACATTCTTTCTGGCTATAGCAGCACAGTAGTATAGTAGTAGTAGTACGAGTGCTGGTATATTTGAGAAAAAGAACGTCGCTTTTTAACATGCTGCTTTTCTTTTGACCCAAAAAAAGTGCGCATGACACAATGTCGCCCGACGACCCAGCAGCGGAGGGTCAGACGGGATCGGGCACGGCCACGCCTGCGGAGCCTGAGTACAAGACCCTGGAAGAATACCAGGCTAACCAAGCAGCTAAGCGCGACAACCGCTTCCAGCTTCCTGAAGCACGTCAAGCAAACGAAGGCAGCGACGGTGGCCAATGGAAGGACGCCGTCCCGCTCAACAAGGAAGACGAGGTCTACTTTGGTGGCAAGGAAGTCGCACAAAAACAAAAGAACAAGAACAAGAAGGAAAAGGTGTACATTGACATTGAACACCCACCGCATCGACCAAGCGGTGGACGAGGCGAACGACGCGGTGGCAGTGGCGAACGTGGCGGACGTGGCGGACGTGGTGGACGAGGTGGGCGAGGCGGTCGTGGCCGCGGAGGTCGTGGAAGAGGTGTAAATATGAACGTCAACCTCTCGGATGCAAGTGCATTCCCTACTTTGGGAGCATAAATTTTCTTGTTGCTCCCTCTCTCTTCCACAAGGATCTACCCGTACAGATTATTGCAGAAGGTGCACATAAAACAACACACAGCACACAATATCAAAAGAAGACAGTTTCTCTCTCACTCTCTCATCCACTCTTTCATTTTGTTGTTTGTTTTCATTTGAATAAGAAAAAAAAAGAAACTTTATTTTGGCTCTATAAACATCATCAATTCCTATCTAAAAGAAGTGTGTGTGGGCAGGGAAGAAGGAACCTAGTAGCAAAGAAAGCACACCAACGCGTTAGCTTATATTGCAAAAACAGCGAAAACAAGACAGCGAAAGAGAGAAGCAAAGCCATCGATCAGGTGTCAAGTTGAATCATGTGGATCATTTGAAGAAATTCAATAAGAATTGCATCATTTCGAGTGGACCATCGATTCTCTCTTCTTCTATTGTACAGCATTCATAATAAAAGCACTTACACGTCAAGGGTCCCAAAGAAAGTAAAGTGAAAGAAAGGCAACAAAGCCCTTGGTGTTTTGAAGAAAGACTTATTTATAGCAAAGAAAAAGAGCGACAAAAAAAATTTTCTTTCTTTTGAGCTATTATTTACGGAGACCCAATCTACTTCTTCTCATTGGGTACAAATTCTTGACCAGCCACGAAAACTGTTTCCTTCTCCACATCGTTGTAGACGGGCGGAGCAGCAGCTGGATATCCGACAACAACAGCTTCCTGGGCAAACGATTCTTCTTGTTGTTCCTGCTTGACTTGGAGCATGTACGAATGGATGGCGAATGCAAAGTGAAGCTATATTACACAAATTCAATTGATTCGTCATATTTTTAGAAAATGTTATAGCTATATCCCTCTCACACACATATACACACATATCAAAAGGAGAGAGAGAGAGACAGATTGAAAATTAATACTTTACCTTAAGAAGAAGGTTAACAGCCATGGCGATGGTAATCACCCAAGCACTGCCAATGTATGCTGTTTCACAAGTTTCCATGTCAATGTGTTCATCCTTGGGTGCTTCTTGGACAACTTGTTGGCACACTTCGCTGTGCATGCTGAAGAATAGAAAGGCGCTGGCCACAGAAAACACCATGTGGAGTGCCAAATCCACCCAGTAGAACGCCGAGAAGAGACGGAGATGCTTGGCATTGTGCTGCGGTTTGACCATTAAAATGTTAGTAAGTGTATTTATCGTTCTATTCGGTTTGGTGTTCTACAAGTTATAAATATGTATACAAATACCCACCTTGATCACACCAACAGCACCGGCAAGACAGGCAACACCTGAAAGATAAGAGTACATTGTCAAGCCAAATACAGTGCCACTGTCGCCGTCGTCGAATTCATCGCTGAGTGCGGTCAATGCAAAGGCTCCGTAGAGATGAGTAATGGTGCCGAGAACAGCCAAAAACAACGTAGCCGTTCTATACAATAACTTTAGTATTAATATTATAGCACATAAAAAACCTTTGCAATCGTTCTGATGCTTACCTCAAGTTAATGCAAAAACAACATTTCATGGTAGTAGTAAGTAGTAAGCTAAAAATAAAAAGGTAAAAGGAAGGGAAAGAAGACTATGCACTTTTTCAATTGGCAAGAACCTCCGACAAATTTAATCTTTGTGCTGGTTCTGCACCTGCAACCAAGTGTGTGCCCGTGAGTGGGTGTGTGTTGAATCACCTTGCTATCTATTTGTGCATCACTCTCTCACTGTAATCGAGTGTCCTCAATGCTCACGTATATATACTCAACCAGCACACATTAAATGTCTCTTTTCTTATCATGTATACTAGACTGCATTGGGTTCCCTTTCATTCACAAATGGAGCGGGTCATTAAAGTCATTCATATTCCTAGAGCTGTGTTTGCTGTTATGTCAACGGTAACCATGACGACCATATCATAAACATAACAACCACAATAAATAAGGATGATGCCCCTATATTATACATCCACAGTAGCCTATTTTGATACCCGGACACATGGTCAATGTACATACATAAGAAGAGAGGACATAATTAAGGATAAACTATCTACGTCCAAAACTTTAATTGGCCAGATTTCATTATTGAACAAAAGGGGATAACAACCGGGCTATTGCGCCCGTCAACCGAAACGGATGGATTTCAGCCGAACGAAAAAAAAACAGTATATGTCGGCGCCACTGCCGGGAAACCGACCTTCAAATGGACGAATTCCAGCATTGTTTTTTTTAACCTTTCTCTCCTCCCTCAATTAATGACGTGCTCAGGTGACCAATGAGCGTCAGCAGCGACTCGACTCAAGTCGCGTATTCATTTCTTACAGCGGACAGTAATCAGCAATTACTACACGCTAGAAAGAAAAAACCACCAGCTCGCGAACAAGCATGGGTTCACGCCAGAACATTGTCGGTCCCGGACATTCACCGAATCAAACAAGAATGGAAGCAGTATCAAACCGGTCACCATGAACTTCCTGTTGGTAAACTTCAGGTATATATACGCATATATATATGTATATAACATCACCCCGTTTCTTTCAAATTGGGAAAATAAAAAACAATGATTTTTTTTTCTTAACTTGGGACATATCCACAACGCACGCGCACGCACACGACTTTTTACACTTTTTGAATTAACAGGTAGATTTGCTCAATATACGCACGGATACTCCGTTTAAACGACCCATTATGCGAGTCAAAATGGGCTCAGCGCAGTATTTCTCTTCGCGTTCGACGAAATGTACCGGTGATTGGAATGAAGGCTTTGTGTTTGTTGTATCATATCATGCACAGCTCTTTGATACCATTGATGTAAGTTAAATCCAACCCTTGGAATGATAAAAAGCAGGTTTTCTTTTTTGTTCATAATTCACTATATTGAGATTAACTGTGATGGCTACAACTTTTAGTTTGACTTGTACGATAAACCACGCAAACATTGGCCACACAAATCCAAACATGTCGGCAAGGCTAAACTCAAATTATCTAAACTTAAAGGCAAAGACGACATTTTTGTAACGTAAGACAGACACTAGTAAATAAATACTAGTAACAGTAGTATTAGTGAAATTCGGTCGACCCGAAATCTCCGTACACTTTGTAATAAGTATTTGGTGTATATGCGTGTTTACTTAGATTTCTACCCATTTACGAATACCATACGCGTCGAGGGTTACCCGAGGACGTCAAAGATACAATCATTAATACCGACCTGGCAACACTTGTGGAAGCTTCTGGCCGATTGAACAGTAAAAAGCTCATAGGTTCGATTCAGATCCGTATGCGTTATCATTACCAGCAACCTTCCGACATTGAAGCACCCCCACTTTTATCTCCTCATGGCGATATTCACGATAATGCATCACGACGCTACTCATACAATCATGCCGACGATTCCGACGATAGCTCGTTATTTGATCAAACTGGACTGTTTCCTGCACCGCCCATGCGACGCGTGAGTCATCGACCTGATATTGATTATCCATGCGCCTCGAAACGCAAAAGCAGCTCGCAATTATCAGTATCGCCTGTTCGACGCAAATCCACCCATGTTTCTCGATCAAGACCTGGGGCAGAATCAGATGAAGGGGACGAAGAAGAACAAGATGGAGGAGCAGGAACGTTAATAAGAACCATGACAGCACAACATAGTTCCCAACACGGTCGTGGTGAACTTGCACGTGACGAAACCACTGTCGACGTGATCTTTCATGATCGACTTGCAACAATCATGAATTCTCATGTCCCCGGGTCCGACTCTAGCTTAACTGGGTCCAAACGATCGTCACGGCATCGACGCGTGCAGCCTACTTCCACACGCACTACTGCAACGACAAGCATTCAACAACAACAAAATCCGAAAAAGAAGAAACAACGCAACACATGTTTTGGCTGGATCAGTAGTCTTTTCACGCATAAAGCACCTACATCGGCGCGAGGACAGCGCTACGGTTTCTCACAAAACGATGCTGACGATCATGCAAAAGCGGTTCCGTCCGATTATGCTGAAGCAGAAAAAGAAGAGAAAAGACAACACGAAGAAATGCAGTATGCCTCAAAAACAGGAACAGAGAAAAAGGAAAAGAAGCAGCGACGGCGTGATCGAATCAAGGATAGTGCGAGTCGAAGAGCACAGCATATCATTCAAAGTGTTAATTTCGGTGACAAGAACTTTGCGTCTCAATGGATGCGTGACTCTTTTGACGACGTTGCGATATCGCATCCGGCATTTGACCGTCTGATTAGTTTGGTTGTCAGCAGTCAGACACGCGCACTAGTGCGGTCCATCATGAAACTTGCAAATGCATTTGTAAGTTTCGTACACTTGCCTTCCATGCTACTCTAACATAGTATGTTTGACTTAATGCTTTAAAATTTTTAGGGTCAAGGATTCAAAGTGACGAGTTTCCGGTTACTGAAAGCCATGATTATTCTCGAACGTTATTATAAATCACTTCCCAGGTAAAGCATATGACTGTCAGGGGATGGGTTGATAGATAGCTAACTTATTTTTGTTCAATATAGGCCTCCACCTAGTCGAGAAATCAAAGACCGAGAATTGATGGATGAAGCATGTCATTATTTTGACTATGCGCTCATGGCATACGGTTGGCGAGGTCTTTGCTATCTAGGATCGTATGGCCAATATATGCGCGAAGCACGGCATCCACGCTCCAACAGACTGGCTATCATGCGATTTTTGAAATTGCACCCAGAAGATCTTCTCGGTTACGAGTACGGTTTGCGAAAAGGCGCTGTGTTTCAGCCAAGTTACTTTGTTGCGATTGATCGATCCAGAAAAGCGATTGTACTGAGTATTCGTGGCACTTGGGTAAAGTAGCCAAAAGATCTTGTTTTGCTGTTGGATACATTTTGTCGAACGAAACTCCTATCGAACAAAACTCATATATAATATATTCAAGTAGAGTCTCTACGATGCAATTACGGATCTTGTATGCGAATACAAACCGTTTAAAGGCGGTCTTGTGCATGCTGGCATGCTCGCCTCGGCCCAGTGGTTCTATACCAACATCATCCCACAAATTTTCCGTTACATTCATCACCACAGCAACGAGCTTTCATCCTTTATCATCACGGGCCATTCCTTGGGCGGCGGCGCAGCTAGTTTATTAACCATGCTCGTATCTGAACAAATCGCCGTCTTACGCCGACTCTCCAACAATCCTAATTTCCAATTACATTGCTACAGCTATGCACCTGTTGCACTGAGCTCACGCGAACTCAACCACAAATACGACAAGTATATACACAGTTTCATCTGCCAAGACGATATTGTCGGTCGGATGTCATATGGTACAGCCATGGAGTTAAAGGAGTTGATCATGGATACGATCAGTGCGTATGAGACGCTCGGAGGATGGCATAAAGTCATGACAGATCCAGCGACACGGAAAGTTTGCTTTGAGATCCTTACACGATGTCGTGATAGGATTTATCATAGTGTGGATCAGTTATATCCTCTGGTATGTTCTTTTAACAGTGTGTTTCTGTGATAAAAAAAAAAGTGCAATTTGAACTAATATCTTTACAATTTATTAGCTGTATATACCTGGGAATATTGTATACATTCGACGAACAAAAGAGCATCGGGTATTTAGCTCGACTGCTGCTCCGTCACGTACATCCACCATGGTTTCCTGGAGAAATATAAGTCGACGTCGTCGATTAGGCAAAAAAGCAAAATCCAAAGCAAAAGAAGTATCAAAAAAGATCCCAGGCGCCACGCGATCACGATTCACGGCCCATGTTGGCTCGCACTCTATATCTAATGAAATATTTATCACTAAATCTTGCATAGAAGACCATATGCTTGGAAGTTATCAGACTGCGTTTGATCAACTCAGAGCAACTTATTGACAACCCTAGACAATTTACACATGTATTTAATTCTCTAATTCGTTAGTCTTATCACTAGTGCTACTACAGGTCGATAAATCCACCTAGTATAAACTCTTCCTCCCCCTCCCCTCCTTCTTCTCCAGTGTCTTTTCATAACTAGCATCATTATCTCATCACTATAACTTTCTCTTTCTTTTGAAATCACTTATATTAAAATGCATCTTTCTGTTTTATTTCGCCTGGCAAACATATAAATCATAAATTTTCTAGACGCCTATTATATTATGTCTGCCACTAAGGTATAGGTTGTATATATTTTCTTGTTGTATTACGCTGCTACGTTTATGCATAGAACATTAAAGATATATAGCAGTATCAATTGTGGTACATACTGTTATGAAGCATGTACGTATATTGAAAAGCGACATGACCACAACATGGTGAGCCTCACAAGAGAACGGTTTCTACCTCCCATCATTATCTCGCAGTAGCCATACACTTGAGTATGTCCGAAATTAACACCTTATAACAGTGGTATATTATAGTGCTATACATTAGGGAAGGAAATGAGTGCAAAAGAAACTGAGGTAGCTAAGCAATACGTATCGGGAAGCAAAACATATGTTCATAATGTGCTTATACACTACGAACAATATGAAATGCATTTCTCGTCATGTACTGCTACTGTGTGCTACTATTGCATTGAATACTTGATGATGCATTTTACATATGCCACGAGGTATAGGAGCAACTATATCAAAATGCGTATACAGTGATGAACAGACATTTCAGCTCGCTTAAAACAAATACTACGTTGGACCGTACGCCTGTCCGAGCACCCTGAAAGCATCACGCCAAAGACTTAACCAAGAACATGAAGGGTTTCTTTGTATCTTATTATAACTATGTACGTGATTGTCTAAAATATCAAAAAAAGACTCTTACAATATGTACAAAAATTCGGAAGGAGGCAGTGCAATTAGTAGTGTGTGCGTGTGTAGGGGGTATATATGTAACTATGGTAGTGTTATTGTTGCTGGGGGAGGAAGAATGGGTTCTCGGGGTTGATGGGTGTTTTGCCATATGACGCGATTTGGTAATGCTGATGACTTGGAGAGAAGGTCGACGGTTGTACACATAATTTGCTCACTCTCCCTCGCGGACCAACCATTCCGGCAGGGAGGGTATCAGGGGGGGGGGGACGTGAAGCGGGCGCAAAAAACATGAGTTCTTTACCGCTTTGCACCCCTTTTGGCTTTTCGTCCGGATGATGATGACCTAGTACCAACACTGCCACCTCCCAATTCTGGATGCTCCTGCACTTTTTCACGTGCCTCCAAAAAGAATTTGAGATCACGCACTTGGTCACCTAGCTCCTTGACCATCTGCTGTCTTTGTTCTATCGACTTTTGCAATGTTTGATTTTCTTTAAGAAGTGAGTTGGTTGTCTAAAAAACGACAGTTAGCAATCCGAGGGGGGTGGGGTTGGGCGGTGAATAGAGACATGTGATGAGCACAAGGATGCGATAGTGAGAAACGACTAACCTCTTTTTCAGTAGCCAGCTGACGACGTGAAGCTTCATACCGATCCTTGAACTCCTGTAATGACTGATCCACGCGTTCTTTGTGCATCTGTGCGTCCTTGAGTGATGTCGAGGCATCTCTGCATTTCTCTGATATATTTTCCTTCTCTTGGTGCGTGTTTTGCAGATCCTTTGTCAAGCCTTTGACTTGTCTAGTAAGGGCAGAAAGTTGGGATGTGGCGTCGTCCAAGAAATCTTCATAGTATATTCGTTGAGAATCCAGTTGGGATGTCATCAAGTAGCTATATTCCAATGACATGGCATCTAGTTTTTCCTAAAAACATGAAGTGATATTAATCAGCTTTCTCTGTCTCTTGTGATCCATACACATACAAGAGAACACACACAGAGCCTATGATGAATTTACTTACTTGAGGTGCACCACCGCCGCTACCACTAACTGCGTGAGGTCCAAGAGTGGAGGATGGTTCATCATCCGCCGATCCACCAGAGGGTAACTCGACCAATTTACCGTCCACCATATTCTGAATCAAGCGATGGACGTAATTATTACCTGCAAAATCCCATACGCGTTGTGTTTCGATCTCCAAAGCATACGGATGGTTGCTGTGGTTCGAATGTTCCAACGCGTGCGATGCCTGTTCACAACCGATATGACCACAAATCAAACAGATCCACAGGTTCTCGATCGATCCACATGCCGTACACTCATTTGCCTCTCGATAGGACCATTGTTTCTGTTGTTGTTGCTGCTGCTGCTGTTGCTCGGGATGTTCTTGAAATTGTTGTTGTATTTGTTGTTGACCTTGCAGTAGCAATTGTAACGGGTCGTCCCCATCATTGTTATTTGCTTGTGGTTTTTGTGAATATCGACACACGGGGCAACTACCATCACCCCATTTGGAAAGACAATAGCAATGGAATGTATGCTGACAGAGGATGGTCAATAATCCAGTCACTTTTTCATCCATCCGTTCTAAGCAGACAGGACAGATAGGCGTGTCATCGTCGGCTCGTCGGATGGTGGTTGTGTCGTTGACGAATGGAAACGTGTATGGTGGCATGAGAACCGAGTTCATCTCGACAGATTGGATATAGATGACTCGGCATGTTTCCGGCTGTCCACCAATGAAAAGGATTAGACCGGATCTCCTGTTATTAGCGAAAAGGGGGAGGGGGACACAGTGGTACACGAACCTCCATTGAACTGAAGCGACGACCATTGTATTGGCTATAATAATCGCGTGCTGCTTCAGGATCGCGAAACTTCATCAAGACCATGTACTTGTCAGGATCTGTCTCACTATAGATAAATCACAAGCGAAAAAAGAAACAATGCGTATGTCAGGGTGTGTGTGCGTTGATGATTACATAAAATGTGTCGTCTAGGGATTGGAAAATAACGCGTACCGGATAACTCGATAATGGCTTACAAACGGATCAACTGGCTCTACAAAGCTTAAAAAGTCTGGCACAGACAGATACGACGGCACATCCAAACTACATACAATCGTAGTTGTCGGTTCTGTTGGCTTTTCGAGGGTGGTGTTGTTATCGTTATTATTTATATCGCAAGTCGCGTCGTCGTCGCCGTCGTCGTCTTGCTGTTGTTGTTCCTCAGGTGGTAGCTTGACGTTGTCATTGCCTCGATACAAGTGAAGAACGCCGCAATCGGATTGATCAGAAAGGCGTACTACCAATCCAACAAGATCCAAACTAATTGTGCCTGTGGATCGATACTGGGAAGATGCCATTTCGTTCGTTCGTTTGTTTTCTTCGCTTTAAACGCGATCCGTTCGTTTATTGTTTTGTGAGTTGCTTACACGTCTCTCGACGCAGTATACGAATAAGGCTAAGTGACGAAAAAGGCAGCAGCACGTAATTTATCTTTTGCAGACGCAGTAGCATTGATGTTAGCGGTCTTTCTTTTTGCGAGATCCTATTGGTTCCAGTCGTGCTTTCCCTTTACAACTATACTGCTATCACACGATGGTTTCTTAATCGACCAGCGGCGCAGTGATGTGTTTCGTAAGTTTGGGAGAACCATACACACCATCCTATGAAAAAAAATAAAAAAAACTTTCCATCCCGTTGCCGTTTTACTATATCTTCCACAAAGGCAGGTTGCCTGCTCTCTCCCCCTTGATGGATGGTGGTTATTGAGAACATCGGTTGTGTAAGGTCGACTTTGACTTTATCATGCAATAACAGGCCTTCATGCGCACCAAAAAAAAACTTAACAAGGAGAAATAGGCATGGGATATGCTCTGTTGAGGTACATGGAACTGGAATAAGGAACTCGTTTTACCTCGGCATACCACGTTCCTGATACATTACAGATAGCGCAGCAACACTCTTCTCTCTACTACCGTTACTATCATCATTATTATGCAATTTGTATGACGATGCAAACAGCGGATGTGCTGCCCGTAGCCGCTGCTGCTGCTGGTGGTGGTACCCCGAGCCAATAAGTATCACCTGAACGACGAGCACATACCTAGGTATAGTATTCGTACTCGTAGTAGACGAATCAGTAGTAGTGATATTGTAAAGGCGCCCACCATCCTTTCGTATGTAGTAGTAATAGCAGCAAGGGTGTTTCAAATCTACGTCCTTATGTCTCTCCGTTGCATCACCGGGACGTATGTATATCATTGAACTGAAAGAAATAATTTGTCGCTGGAGACATGCAAATCACGACAGAACAATGAAAGATATACACGCTTTAAAACCTTCTGCGCTGTGTGTTTGACATTAACTTATCCAAAACAATAGCCAGACAAGACTCATAATGAGTGATATACGACTACCGACATAGCACGCTCAAGTCATAGGGTGGCTGATAGAGTAAGTGTTACTGCGAACAAACAGCAACAAGAACACAACAATGATGTAGTGTATTCACGGACCTACGAGCCCGTTGAGGAGGAGAAGGCTGTGCTTAGCAGGTTGCGGCTTAGGAATGTTATTTGCAAACACGGGCTGCGTATGATACACGTTTGAACCAAGGAAACAGGTGGGTATGACTGCTACTACTGCACGATACAGCCCAAGAAGACATGGAGCGAATGAGAAGTCGTAGGCAGACCAAAGAAGGCAGCAGCAGTGAAGAGGCTATGTGGAAAGAAAGCAAATGGAACTTGTCTATTTGAGGCAATGCATAACCCAAAGATGGGTTTGCTGCTGTTTGGGGGGGGTGGGTGGGTGGGTGGGGGAATGGGGGTTCGTGTGTATGTGTGAGAGAATACAGACCCAAACAGGGAGAAAGTGTGTGTGTGTGTGTAAGACCATAACTTTTTTCATCAATCAAAGCTGTGCAATCTTCTGACTCTCTCTCTCTTTCCCTTCTTCTTCCACCTTCAACCCTTGTTTTCCTCCTTAAATAAAAACAAAAAAGACCAAGTCGTCGTCGTCTTTTTCTTTTTCTTTTCTTAACCTTGTCTGCTCTACTACTACTACTACTACTACTAGTACCTCTTGATTGAAACACCCATACGGTGCTTTTCAGAAAAAAAGAGCGACACATTACACACAAAAGAGAAAAAGACAAAAAAAAGACGGGTCTTTTTTTCTTTTCTGCAACTTCTTGTAAAAAAAAAAACCAGCACTAAAAAATGTCGAAACGTTTTCATGGCGAGGCTTTCGTGACCGCTGGCGGCAAGGCTCAGAGCCAACAACAAGCGACTGGTGATAGTGACAGTGATACGACGACGACGACAACAACAACAACAACGGTCGAAGCACGACCTATTCGTCAGCCTCGTCGTCTGAAGCGACTGCTTGGCACCATGAAGCGACAAATTTTCGGTCCCAGCTATGACCCGTACCAGCGGGACCAGGTAGCAAAGGAGCAACAAGAACAAGGAGGAGCAGTAGTAGTAGGTGCAACCAACCAACAAGAACAAGAACAAGAAGAAGCGCGTGACGAGCGACCCACAAAACGACGTCGGTCTCTTACCTCACTCGTCGTGAACACCATCTCCACCATGGCCTATGAGCTCTTTTGGAACACAACAACAACAACAGCAGCAGCAGCACAACGACCACCGGCAGCGGTAACAAGTTTTAACGAAAAACAGCAGCAGCAGCATCACCATTCGCGACGTCGTCCACTCTTCCGTGGCAGGGATATCGACTTTACACATTTCAAGACATCGTCCGCTTGGGAGAACAGAATGCAACAGGCTGAACGCTTCATTCGTGGTGTTTGTTTGCAAAGCCAACAACAGCAACGAGAGCAGTATCAGGACTGTATAAACGATCCCTCGGAATGGGGCTTGCCTCCATATGCAGCCCAAGCCTATCGACTTGCGGTTGAAGAAGACAATAGCAAATGGGGCCTGGTGAACAAGGAGGATCTTGATGTCTGCTTCTTGGTATGTATTTGTCTTCTTTTTTTTTTCTCAATATATATGTCTCCCTCTCTCTCTTACACAAACCGTGCTGTTTTGCTGCTTTCATAATATCATCAAAGGCACCCATGCCACCTCCGAAACCCAAACGCACTTACATTACGATCCGAGAAGTACCTTCACCACCAGGTGTACCCGTAGGCGTACCTCACTATTACCAGCATCCACGCACTTACCACCATCTTCATCATTGACGCAGTCATAGTACTAGCAGTACTATGATAGTAAAAAAATAATAATAAGAAACGTTACCCTTTCTCTTTTCTTCTTTGTTATATCCCCTCTTCTTTGCATATACTATTAGCACTTTATTGCCCCCCTACACCCAGACACACATATCTAACACACACATATCAACTCTCCACACGTCCACATCCACACACACACATATCCAAAAAGAAACCCCAGAACATCTATCAGTCAATCAAAGATACCAAAAAAAAAAAGACAAAACATTCATATTCCCCCTCTTGCGCATCTCTCGACCCTTTATTATTCTATCATTATTATTTAGCTTTATTCATTATTTCTATATATCTTCTTTACTATATACAACACCAATCAGCAAGAGCAACCTTCATAAAATTCAGACTCTGTTGTTTCATGTCCGCCCCCCCCCTTCTTCTAAAGTTCATATCATATACGAGACTGGGATGACGACGACGGACGATATATATAAAGTTTCGTGTTGTTTGTAGTACATCTATCGCTCGAGTACTAATGTATAAATAGTGTGGTGCTTTATAGCATGATGAGACATTTAACATGCATAACATGCACTCTGTCTTCAAAACTTCAATACCGATAGTAACTGTCTCTTCTCACGCCCATGATTCCATACATACCATGGCACATAACATGTATACAAACACAACAAAGCAACACCATCAATCAACAAGCAGCAAAAGGAAAAATGTTTATTACAGAATGTCATTCGATAACTTTACTATGTCGTACTCGGGTGGCAACAACGGCACCTCTACCACTCTTACTTCTGTTGGTGCTACTGCTACTCGTAGCGGCTTCCGTCAGTGATGCGACTATGCAGGTTTAAATTTCCGGATAAATAATCGCATTCGTGTCTCGTCTTTTCATGATGATGACCAAGGGGCACTTTTGTTGTTATTGATACGTCAGAACGAGGACACGGATTTCGCACATTTGGTATAGTGTGTGTATATATATAATATGTGAGGTAATGAAAGACTTATCAGCTCCACCACACACAAAGATCATACAGCAATAAACATAGAAGCATGGAATACAAATGTTTATATGTACCAAACCAAAACCATGGAGAAACGCCCATGACCGATATCCAGTTGTTTTTGATGCCATCATCCCACAGCCGCTCGGAAGACTTGAGCTGATGGATGGCAAAAGTACTGTTGCTATCGCCATCATGCTTACTAGCATCTTTATCCTTGTTCTTGTTGTTGTCGTTGAAATAATCCACACGGACATGGTAAGGCCGAGTGCTAGCATGCTCGATAGTTGTCCTGTTTCGCAAGATGCAATAGCTGTGGAACCCTGTGAAACCACATAGCACTGCCGGGAAAAGGATGCCTCTGTATTCATAATATATCACATAATAATGTCATATGAGTCATCATCGAGTGCAGCATAAGGATTTTTTTTTTTTTACAGGCAAGCTAAAAAAAATCTTTACAGTACGAGCATGATCACCCAATGTATATCAATCCAAGCATATTCGCTCTATAAGTTATAAAATCGAGCAATTTCAGTAAATAGTTCATCTCCACACAAGCAAGTGGAGAGATACCTTATCACAACAGCAGCTTGACAATACATTACAGAGCGAGAACCAAGTTTCTTACCCAGTAGTCAGTGACGCCAGTAAACAGAGGGATCCAGCATCGATAACGCCCGATGTGGTAAATGTTCATGCCAATTCGAAACAGAGTATAAAGGTAGAGTTTGTACGCTTTCCAGCATAGACGCAGGGTGATGGGCTGATTGGCTGAGATGGCGTGGGTCAATGGTGACCATATTACGCTCATCATCCAGCAGGCATATGTCGTGGTATATATAAGGAAGAGGTAAAACAGTTTATGGTTGTTTTGGCCGACGCATCCACCAATCCTATCCAAACAAAAAAAAATAGTACAGTTGTTAAATAATGTAAGAGATACCTACTAAATAAGAGGCTCGTTTTTCCATACTTACCAAGGGCAATGACTACAGCGTGTTTGTAAGAGAGGTTACGCATACATGAATCAACGATTATAAAAAAACAGTGGGTGAAAATTTGGACAAGTTAATAAAGTTAATAAAGAGACGGCATGTAGTATTCAATTACATTTACAAAAAGATATACGTACTGATCCATTTTTAAAACGCATTGATTGCATTGTCGACAATGATGCGTCCTGTCTGGCTTCAACACGTTGCATACGGAACAGATTCTCGGCTGACCATCCGCATCGCATAATGATAACCGAGGCGCATAATTAGCATCGTCAAGTAGCCTCGTTCGTGTATTGCCACTTTCATCATTAATTAACGACGACGACGACGACGGATAGGGTTTTGCTACTTTTGTTGTTGGATGGCCTGGTGATGTGAACCATAATCTTGTATATGTGAACAAGGAGAGCCCCCACAACGAAACCGCAATCACTTTTTTTTAAAATATTACTATTTAGTTATATATCCGTGTTTCGATACAATTGATATATGCAGCCGTAATTAATATTATGCAAACCTAAAAGTCGAACATCCGGTTGTTGTAACAAGCGCCCTATTATAGACATTAGATTGGCGTCAACGTCCGTCCGTTTTCCTCGCTCTCCGCGCACACCCGGGTACCCTATGGAAACCAAGAAACCGCGCAACATTTAAAGAAAGAATCCCGAGATTTTCGAATTTACCATATACACGGACAATAAATGAGTGTAATGTGTAGCTCATTAAACCGAAAACAACAAATGGAAACGTGATCCGTGCTGCAATGGTTTGAATGGAGCGGCCACTATAACTCATCTTTGTTCGTTGACAAGCTCAATGTTATTAAAGAGATTGGAAAAAGAAACAAGACTATGTGGTATAACGCGGACTCTCATTCATAATAATCATAGGACTCGTTCGTTCGGTGGTATAATAATATATCACCATGGTGAATCCGTGCCATGGTATCGTACTATGCTTAGCAACCAATCGTTCCTTTATTACTGTTAGTTAAATAGATTTTACAGCTTTTTTTTTTCCATCGATATATGTAAGAAAAAATTGCTGCTTCTGCTGCTAATGTTGTTTTCGATTATGATGACGTTGTTGTTGTTGTTCTTGATGATGATGATGATGATGGGATATCGTATTATGTTTGTCGAAAATGTTGACTTGCTGCTGTTGATGATGATGATCGTTCTTGGGTAACAGATAAGGCGGAAGAGGTGGTTGTACTATGGGTAAACTAGCAGTGCTGGCATTGTTGCTGCTGGTCTCTTCCAACGATTCATTACTTGCAGTTCCAATGGAGGACGATAAAGAGGGTGGATACGTAGATAATTTCGTGGTAGATGTTGAAGCTAGTGTCGATGAAGACGACGAAGACGACGACGGGATCGTGACGGGTGTTGGTAAGCGTAAAGAAGCGTAACAAGAGTAAACGTGATGCAGATCATCCAATGTTATCAATAGTCGATAGTTCTGATAACCCCGTCCCCAAAAAATATAAGCAGGTTAATATTTTTCCTTCAGTAATTAAAAACCAGAAAGATATTACGCACTAATATGGATAACAGCTGCTTCTCCATCAAGTTGATTTCAGATAAACTAAAGCACCACATTGCGTATTTTGCCCAGTGCTTATTTTTCGGAGAAGCGTCGTGCAAAGCCTTTGAGGTGACGATAAGTGTAGCGAGAAAGATGCGATGGCACGTGCATGGCATCCCTCGTGCCACGCGCTCGAGCCTTTTCTGCAGCCGTTCGAGAAATACTAACGTGGCGAACAATGTTCCCGCGCGGACGGACGATCGTTTCACGACGACGCTGATGAATGTGCGTAGTGGTGGCGGCCATGCTTGTGGATTAGCGCTTTCGGGAACAAGTGTGGCTGACGAAACGTCATTGTCTACATGCGTCGTTGGTTTTGCTGCGGTTACGGGTGCAGGATGGCAAGGAATGACGCGCGATGCTTGGTGTGATACGTGTGTCAAGAGGTCGGATGTGATGGGACTATGGATTGCAGCATTGAACCTGCTTTCGAAATCCCTCATATCGTTCCTCTTCTTCTTCTTCTTTCTATTTTTTTTTTCCAAGGAAAGTTAGAAAAGAGAGCAAGAACAAGAGAAAGAGGCGCTAGTAATGGGCAATGGCAATGGTAGGAGTGGTGAAAGCAAAAGGAAATGAACGCGTAGAAAATAAAAGAAAACAACAACAACAACAACAATGGAAAAAGATGGAACAAACCCTCGCTGAAAGTTTACGTTTATTACTTTTCTTTTTTTCTTCTCTTTTTTAGGAATTGCCGAGACAGGAGATAAAAAAAATCAGATTGAGAGAGAGAGAGAGAGAGAGAGAGAACGAAGGAAACAATGGTGTTGGTTATGAGTGAGAGAGTAGGTGAGAGTGGATGCTGTTTGATGTCGAAGAAAGGAATAAATGCAAATTACTGACTGTCCCAGCGGCGGCTTTAATGGGGTTGTTGTTTTTCGGTCGTGGTGGTGGTTGTAATGTTGTATGTGTTGTGTGTATGATGTGATGTGATGTGATGTGTGTGTGTACTTTTCTTTTAATGTTGTTGTTGTTGTTGCGCTAGTCCGTACTTAAACCCTTTCTCTTACTTTTCTTTGCCCATCGTAATCCACATGCATTGCACAGCCTATTCCCGGCAGTCAGTTAGTAAAAGATAGAAAGAAGAACAACACCATTCGATGCATGCATTGGTAGCAGAACGGACGGATGGATGGATGGATGAATGAATGCTACATACGTCTTTGGACCATGAGGGCCCTTACGCCATTCGGGAGACGTGGCAGTCCCACAGTCAGTGCACACGTATTCATCCGCGCCTCTTTGTTTCTTCTGTAGTAAAAAACACATGTACGACACACGTTGTTATTATTGAAGTTGTTGTTTTTGTTGTCGTTGAAAATAACCCGACGGGCCGGTTATAATCTTGATCTGCGAACAGAAAAAAAAAATCTCCCCGCTCTCCCAGACATAACAAACAACCCGCATTAAACTTACCCTTCGCTTTGACTTATCCTTCATCAATTCGCCTGTTGTTTTTGTTGTTGCTGCCGTTGTTTCCGTCATATCCACAACGCCCGTTGACACCATTCCGACAGCAGTTGCAGCTGCAGCTGCTGCCGCTGCCGCTGGATTTGAAGGTTGTTGTTGTTGTTGTTGTGGTGGTGGTGCTGGTGACCGAACACGATTGCTATTGTTGCCCGAGCTGGCATTGCTATTGTTACTGCTGTACACATTCATCACTGCATCATCTCTCAGCCATAAACTGTTGTTGTTTCCAGCAGCAACACTGCTTGTTGTACTGCTACTCGTTGTTGTTGTTGTCGTGCTTTCTTCGGTCACACCTCTTTTGCCCGTATATCCTCCATCATTACTAAACAATTTATCCTGCTGCTGCTTTTCTGCTCCCACAATAACATCAGAACCAGTATTGCTATTGATATGATCGAGATTAAACACAGGCTCGACAGGCACGTCAACGGGGATTTCACGCAACCGTTGCTTGAGCCACTCATTTTCCATCTTGAGTTCCAAGAACGAATCAAACAAGCTGTCCATGGCAGTGGGGTAAGGCTGAGCAATAGCAAAGAATGAACCGGGCGGCTGTCCTGGCACGTCTGTGCGTGGATGGCCAATTGTCTCAAACAGGGTATAGCTTTGATCCTTTTTCCGGAATCGGTACATGATTTTAATCTGCGAGCGCGTGTGGAAGGCGCGGTGAAAGTCGCGGATGAAAATGTCAATGTCATCCACGTGGAGAAATTCGGTAAGCGAGCGGCCGATGAGCTCTTCCGGTGCGTAGCCGGTCAGCTCGACGCTCGAGGGCGAGCAGTGCAGTATCTTGCCGACCGGCGACAGGACATGCAAAAGACCCGCGATTTCGTTCAGGATGCGTTCGGACCAGTTGCGGCGTCGTCTGAAATCAACTCCGCTGCATATATTATTTTGGTGTGGCTGCTGCTGCTGCTGCTGTGGCTGTTGTTGCTGGGAAAGTGTCTGTCGTTGCTGTGGTGATACGATGGGAGGCGCAGCAGGATGATGCTGTGACTGTGGCTGTTGTTGTTGAAATGCTGTTTCCGGTGGATGATTCTGTTGTGGCTGTTGAAGACGAAGATGAGGCTGTTGTTGTTGTTGTTGTTGTTGATGGCAGCGAAGATTTTCACTGATCATGGCATCATTTTCATGCATGACAAAATCTTCCGGTGCTGCATATTGCAACGCAGATGACGGGGACGTCGATGTTGTGGTCGTCGTGGTGGTCGTTGCTGAGGGTGTGCTGGTTGTAGTATGGAACTCAAGCTGTATATGCTGCTGCTGCAATTGTTGCTGACTCAGGAACGGGTATATGCCAGAGGTGTCCTCAGCTCCGAGAATGTAAAAATCAGGATTGGGTTGCATGACTGGTTGTCCAAATGGGGAAAGTACACGGAATGGGTCGGCCGGGCACCGCGTAAGAGGGGTGATATTGCAAGGAACAGCGCACAACGTGCAATCAGGGATTTCTGCGTAGAATGTCGTAATGGTGGACAAATTGAGTTGCTTCGTGGCTGTGCACGACGGGCTTTAACTGAGATTTTCTTTGAAATGGAAAAACTAATTGGAGGAATTGGCAGAGTGAGTGTTTAGTAGTTTTATCAAAAAGGCAAAAAGGAGGGGGGTGGGGTGTCCCGCCTCTGACTGTGAGTAGGTGTTAGTTACCCGAGTGGTAAGAGCAGTAGTATCAGGCGGTGGATAATTGAAGCAAGTCGAGTGACGCGCGCGTATAGGTTGGGCGCAAGAGCAATGGAAGAGAAAAGAGAAAGAGAGAGCAGTTGGGGGAGTCGATAAGGACCTACAAGAAGAAGAAAGCAAAAAAAAAAAAAAAAAAAAAAAAAAAGTGGCCGGCTATATAACCGCGGTCGCGTGGTTGCCAAGGATGGAAATGCCGCCCAGGCATTGGGATCTGCGGGTCTGCGGTATGATACAAACTATGCTGTCATCGCTTACTTATAAGGCAACCATTGCCATTTTCCTCGAGCTTGTTTCCCTTCCCTCTCTCTCTCCTTCCTTGCTCCCTCCCTTGCTCTGTACTCTGTGCTAAGGGGCCACAAAATACGTCATTTGCTATTCTAGGAACATCCCTTTTCCGGATACAGGCATAATAACATCATCATCATCATCATCATCATCATCATCATCGCCACCACTTCCACCGGCATCAATCACACATAATTATCGACACACACTGCAGTAGCAAAGCAAGGGTCGCTGACAAAACTTCTTTGCCCAACTGGAAAAGCGACCCTTTTTATATACACTTTTTCTTCTTCGGCGCAGTAGGATGAGCTTTATTTGTGCACCTGGCCTCTGAAAGCCCTACGTAGCTAAGAGTAGAGTCACGTACCTTCCTTTGCATTCCCATATGCCACTGCTCTCCTCTTCTTTTTCCTTCCTCTCTGCCTTTCACTTCACACTTCTTCTTCCTTTCCTGGCATCCTTTTCCAACACAGAATGGTACCACACGTATCATGTCTTCTGCTTCCAAGTACTGGTGCAACATGATATGTACCCACAGACTAAGAGGTGGAAAAGCATGCTAATGAGCTATCAGTGGCACTTTCTGGAAAGCGTATCATCACTTATCGTGGCAGCAGCAGCAAGACAGCAGCAAGTAGTGGGAAATGGATAGGGGACGGTGTGGCAGAAAAGAGATTGGGAAGGGAAGAAAAGAAAAAGAAGGATGGCGACACAAACATTGGCCAAACACCTTTTCTTTTTTCTGTTGCAGGGCTGGAAGGGAAGAAGAAAGAAAAAACTTCTTTTATTTGAGTTGGCTCGTCATTCCACATTTGAGCGCCCGTTGGCTGACCTGACCAGGGTCACACATGATGTCATGGACTTGCCTTTTAAAGAAACCTAAGAAGAGAGCCTTTGAAGATCCATCATCATGCGTGTTGGTGTCAAAACTCTCTTTGGGTCGCCCCTTCCACCCCCTCTTGGTGTAACCAATACATTACGTCTTGTTTTTTTGCTACCCCAGTGCTTTGGTAATTCGCCCAGAACCTGATAGGTGGCTCGTAACTGAATTCCTATGCATGCATCACTTTTAGTACTGGCCTATAAGCAAATACTCACTGTTGAACACAAAAATAGAACACTTACAATTAGGGGGTACATTCTCCCCCACCACAGCAACATCATACAGGAGAAGGGCCATGGAGGAGGAGGCATGGGCCAGACCCATCTTTAAATTGCCTCCACAGGGTACAAACATGCACACATTGCTGCACTATCGGATCAAGTGCAATGCATAATAATATTATTACCACTTACTGAATACCAGACTAATACTGCTACCATCGTCGTCATCACGAACATATCCGCGTCGATCCCTTTTGTATGACACCGTGTTACTGTACAACACTACTAACTCACTGCGAGAGAATAACTTGCACAGTGTTTGTAGTGATGATGATGGTATTATTACCCGTGGGACCCTCTAGCAGACAGTGTATATTTATTATTTATTGTTTGCTTCCCATTTGCAGCATGGCATCACTAATATTATTGTTGTTGCTTGCCTCCAACCCTTCCGTGTTGCCATAAATAAGGTAAGCAGTGACCAATAGTGTCTATGTCATCCCCCAGTGTAAGTAAGCATCCCCCTTCCCCCTTCTTTTTCCCTTGTTACTCAAAATTGCTACGGTAGCTTCTAGTAACTTACTTCGTCATAGTTATAATCATCATCATCCACTCCCCCTTGAGATTTGTCCCTTTTTTTCCCTTCTCCCATGTGAATGACGCCATCTAGAGCGCGTACCGTGGTGTTTAACTGACTGTCTCCTCTCCCCTTCCCCATGTTCTGATAACGCAATTCGCCTAAAATGTATACATCCTCCCTTCACACATATTAATAATCCTGTGTAACAGGCGCGTGCACTACATTAAATGCCACAGTGAACAGCGGCGGCGGAGGTTTTGTGGGGGAGGGGAAGGACAATGGTAACTCCAAAAGGTGCTCCATGCGCATCATTTTTAATACAAGTGTGATACAAACGCCTATATAACTTACTTTCACATGCCGACGCCTCATCTCCGTTCCTTTCCGTCTCATCATCAAAGAGTGCCAAAAGAGGCCAGTTCCGGTGTGTTGTTGTACACAATACAACATACTATGGTAAATATACAATTCCCCTGTTTGCCACTCGTACACAACTACATCGATTATCTGCACTGCTGATACAACGGCACCCTCTTTTTCTTTTCGGCTTACGTTATCAAAATAAGAATATGTCGCCCCAAGAAGACTCGGCAATAACCCCACTATTTGTTTTCGCAAGTGTGATCCAAAGCAGCTAGACCAAAGCTAGCTGGTTGTGTAAAACTTCGTTCTATTTATCGTTGAGAAACCCAAGGTTTTGTTGCCGCACGCATTAAATCATTCGATTTTTACAATAACATCTGTGCGGTAACTTACATAAAAGTGACGTACATTCTTCCTCTTGTCAATGGTATTTTGCAGAGTTAGTTAAAATATTATTACGCCTATACTGAAAAAACCATAGACTAACCAGTAAAGTCTAGCAAAATCAGACTTAGTTGCTTACCAATCTGGTACTGTGCTTTGGCTTTCTACTACTACTCCTACATACATGACTTATTACACTCTGATGAGTTCTTTTCAGAAATAAGCTTCTTTCAACCATTACATATCAGTGCGGGTATAGATAGCGCACTTGCACAGACGCCCTCCTGCTAATCATTTTACTACATTATATGCGGTCACAGTTTTTTTTTTGGAACAACAACCCCTCCCCCCCGTGATACAGCTTGTTGTACTAGTACTGTACACGCAAATTTTGATATTCTATATAAACTCTTGCCGATAAACTAAATGGTCGCTGGGCACAAAACGTCTTTCTACATGCTCTTTGAGATGCAAGTCTGCTTTTTCTAGCTGTTATACATTGACGAGTAGACATATCATTATACAGAAAAGATCAGTAATAGAATCTCATCTATTGAGAAAGAAAAAAAGACTAGCCCGCTTTGCACTGTTTACATTTTAAAAATCTAGTTTGTGCATCTTTTATTTAAGCAAGCATAATAATCTGACTGTCTAGGTCGGCTTTGATTGTCATTGCATTCAAAAAAGCCCGCCATATCTGCTTCCTTTCTTTTATTATGTAGCTTTTTCTGTGCTTCCTTCTCCTCATCTCTTCTTCTCTGGCCCTTCCCTTCTTCATCGACATCTACCTGTCCATATCAGAAACAAACTTGTAAATTCATATTAGCAATTACACTAGCCCCTTGTGTACGTACCTAATAAGACCATTGATTACCAGATTGCTTATATGTTTATTTGTTTATACACAATTGCTAGCTTTTGTTACTTCATGAGTGATTGTCGTTTTTGAGTACTATTAGAGGCGGCATCCCCATCAATGATAACGCTTGGACCCAATTGCAATTCTATCAACTGGAATGAGGCGTGATGACATTGGAAATATATAGTGATGAAAGATAGAATTTGTTTTGCTAAAAAAGGAAACTTACTAGTGACAGGGCATGATTCTAGTGAGTATTCTTTGTAAAATTTCTACAGAGCTCTCCATATACATAATACATACCATCTGGGGCATCTATCTGTCAGGTCTCATTGATAATTAACATTTGATAATGTGATAATTCATTATAGTGTTGGGATTTTGGTCTATCAATTATGTCGCTATCATGACGAGCGGGCATTTTATATTGAAGCGATTTATTGTTGAAGTATCAAGCAACATATTGGGAGAATTAAACACGGATTTGCTGCGTCCCTTCTAAGTTTACTTCACTGAAGCTATAAAAGATGCTGTTGAGTGGCAAATATATATGGGCATTTGCTGTAGAGGCCCTGATGGCTAATAAAACATGCATAGCAGCTGTGTCAAGCGGATTTGCTTTCTGAATCTTTTTCTCAAGAAACAGTGAGAGCTATTCATATGTCAAAGCTTATATTATTAAGACCATCGATATTGTAAGCAGATCTATTGAGTTATGTTTTATTTTGCTGCATGGTATAATAATGAAATGTGATAGTCCGCTCACACATGGAGCGTTGATATAGGCCGTCGTAGTTGTATGTATAGTAATAGTACAGTAGTAGTAGCGACGATTGTAATCTTCGTAAAATTAACTTCTTGATTCATCCAACTAGTGATTTAGTTTTTACAGTGCATCATAATATACTTAAAATATTGCTTTAGCTGATAACGATTACTATTACAACGACAAACACATGAACGTCATGCCCACATCAACTATTAGTCTTTTCGCCATCTTTACCAGTAGTACGTGCCGTCTACATTATATAGACTGTTCATACTCTGAAATGTGCTCTCTACACTCTGAAATATGCCGTCTACACTTTCAAATGTGCTGTCTACACTATGAAATGTGCTGTCTACACTCTGAAATGTGCCGTCTACACTATGAAATGTGCTGTCTACACTCTGAAATGTGCCGTCTACACTATGAAATGTGCTGTCTACACTCTGAAATGTGCCGTCTACACTCTGAAAAGTGCTGTCTACACTCTGAAATGTGCTGTCTACACTTTCAAATGTGCTGTCTACACTCTGAAATGTGCCGTCTACACTCTCAAATGTGCCGTCTACACTTTCAAATGTGCTGTCTACACTTTCAAATGTGCTGTCTACACTCTGAAATGTGCCGTCTACACTCTGAAATGTGCTGTCTACACTATGAAATGTGCTGTCTACACTCTGAAATGTGCCGTCTACACTATGAAATGTGCTGTCTACACTCTGAAATGTGCCGTCTACACTCTGAAAAGTGCTGTCTACACTCTGAAATGTGCCGTCTACACTCTGAAAAGTGCTGTCTACACTCTGAAATGTGCTGTCTACACTTTCAAATGTGCTGTCTACACTCTGAAATGTGCCGTCTACACTCTCAAATGTGCTGTCTACACTCTCAAATGTGCCGTCTACACTTTCAAATGTGCTGTCTACACTCTGAAATGTGCCGTCTACACATTGAAATGTGCTGTCTACACTCTAAATGTGCCGTCTACACGTTGAAATGTGCTGTCTACACATTAAATGTGCTGTCTACACTCTAAATGTGCCGTCTACACGTTGAAATGTGCTGTCTACACTCTGAAATGTGCTGTCTACACTCTGAAATGTGCTGTCTGCACTTCAAACCTGTCATGATCCACCACGATTGATTTGATCATTTTACAGCTCCTATAGAAGATACAACAAGTTAGTATGAAATAAGCATATGAGAAACGTTTTTCATACTTTAGAAATATGGCAACGTCGCCAGGATCGTTTGACAAACCAGCGTACGAAATCACACAAAGCCGAATCTGTTTGATGGAGTGTCCAATGAAGTCAATCATTGCTTGGGTGTCCCCTTCGCAATAAGCCAAGCTGGTTGCCTTGATGTTGTTGTTGCCGTTAATATTGTTGTCCGCCAAGAAATCTCTTTCCAAGATCGGTGAAGATGACGTTGAGCTGATAGAGGCGAAGATATGACGACAGAAACATCAGTTCCTCAACTTGATGATCATTGCCTCGAGGAGTCCTTGCCGTGTCGCCACGCTTTCAATGCCTGGAGATTTCCTAACATATCCAACATTTATCCAATTGCTACCATCGTTATTGATTTCTGTGCGGAAAGCAGATGTTGATTCCACCAAGTTTCCGATCGCATTGTCCTTGAGCTTGTATAACATTCGTCCTTTGATATTATTTCCCTCGACACGTTTGGAGATTCGTTCGCCGAAGTCTTCGTCTTTGATAATTTTTCCGAACTTGACGCATTCATAAATTTGGGTAGTCGTGGCAGTTGCTTCGTGACGTTGTTGTAGATGTCCGTCGTGGTATAAAAGGCATAGTCAAAGGGCTCTTTGTTATCGGCATTCTTAAAACACATTGACTTTATGATTGATAGTAGACTTTCAGAGTTGTAGACAATTGAATCATCGGTGCTTGAGTCGCTAGCGTCGCTATTGTTGCTGTTACTGTTATTGCTGAAATCGCTGAATTTATCACTGGCCACCACAGTATTGCTTAAATGTAAAGTTGGGCTAGTAGGTGGTGTCCTAGGATAGGTCTTGTATGTAAACGGATTCTTCTCGATAACTGACTCTCCATAGCAAAAGGATGCTGAGGGCCTTGATCTTCGGTATACGTAACATTAAACACATTGTCGTCTACTACAGTGGTCCCCCGCTTTTTTCACCCCTACCTTTCGCAAATGCTGCGATTTCTGCAACAATCAGTCCGGTCCTGTCACTAAAAACTTAATTTTTTCGCAATATGCAACTTGCAAACTTGTTTTTGATCCATTGCATCTCATCGAGGTAGTTTTCATGCTGATAATCTGCAACGTCAAAGTCAGTTTATGGATGTTGCATGTAGCCGGGGTCCTTTGTGTGTTAAAGCATAGAAGTAAACTTTGTAAATTTATGATTGGTACACATATAATATTTGATATCCTATATGTATGCACATCGTAGAAGATCACATAGTAGGTGTTATTATTCCCTTTTTATGAGAAGTAATGTATATACGTACAGCATATACTCCTTTGTCTCGGCACCGGGCTGTTCTGCTAGCTGAGCGATCACAAGCAAAGGGATCTAAAGGTCTTCTTTTCAAGACTCGGGAGAATGTGGAGCGGGCGGGGACAGGGATGTTTGGATCACCAATCTCGAATAGGTTAACCAACTCCTTCAAACTGCTGGCTCTTCCGCTTGAATGCTCCTCCCAAATTCCATCTTCTTGCTCTGCTGTTGGCTTGTTGAATGTTTTAGCCATTAAGTGAAAAAGAAATGGACGGATACTCAAAAATACAAAAGGCAAAGGTTTATTGCTTTCATTGAAACACCTGGACTTTTATATTGACATTTCTTTGCTAAAACATGCACTTGTGTTTATCTGTGAACAGTTCGGTGTATGACACCTGACTTGAGCTACAGTATAATAAAAAATGTAGTCCCCCGGTCTTTGCAAATCTTCGATTTCTGCAACAATTTTTGGGACTTCCCACTGTTGCGAAAAGCGGGGGACCACTGTATGTCATTTCCTTTTCGTCGGTTCTCAACAGTAGGCACCATATCAAGTACAAGGCATATGGCTTGACCGCGTGTTAAGTTGTTTTTGGGTGTTGACATGACTTTGATAGTACATCGATAAAAAAAAAGCAGGTAGAAAGAGAGAGAGAGGGATGGTGCTAAAAATGTTGACAACATTTCTAGAAATATGAAATTCATTCTGATTGGCTTATGACATTAATTTGGCTGACCAATGACATCATTTTTCATTGACCAGTGACATAGATTTTGATTGGCTGTGACATTACTTGTTGGAAGCACTGTATGAATCGCATGGATGGATAGGCATAGTGCATCCCTCGTTTTGTGGCGATGCTACTGTTCTTTGGTGCGACCTTTAACAAACTTTGCAATGTACAAAATTAATTTATAGGGCACAACTCCGGTCCCATGACAAAAACGAGCACCTTCCAAATCTACAAAAACAAATGGATACGTGATTATTCCTTTGATCGTATATACAAACTTTGCTAGCAGTAGTGGAAGCGTTCTTGCCGCTTACTATATAAGTTGTTGGACACTTTATCCTCGGAATACTGGGCAGGAAAGGCGAAAACCGGATTTATGAGCGGTTGCTAAATATAATTTGGTTACACAGCGGCGGTTGATATTGTAGGCGACGACAAAAGAAGTGCTTAATATAGAGGTGACATGGTCAGTTGTTATTATGTATTCGAAACAATGGCCAGTCTATACGCTCTCAATGTCACACAGCATATATTCCCTGGATTATTTTGAATTGGATGAGTTCTTTTTGGTGTGTGTGTGTGTGTGTGTGTGTGATGATAAAAGAGTGAACCGATCTATAATCGAAAATGCACGATGGTAATATGGAAAGGATAGTGCAGTCAGCAAATCGAATTCGACCTTGGTATCACGCAGAAGAAAGAGACAGGTGTATGTTCAACTTTCTCGCTCGTTATTTGCAGCTTTATTGGGGAAAAAGGGGAGAGGGAGATGCGGGCAAGGTGGGCTGGCAAGGCGGGAGGGAAATCAGCAGCCAGAAATAAGAAGCTGCGGGCTGCTTTTCATGAGCACATGCTCCTCTGGAGCGTCCAATCAAAAGCGTTAATGATGCCCATGCCCATATTGACAAGTTCAGTTAGTGGTGATAAAGAAGAGGCAGGCCCGTTCACCCCTTGAATTAAAAGAGATAGCGGTGACGAATATAAAGGTACTTTGCTTTACCTTTCGCCGCTTTTCCCTACTTCTTACCAGTCCAGGCTATTCTCTCGCTCTCTCACTCTCTCTCCCTCTCTTTTTTTCCTTTCTGCCTGTATATTTTATATATAAAAGTACACACACTCACGGTGCATATACAACATACCAATATGGAACAGCAAATTTGTGATCCCAACACATGGCCAAGTCGATACTATGGACGAACACGCCATGTTGACATACAGAAACTATACAACGAGCTTACAAGTATCGACACACCGTCATCATCGTCACCAACACCTCGACGATCTGTCAGTTTCTCCACAGCAGCACCCATCATACACGAGTACGAGCCCGAGTTTGATTTTCTCGAGGACGAGGATGACACTCCTCCACCAGCCTATGAAGAGCCCGCCATTGCATATGTGCCAATCAACGATTTGGAGTGCTCGACTACCGTTTATGCGGCACGCCGGAAAAAAAAATCCGCCGCATTACGAAAGCTGGATCTACGACCTGTCGTAAACCACCAGTATAGCAAGAACAACAACAGCAACAACAACAACAACAACAAGCGCGAAATTGAAGACAAAGAAGACGATGATTACGACAAGCAGTCGGTGGCGTCGTCGGAATGCTCATTACCAATTACACCGCCTGATATCTATCCTTCATCCTCTCTGCCTCATCCTTCTACTACTACCACTACTACTACTACTCCCCCTCCTGCTCAGCCTCAATGTCAGCAACAAATTCAAACGGTTGAAGTCGACACCAAAAAGATGGATGGTATTGTCCCACGGATATCGTCATCATCACCATCACTGCTGCTACGCTTGCGCTCGACACCTTGGTTCAATCAGCGCCGAAAAGTATTATGAATCTTTAGAACGTTGTGATAGATATACCCTCTTTGTCTTCTACTCATTTACATTCATTATCTTCCTTACCATATCATCATTCAGCATCCAACCCCCATCCCATTTCTCTCGTTTCTATGTGTAGCATATATCACTCGCTCATGCTTTTTCTTTTATCATTCTCTTGTGTCAATTCTGCTTTTTTTCTTCATGCATCCTTCAAACGAACAATGATATATCCACGCTCCTTTTCTCTTTCTCTCTCCTTGTATGTACGAATTTCAACCACCACCGCTGAAAACCATATTTTCCTTGCCGAGTCCTCAATTGAAGAATGATCTAGTAACAATAAAATCGACGAGCAAACTAATAGACTTGTATGGCAAACCAAAAAGTGTGTCTGTGAGAGAGTGGGAGAGAGACTGGTATATGATATCGTATATTTCTTTTTTCTTTCGTGGGTGGGGTGTATGTAAACTGTTTTCATCGAATTACAGCAAAAGAGAGAGGGTAACTGACACAACAATAGGAACTTTGTCTGTAAGTTTTAAGTTGGGCGAGCGTGTAATAGGTGACGGTGGGTCAGGGTAGTAGTAGTAGTAAAATATGTAGGAAGGTAAGGATATTTGGTTAAATTCAAAAATTACCGCCTCGCTTGTTGTAATGCAACGTGTACTTGTTTGGTGGCTGTAATTGTTGCTGATCCTCCGAGGCGTTCTCCACCCAGCGACACGCATTAAGCATCTTGTCCGCATGCATGAACGCATGGGTGGCCGTTTGGATGAATTCCTTGTTCCTGAGACTCTGCTGGCTTTCTATCAATCGACCGAAATCCGCTACTCTTTGTCGAAGAGTTTCAAACTGTTTCTCCGTCTGCTTCTGCCGTTGCTTCATCAACCGCATTTGTTGCTGCTGCTGTTGCTGCTGCTGTTGTTGCTGCTGGTTGATTTGTGCCATATTACTATTGCTGCTGTTGTTGTTGTTGTTGTTGTTGTTGTTGTTTTTACTGTTACTACCACTCGCAGTTCTACGGCTGGAACCATTGGCATTGTTTTGGCTGTTATGGTGATGGTGATGGTGTGGAATGAATGGTGGATGGGAGTGTTTGTGGATCAACGTGACATGGCCTGTCTTTTTGCTCAGATCAATAATCACCGTCAACGCGCCAGCACAGTCGTATCGATTTGCAGCTTTGGGATGGTCTCCTTTCCGAGGTTTGGCCGTATCCGCTCGCTGAGAACAATAGTAACGCAGCGTTGACAATGTGTCTGGTGCCTTGGTTGACCGTCTTCGATCCTTCATACTAAGCACAGACCAGTAATCCAAAAAGCAATTGAGTTTCTTCTCTGTGCCTCTCTTTACTCCTTCCCCCCCTTACCACCTGTTATACACACTCATTTTGACCCCCTCCCCCAAGGCAAGAGTTCTCCTCTCTCTCTCTCTCTCTCTCTCTCGACCATCCCTCAAAAATAGCCTCTGTCCTTGATTTTGTGATTTGTTCTCTCTTTCTCTGTCTTTTTACCTAAAATTAAACTTTGTGCCCGCCAAAATGTGTTCGCAAATGGCGCGACCAAGTTGTGTGAAACCAGCCTCATCACCCAACCGTGTTATCAATGGATTGATATCCACCACATACTGCTTCCGCTCAAATTCCGTTTCCTGCTGGAGTGCATACACAAATGCTTCGGGAGACAACACCTCTTGACAATGGACATCATTTTGTGCTGCTTTTGAAGAAGGCGATCGATGCGTACTGCTAGCAGCCTTTGTCTCACTGGTGCTGTTATTGTTGCTTTTGCTGTTACTGCTCTTGCCCTTGGTTGTTGTTGAAGTCGTAGTGGATGACATGGTTGCCAAACCTGTTTTGGCTGGGGTATTGGCAGAGCTAGCAGCAGCAGTAGTAGCGGTAGCACTAGGTGGTGTCGTGTTACTGCTATTGCTATCAATTATTGGAATCCGCATGGGTATTTGTTGTTGTTGCTGTTGTTGTTGTTCTGGAGAAATGTCATGTAGCGATCGAGGAGGTTGGGCGAGCGGCGGTGGTGGATGCGATGGTAGCGGAGACGGTTGTTGATGATGGAATTGAGCTTCATGCTGAGGCTGCTGAGGTAGTGTCAATGGTAACGAAACAGGCGGTACCTGCTGCTGCTGCTGTTGTTGTTGATGTGAATGATGATGTTGTTGCTGTTGAGTATGCACATGATGTGTAAGAGGCTGTTGTTGTTGTGGTTGATGATGCTGTTCCTGCTGCTGCTGCTGCTGCTGGTGATGCGGTGGCGGTGCACGCAGTGGTGAGGCAGAAAACAATCCATGAGGCTTATTTAAACTTTGTTGTTGCTGTGGAGACAAGCCTGGTATGATGGAAGATGACAATGGTAGGGTGGGTTTGTTAACCTGAGGCGATGACACAGGTTGCTGCTGCTGCTGCTGTTGTTGTTGTTGCTGTTGGTGATGATGTTGAGGATGCATTCTTAAAGGAGAAGGCGCCTGCAGATGCTGCGTTTGAAGCGACTGCGGAGACAAATGCTGTTGCTGCTGTTGTTGCTGGTGATGTTGTTGCTGTTGTTGTTGTTGCTGTTGCTGTTGCTGCTGTTGCTGCATATGCTGTGGTGCAGCGGCAGCAGCGTAATGACTATACTGTGGCGGAAAACGCGCGTGTTTAAACGTCGTTCGCTGTTGAGGCTCTTCGTACACGTCGTTGTTATAGCGCTCCAACTGCTGTTTTCGTTTTTGAAATTCTCTTGAGCGGCACAGATCACATACGTTATATTCGAGTCGTCGATCCACAGGGAAATAGTGGGCAGGCCGAACCGTCTGGCAGACCCCACAATAGATTTGCTCGTGCGAGCTAGCCATGACACCTTGTTGTTGGCTACTGCTCGTAGGTGCTCCTGCTCCACTGCTGCTTCCACCCACGGCCGCCGCTGCCGCCGCTGCTGCTGCTGCCGCTGTGGCGTGCTGGTTATGCACTGCGGGCGATAAGGGCTGTGCACTGGCGACCGTCGTCATGGTCTGCAACTGATGGTTCATCATGGACTGTCGATGATGGGTCGGTGCTGCCAAGGGTGTTGGGTAACCATGAGGTTGGAAGGCGCGTGGAGGTCCATGTGACATGATGCTTGGGACTAGTTCCGATACTGGTATGTATAATGAGGTCTGTTCTTTGGTTCTTCTTCTTTTTTTCCAACCCACAATTCAACGTTAACGAATCAAAACTTTGACGGAATGCGCAGGAGAACGACAAAGATAAAAAAAAAGGGGGGGGGAGGGTTGGGTGGGGGACGGTGGAGAGGTTTCAAAGTGAAATCAGTCAAGAGCTCAAAGATAGTCAAATAAAAACAATGTGATTGCTGTTCTCTTGGGCTTTATCCTTGCTTTAGTGAACCAATACAGAGGCCTTTTTTTATGTATTCCCTCTTTAAAGCAGAAAGGAAAAAGTGTAAAAAAAATGGGGGAGTAACCAGCAGGAGGGGCGCCAGCGGGGGACCGACTTTTTTTTTCTCTTTTCTGTGAACCGCTTTGCGTTGGCTTCTGCTGCTCAGAGAAGAGTGACGTCGATTCGATGCACCTACGACTCACCTAATGTTTAAGAAAGATGGGTGATATTCCACAGCCCTTCTTCTCTTTCTCTTTTTCACTACTTGCTTTCCGATATTGTTTTTCTCGTATTGCACTTCTTTAAAAAATTGTGCTGGGGTTATCCGTGTGGTGTACCTACCTGTGAGTTACGAGTTGCGTAAAGAGTCGTCGTCGGTGTTATTAGTATTGCCTCTGATATCAACCGAATAACAAGATTTCGGTTGGACTGATATGGTAAGAGAGGAGTGTGTGGTGTGGTAAAGCTCCCCTATCTATACCCCAACTACTCTAAAACGTAGAATCATGCACTATCTTGTTTGCTCTATAGTAACTAAAAAAGGATCTCTTTTTCTATATCCATTTTCTTCAGATAAGATGTGAACCTGATTTAAAAAAGTTGAAGCACGGCGGCATTTTTGTTTATTCTAATAGTTTTTTTCCCTTTGCGACTCATACTGCTAAACAAAAAAAAATACGTACGGTACTTGAGATAATGCATATTCTACTATGAAATCGAACGGCATCGTTGGCTATGATGGTGATATATGTAGGAGGGGTCAGATTGGAAATACTTTTTACAGTAATATAAGCAACAACCCTACAAGTATAATTACAGTTGCTCAATAAGCTGTTGTTTTCAAATCTAAAAGTATATGTGTACTGCAGTTGTTTCGATAGTGTAGATATTTCAAACGCTCAAACATATGATTAACGCGCTTTTGCTGGCTGGTGGCTGCTGCGCTTACTCTTTGGTTGTGCTTCCGTTTCCTTTCTGGATTTTCAGACTAATCCATATACGTTCTAACGACGTATGATTTAGTACTTAATGGTTATGTATGCACAACTAGATACGTTATGTATGCAGTCAACCGAGCAAAAGGGTATGTGTCCTATATTACGTTATATTGTTTTCACCTATGTGTCTTAAAAAACAGCTATTTTCGTTGCAGGATGGCCGACGTTGCTACGTTTATCTGTTATCATTTGTTATTTGCAGCAACGGATGAGTGAGTTTTCGTGCGCTGCCTTGCAAAACACACTGTTACTAGGCTTAACATACCGCTAACATACAACCGGCATGTCGCTGTCATGCGAAATACTTTGTTGCCAAGGAAGATATCCCGTTTTCATGAGTTGTTGCCATGGGAAACGTGCTGGTGCTATGCAAAGCATGTCGGAAGAAACCATCCACCGGAGTTGTTAGGGAAAATCGCGTGTACGCGCGACGCGTTCATTCTTTTTTTCTTTCTGACTCCTTAGTTTCCACAAAGTAAACAACAACCATGACCATAAAGCACGAAGAACAACAATACCTCGATCTCATCAAACGCATCATGGATGAAGGCGAACATCGTGCCGATCGTACCGGCACAGGCACAGTTGCCCTGTTTGCTCCACCTCAGTTACGGTTCTCCCTTGCAAACGACTTTTTCCCATTACTCACCACAAAGCGCGTGTTCTTCCGAGGCGTAGCCGAAGAATTGCTCTGGTTTATTCGAGGCGACACCAATGCCAACAATCTCTCTGCACGCGGTGTCAAGATTTGGGACGGCAATGGTTCGCGCGATTACTTGGACAAGATGGGATTTCATGACCGTAAACAAGGTGATCTCGGACCTGTCTATGGTTTCCAATGGCGTCATTTCGGTGCTCAGTATGTCGATTGCGAAACGGATTACACAGGTCAAGGTATGGACCAGTTGCAACAAGTGATTGATAAGATTAAAAACAATCCTACCGATCGACGTATCATCATGTCAGCTTGGAATCCTGCAGGTAGAAACAAATCTTTTTCCCCAAGCGTGCAAGAAAAAAAAAGCTGTGAATCCTAAAAACTTTCTGTATCCAATTTTTTCAAGATATGGGCAAAATGGCACTTCCTCCATGCCACGCATTTTGTCAGTTCTATGTCTCAAATCCCGGCAGCAACGGTCGTGGTCGTTTATCATGTGTGTTGTATCAACGCTCGTGTGATATGGGATTGGGTGTACCGTTCAACATTGCATCTTATGCCTTACTGACACGCATGATTGCCCATGTCACCGATCTTGATCCAGGAGAATTCATCCACACCATGGGCGACACACACGTCTATGTTGATCATATCGATGCACTCAAGGAACAATTAAAGCGTGAGCCACGAGCTTTTCCCACACTCAAGTTCCCCCGAAAGATCGATTCCATTGATGATTTCACCATGGATGACTTTGTTATCGAGAACTATCATCCCCATGGCAAACTTGACATGAAAATGTCTGTTTAATGTCATCCTTACCTCCCTCCACAAAGAATAGCAACAACAACAACAACAACAACAACAACAGCATAATCATCATTCAAACTAAGCCTCACCTGAACCTCATATACTCTGTTAAACATTTTATTTTATCACCAAACCTATTTATACTGTCTACCCTATATTAAGCTCCGGGCTCTTTTGCTTTAGAAAATCCCAAGTACATATCAGCAATATAACATTTTCATGACAATTGACGTTTTCTTTGAACTGAATCCACTATATGTTCCCTTGTACTGAGGACCAATATAGTGTGATTCATTCCGCTTCTTTCTCGTCGCCTCTTCGTCTTCGTGACGTTTCCACCATTGGACATGTAGATTCTATGTATAAGGTATTTAACATCAACATTTTGTTATTGGTTCTCATTTATTGGCTCGCCTTTAATTAAAATGGATGGTGATGGATATATCAATTTCTGATATATAATAATGTACATTGAGAGAGCAAGCATAGTATCAGCAGGTAAAAGTAATTTTAAGAGACAGATTTATACTATACTTCAACCTTATTTATCTTACGGATAAATGGCGGCCCACAGAATAAATTGACATATCATACATATTATATATAATGGCTCTACTTACGAGATAATAACACATAGCATCATTATTGCTGTTTGTTTTCATGACGTGTTTGGTTTCTTTCCCGGGGATAGTTAGAGATCCACGTTTGAACATATTAATGACAAATTTATGCGTGGATGTTGTTTCCATCATTAGCCAGAGAATTGACGAGCATGTTAAAGTTGCACCACTCATTATATACACATCATGCCTGACAGGTAAGAAGTATACGTTTTCATAAATGGCTACACAAGAAAATCAGGTATGATCCTAAAACAAGCAAGTGTTCGTCAGAACGCCACAACAGGGGGAAAAGAAGCATGGGCAAGCCAAATGCTTGGTTTGTTTTCTAGGGTCTTTTAACAGAGATCTCTTGTAAAGTAGATATAATCATACAAAATGATATATATTCATAACAAGTGTATCGTCCAATATCTGCTAAACGACTGTTTTCAAAACTTGCATTAAAACAACCGTCTGGACATATTCTTGTGTCACCTCGCAGCTACAGCATTCAAACCTCTCCCCCCCCCTTATTTGCAACTTTGAAGGAGAGAACATAAACGAATACGACACCAGCAAGCGAAGAGAGCATAATACATACTGAAAAGCTACTACCACACTTGCACTTGACATACAAAATATAGTGTTCGTGAAACCAACCTAATAATAATAATCCGCTTTTTTCACACACTTGACTTTCAACCTCTCTCCCCCCTTCCTTCCTTCCTTCTTTTGTCTCTCTCTCTCTTTTCGCAACGAAGTTCAATAATATTTAATTTTTTCAACATCCAAAATGTCACAACATATTCAGGATGAACGACCACTCTTATCTACGCCAATAAACTCCTTGCCGCTAGAGTCTACTCGAGTCTGTCGAATCTGTTTGGAAAAAGACGACAAGTCCAATTTCATCTCACCGTGCAAATGCAAAGGCTCAATGTAAATAATAAATCCTGGAGTTCTTGTCTCAACTCTATCTGGTCTATTTGTTACGGCTCTTCTCACATACACACGTATCTTCAACATTACAGTAAATACGTTCACGCACACTGTATAGGGTCATGGAGAAGATCCTTGGCACAGAATGGGCGACTCAAAGAACTATATCACTGTACTTTATGTCAGCAACGATTCCAAGTACGCCATCGACGACGATGGATGGCACTGTTAAACTATAAAGGTTAGTAAAGTATATTGAAATAAAAAATTAAGGTAGTGCTATCGTATATGAGCTATTAACTGACTGCTACTACTTGATATCAGCTTCTCGCATCTTGGCAACTGCTGTCATTTTGATACTCGTTTTAATTCCTGCGGGTGTGTAATTTTACATTGACAGATTTACCTCTTTCCTTTTTTTTATGCAGCATTCCCTTGAAAGAAGCTAAAAACGTGCTTATTAATCGTTTGTCACCAATGCACAAATATAGGCACGCTGATGAAAACACTCATCCATTTATCGGTGCAATTATCAAACTATCCGGGCGGAATACACGAAGTGTGGAGCACTGGATCACTTATGAAAATCATCATTGCTTCGGCTGAAAACTCCCTGCGACGCACGTTCCTCATATTCACCGACCTCCAACCCGACGAAACGTTTTCCTCATTCGCAACACAGCGCAAAGTCCTCTATACACCTTTCCCTGTCTGTTTTCGTTCATCCACTAGTAACGACCACTCGCTTGTCACCAACACGCTTTTGTACTACTTTTTATTTCCCTTAGCAGACGATCGGTTATGGCATTTCATACTCTGTCGTCTCGAGCATCTCCATCTTGGTTTCTTTTTGCTAGGTAGCATCAACAATATTTGGTTCACGTACAAAATTTTAAACGATATGTTTGACATTGTGTTGGCCGTACAACAACAAGATCAAGTGGCCGTCGCAGGCGATGGTGGTGCTATGGCAGGAGAAGGAGGCGGTGGTGATGGTGGTGGTGGAGCAATACAGCAACCACCCGTGATGGGTGACGACGACGGCAACGACGGAAACCAAGAGCATGATATAATGCAAGCAGCAGTTGCCGTGGCAGCAGCAGCACAAAATGACCAACGCATCGACAGTATCACACGACGACTTGGAAAGCTTGTGAAAGGATTCTTGTTGATGTACTGCTGCTCCCTGGTTGTGCTCTTTTGGATCCACTTTAATTTGTTTGCGTTCCATATTGACGTTCGTGACCAGGATGGAGAAGAGAAAGGATTGGAGCAGGCGTATAGCTCGCGCCAGTTCGTCGCCGAGTTTCCGCTATGGACATTCCGTTGGATTACGCTAGGAATTGCTGTAGGTGACTTTGCAACGCGTGGTATCTATGGATGGCTAGCACGAATTACCAACTGCGTTGAGGATGAAGAAGTCATATCCCGGACGATAATGTGAATAATAACCCTATCTCACTCACTCTCTCCACTTCTGCACGTACAAGCAACATGCTCTTAAAAACCATTCACACTAACGACAACGACCATTGTTGCTTACACAATCATCATCACCGTACCATCCATTCTCCTTCAACTTTCACTCCACTGTCTCGAACAAAAGAAAAGAACCCCAATGTATGTGTGCCCAAACCGTCGTTAAAGTAAAAAAAAAATTATGTGTGTTTGTGCATTATTCAGACTGCTTTTTTAATGGCGGTGGAATGATGAATATTACAAACTTATTGAGCCTCTACCTCAGCAGGGGCAGCAACAGGTTCAGCGGGTCTGCCAAAGTCTTGGCTGACGGGTTCAGTGATGTACGACTCATCCTAATTAGTGGTAGTAGAAAATGAATGGCATAAGTGAGTTGTTTGTTGTCTCTTGACTAAAATGATATCAATGCACTTTCTCAATTTACCTTGGGCTCGAGGATGGTAATAACATCAGGAAGAGGGTTCTTGGGACCCTGGCGACCAGAGGGATCGCTGTCAAGCATGATCTTGACCTTGATACCGAGGACACCCTGGCGCAACAAGACGTGGCGGACAGCAGTGACGATGAAGTCACGGGTGGGCTGACCAGAGTGGATCATGAAACCATCACCGAACTTCATGGCCTTGGCACGGGCAGCACGGAGCTTACCAGAGACAACGACCTCACAGCCCTTGGCGCCAGACTCCATGACGAAGCGGACGACACCATAGCAGGCACGGCGGACAGCCAAACCGTTCAACAACTTGTACTTGACGGACTCGGCCTGGGCAATGGCGCACAAGCCACGGTTCTGGACACGCTCAGCGTACAGTTCAACGGCGTTCTCAGCGAAACGGAAACGCTTCTGGACCAAGGTGGTAAGCTCGCGGATACGGCGGCCCTTCTCACCAAGGACGTTTTGGGTGTGAGTGGCACGGATAATGATTCTATCATTTTGCTCGATTGTTAATCACATGACGCTCCTAAATTCCCCCTCTTCCTCCTCTTTTCCACCCTTCTGAAAGTTGTATGTTCTGAAAAAAAGGACATACTCAGTGCGTGCGGGCGTGTTGCGAACTTCGACACCGGCGTAGCCATCCTCGGCCAACTCGCGGGTCAAGAATTCGTTCAATTCAGCATAGAAGACACCGTCAGCGACCTACATGTTTCAAAAAACGAATACACTTAGTTTAACTATTTTCTTCAGGAAATTTTTATGTTTTCCTCGTTGAGTCGTGCACGAGGGTAAAGAACAAGTTAAAAATGTACTTACGAACTAAATTAGGGAATCAAGGTTCATGTCGAAAAAAATATGATACGAATTGATTTTAAAATTTATGAATCGATCGTCAGTATACATCCATCCATCCATTTATCAAGCCATCCATCGAATGGCGTAGTCGTATCGTATGTCGCATTCATCTACCTTTCTCTTCTTAGAGATCTGAGCGGCAGCAGCAGCCATGTTGGACAGTAGAAAAGGGGGGTTTCTTAGTTACAGCAAAATCCACCAATTTCAAAGTGGACAAACGATTGTGATACTCCGACTTCCATTTTTGGGAAGCCTCTGATTTTTCTGTGGTGTCCCTCCCATAGTGTGAAGACCAAGTTCATTTAACTTATGGACCTTTGATTGTTCTTGGACACTAGAAGCTAGTAGCCTCACGTTGTTGCCCTTCGTTTTAGTTGCATGTCGCTTCTTTAGTTTTACTGTTAATTGATTCTCCTCTCTCTGCATGTGTGTCTGTGATATCCTCTTGTTCAGGTATTAAATGTTTATTGCAGTGATATGATATTCATGGATTAGGCACATAAGAATTCGCTTGTAATTGCCTTGAAAAGACTAATAGATTCTTGCAATGACATTTGGTATCGCACTTGTCGGCCCATATCGTCGTCCATGCATTCTTCCAAGAGTAGCATTACATCCATGCCAGCGCCATCATCAAGACTATCCATTCTTCCTTGTTGCTGTTGTTGGTGTCCTTCTGCTCGTGGCCGTACTCGCTGTTAATTTTGAATAACAAAAGTGCATCAGTATTTTATTACGACTGCAGTGAAGAAAAGGTGAGCGACTGTTAATACATACTCTGCCATGATCATCTAGCGATTCCTCATACTCTCCAACAAGTGTTGTCCATATCTCTTGCACTGGATGCATGTATCGTATATGACAAACAATGTTTTCCTCACTATCTGATATTGATATTGGTGACTCTGTGCTTCTTTCGCTTGTTGTATTTGTTGTGTTGCTTGACATTGAACCAGATGGTAGCGTATTCTTAATGGTTGTAGTATATGATGCTGATGGTTGGGTTTGCGCCATTGTAAAGAATTGGGTAATAGAGTGATTCTTGGTTTCTGGTGCTTTTCGTTTTCTTTTGGTTATTGACGATGCGTTGTTCTTTTTTGTTGAAGGTATAGTAGGAGTGGTACTAGTATTGGTACTAGTATTGGTAATTTTGAATGGATTGCGTTCCTGTTGTTGTTGTTGTTGTCGTTGTAATAAGGAAAGCACAGCAGGCTGCTGTGCTTTGGGTAACGCAACTTTGGTATCGTGACCAGCACTACCAGTGTCAGTTTTGCGTACTGTGAATGCGAGTTTGCCTTTTGCCTTGTTCGACATTTTATGTGTATGTCTGTTCAAGGGGACTATAGCATAGAAAAATGAAAGGGTGCACCTGGAAATAAATTTTGCTTTAAAAAAACGCGCTTATCCGCTCGCTAGCTCGCGCAACCGCGTTATGTCTTTTTGAAATACAACGATTAAACTTTCTCTAAATAGGAAGTCTTATTTGACAAAAAACCTGATGGAGACGGGTGTTCCTGAATGCGCGTTCAGGAACAAGGAAGGATGGTGCTCTCTGTTGTGAATATTGGTGGGCCTATCCAGTAGAAAAGATGTCCTGAACTACAGCTTAATATTTTTTTAGATCATCGGGGAACAATGTCCTTTGATCGAAGCTTACTATTTAGATACAGTACTCTTTAGCAACCATATTTGATGCTATAATGATTAAGAGAGTAGGTCTGACGTTTATTCGTATGTTCGAAACTTAGAATCGCCTTATCCCTCTCCTACTGCTGGGTGCCAGTGATGATACTGGATCGCATGCTTGCTTCTCTAGCCAAGATAAATGCCAAGATAAAGAATCAATTAATAAGACACGAAGACAAGCAAACAAGTCCTCCAATGCATTAATAAAAAATCCATCCAACTTCTCATAGTAGTGGCTACTATCACAGCTGCAATCTAGTTACGAATCCGGGTATGTACTACAGCTACTGTTTCGTTGCTGTGTACATTCCCTTTTTTCAAACAGTAAACCAGCCAGTCAATCTATTTGCTTAACTCTGGTGGAATTGCTGCCTCAGCTATTATCAAGTGGCGCACAACTTGTTAGAATAAGCAACAAAACTAGGAAGCGTGTAAGCCTTTTTTTGACAGGTGGCAGGTATGGTGATACACAAACGGCTAGTACGCAAGTCAATATTTGCGCCTCCGACCGGAAACGCTCACTCGAGTGCCAGCCACTTTCGACGGACATATTACCTGCCTGCTGGAACTCCCCACCCCCACCTCCTTCCCTTCATCACACTAAAACTTCATCCAAAATGTAAGGATCGCCCTGTCTTTCTACTAACTATTTGAACCGGACGGGGACTCTTTGATGCTTATGCTATAATCCGTTAGGGCTTCCGCTGCTTTGAAAACGATCAATCCAAACTCGGATGTCGCTCGACGCGGTCAAGCGCTCCAGCTCAACATTACTGCTGCGATCGGTCTTCAAGATGTTTTGCGATCCAACTTGGGTCCTCGAGGAACCATCAAAATGTAAGCCTTACGAGCTCAGTAATGAACAACGGGAAAAAGATTGAGTACCTGTTTTTCTGTCACATTGTGAGATGAAAAAAAAGCACTTGGGATGGAAAAAAAATAATGACGCGCGTTTCGTATTCTCCTTAATCTGTCACTTTTTTTGACGTTTTTTCAACATGTCTCACCATTTCTTTTTTTCTTTCTCTCTTGACTTTCTGCTGTAATAATATAGGCTGGTCGATGGTGCTGGTGCCATTAAGCTCACAAAGGACGGAAAGGTCCTGCTGAATGAAATGGTATGCTTTGTTACGTTTTATACAGGCACGAGCTTTGTTATTTATGTCTCGTTCCTCAGTGAATTAATTCTTTCTCTCGGACAAACTATAGCAAATCCAACATCCTACCGCTGCTATGATTGCCAAGGCTGCTACAGCACAAGATGAAATCACAGGCGACGGTACTACGTCGATTGTCTTGCTGGTTGGTGAGCTTTTGAAGCAGGCGGAGCGCTACGTGTCGGAGGGTCTCCATCCACGTGTCATCACCGAAGGTTATGATATCGCCAAAAAGGAAGCTTTAAAGGTAAAGCGTCTGTACGGGGAAAGGTGTTGAAAGAGATAAACATCCAGAAACATGGGTGCCTGTGCATGTAAAAAGGAAAAATATTAAGCGCCAATGCGTCTTTCTAGTTCTTGGAAGAATTCAAGACGCCAAAGGTTGAATCCGACCGTGAGTTGCTCGTTTCTGTCGCCCGTACCTCGCTTCGCACCAAAGTCCACCGCCAATTGGCCGATACATTGACTGAAGCTGTTGTCGATTCTGTACTTGCCATTCAAAAGGAAGGCGAACCTATTGATTTGCATATGGTGGAAATCATGAAGATGCAACACCGTTCTGAAACCGAATCGCGACTTGTCCGTGGTCTCGTCATGGATCACGGTGCTCGCCATCCCGATATGCCCAAGAAGGTCACTGATGCTTTCATCCTTACTTTGAACGTCAGCTTGGAATATGAAAAGAGGTTAGTTATTATAGGCTTGAAATTGAAACGAAGCCGTGAATCATAAGTAACAGGAGCAGCACCAGCAACAGAAGCTAAATTTTTGGAAAATGTGGGGGAATTTAACATAGTGAAATCAACTCGGGCTTCTTCTACTCGAACCCTGAACAACGTGAAAAGCTTGTTGAGAGCGAACGAAAGCACGTCGATGACAAGATCCGCAAGATTGTCGAATTCAAAAACACTATCTGCACGGGTGAAAACGCCGAAAAGGGCTTTGTCATTATCAACCAAAAGGGTATCGACCCTCTTTCCCTGGATATCCTTGCCAAGCACAACATCTTTGCCCTCCGTCGTGCCAAGCGACGCAACATGGAGCGTCTTCAACTGGCATGCGGCGGTGTTGCTCAGAACTCGGTCGAAGATCTTTCGCCTGATGTGCTCGGCTATGCGGGATTGGTGTATGAGCACGTATTAGGCGAGGAGAAATATACCTTTGTGGAGGATGTCAAGGACCCCTACAGTGTCACGATTCTTATCAAGGGCCCCAACCCGCACACGATTGCACAAACCAACGACGCAGTACGTGATGGTCTTCGTGCCGTCAAGAACGCTGTGGAAGATAAGTCAGTGGTTGCCGGTGGTGGTGCTTTCGAGGTGGCATGCGCACAGCATCTTGTAGAGTTCAAAAAGACCGTCAAGGGCCGTGCTAAAATGGGCGTGCAGGCCTTTGCAGATGCTCTGCTTATCATTCCCAAGGTGCTCGCTCAGAACGCCGGTTTCGATGCCCAGGATGTTATTGTGGCCCTCCAAGAAGAACATCAAGACGGCCATGCCGTCGGTGTAGACTTGAAGACTGGTGATACCATGGACCCCAAGATTGATGGTGTTTGGGATAACTATAGAGTGCATCGTCATATGCTTCACTCGTGGTAAGGAGCTAGTTCCTCTTCCTTTGATACACTCCTCGATACTAGGTATACACATGAGGCTGATCATAAAACGTTGCTATTTACTTTTTCTAGCTCTGTGATTGCTAGCAATCTGCTATTGGTAGACGAAATGATGCGTGCAGGACGGACGTCTTTGAAGGGCCCTGACGCTATGGCTTAGATGTGATAATAATAAATAAAAAGAGAAATTGGGGTAGCAAGATTTTTATACGATTAACAAACAGACATTCATACGAACAGAAGAAGAACAAAAATATATAGGCATCATTTTCAAAAAAAAATATAGTTGAATGCAAACTCTTATAATTAAAGGGAAAAAAGGGTTATCCAAATTGTGTACATGAGATGTTGTAATTACAGCCTTCTATCCACTGCTCGAAGCTTTTCCCGCACGGCCAAAATGCTTTGCTTTATCCATTGATCCTGCTCTCGTAACTCTTGTTCTTCTCGTCGAAGACGGGCAACTTCTTCACGCAACTCTTGCTCGCGAGACAATAACTTGGCTCTCATTGAGGATTCTCCACTGGGGCTTGCAGGTGGTGCACCGCTGCCGTATTGATGATACATTCCTTTGCTATTATCGTTCATCATTCGACCAGGCGCGCCCATGGTTGCCGAAGTAGGAGACGGCATATTCTTGCGGTGGTAGTATGGGCTGTTGCCCGCCATTCTTGGATCGGCCATCATCTTTGCTAGTGTGTATTAAGTATATTGTATGTGTATGCAAGTAGTAGTAAGTGGTGAGCCAGTTAGAGCAACAAAGAAAAGGCTATTATTGAGGAAAAAGGAAAGAAGCAGGAAAAAAGAACTGTGCGGATGTCTTTTTTTCCCTCGTCGTTTTCTCTCTTTTAAATGAAAAAAAAAGGATGGAGGGTGGTAGACATTTATATTTGTAAATCATGCGTGAGGGAGAGCACTTTACGAGGAGGGCTCCTTGGAGCTCCTCGCAATATGAAATAAGGAGTGGGAGTATCAAAAGAGTGTTCACTCATAAACTAATACTGTTTGCTGCTCTTTACATCATGAATCTCCGTTCCGTCATTTGTAATCTGGTGTCAAAATGTGTTTACAACACAATAACAAATATACGAACTACATAGGAGAACGCAATAGAGAGGCAGTATGCCAATTATGGGACCTCATGTTTGAATATGGGTGCTCGTTGTGCTTTAGTCCAGGCTGTTGGTATCCTAAATCAGTAATGATCCGTGGACTATACTATCATTTTACATATTATACTACACACGCCCCTCATCTTTTTTTACCCTTCTCCTGTAAGACACATGCATGCCATTCTCTATTACTCGTTCCACTGGCACGCCCCACATCATCGACGTCTATCTATAGCTTACTTTGCGCTGTGAAAAGAAACTCGTAGACACCCCGAGGGCGTGGTTGCGCATAGCCATACAGTAAATACTAGTACTACTAACACGCAGTACTATGTACAAGAATATAAAAGGACGATCGGGAGATCGGCAACACATTCCTTTCTACTTGTCATCATATAATTGACATGTCCTATTACTGCTCTTTGATGCACCTGGAGTTTCCCTATCATTGTCAACAGTTACAGATTCAGGCCCATACTTTTCTTATTAAATTAATCACGCTAGTACGCAGTGCCTACTAGCTAAAACGCAAAATGATGCACATTTTATCATCCTACACACATACATACACCATGATACAAGTGCTCCCTTAAAAAATGGAAGTACAGGTTGTTCCCTTAGTTTGTTCTTGGTCATCGACGCTCCTAACCCAAGCTCTCTCTCCTGAAGAAGAAAAGCCAAAAAAAGCATTCTGTTTTTATTTCCTTCGTTGACTTTTGCTAGCTGGACAGAACCGATCCGAATATAGTATGACCCATAACAGATTTACACGTATATGATCGGGTGTAAACGTCTCGCTTGACGCTTTGCTATGTGTATGTGGACGGACTGGTGTCTTCTCACTACTAATGATGGTGCTTGACAACATTCTGTTGCTATGTGGTTTTAGTCTCGAATATATTTCACAATAGCTACGATCACAGCTGTTTCTAGAAAGTGGCAAGACAGAAGCAGCATTCGCAGCTAGAGATAGACAAAAGCTCGCATGGTTTTCGCAGCATACTGTACACAAGTCGATGCCAAGGGGGAACCCAAACGCGTGCGTTGTAGAAACCATGACATAAAAAAATGAAAATAACATAGAACATTCTCGCATAGTGAAGCATTAGAGATTAGCCTGATACAACAGATGGAGCACTTACTCGAGAAAACTTGGTCGACAAGTGAAAAGAGGGTCTAATAATCGGGGCGTCATGTAATCTACATTTTTAGCAGCAAAACGAGCCATCAATTTTCTGTGTTACATGTAGTCGGAACAAAGAAGTGGTGTACAATACAGTGCAAGCGCGTGTCCAGGCTTTTTCTCTTCTTTTCCTTCCTAATAACTTTGGGTTTTCCAACCATCATGTCAGAATTCCATTCCCTTGCCAATCTCATCAAACGACTTGAGGTAGCCACCACTCGTTTGGAGGACTTGGCCCAATCAGCATCTTCTGCATCCGCCGTTGCTGCTTCCTCCTCATCAGCTCCTCCAGCTCCCTCAGCGCAAGCAGCAGCCGGTGAAAAGTCAATTCCTGCGTCTGTACAAAAGCACGACGAAGCCATAGGTCCTCTGCTTAACAAGTTTCTCGAAGCCTCCAAGGCCCTTGGTGACCCTGTTGCAGCTCAGGTATGTACACAGTGTGCAGTTTCCAGAGTCATTCAAGTGATGGCTCCTTCTTCCCTCCCACATGAACAGCTTTCTTTGTTTCTTACCGTGACACCTCATTCACTAGGCTGCGCTCGTGGCTGAAGCCATAGAAGCCGAGAAAACTATAATTCACATTGCCTCGCTGGCAAAGAAACCCGATATGTCGTCGAGCGTGTTCATGAAACTCATCGAGCCAATCCAGAAAGCTCTTTCGGGTGTCGTCGAAATTAAGGAAAAGAACCGGGGTGCTGCTCTTTTTAATCATTTGAGTGTTGTCGCCGAAGGTGTTCCTGCACTAGGATGGTTCACTTGTGTAAGTTGTGTATATCTATGGTGGCAGGTGAAGAGAAAGAGAAAATTGTAGAGAGCGTGTATGAACAAGAAAGATCAAGTTCAAATGTGAGATATTAACTCTCGTCTTCTTTTCTTTCTTTTCTTCTAGGAACCAACCCCAGTCCCCTTTATTCGTGATATGAAGGATGCTGCCCAGTTTTATGCAAACCGTGTTGTAAAGGAATGGAAGGACAAGTAAGTAAGAGGATCTATATTGCAGTTATGCACATGATTCGACCTCATGCATCATGGCTGGCATTTGACGTTGTTACTATAGGGACAAATCTCACCTTGATTGGTCTCGATCGTTTATCGAAATGATGGATGCACTCAGCGTTTATGTCAAGGAGAACTTCCCCACTGGCCTGACATGGAATGCTCAGGGCGAATCGGCAGAAGCATTCATTGGAAAGGCACCAGGCAGTAGCGCACCAGCCAGCTCTGGTAGTGCTGCACCTGCACCCGCAGCAGCAGCTCCCCCACCTCCTCCTCCAGCAGGCGGTGCTCCACCGCCACCTCCCCCACCACCACCACCCATGACCTTTGACAACGAACCCGCTGACGACGCAAAGACCGGTGCAGCAGCCGTGTTTGCTGAAATCAATAAGGGCGAAAGCGTCACAGCTGGTCTGCGCAAGGTCGATAAGAGCCAAATGACCCACAAAAACCCTGCCTTGCGTGCAGGTAACACCGTAACTAGCCCCAAGAAACAAGCTCCACCGACGCCATCCAAACCAAACAAATACGTTCTCAAGAAACCTGCCAAGACCACGCTTGAGGCGAACAAATGGGTCATTGAATACCACGAGAACAACAACGAAATTGTTATTGAGGAAACGGCCATCAACCAAGCCGTGTATATCTTTGGATGCAAGAACTCGACTATCCGTATCAAGGGCAAGGTGAATGCCATCACCATGGGTAAGAAGTGGTTTTACACATGTTGTGGCAAGAGGTTGCAGGATAAACTAAGCGGATATTATGTCGATAGACTCGTGTGTCAAGTGCGGTATCGCATTAGACTCTACCGTATCCACGGTCGATTTGGTTAACTGCCGCTCCTTTGGTCTTCAAATCTTCCATGTTACCCCCACGATTGCTGTCGACAAGTGTGATAGCGGCTCAATTTATTTGTCGAAGGAGTGTCTGAATGTGGAAATCTTGTCTGCCAAGTCCACTTCTGTTAATGTATTAGTGCCAGAGGAGGTTGAGGGTGACGAGACCGACTTCAAGGAAGTTCCTATTCCTGAGCAGTTGAAGACTACCATCGGCCCTGATGGCAAGCTAGTCACCGTTTGTGTTGAGCATGCAGGTTAAACTAATAAAGTCATTCCTCAAGTAAACTGTGTATAATCCTGTAAATATCCTTATCGCTTCGTCGATTGTATACTAGAGGCGCTAATTAGAAAATCTTTCTTCCTACCCTTGCTAAAAAGGATGCTGCTTCCAATAACCACAGCAGTGAATAGCGATACATCCAAATTATTGCATTCATTGGAGCGAGTTTATCACTTTCCTGCAAAAATTAGAATCGCTGACCTTTTAAAGTTCTACTTTTGTTCCAGAAAGGGTAATTCGCCCAGTTCAACCGCGACGTGAAGCTTGGTTGTATCTTGTTATACCATATACCCACCGACCAACTCTAATAAGAACAGCAGCAACATTCCCTTCCTATTGTAAGACTGTCGGTTTTACAGCATGCCCAATATACAGCAACGAGCTTCAGTATCACCCGACCTAGAACGTCATGTTCTTCGCATCCTCAAGGTGAAAAGTCCCCTCGACTCGCCCGATCTTGACCCAACCGAGTACATCAATCGCTTATTTCCTAATGGCAAGCCTTGCTCCTTCCTTTTTTTAATGATGCTCCCGATTCCCGGATACTTATTGTCGAATTAAGTACTGGTCTAACGTGCATTCACAATAACAACAGAACAAAGTCTTTCATCGGTGGACACAGTAATAAACAAACTTCAAGCCAAAGCGGATGAGTTGAGCGTGGAAGCGGAACGCTTGACAGGATCTCAGTCGGAATCGAATGGAGGAGCTCAGGAACTAGATAACGCAAAACAAGCTATACAGGTACCTTTTGGAAACCACACAGTATATAAGCCATTAAAGGAAAAGCGCAAGAGAGAAAGGGGCCTTACATGTATCGGTTTTGTTGCCGTGCCAAATAGGAACTGTTTCAAAAGATTCAAGATATCAAGCTTAAAGCAGCTCAGTCTGAATCCATGGTGCAGGAAATCACGCAGGACGTCAAATCTCTGGATTATGCAAAACGCCATTTGACGCACTCGGTCACTGTTTTGAAACGTCTTCAAATGTTGGGTATGGATAGGGTTGAGCGGTTGGAGGATTAAGAGCTACAATGATTCTAACGTATGTCCTGTCCATCGAAAAGTGACGGCCGTGGATCAATTGGAAACCATGTCTCGCAACAAGCAGTTTAAAGAAAGCGCACAATTGCTCGAGGTAATATTATGGAGGATAGTTATACAAGAAATACTTTGAGAATTCTGTGGTGCTGATTGTTCGATCTCTTGGTCTTCACAAGGCTGTCATCCAATTGATGCAACACTTCAAGTCATATAAAGGCGTACAGCAGATAGCGGAGCTATCTGATCGCATTACCCAGCTACAAAAAGACCTTGACAGCTGTGTGCTACGCGAGTTTGAGAATGGGTAAGAGTAATATTCTTTACAGGATGATATATGGAAGAAACAGGAGACCTTGTGTATATTAACTTAGCCTTGTTCATGCACATTTTTTCTCGGCTCATGGCTGGCAACAGATTCCAAAAAGACGGGACTTTGACTGGGCAAACATGGCTGTTGCACGACGCATGTCTTGTTGCTACTGCTCTTGGAGATAAGACCAAGTGAGTTTATTCACCAATTTTGCATCCTTTATACGCATTTTTTATTGACTTGTTTAGGGAGAAAATCATCAAGCGGTATGTCGATTTGCAGCTTTCGGATTATCGACAGATATTTAAAAGTGCTGAAGAGGTGTCTCAGTTGGATAACATTTCACGACGTTATGCATGGCTTAAGCGTCTTTTGAAAACGCTTGATGAGAAGCATGCCGACATTTTCCCTCCTCAATGGTGCGTCACTGCTCGAGTATGCGAACAATTTTGTAATTATACAAGGTAACGAAAGTTCTAGATTTGTTTTTTGTATTGAGGAATTGTAACTGGTGCTGAAGATTCGTAAGCAAAAGAGCTGTGCAGCTGATTTGAGATATATGCATATAGATCAGACATGGAACAGGTCTTGGCTGCTTCACCACAGCCAGATGTCAAAGAACTGTTGCACGCGTTGCAACTCACCATTGAGTTTGAAGCACAGCTGACAAAGCGATATGAGAAATTGGTACAGTTGTTTCCCGAATACTGGTTCTTTTGTTAGAATGACACGGTGCATACTAAAAAAAAGTGAATGATTAGATCAGGATCGGAGGTGACAGACAATTTAATTTCACGAAATCCATATCATCCAGCTTCCAGCCCTACCTGTGGGTATACATTGATGCCGAAGACCGGTATGTATCTCTAATATTGCTATCATCGTACTTGAGAAACGTTATAGTTCGACTTGTTACTTACTTTCATGTAACAATACATAGAACCCTAACAAATATGATCAACTCGTATTTTGCTTCGGATATGAATGCGGACGACGATGGCAGTATGGTGGTACTTCCATCAAGCACGGATCTATTCTACTTTTACAGAGAAACGCTGGTGCAGTGCGCCAAATTTTCTACTGGAAAGCCATTTTATGATTTGTGTCAGCTATTCACCAAACATTTACATGCCTATTGTAACGTTGTGCTGCTCGGTGGTGTTTCTAAGTAAGTTTCCTATAAACGAGTCCTTTACGTTGCTTTTTCAACGGTGTCTAACCTTTACCCCAATAGGAACGAGAAAAGTGATTTATCGACAGAAAATCTACGGTTCATAACGCTGGCCTTAAACACTGCAGATTACTGCTGCATGACAACCTCACAGGTATATTTCTAGTTTATGGAAAGAGAACGGTCCAGAAATCGTCAAATGTATTCTTTGGATTAACATACTCATATATTAAACTAAAAGTTAGAAGAGAAGCTGAAAGAAAAGGTCGATGAGGAGTTCAGAGAAAAAGTTAGTCTGGAAAGCGTCAAAGAAGCATTTATGAGGTAAAGAGGTTCTTGAGTTGGACTGAATATGTTTTGTCTGCGGTATATAACTAACCGATATTGTTTTGATCAAACAAGTGCCGTGTCAATGTGTATCGACGCAGCCGTAAGGAGCATTGGATACTGCTGCGAACCATATCTACAGCAAATGATACGATTACCTTGGAGTGTTTTGGACACTGTTGGTGATCAATCCGAATATGTCAGTCAGTTGCAAGACGTTGTAAAACGCTATGCCACAGTTGTTGGTCGAACTGTTGCGAATAAGCGATATTTTCGAACATTTAGTGATCGCTTTGTTGAGTATGTGCTTTTTTACTTATAATGAATGTGACGCTCATGTTACTAACAGTTCTTTTCAACTAGATCCTTCTTATCAAGTTATTTATTAAGCATTTTCAGGTGCAAGCACATTTCCGAAATCGGTGCAGAACAGGTACAGTTTTTGCTTCTATTAAAGGTACCAGTTGTTAGGCACCAACAGTGAACGTCGGCTAACTTATTTTTTTTATGTTTAGATGCTGCTGGATACCCACGCCTTAAAAACACTTCTGTTAGATATACCCTTGATGGGAGCCGAAGGAGCGGTTACTGTTCCTACTTTGTAAGTAGTCACCAATATAATTTCTCATGATGGAAGTGTAAATGAATACTTACATATGCTTCAATGTAGATATGGAAAATTCGTAAGCAAAGGCATATCAAAAGCGGAGACCATATTAAAGACAGTAATGACACCCACGGACCCTATTGAAGGCTACGTCGAAAACTACTTATTCCTTATCGGCGACAGCAGCATGACCAACTTTTCACGTGTGCTTGAACTCAAGGTAACTATCACGTTAATAAAAAAAAATTAAGGATAACCTAATCTGATGGAAAACAAACACAGGGTGTAAAGAAACCAGATCAAGGACCATTACTGGATGCATTCCAACGTCGCATAACACAGCAGCCCAGCAGCGAACTTGCAGAGAATTCAAACATATTGCCAGCAGCTGAGATATCCGGAGCTGCACCTCCAGCATCAAATCTGCCGAGCGCCATCACCACATCCTTATCCACCATTGCCACATCTGCTTCAAACTTTAACCCCAACGCCCTTCCTCCCTTTGCCCGCAATATCCAAGGATCACCGACCATGTCGTCTGCATCACCTACAACGGACGGAACACCACTTAGTGCCGGTGGTGGTAACAGAGCCACTGGCCGACTCAATGAGAACTTTAGAAAGTTGGTCATGACAGGCATGGCTTTCAGAAAAGATTTGCAGGAGCGCCGGGAACAGCAAAATCGACGTACTTGATGAATAAAATTTAGAATTTACCAAATATCTCTTACTGAGTCTGTTCATACATAATTATGTTTGCTTTCTTGCACGATAAAGGAACTTAACGTAATCATGGTTTCATACCACAAAATTGTTTTCAGCACTTTTTTTTTTGTTTATCCACTTGCAGACACGTTTGTTGCTATGATATGATATTCTCTTTTTTCCCCTTTTTTTAAGGCTTCAGCAGGTTCCTAGATGCTCGACTTCTTTCTCTATGAGTGCTGCTAATCAAGCATTTAGTATCTCACCAAGGCTATTACGCCCAACTGTTCCTGTATATAGCTTACAGCTATGATAGTTCGTATTGGTCATTACTGATCCAGATCAACGCAGAAGCGAAATAAAGCAATTTCTAATAATGAGTTCTTTATTTCCACCTTTTCCTGCTAAATACAGCGATGATAGGGCAACACATGTACGGAGAAGTGGCCATATTTGATACCGCAGCCCTCTATATGCTGATTTACTAACTTTTTTTTCTTTGGTGAAAAAAGGAATTAGTACGACGTAAAATTACAAGAGGGGGAGGGTGTTGAGTCGCAGTTGCACTACTCAAGCTGTTAAAGGAGGTGTGATGTTGATTCAAAAATGATGATGTGGTGAAAATTTTTAGCCAACGGGAACATATAGAATTAAGAAACTAATCCACAAGGCTTATAGAGTGACATATGTACTTTAAAAGTTGTGGTTTAGATTCTTTTTAAAAGTACATAATTCTCGAGGAGCAGATAGCATCCGAAGTTGGGGGATTTTGGGAACTTTAAGCTGGAAAGGCCATTTAAAATCGGCTGCACCATATCATATGCTTGCTTTTATCTTCTACATTCGCAGTATAAACCATTCAATTTACTCCCTTTTTTACCTTTGCAAGATCGCTGGCGTTACTACTATATCTAACTACATCAATGTCTGCATCCGGCAAGCCATTACCCCAGAAGACACCCAGAAATGTGGTGACGTCCGTGTCAAAGTTTTTGAGAACGAATTAGGCTACTCACTAGAGCGTCGAAGTCTCGAGTATGTATAAACATTAAATAGAGTTACTTACTCTTTGTTTGCATCTTATTACCTAAATTTATCATGCAATATAGTGAGTGTGCTCTTGTACATTATCAAAGAGAAGGCGTCGAAATAGTAATTCGCTCCATGCCCATTGTTGACTTCTCCCAGTTTTCTAGGTCAATTTCTTTCCTATATAGTACTAAAGAATGGTAATGATATTATGATTCCTGGCTTGATATGTAATAGATTTGTGAATATAAGTTTAGGTACAAAACTGCCCTGCTAGATATGCCTGTCGCTTGTGTGCAACGGCACCGTATGAAATAACCGTTGCTCTCTATCTTATGTGCTCTAGATTGTCTCAAATCCCAAAATTGACGTTGAAAGGAAAGATATATATTATCACAATTTCAGCTATTTTGTAAATACACTACTAGAGCCTGGATGCCAAGCTATATTTGATGCCTGATATTGTAAGGTGGCCATGCGAATCATAAATGCTGCAGTTGATAGCGACATGGATGCCACAGACGAAGAACCCAATTCAAAAGACAGATTGATATGTACTGATAAGCTTGAGTTTGCTTGTGGCGAATATCACTGACCATATATGCTACTACTACAGACTCTAAAAAAACGTAAAGCCATTAAATAGATTCTTGACTAATGTGAGTGCACCATTCTTAAGTATTTTAGCATTTCCACACTTTTGTACTCATCCAAACGAAGAAGACAGTCACCACAATATGATTGCTTTGCAGGCTGCTGTGCTTGCGATTACAGATGAGTGGTGCGTTTGGCTGAGGATGCATTTTCAAGAAAATTCCAAGATACTATGTTTTAATTCATACAGCTGTGCATCCGATATGCTTGTGCTTACCTAGTAACGTGTGACATTCTGACATCTTCTACTATTGAAATTCAAAGTTTACAGCATGGGCATTTTATATTAAATGTTGTATCTTCGCTAGAAATACTATATCTTAACCATTCAATCAAGATATTCGATCCAACAGGACGTGCTCTATCTGCTGAGCATATAACACAGTCTTTTCATTTATAGAACATAGCAATCGTTCCAAAAGTAACTGCGTTGTCCGTTCTCCTCTACCCCTAACTATCTCGATCTGCTCAAGTGTCGCAAGCGGGATTTTCTAATGGGCATCGGCGTTAAGCAGCGGGCTTTACGCTGAGCCGAAACCCCCTCTTTCTCGTTCTTTTTCTTTCAACGTGTATACCATGCGAATTGTAGTCACCACTGAAACCGACGATCTTTATAATCTGGAAATCGACAGCCAAATGGCTATTGAGGATTTAAAAGCCTTACTCGAAACTGAAGTAAGGAAAAACACTGTTTCTATTGTCATTCCTCGTGTATATATAGCAAAGAGAAAGTGGAAGAAACTGACAGAAAGTTTACTCGATTCGCTTATCCCTCCACCGTTGTTTGTCCTCTTTCTTTTTGAAGTCGGGTCTAGAACCACGACAACAAGAACTCATCCACAATGGTCGAAACTTGGACCAAGCGAAAAAGTTACTAGAAGAATACGGTGTTGCTCAAGATGATCTAATCTTGCTGCGACGCAAGACAACAAGAGGATTTGCAGAAGCAGAAGCAGGAGAAGGAGCAGGAGCAGGAGAAGCAATGTCAAGGTATGCATATATAGTACTACCTATACGCGTAAATGCGCAGTCTTTCACTACTTTTTTTGCCGGTCCATTTATTTGAACGATTTATACTACTCTTCTTTAACGAAAATGTAGCAATCCCAATTTTGACTTAATGAGGCAACATGTTTTACGTGACCCTCGTTTATTGCAACAACTTGCCAATGTAAGGAATGAAAAGCCCGTGAGAAGAGAGAAGGAAGGAAGGGGCGGTATTGTTCTTATTATAGTAGTTATGTCTTGACTCAAAATGTCATTCTTCCCTATTCTCGATTTTCTTTTTATTTTCTTAAAAAAATTAGACAAATCCAGAGTTGGCACGCGCTGCCCTGAATGATCCGGCTCGGTTTTCATCCATGGTTCAGCATATAGAACAGAACCGGAGACATGCTGAGCAGCAGCGTATGGATATGGTAAATTTGTCACTATTAGTGACAAAAAGTAAGAGACGTTAAGTTCATACACGATTATAACTTTGTGATTTTTTTTACTGATAGGTCGCCGCCAACAGCGACCCATTCGATATAGAGGCGCAAAAACGCATCGAGGATGCAATTCGGCAAGAGAACATTGCGGCAAACCTGGAGGCTGCAATGGAATACAATCCTGAGTCGTTTGCCCGAGTAAGCTCTTTAAACGATGATGATGATGAAGCAGAGTGGTGTTGTTCTGATGATAAGTTCTTAAAAAAAGGTCACACGGTTGTATATCAATGTTGAAATCAATGGGCACAAATTGGTGGCGTTGGTGGACTCTGGTGCACAAAGTACCGTCAGTAAGTAACTCTGGTATTCACGCAGAGCAACTAATCAGTGTTACTGCACACAATTTAAAATGCCAACAATGCTAAATCTAATCATTGGGGAAACTTTTAAAGTCAGTCCCGAGACGGCCGAAGCATGTGGGATGATGCGGTTGGTGGATACTCGATTCAATGGTATTGCAAAGGGCGTAGGTACGGCCAACATTCTCGGACGGATTCACAGTGCGCAAATGAAGCTTTCAAAGGACTTCTTTATTGCCTGTTCATTTATTGTGGTGGAAGGAAAAGGGTCGGAACTGCTGTTTGGTCTTGACATGTTGAGAAGACATAGGGTAAGCAAATGGCAAATTAGCGTACATTTGGATGACGATAGCCTACTTTTAGAGCGAAGATTGTAGAACTAACATATCGATGAATGTCGGTGATGGTAATTATGATGACAGGCATGCATTGATCTTCGGAAAAATGCACTGACATTTGACGATTGTGATATACCATTTCTGAATGAGCACGAGCTGCCGGAAAAGCAACGCATGATTGAGGTAGAAATGACGCCCCGGTTTATATTGAAAGTCAGCGAAAAAACTGATTACACGAAACGTGTCTTTGATTAATTTATATTAGATCCATGGCAGCGCCGACGATGAAATGCCGACGGAGGCGCGTGTTGCGGGCAACCAGGCGAACGCAAATGCAGCTGGCAGTAGCAGTAGTTCAGGGACGCCTTCTGAACCTGCAGCAGCAGCAGCATCATCATCATCTCAACAGCAGCAGCAGCAGCAACAGCAGCAGCAGCAGCAACAGCAGCATCAGCAACAGCAACAACAGCCATTGAAACAAGGTACATACTTGAATGGCTCTTATTATAGTTAATTGTTTACTATCCATGTCAACACACCACACAGAACCGAGAATAATTAATATTTTATTTGCAGAATCCAAATACCCAGAAGAGCACATTAAACTTCTCACGAACCTTGGTGTCAATCGCCAGGTAAAGAGCCAGGAAGTGCAACGAAAAGAAAATAAGGAAGAGTGTGGACACCTAATATTCATGTTTTTAGGAGGCGATCCATGCGTTGGACATGGCGTCAGGAAACCCAGACTTGGCTGCCAGCCTGCTATTCCAAAACTAAAACTAGCCCAACTTGTTCGGCATTTTGTTTCCCTTTATTTCTTCGCTTTCTCCCCCCCCCTTGTTTCTTTGCTCGCTCTCTCTCTCTCTCTCTCTCTCTCGCCCTTTCACTTCACTCATCTTGCTCGCTTCAACTCTCAAAAAGATTAAGAAAAATTAAAGAACACGTCCTTGTCAAAAACGATGGTTAGCCCAAAATGTGAAACAGCTTTACTGGTTGTACCTTACTCTGGTCTTATGCTAAATACGAAAAAACACACACACACCTCTTTTTCCTTTGTGAACAGAACACTGCTCGACATACGGCTGATCCAGAACTGTTTTACACAAAGCATGAGCGAATAGGTAAAGAAGACAACGCCTAAATAAGGCTGGTATAAGCTACAGTATATACACAACTTTCAGGAACGGGCCCCCACCTCCAACCTTCACCCAGAAAATCTATAACGTCAAAATTGTAAACTCACTCTTTTTTCGCGAATCCTAACCTCTATAGGCAAAGGATCGTTCGGTGAGGTGTTTAAAGGGTAAGGAGATTGAAGGCAAAACAAGGGGACGCGCATCACACAGATACACACACATATAGTTGCCAGCTTATAATATAACGAACGGTGTCTCTCTTTTTAGCATTGACAAACGAACGCAGAAACCTGTTGCGATTAAGATAATTGACCTCGAGAGCGCCGAAGATGAAATAGACGACATTCAACAAGAGATTGCTATTCTTTCTCAACTGGACTCGCAATATGTGACAAAGTAAACTTTTTTTTCTTTCTTCTTTTTGGTCTGCAGTTATTATATAGCCGCCAAAAATAAGGAGGACGAGGGAGGAAGGGGGAGATGTGCATACAACTATCTTTTCGCTTTTACTCACACACAGACGCATACACACACGTCTTATTATTATACAGGTACCATGGATCATATCTTAAAGATAGTGCTCTATGGATTGTGATGGAATTTTGCTCGGGTGGATCATGCAGTGATCTTGTAAGTAAATACTACTGCGACAAAATCAAAAAGAGTACAGAGAGGTCAAAAACAGTATACCATATTTGTACAATGAAATTATTGACGCATATGCTCCAATGATATCGCTACGTCTAGCTTAAAGTGAACCCAATGCAAGAACAATACATTGCCATCATCATACGCGAACTGCTCCGTGGTCTCGAGTATTTGCACACAGAAGGCAAACTCCATCGCGGTACGTATTTCTACTTGGAACCTTCTACTAGTCATCAAACTAACACTATAGCCGATTTTTCCTCGTTCTGATAGATATCAAAGGTAAACACCACTTAGAGATTATGGGATGCAGTAATGGGATGACTATAAACAAAAAATTTTATTATTTATGCAATATTAGCTGCAAACATCTTGCTCGGATCCAATGGTGAAGGTAAGCCCAAAAGCAGATTGGATCTTTCTCTTGTTAGTCCACTAATGCAACTATCTTATTATAAAAACTAGTCAAGCTTGCCGATTTCGGTGTCTCTGGTCAGGTAAGTCCTTTCAAAAGAGAAATGCGCGGCTGTCCATCCGATTTCTGGGGCGGATCGGTCAAAAGAATAAGCTCAATAACCCATACATTTCCATGTGTATAGCTCACAGCAACATTAACGAAAAAGAACACGTTTGTTGGTACACCTGTAAGTCAAATATATACCATTTTTCTCCAACAAGAGTTCTTTGAGCATATGCGGAGGGAGAATTCGAAAATATAACATGCAATAACCGCTTTTTTTTATGTGTTTACTATTTTCGCGGGGGTTGGGGGATGGTTAGTTCTGGATGGCACCCGAAGTTATTAAGCAATCCGGTTACGATTACAAAGCAGATATCTGGTCGCTGGGCATTACCGCAATGGAATTGGCTAAAGGCGAGCCACCTCATGCCGAAAAACATCCGATGCGGGTCCTGTTTCTTATACCCAAAGATCCTCCTCCTGCTCTGGAAGGCAACTATAGCAAAGCATTCCGAGATTTTGTACATGTGTGTCTCCAAATGGATCCTAGACAGGTAGAGAAGAGCACGACCACGATTGTTTTTTTTATACTAGATGAAAAAAAAAGAACGAGAAAAAAAGAGAATTTTCCTAATTTGAAATCTATATTAACCAAACAGAGACCATCGGCCAAAGAGCTATTGAAGCATAAATTTATCAAGAGTGCGAAAAAGATTTCGTACTTGACCGAGCTTATTGACCAGCATGAACAATGGGCTGCCACACACGATGACAGGAGCAGTAACCATTCAGAAGATGATTCTACGTACAGTATTCAATACAAGGGGGGAGAAGGATCCGTTGGTTGGTTGTACAAAGAAGGCATGGTATTGAATTATTTTATTTTTCTGGCGTAATTGTTATTTAGCATTGACATGCCTGATGATGATGGCTGGGATTTCGGTACTGTCCGACAATCACTTCCGCCCGCACCTAAACCCACGATCCCCTCAGCCGCACCAAGTCGATATTCCTTGGGTTCTTATGCTGGAAGCACGACTTCACTTGCAAGCACTAATACCACCACTGCTGCCACCGCTAATAATCACATCAACAATAACCACAACAACAATCATACGCGTCCTCTTCCTGAGTCACCCTCGAATCAGCAATTGAAGCCGCTTAGCAACAGTAACCATAACCTCAAAAATAGCAGCAACAGATCGCTTGGATTACCTCGCAACTCAGCAGATTCTAGGGTAAAAAAAGAGCGATTGCTTATCTCAACTAACAGAAACAACAACTGATGTGGATGATTATATTTCTTAGAGCTTGTCATCTAGCAGCAGTCTGTATAGCGAATTGGATGAGACCACGAGTCAAAATACGGTCCGAGCCATTGATTCCAAATATGTCCAACAACAACGTAACGATTACCACAACAACTATACCCATTCCTCTCAACTGCCCAGCAACTCTCCTTCTTCAAGAAGTATCAATACAATAAAGAGCGAATCGATTCTTCGAGATGCTATTAACCCGGCACTGATTAAGGTATATGTCGATATTAATCATAATCAGGGAAAAAGGAAAAAAGGGAAGTGGGGGATATATTTGAATTTTTCCTTTGGAGAGGAGGGGTAGGGGAGGAGGAGGAGGAAACTACTATGTAGGATGGAGAAAAGCAAAGAAAAAGGCAAAATAAAAATGAAACAGAATTATGGTTTGTGGCTGATTAACATAATTCTTCTTCTTTTGTTATAGCTGCAAGCCGGATCACGAAGCCACAAGTCGCAAGCAGCTTTAGAGACATTGCGACGAGCGTTCCATGGAGCTGAACGCGAATGTCCAGGGACGACACAAGTACTTTTCGAGGAAATGTACCGTTGTTTGAAAAACAACGGATAAAGTTTCTTTATGTTCACTAATCACATTGTGTGAAAAAAAATTTATTGTGTTAAAGTTCGAAATTGATAATTTACCAACCCAATGGTGATGATGTAGCCTCCCCCAGTTATTTGCTTGCTTTCGCCCCATTTTATTAGTATTATTGCTATACAAAAAAACCTCTCTGTCTGTCTCTCGCTCCCGCAATCCAACATTACATATTACACCACATTCCACGCTTCCAAAATAACATACAGCAACAAACATCTTTTATTTTTAAAAGTACAAACCATATTAGAGAAAAATTTATTGTTGCATATCATACATGAGATCCAATAATCCACTTGCTGACCATGCTTGCGTAAAGCAAGAGTCCCAACATGTTTCGCCGTCCTTGTTTGTCAATTCCGGTAGACCTGCCCAAACACTTGAGCTAACATGATCCCGGTGGGCTCTCAGAATACGCGCAATTTCAGGCGGGGTCAAGGTACCCATCTTGTATGCTGCGCGCAAGTAATATCCAGTGAGCCATACCCATTCGGGCCCTTGATGATAATTGCGGCCTTTGGACGTATCGAAATCGTCCGAGTCTTCACCGTTGTTGTAGTAAGGGCGATAGCGCATGTCTCCAGGATCTAGCGTACGCATACCCAATGGACCTAGTAAGAGCTTGTTCATCAGGTTGAGACATTCGGCTGCGTGGGTCCGGTCAAAGAGTTCAGGTGCAACCACCATGGCAACGCATAGGTTTGGACGGAACTGGTATTCTGTGTATGGCTCAGTGGCCTTGTAGACGTCTTTGTAAATGCCCCGGCGGTGAATGATGTTTGGATCCACATCATGGTCCTTGTCTTGACTAGGATCTAGCATAAGGGGTTTGTGGTTGATATGTTGTTGGTATACCTTAATTAACAAACATGCATAAGAAGCGGTGTCACTTACCACTAGGGATGTAATAGGCGCGCTCAAAGCTCTTTTGCAGCAACTCGTTCCACTCGTTATAAGTGATCGTTTTGTTGTCCACTATCAAGAGATGACAAAATGTTAGAATGGGGAGAAAAGCACCAACCTAGAATATACTATAAGTACCTTTGACGCAATCCCAATTGAACTGATTACGATTGAGCTGTAGAATCCAACGCAGCGCGCTCTTCAACAACCCTGTGATCTCAACAGGAGCACCATCGCGTGGTGTGCCGGGATAACCCTTGTTGCCAGCCTTTTCGCTCTCGCCCATCTTATCCATCCACGTGCCACAATTCCAAATATTACCACCCACGAGAACACCTGTCGACCAATCGACGGTAATATCAATATTAAACCCTTGGTCCTTCATTTGCGAATCAATCTGCGGCCCAGCATTATGTTCGCGGAAATGAATGCCCTGTGCGTGCTGCTGCATAATCTCCTGGACCAGTTCAGCCATGCTACACTCCCAGGTATAACCTTGATCTACAGGCACGTAAGTATAATCTTGCGGGAACCGACGCAGCACGCGCTCTTCAAGGATGGATGGACCGTCGGGAGCCATGTAATAATAGTCTTGAACAGACTGCATAAAGAACCACACAGCATCACGCGCATTGTACCGTGGCGACCGACCTGCGTCCAACAAGTTGGGCAAAACGCCATGACGTAGCGTTGCTGCAAAGGAAAGAATGTGTTGCTTGGCAGCTTCAAATTGATCCGTCACCAACAAAAGTCCGCGAAGCGAAAGAAACACGTCGCGGCCCCATGTGCGCATGTATCCATGAGAAAAGTGCGGTAATCCAGCAGCGAGACAAGCTGTCGTTGTGCGTGGATATAAGCTCGTTGAAGGCACGGCACCGTACATTTGGACTGTACAGAGACCCAGTTGGTGCATGAATGGATCAACGCTGTTGTAAACAAGAGACGACATTTTGGATAATGCATGGTCTCTCACACGCTGGTAGATGGCATGGACAGCCATAGCAAAGTATTTGGGCACCAAGAAATCCGGCAGTTTTTCTCGCACTGTTGAAAACCGTGACGCGAACCAATCGACCAAGTTTTTGCAGTGAGGATAAGCTTTTAATCGATCCTGGACATAGTCCATAGCCCAGGGTCCCTGGCGCAAATTGTCACAAAACGGATGACCGAGATCATTGTCGCGAATAATCGGTCGCAAGATGGACATGAATCCTTCTAGGCCGGCATAAGGTAGCTTTCCCCAGTTGGGGATGTCATAGACGCCACTACCCCCTGTTGCATCCAATTCTTCTCCTTCACAACGATACAAGATTACGTTACAATCAAGCAATTCCAACGGCTCAATCACTGAGTCAGGCACGTTTGTGACAAGCTTTTTGATTTCTTCGAGATGATCGCCGATCGACGTTTTAAAGATATAGATGGATCCAGGAACAAACACGTCGTGGGGCAAGTCGATCGTGACATAGCCATCATCTTGCTGTATACAGTTTGGCGCAGGTAAATCTGTCACAGTCGCTGGGAATCCCATCAAGTACTTTGTGTCGTGCTCGACCGAATCGTCAACAGTCAACGATGCGCCAAAGACATAGCTTAGCTTGGTCATGTGTAATCGGATAGGCTTGATCCCGCCATCTGATTTTGGGAATGCGGTGTGTGCAATAAGTAGGTATCCTTCGTGCGTCTCTGGATGTTGTCGATGCACTAGGATGTAGTCGCCTTCATGATGCACGTGGACTTGGGTAAATCCTTCCAGCGACATGCTGAGATGCAGCTTTTGGAGCTGCGCCTTGACATTGACAATGCCCACCGGATGGTCCAAGTAGGGCGAGTACAGACGCTTTTCTGAAACCACGTCGAGTAAGCGCGGGTAAATCTCATCGTAGCCTTTGACGCTGCCTGTGGCACAATCCGAAAATGCAACGATTGCTGCATTAGGCAATGTATCCTGTTATCATGGTAATGCACCGTTTTTTTTTTTGGGGGGGGGGAGAAGGAAAGTTATTATTGTTGTTGTCTTCATCTCTTTGTGTGTGTGTGTGTGTGTGCGTGAGACAACAAACATATACGCGCGGACGCACGCACGCATACATGAATAACGCATAACACACGTACGCACGCATCCCGAAAAACAAAATATATACGGATGTACGTTACTTTTGCAGTTCGCTTTTGATAAGGTGTCTGATTATCATGCGTGCAGTCCATAAACAAGGCTCGTGGCGGACTTGCATGTTCAATGGGGATCATCAACACCTTTTCTTCTTGCTCCATCGTCTTGTTGTTCCTATAACGGGTGATGACCTGCCAATTGAGGTCTTGATCCATGCTACCCACAGGCTTGCCACCGTGGCGATGCACCATACGCGACAATTCATGCGGATCCCAAGCCTGCATGGCTTCTCTCAATAATGCATGAATGCCTAGCCGTGAAACGAAATGAAGATCCATATCGGGTGAGCCCGTAAACAATTCAGCGAGAACATAGAGGTCGGGTCGTACGCGACGAGCAGCGTTCAACAAGTATTCGGCCACATGTAACGGAGTCGAATGGCAATTATCGATTCGAACGCCATCGAACAACGAAGCAACCTGTTCCGTGTAGGTCCGCATATGGTTCCATAACCATGGGTTGTCCTCGGGTGACTGTCCATAACGCAGTTTCACACAGTCGCCCCAACAAATCACTTGGCGGCGCAGATAGGCCGATGACTCAGGACCTGCAAAATCCTGCATGGGGTCTGCGTTCCAAATCCATCCATTGTTGGCCAGTGCTGTTGCATTGTCGAGTCTGGTAAAGTAGCTTTCTACAAGAGGGGCGCTGTGCGAAAGATAGGGAGCGTGTGTGATGTGTAAGTATGTGAGTCGCTCGTTCTTACGTTAACATTACAATTATTATTGTTACATATATGTATAATAGAAAGGGGGCGTTGCTTTTGCTGCTGCTTTCGCTGCCAATTCAAAACAAGACCAGAATTACTAACCTAGCACTCACGTCACCCAAACGCGGACCATTTTCATCCAAACGCGTATACATGATGCGTGAGCGGATATTCTCCAATGCAATCGCAACGTCATTGTCATACTCCTGGTACTGAACGAGGTTGTACTGGCTCAACAATTTTCTAAAAACGGATATCGTCACGCGGTCAGACGCATCCTCAGCATCAGCAACGATCTCTGCAAGGGCGGCAGAACCAGAAGCAGCGGCAGCCTGCACGAATGAAACGGCACGAGACAAGTCAAGTGCTTTGGAACCTCGGATACTGGGTCGTTGCTGCTGCTGCTGCTTCTGCTGCTGTTGACCGCCCTCTTGGATGATGGCATGTTTGGCAAACAAGTCTGCTAGAACATCAATGGGTTTGTCGGCGATGTCCGATAAGTCCTGAGGACGCTCATACGGTGGTATCGGGTCTATGCCTTTTATGGCCTCGTCTGTGTACTGGGACGGATCAACTGTCTTGTATTCCCATAGCTTTAAGCGCGGGAAAATGGACTCTTTGATATGCGTGATGACTGCATCCACATCTTGCACGGTCCTTATGCTCCTGGGTAGACCGTGCTTTTCCATGTCTTGGGACAATTCTAAAAGCGCCGTGTCTAATTCATACGCAGGCACAAGATGCGGCGAGTTTTCGAGATTATATCCTGCAACAACAATAATATTTATGATCACACGCGGGTTAGTTTAGAGCGTCAGGCGACTCGATGCAGCAATCCTTGTTCACCATCATGTAGGCTTATATATACGTGTAACTATATGACGCGCTGTCAACCCCCTTACCTGCATCTGGGTGATCGTTCAAGAAGGGCGAGTCATGGCTGGTGTGGTTCCAGACAACGTCGGACAAGCACATGATCCCTTGTTTAGTCTGGATGTCAGTCAGCACAGACCGCACGAGCTGGACGCGCTCCTCGGGCGATGGTGGTTGTACTGGAGTGGTAGTATTAGAAGAACCGTTGGAGAACAAGTCGTCGGCAAACAAAAGCTGGTCATGGATACTATAGGGCGAGTCAGACGAGCCGCGCTGTTGCATGGGAGCAAAGTGAATCATGTTGTAACCGGAGCGTTTGATCAGATCGATATGGGGTTGCCATTGCGAGAGCGGGCCCATCCATTTCGGGATAATGGATTGGATCATGACGGCATCAAGCGGGAGATGGTTGTACAAACGTGGCTCGACCACGAAATAGCCCGATTGGCCACTCGTTGTCTTCTTGCTCGTCTTTTGTTGACACCCTTCTTCTTCTTCTTGCTGCTGCTGCTGCTGCTGCTGCTGAAAACTGACGTGATAAGCATACGCACCCGGCATGTTGAGTTCAATGTCGCAATAATGGTGCTGTGCATCGAATCTGGATTGAAAAATAAAAAAGGTCCTGATTAGGCTACCCCACCCTGAGTTCCAAAAAAGACCAACACATCTGTTGTGATTCTTGTATCAAAAAAGAGGTTCCGTACTGTACTGCATGTGAAAGCAAAGACCTATCGGAGAGAGAGCAGAAGATGGGATGATGAGAAAATAAACGATTGATATCGCCCCGATTATCAAGGAAAGAACGCGGTAGTTGAGCTTACCCTTGATAAATGTTGAGTACAGGATCATTGTTTGCCGCAATGGAGCCCGTCTTTAGGATGAAACGGAGATGACAGCTCTGGTGTCGATACAGCGGGATTCGAACGTACTACAGTACGGTTTCAGAAGGGGAGCATGAAAAACAAAAAAAAGAGTGAGATGTCATTCATCTAGGAGCACTCCACCCAATAGTTTCTGGAGAGAATGTTCGCATGCAGAAGGACAAGCGGGCACAACTGGGGGAATAAAGGGGTGTCTCTCTTTTGGCGATGGATTAAAAAAAAAAGAGATAGGCTCTTTGCGCATATTGGGGGGGGAGGCGTGAGTGTAGGTCAAGGGCAGCTATCACTCACTGCCAGCAGCACAACATATGCCCAGCAGCAGAGAAGAAGACAAAGGCATAAAGGGAGTCTGTCTGCCAGGCAAGAAAGATAGCGGCATGTAATAGGCATAATACATTGGCCAGAGTGTGTGATGGTTTGGGATGGAATGCGCGAGGGTGTGTGTGGGTGGGATGTGCTATACTATTTTTTCTGTTGACTTACGGTCTTGGCATTATCAGGCGAGCCGTCATCCGCCAAAGGGAGGGCGTAGAGTAGGGGTAGTGTCGTTTTGGCCAGAATCTTTTTCGCGGCGGTGATGTCCTTTGTCATTGAGTGGGCTCTGTGGTTCAACTGTGTGTGTGTGTGTGTGTGTGTGTGTATGCACGGCGAGTGTGTACGCGGAAGCGCAAAAAAAAAAAGAGAGAGAGAAAAAGAAAGAGAAAGAGCGAGAAATGGTTGGAAGCATCTTCTTTTGTTGTTGTTGTCGTCGTCGTCGTTGCACTTTTCACACGCAAGTGCTTCTCTTGTATTACCCATTTCAATCACCATGGGGATTCAGCATGGTTTCCTAGCAACCAGCTACGTATCGCTGCTCTTTTTAGGGCAAGTAAGCCCCACTGTGATTTGTATTTTATATCATTGCATTACCCACCCTCACCCCCAATAAATAAAGCACAGCTCTGGGCGATCTCTCTTTGTGCTGGCCTCCCCCACCCCACCCCACCCCCAGCGAAAGCAACAAGAAGGACAAGAAGCAATCCCTTGCTCGTCTCCTTTGTAAAGGGGGTGGGATTTCCTGCCTCTCTCTCTCTCCCCCACCCCCACCCCCCCACCGACCAACCCACACAGCGAAGGCAGATAGAAGAAGAATATTTAAATGGACCTGACGTCTTTTCCCTTTTATTTCGCGCCTGCTTGCTTTTCGCCTGTCTTTTTCTTTTCTTCTTCGTCTTGCTGTCTGCAACTTCCCTTCATTACACACACACACACACATACAGCACATACCGTCTTCACTCCAATATGATGTACACGGTGGACGAATCCAGACTAAAGGCCACGTCGTCATTCGCCAGCGATGCAACCGTTCACAAGGGAGGCAATGGGTCATCTCCATCACCACTCTCACAAAAACCGTCCTTTCCACCCTCGTACGACGACGACGACGACAAATCAGTAACCATAGCACCACCGCCAAGGAGCGCTGCTGTCAAAGAAAAGCTGCGCAAAGCCAAAGCATATTCGCTTGTCATGCTGAAAAAGTACTGGTTCCTGGTCGGCCTGGCCTTTGTCATCTGCCTAGGCTACGCATGTCCAGACATTGCCAGAAAGGGCGGCTACATTCGCGCCGAATATTCTATCAAGTGGGGTAAGACATCATTTCGTTCGTTTCTTTAAACACTATTATTTAAAATTACAATTGTAATTACAATTCTGCCACACGTACATTGTACATACACAACAACAACAACAACAACAGCAGAAAGACAGCAGCAGCAGCAATACACCACATAGAGAGCGTGGCGTAATAATAATAACATTTTCCATTAATGCATTCTCATGTATAATTCCTATCTATCCATCTCTGTACACACATCGCGTACACTAGGTGCCGTCATTATCATCTTCATCATCTCCGGCCTGTCGCTCCGCACACGCATCCTCACCCAAACCTTCATGCGCGTCCGACTGCATCTACTCATCCAGATCATAAACCTCGTCATCATTCCCTTTTTCGTCTTTGGCCTGGTCCTTCTGCTCTTCAAGCTGCGTGTCCCAATGAACTCGCTCGTGCTCATGGGCGTCGTCATTGCTGCCAGCACCCCCACCACCGTGTCCTCCAACGTCGTCATGACCAAGAACGCAAAGGGCAATGAAGCGACAGGTAAACAAACTACTTTACACTAATAAATAAAGAGAACCCTGTGTGTTTTTCGTATGTGCTACACGGTACACACACACACACACACAAACAATAACACCAAACAATAAACACTCACACTTTCTGCTCTCGCATGTGTAACCTACTTTTTAGCATTGATGAACGCTGCTGTGGGCAATGTGCTTGGCATCTTCATCTCGCCTGCCCTCGTCGACACTTTCCAAGAGCCCCTGATTGAAGCAACGCCTGAGAACGAATCCGCACAAGCCGGCGGCCGTGTTGACTTTGTTTCTGTGCTCAAGCAGCTCGGCATTACCGTACTGATCCCGCTGGTCGTGGGCCAATTGATCCAGATTGCATTTACTGAAAAAGTAGCCAAGATCAAGGTGAAATGGCGGCTGTCGGACGTCAGCAGTGTTGCATTGCTGACCATGGTCTGGTCGGTCTTTTCAGACGCCTTCCACTCTGGGTCGTTCAACTCTGTGGGCGCAACAGACATTATTGCGGTCGTGATCATGAACTTTGGCTTTTACATTCTGTTTTCGCTGCTGTCCTTGTTCTTGGCCTACATTCCGTTCCCTTCGTCGCTCAAGGAGCCCAGCTGGGTCAAACGTCTGCGCTACTCGCGTGAAGACACGGTCGCTGTCATGTACTGCGGTGCAACCAAGACGGTTGCCATGGGTGTCCCGCTGATCAATGTGCTGTATGAGAACGGCGATCCAGGTACCATAGGCGTTCTGTCGACCCCCCTGCTGCTGTACCACGTCGAGCAGCTCATCCTCGGTAACATTGAAGTCGACATTCTGAAAAACTGGGTCCTGCGCGGCAAGGAGAAAGATGCAAAGGCGATTCCGCCTTCCCGTGATGAAGAAGACCAATCGCATGGCGGCGGCAACCACAATACCGACAGCCAAGACGACAGTGCCTTCAATGGCGGCAACACCAATACGAATGTGGACGACGATGACGACGATCTTGCCAACCAAAAGCTGGCAAAGGAGATTGCTCCTATTGAAAAGGCGTACATGAAGCCTGATGTGCCGTCGGTGCCTGCTGCTGTTGACAGCAAGTCCGACTACAATAGCAAGCTGGGCATGGACAACATACCCCTCGACGACGAGAAGCTCGCATCAGAAACGATGATTGGCAAGACCTCGTCCCATGTCTCGTCTATGGGCGTCGCCAACAACGAAGAGCACGAGCACCAGCACCAGCAGCACTATCATCGAAACAACCATAATAGTAGCACCGGCAACAACAACGATGCAGACGACATATACAACATGCCATTGTTCACGTCAGACACGGCAAGTATTTCGCTGGACACTTCACGCTTTTCATCAGACACACTGTCGTCTCGACGAATGTCTTCTACAGTGAGAAACTCTACTTCACATCACCGCAGTGATGATCATTGAAACACACACTGTTTTATCTACCCGTCTTAGCATCTACCGTATCACTCATACTCTATCTCTCTATTTCTCTCTCTCTCTATTCCTCAACACATGGGTTTTGTAGAGTAATATGAAGAGACCCTAACTCTCCCCGTCAACAGCAGCAGCAACCACCTCCTTAGCTACACACTTCCGCACACAGCCCAACAAAGTACCTCCATACTCTCTACATCGCATATATCGCTTCTTCCACATACATATACTCTATGGCACTCTGCTCTATTCCAAACTCTCTGCCCTATCATATTCAACCTTCGCCCGCCCGCCTCCTCTTATCATGCATATGGGCACAACTAGCCTCCTTTCTTTCTAACTCTCTTATTTTTCTTAACCTACTCTTTTGTATAATCATGATCACTCCAGTCTAATTTCCTACTTTTGCATCCTCTCCGCTTCTTGACTCTATTTCTTATATAGACTTTGTATGTAACTTGAAGTACAATACAAATCGTAGTAAAAAAAACATCCAAACGTGGATCATTACACTTAAGCTGTGTCTCTTTTTTTTAATAACTTGGTGGTGATATAGCAGTAGTGGTGGTATCAAAGAAAAAAATGTGTTCCTCAAATCTCTTTCTCATCCCCCGCCTAGCCGTGCGTCTTTTTTACTCCTTTTTTTTTTCTTTCTTTATTTCCGGCTCTAACCGGGGCGGCGGCGGCAGAGGCGGCTGCTGCAGAAGCAGAAGCAGAAGCAGCCTGCCACACCCACCAGCCAAGCCAGGCACCAAGCCCAGCGGCGTTCAAGTGGGAGAGCATGGTAAGAATAGAGAGGGTGTGTGTGCAATGATAGGGGCTTGTTGTTGCCCGGATATCTTTTCAACCTTAAGCAATATGACATTGTTATGCAAGTAGCCATCTATTTCCACCTCCCTATTTTAATCGAGAAAGGGCTGTCACACGTACAACCCCCCCCACCCCAAACGAGCCAACTTTCTTTTTTTTCATATGCAGAAAAAAAAAACGTGTACATGCCCTCTGCTTACGGTCCGAAAGTCCCGATAATAATACAAAACCCAAGCTTGAATAATGTCAGATCAAGTCGAATCTGCAGCAGCCACTTGTACAGCACCAGCTGATAACACTACCAACAACAACAACAATAGCAAACTTGACGGGAATGGCCAAGAAACGCTAGAAGCCATGCAAGAACGACATGGGGCTGAACAAAAAGCATTACAAGCCAAAATCATTGCATTGCGAAAATCCGTTCCAAGCAGCAACAAGCGGAAAAAGAAGGAAGTCCAATCACGCATCAATGATATGGAATATGACCTTCGAGTGAAACATGAAAAAGAATTACGCGCTTTACAAGGCGAAGAAGAGGTGATTTCTAAAGTGGTTCACATAATAACAAAGCAAAGAGAATGATATTGACAACATTTCCCCCTTTACGATTTAGGAGGACGAAGACGATGGTATTTCGTTAGAACGACTTCAAGAATTAAGTGTCCAAGACGGCAACAACGGTAAGGACGCCACCGACGAGACGTCCAAGAAGGCTGGTGCTATTGAACAGCAGCAAAAGAAAAAGAAGCCAAATAAGGCAAAGTTACGACAACAGCGTCGTGAGGCAGAAATGCAACGGTTACGTGACGAGGCCGAAAAGGAGGCTAGCGATCAAGTCGATATGGGGGCATTAGAAAAAGCTTCTATCCAAGAGTTACTCGAGAAGCTGAAACTCAAAGTTCATGAGGTAAGATAAGCCATACGATTTGGTTAATAGTTGGCAGTAACAAAATAACTAATTTTATCATGACTTTAGATTCATGCCGATGGTCATTGGTAAATCAATGCTTTTTTTATTGGGTGGGCGGGTGATGGTGATCTTTTTACTAACTTTTTTTTCTCTGATATTGTATAAGTTTATACAATGCTATTTCGAACCAACTGTCTAGTAGATATCACCAGGAGGTAAAAGTCGATCTGCATGGCGCCCGTATTGCCCATGATTACTGCTCGTCTGTCGGTATGTATACTAACGGCGTACTTTGCATTACTTTTACCTCCTTTCTTTATCTGTTCTAGGTGGGCCATCAGGAGCTTCGGAAGCTAGCAGCAAGTTATATGCGGGATCATTCGGATGATTTTATACCATTCTTGTACAAAGACGACGGCGACATGTACAGTGCAGGTAAAAAAAACAGAATGAAAAAATAGGAGTTGGAAGAAAGGTGGATACGTATCTTGGGTCGTCAGTGTGTAAACTGTATAACTTTTACGTACACAGCGCAAGGGAGAGGTGGGGCGTAAATATCAGCATATGGTCCTTCTAACGAGAACAAAAAAAAAACTATGCTTTGCGCCCTTGATAGATGACTTTGAACGTTATTGTGATGAAATTGAGAAAACCCCTCGATGGGGCGGTCAAATAGAGGTAAGACACGCACACACACACACAGCGGGAGAGAGTGGATGATAAAACGCGGGCATGTCTTCAAGTAAAGTAAATGGATTTGAAAAAAAAAAGGGTGAATAAAGGGCAAAGTGATTTTGACACACATTTTAGATTGTTGCTTTATCACGCGTCAAGGAGGTTCCAATCCATATCGTTCAGATGGGCCAACCTGTCCTCAAGGTCAATGAGGAGGAGTATCCCGGCAAGGCACCACTTAAACTGGCGTAAGTAGCATTACCCTACATGATAGTTTAGCATTGCTACTACTTGTAGTATAGAATAATCGTCTTCTATTACTACTACTACTGCTATCACTTTCTGTTCAGATAGCGCGTACGGATGCTTTGAATTTTAACTCAAACCTAACTAACTCGTTTATTTTCTCCCCCTTTTTTTTCACATAGGTATCATAAACATCTTTATTCGTTAGGAGCCCATTATAACTCACTTTTGGACGCGTAAAAATTAGTATTTCTAAATGTAAATGCCGCGAGGCTGATGATTTAAAAATCTGTACTATCTTGGTTTACGTACACAAAGACCTGTGGCGAAATGTGCTATGGGGGAAAAGGAGACGCGATCATTTCCTCATATAATACAAGCCCTCTATGATTGGACTTTCGCACCACCTCCGCCTTTTCCCTTGAAGAAACCCTAACTTTTCCTTCATCATAGATTCATCATAGGGAGCGCAGTATCTGAGGTAGAAGAAGAGAAACCATGTTCTTCTACATATATGTCGGCTAATAAATATAAAGAGACCTGACTGTATGTACATGATATATTAAATAATACTGCCCATCGTCGCAATCAAAGGAGCCTTATTTAATTGTACACACATATCACACTCTTCAAATATGATATATGTGCAGATGTACACAAAAAGTAACAAGGGTAACAAATTGGTTGCCCTCGAAATACTATTAGTAGATACTACACGTTGCAGACTTCTAGATAGTAGTACTTTGTAGTAGTATGTGTACAGTAGCAGTAGCAGTAGTAGTGGTAGTAGTGACTAAAAAACCTGGGTTATACTGAACAATACTGCACGTGTCAAACTTAGTCTCGTTCACTGCATGCAGCTCTGTCATGGTTGAGTGTATATGAAGACATCAATGACATTGGCTCCGGACCACTCACTCAAACCCCCCCCCAAGCCGCCTTTTTAAAATGGTATATAACTCTTATTATGCATGTATTGATCTACCAGCTCTTCTATCGTAATCGTTTAAAGAAGGTATTAAAAGTTCTGCAGCGGAAGGAACAAGTTATACATGCATATATAAGACGAACAAGTAGAGATACATCAAGCGCATTTCATTCAACCTCTCTCTCTCTCTCTGTGTGTGTGTGCGTGTGTGTTTACTTGAAGGCCATCGGCAGTTCTGTATGTTTATCATGGAAGATGTTGTTTTGACTCCATTGAATAAACAAGTCGCTGTGTGAATAGATATATGCACTCTGGTTGGATTCGTAACTTTTTTGTGCCTGTCTGCTTTATGCTGCCATAAGCTCAATAGGATTAACCCCATCCAGGCTGGGTGTCATTTGCTTTTAATCAAACTCACGGTGATCCAAGTTGTCGGATGTATCTAAAACAAAAGATTATCATTTAGGAACCACGTTGTGAGAAACGGAACCATACTAGCTACACATAACACCACAGCTCAAGTTCCATCGTCATTACAAATCCTGCTGCTGTACGAACAGGTGAGCATGTTATTGGCGATCAATGATAGCAATACAGTCGTAGACCGTTTGAATCCACTTTGTTTTAAAGTGGTAGTCTTGTCAACCCCCCACATAACTATGGAAAAAGAGACCTGTTGATGCCAATTGAACTTTGGAAGCAGACTATATGTGCTAATACGAGACGGTCTGTTGTTGGTTGGTTGCAAAGATAGACAGCACGCAGTTAGCTTTATAGGGAGCACGCGTCACTAGACCGGGGCAACGCTGGATCATTGAGAGCAAAACGTGCCCTTTGGCCTTTTCGATTAATGCGGGCGACATCAATAACAAGATCAACCGTTTGCTTGATAAAGTGTCTCCATCTAAATGTATGTTTGTTGCCTGTTTTTGCCTGTTTTCACGCGCATATAACAGTGGCTCATTTTGCGCTCAGTATTACTTTTTACACCCGTATCTATAGTGCAAATTGTCTTTCTATAATACTAAGTATTTGTAAACAGTAAGCTAGAGAAGTCATGTGCTGCTGGGGGAACTTTTTTTTTTTTTTTTGGTTGGGCGGGGGGGGGGTGGGTGGGAGTGGGAAAAGTTGGGGAGGGGTCCACGCGAGCGGAACAATCAAGGTCGAGCACGCAATATTGATTGGCACCCGCATAATGAAAGCTTTTCTTTCCCGAGCAATCCAGCTTCAAGGACATCTCTCCTCTAATTACTCTACTCTCAAACATATGTCTGGAAACACTGAACTTGCTACCTTTGCTGCCGGCTGCTTCTGGTAAACTTTTTTTTTCTGAAGCAATTCGAGGACATTACAATGATTCTAATGCTCGAACACACACGCAAAAATGAATACGAATCGTTTCAAGGGGCGTCGAGCATATCTTTCGCAAACATTTTGGTGGTGAGGGCGTTACTGCCAAGGTCGGCTACACTGGTGGCAACACTGAAGACCCCGACTATCGCTTGGTAAGTCTCTCACTCTCTCTCTCTCTCTCTTTGTATGTTTAATACGAGAGAGAATGACGTTTGCTCAATCATATGCATATCCCCCTCAATAAGGTTTGCACTGGTACCACCAATCACGCCGAAGCTGTCGAATTGACATTTGACCCCAAGCGCACAAAGTACGAGACTCTGGTTGAATTCTTCTACAAGATGCATGGTAATTCTTAATTTGATATGGGGCTTTCTTTCTTCTTCACTGACTGTGATGGAAAAATCATAGATCCCACCACTGCCAATGCTCAGGTAATGTTTCAGTCTCTTGCATTTGCCGACAAACTCACCACGACCACCACCACCACCCATGTAACACATACTACATAAACAGGGTCCTGATGTTGGCACACAATACCGGTCTGTCATCTTCTACCACTCTCCTGAGCAAAAGGAGATTGCTCAACGCGTCACTGATGAAGTTCAAGAAAAACATTACAAGGACAAGAAGATCGTCACACAACTCGTTCCTGCTGGTAAATTTTACGATGCCGAAGAATATCACCAGGTAATACTACTTTTGCATTAGTTGACTAGGGGAATCAATTTGACGTCGTCCTAACCTTTCTCTCTCTCTCTCTCTCTTATTTAGCTTTACCTTGATAAGAACCCCACCGGCTATGAGGTAAGGAACCATTTTCATTTCCATTTATCGTGGAGAGCATTATCTTCCATTTTACCAAGTGCTTTCTTTCAAATTTCTGTAGTGCCCCACCCACTTCTTGCGCTGGTAGTTACGTTCTGTAGAAACAGTAGAGTCATGCAAACTCTTGTATCAAACCATGGCTGTCATCATAATAAATAATTTATAATAGTAATATGCATATCAAAGAGGCTCTAAGGCGATGCAAGTTCATTGTTGTGTTGCACTTGCATATTAACAACTCCGACTATCAGAACCTTGTATATTTACTTTTTCTTAATAATAACTAATGTAGTAGCTTCATCCAAAAGACGGCCCTCTTGCTTCTCTTACTTCTAGGATCCAGTCCGTCATCAATTATCATAACAGCTGTTTTTCCTCTGAGCGACAGTACTTTAAACACGTGAGAGCTTTTTCATTGTTACAGTTCAAATGAAAGATCAAAAACATACCCTCAACAAAATTAGGATAGACGAACGCATCACTCCAAGGTTGTGCTCACTGCGTTCGTTTTTTGCACCAAAATCGTTCTTCTGAATATGTTTATGTTCTATCAATATGATCCGAGATTACTGATTGAAGCAGACAAAAACTACAAAGACAATACTTACAATGTGACAGCTCCAACGAGGACGTTTTATTGTGATTATTCTACAATGTTATAGCAAGCCTTGGTCTGCTCCGACGCTTCTCCTAAATATTATCATACCAAGACAAGGATTTAGCAAGCAACGATACACCAAACGGCAGTATATATGATAAACCATACGTAGAGCATGGTACCCAAATCCGTTTTTTAAAATACACGCACCAAATCTTTTATCAAAGATTGATCGCCTTTGATAGCGCCAGAGATTATACCCTTTGGCTATAAATAATCTGCCAAAGCTCTGCTGGCTTGGTTGCCAAAGCTGCTGTCCGGTGATGGTGCTTGTTTTGAGCCACCACTATCTTCTTCCTGTTGCCTCACGATGCCGGCACAATGTTATGGCCGATCGACGACCCTTGTTGCCGATGAGTCATATCTCTTTAATACCGCAGCGCCAGCTTCTTTCGGATGTCTGACGCACGGGTGGGTGTCTTTGTCGAAATGATATACCTTCATTAAATAAATGATTGTTCTATAAAGTACCCCCGACGCAGGATTGGCAGCAGCCAACAAGTCACTTTGCCTATTTTTGTTTCTCTTAGCATCAATAATGGCGGGTATGATATAGTTTAATCTAAATATTACTATTGTTATTGTTACTGATGATGAGTATACTTTTCGAAAAAAACAACTTGCTAAAGGAGTAAAACTGAAAGTGAAGAAAGAGCCGTCTACACTAAGTTTTCCCGCGGCCGGAGGGATGGAGACAGTATATTTTACAACCACTGGCCCCACCAATTACTGCTGCTACAAACGGGCAGCCAGCCAGCAGTCAGTCCTTTCAACAAGCACGCAGAGCGTGAGCATATGTGATTTCGCTGACAATTTTGAGAGCTGACATAAACCAGAGAACGATCAGAATAAAGATTCACAGTATCATAAAAGATTTAAAAATTCATGTGTATGGACATAGATGCAGCAGCGTTATTAGCAGATTTGGCAGTGCAGTACCATTATTAACTTGTCACTTTTTCTCACTCTTCTCGGCGTATTGATGACTTTTTTTAAAGAAGAACTGTACGACGACATCCTTGAACCCACTCTCCAATAAACACATATCCTCAGATGATACTCTTTATGATTATGAATTACACATCTTTAGTATCATATCATCACATTAGTAGTCATACCTTTGGTAAGTACCACACCGAATCACAAAGTAGAAAACGCGTATGGTAACACAACAATGAACCTGCATTGCATTAGTCTCTTTTTGGCATTTCTGATCGCAATACCCAAATTTTGAAATGTCATGCAATGATGCTGTAGTACAAAGTGGATTCATTTGCGTATATAGCAAGAGATAGTCACTGCTTTTATTTCTCCACTACATATATTACAATTTGGATCGCAGGAATGATTCAGAAAGCGCTTATCGCTGGTGAGGGTTAAGACATGGGAGTTCCGGTAAGAAAAAAGACAGTGCGGTCTTCCATGTAATTCCATCCCTATAGTTACATTGTAGTAGTTATGTAATAATACTGTAGGTAGTAGCTAGGGGGATGGAGGATGCAGGCATGTCTGACTATAATTTCCCTTTAATCATAGAAATAAATTTGGGTGGCAACAACAACCGAAGCACATTGAGTTATTGGGTAGAAGAAGAAATTTGCTTGCATCGTTTGGGGAAAAGAAATAGAAAGACCCCCTTTCTCTCCTGTTCTTCCTTTTACCGGAGACAAATTATGAATATTATTAGCGTTCCCGGATTTGGGCAAAATCTCTTATAAGCGATGTGGAGACAAAGAAGCCCAGCATAATTGGGTGTGGTTTTTCCAATTCTTTCATTTCCACTTTTAAAGTGGCAATTCCTAGTGCTTGAAATACAAAGCAAATGGATGGGTGCGCTTATGTGTCGTCTGTGTAAAGGCGACCCTTCTTCGATATGATTTTCATGCATGTTGAAAAGCCCACAACTGTTGTCAAATGCCTCCCATCCATACTCAGCCCCTAATATTGGGAAATAACACGCAATTTTGTGAGTAAAGGAACAGAAATGATCATTTAGGAATGGTCAAACTAACCTTAACCGCTGGTTAATTATCGCTCTTTTGGTGTGGGAGAAGAAGGAGAACGGTTGTTCATGCATACATTATATAAAGAGCACCCCATTGTTACATTCCTTTTTCTTTTTTTCTTTTGCTTTTAACTCGCCAATAGATTACATACTACTTACTACCTCTCACACGCTCTTTCTCTCTTTTCCTCCTCCTCCTTGATCGTCTTCTCGCTCATTCCCTTCCTTTACATACACAGTCGTCAAGCACACATACTCCATTCCTCCTATTCTTCTGCCAAACAATGCGGTCTGCGTCACTTGTAGCATTGATGATTTCTGCCCTACTATTGCTGGTAGCGGTAGCAGTTCAAGCAGGCGAAAATCATTATTGCACGGGTGACTTTAAACCACATGATGCCATTTGCAAAAAATTCGAGTTTGACGGCAAGACGGACGAACAAACATGTGGAAGCAGTAACAGTGGCAATGGCGACGATGAAAAAAATGACGACCCTGATGATGATGATGTTGACGAAGATGATGAAGATCGAGGTAGCGGCAATCAGCTGGCTAATTGCACAACGTAAGCAGTTTCAGTTCACTCCTTATTAACGACGGGTTGTCTAGCTAGAGCCCTGTCGCTAACCGCCATGACGATTATAGCTTTTACGATATCTCGGATTTACCAAATCAGTCGATTGACAACCAAACTGCCAAAATGGCACAATTGATAACCAACGTGTATGTCACTTTTTTGATCTCTCTGTTCTTTATGCGTACTAACCCTAAAATAGGTTTGAGAATGGTGTAACCAGCATTGGCTATGCGGTAAGAAACACACACACACAGAGAGAGAGAGAGTCTTTTTTGTTTTCTATAGCAAACTAATTGTCACTCTTTCACATCAACCAGTACATTGAAGATATTGGCGACTGTCGCGGTTACACGAGGTCAGTGGAGGTAGAGAGGAATGGTGATTAGTTTCACAACCAATAGATAGTTTACTAACACTCTTTGGAAATACTAGTGGCTATATTGGCTTCACGTCAGGAACCAACGATGCGTATACGGTGGTCTTGCAATACCTGAAAAAGAACTCCAAATCACCCTTGAAAAAGAGTCTCAAGGAGTTGAAGCGCTTGTCACAATATGATTTCAGCGATCCACGCCGTGCAGATATCAGCAAACTAAAGAAAGCCGGGTACGCCAAAGCGTGGAAAAACGCAGCGTGTACGGATGCAGCCTTTGTGCAGACTCAGTTGGATATCGGCCATGCCATGTATCTGAAACCAGCACTCAAATACGCCGCCAGTGTCGGCGTCCATTCGAATCTGGGGATGGCGTTGTTTTATGGTAATATTCAAAGACAAGAGCTATTGCACATAAGAAGACAGGAGAGAGAGAAAGAGAGAGAGCTGAGGTGAAACTCTTTTAGCATTGGAGAGAAAGAGAGAAAAAGTAACGCTAATACCAATGTGCTACACAAACGACGCTATTTTCATCTAGATACGATTGTCCAACATGGCTGGCAGGTATGGTATTTTTGCTGACGATATGAGAAAAAAAAATATTTGATTGAGATTAGGGGTAATCAATTAAGCGTGGGTCTGTTTTTTTACTGATGATGTTCTTCGCACCCTACAAAACTACTACTACTACTACGACGACTTAGTACACCGAGCCGCAGATCAACCTTCCCAGAATTCTACATCTGACCGGAAAGAAGCGATCCAGCGAAAGTGAGAAACAATACTTGACACGTTTCCTGACTACTCGACGACAGCTGGCATGTTGCTCGCCTAGTTCAGTATGGTAAAATAATCAAGTCCACATCTGATTGGCAGTGGTGTACATGGTATATAGAGTCTTGGGGGAAAAAAGCAAGCGGGTTTATTAATGATGATATATATAATGATGCCATATAGGAACGATTCAGCCAGTCGGATGTCTGATTTGCAAAAGCTGGTTGATGATTGGGAGCGCAACAAGGATCTCAAAGAGTCAGTGCATCTCGAATCCTTTGATGTCACCGTGAAAGGGACCGAGGGTTTGACAAGCGACAAGGAGAACTGCGGCAGCAGCAAAAAGCTTAAAGGCAAAGCACAGCCCAAGGATTTACCGATCCCTGACACTTGTCCAAATCCGTTGATGTCATAACATAATCAGCCCCCTTCCCCGGTTTTGAAACAAATAAAAGAAACTCTAACAAAACACGTTACGAAAAACTGATAACGGGAATCCGATAAAATACCCAAAAAATTTGTGTGTGATGCGTTTTTATCGGAAGTTGGAGTTTTTTTTTTTTTTTTGGGATTAGGTGGGTACATGACAAGCTCTTCTTAAACTTTGACCCGAAGACACCTATACTCTTTTTTTTTTTTCCCTAAAGGAACATTTAGAATCCACTTTGTCCTTTATTTTTTTTTTGTTTTCTTTATCTTTATCATCATAATCACAACAACTTCCATGCAGTCGATGGAGTACCGTTACCTAGGCAACTCTGGCCTCAAAGTCAGTGTCTTGTCTCTTGGATCGTGGATTACGTTTGGTAAGTAACTCAACTCCCCACCAACCCAAAAAAGAAATCAAGTTTACGCGATTTTAAGCACGCGTGCACGCAAGAAAAAAGGAGAAGAAAAGTAAGAGCAGTCATCTTAATAATAAACTCTCTATACATGTATAGGTGGTCAAATCACGCTTGGTAAGAAAACGTGATTCGCTTTTTCCACACACACGGATTTCAAACCTAGCAGTGTATGAATATATGTCCGCTGACGAACTATGCGTTGTGTATAGAACAAACGACGGAAATTGTAAAAACCGCTTTGGAACTAGGGATCAACCATTTTGATGTAGCTGAATCGCATGCAGGTAACTCATTGATTCAAGTAAAAGAAAAGGAAGGAGGTAGTTGTGGTGGGGGCTTAAAGGGGACGAGGAGGAGAAGGAGAAGGAGTCTATTTCACCATGGTTACATAAAACGCACTTGCATTATATGCCGCCTTTTTTCTTTTCATACCAATTCCCTTTATACGCACACGCATGTTCTCCTTCTTATGGTTCTCCATGTTTGTCCGGGGCTAACTCTAAACACTTTGCACATCCTCCCCTTTTTTTCTTCTGTACGATATTTAGGCGGGCAAGGAGAAATTGATCTGGGGTTGGCATTACGAAACCAAAAAGGACTGAAACGGTCAGATTTCGTATTGTCAACCAAGGTCTTTTGGGGCGGGAAAGGACCCAATGATCGAGGATTATCGCGAAAGCATGTATTTGAAGGCACTGTCGCGTCGTTGCAACGGTTGCAATTAGACTATGTTGATATCATATATGCGCAAAGACCAGGTAAATACAGCTGTCAAAAATAATAACAGGACAATGAACGTTTATGAATCCAAAAGACTGAGACTCTTTCCGAATTTGGGAAACAACCTCTTTTTTGATTATTTCTCTCAGATCCAGATACCCCTATGGACGAAATTGTAAGGGCATTCAATTGGTGTATTGATAAGGGGATGGCATTGTATTGGGCTACCAGTGAATGGCCACCATACCTTATTATGGAGGCACATGCAGTTGCGTCCAAATTGCAGTTAATTGCTCCCATTACCGAGGTAAACAAAAGAGGTTGAATAGGAGGTGATGATAGTGACCCGAGAAATGGATGCATGAACGCTGACACTACACTTAGTCACCGCAATATAACATGCTTAATCGAGAACGAGCCGAAAAAGAATATTTGCCACTGTATCAAAAGTTTCGAATGGGTACCTGTATCTGGTCCCCTTTAGCTTCTGGTAATTTAAAATAATGACACTTTCCCCAGTGATTGGAACTGATTGTAGCAGCAGCAGCAGCCAAGGACAGCAGAAATTAGAATTGACTAAAATGGGTTTACTGGCAGGTCTTTTGACTGGAAAGTATAATGACGGCGTCATCCCGCCATATTCCCGCCTTGCTATACAAGATCATCCGGTCATCAACAGGTTACGGGCCGGGTTCTTCAGCGAGGAGGGCCGACGAAAGATTGAAAAGGTCAAACTGATATGTGTAAGTCATCCATCCTATCAAGTTCTATGCAGCGATTAATACTTATCACGATACTAAAAAGAAAATGATGTTGTAGCAAATTGCTCAGCGACTGGGCTGCACACCTGCACAGTTATCGATTGCATGGTGTTTACGGTGCCCACACGTTTCCTCTGTCATTATTGGCGCATCTACGCCGGAACAAGCCAAAGAAAACATCCAGGCATTGAAGATACGACACTTATTGACCGACGAGGTCATGCATGACATCGATCGGGTAATGAATGAGTTGCCTCAACTGTTTCATTCATTTGTACTAAAAAAAAACACTATCTTTTTAGGTGCTGGGTAACAAACCTGAGCCGATCTTTGATTTCCGGCAGTCGTAAACTAACAAAACAAAAAGCAACAAATAACCTGATCCTCCATTTCATTCCATCCGCACACACATTCACGTTATCCACATTCAGACACACACACACACACACGCATGCCCTTTTCTCTACATAGTCGTCTCTCTCTCTCTCTCTCTCTCTCTCTCTCTCTCTCTATCTCCTGTTTTCTGTCTCTCTGATATCTGTCCGCTTCTCTCTCCTCACTTTTGACACACACACACACACATATATATATATATATTTATACTTCAATTTCGAACTGTGTACCAAGTCCTCTATATCTCTTTTTAAAAAAGAACGCTTACATAGAGTGGATGGTCACGTAAATAAGAGTAAGGGGTATTGATGATGGGTGGGAAAGAAGCAGAACAGGGTTTATTAGAGGCAAGGATGGTTTCGAAACTCGACCATAGTAAGCCTGTAATAACAGATGATCTGGGGTGGTGTGATTGGATACAAACTTTTTTTTTCCTTGTCGTCATCAAGACGAAAAGAAAAACCTTGTTTATTATTAATATTATTATTTGTTTCTGGGATATGTTCATGAAAAGAGGTTTTTTTAACACAGAATGGAGAAGGAAAGAGAACATTGTGAGATGTGTTGTGGTGAGAGAGCGTTATGTAATGTGGAAGACGAGAAGAATATATAAAATGAGAAAAGAAGAACTATGTTTTGTGTGTGTGAGTGTGAGGAAAGAGATAGAGAGAAGGGTGCTATTAAACGGGAGAATATATGAGAAAAAAATATGATTTGACTTGGTATACTAATACTACTACTACTACTACTGCTGCTGCTGCTGCTGTTGATGATGATGATGATGTTGATGCTGCTGCTGTACTACTGACACGATGAGAGAGAGAGAGAGAGAGAGAGAGGGAGAGTACTATTATTAATGATGATGATAGAAATAATAGAAATCGTCCTCTTGCTGTTGGCAGTCTGTCGAGCTAGGCATCATGGACAAAGGAGAGAGAGATGAGGTTGGGGATGCAAATGAATAAGAGAAGGGGGCAGCAGTAGTGGTAGTGCCGCCCATGGCTGCTGCAGTAGCAGCGGCTGCCGAGGCGTCATGCGGCGGAAACATGTTGGTAGCGTCAGGCGTACCAGGGACGGAATCGGAAATGATGGACGACCCACCCAGGACGAGTTGCTGCAATTCAGTGTGGTCTGAGAAAGGTGGCGACATGACCCAATCGTCCTGCTGCTGTTGTTGTTGTTGTTGTTGTCGTAATGATGATGACGACGGTCGATACATGATGGAGCTGTTATTATTACTATTATTAGATTGCTGATGGATGATGGAAGTTGAAGATGTGGAAAAGCCCGATGAGGCGTAAGGATGATGACGCTGATACATGGCTGCTGCTGCTGCTGCTGCTGCTGCATGTTGCTGTTCTTCCGAAGCCGAGGTGCTGTATTGTTGTGGGTGGGACGACATGTACGGTGCAGATTGAACCGTATTGTCTGAATCTTCCCTCTGGTGATGATGCTGCTGCTGCTGCTTTGTCTGCGATGTGAGGTAAAATGAGCCCAAGTGATTGGGTGTCGTTTGCATATTATTATTGGCAAAGTACTGGCAAAAGTACGCGGTGGGGTCATCCTCAAACAATGGGTGAAGCACTTTGTCAATGTTGAACTGTGCAGCAAGTGCTTTGGCACGTGCAAAGGTGATCCTAATAACAAATTGAAAGGGGAAAGGAGGTTAGCAAACAAAAAGATTCCCATGGAAACAACCCGCAAAGTGTTGTTTTTTTTTTCTTATGTGGTGCTAATTGGGTTGGATGGGAGGGAGCGGATAAATCAGATCACACTAGTGAAGCCTAGTAGTAATAGTAATAGTAACTCACCAGACACCCTTCAAGTGCATTGCTCCAACCTTGACCACGACACGACCTCGTTCGTTCTTCAATATGCCATCACGCTTCCCTCGTGAGATACCGGTGACATTCAACAACTTTGTGCCGTTCACCATGTCGTTATCTATTTACATTACATTGAGCAACACAGAGAGTAAGTGTAAGTGTGTGTGTTTAGTGTGAAAGTTGCCAAGTTTACGCCACAAACAGTTGGTTCAAATTTAAATTTCTCTCTTTTTTCTCTTCTAAACTCTATACGAAATTTCGGGTGCTTTGCTAACCTTGTCGCCTGGCTACGCAAATGCCGCGTGCGTCGACTTGGAAACAAATGGTGTTTTGATCTTCCCAAATTGACGTCGTCAGCTTGGGCCGAGTGATGGGTGGTTCTGCTTGCTGTTGCTGCTGTTGATGATGATGATGGTTATAGGTATGCAATCCTGCATCGTCCGCGGAACCGATGCTTCCATTGCTGGACGACTGAAGATGATGCTGTTGTTGTTGCTGTTCCTGCCAGGGGCCGAGGTATGGGTTCTGATGGATATGCTGTTGTTGTTGTTGTTGTTGTTGTTGTTGAGGATAATAGCAATACGGTGATTCGGTACTGTTATTGTTACTGCTAGGTCCATAAAAGCTAGACTGCTGTTGTGGTGCGGATACAGCGGCGTACGGGCTTGTTGCAGATACGACTGCTGGATGCTTTGTAGGTATCATCGGATTGAATGGTGTAGCCGCCGGAGCAGCGTCCGACGATGGATTCATGTAACCGAACATTTTTCTTTTTGTAAAGAGAGGCGGAGAAGAAAGGGGAAGAGAGTAATTTCTTAAAGAGTAGGTGTGTGTGAGTGTGTGTCGTTTGCGATTCGGGGAAATGAACAACAACCAAAGGAAAAATAAAGAGGCAAAAAGCAAAAAGAGTTATAACAGAGAGCGGGGAAGAAGAAGAAGAGAGAGAGAGAGAGAGGGAAAAAAGAGGAGCAAGTTGCAGCCGTTACTTAAAGAGAAGAAGACGAGAAAGGGAGAAGGGGGTGGCTCTTAAAAAAAAAAAAACAGATGATGACAGCCAAAAATAGGTCGTTACTGCCGTGCAGATCCACAAAGAGTTTAGACGTAGACGGCACAAACAAGAATGCAACCACGAACGATAGCGACAGAATGACTTGGCAAAGGGTGCACTCGAAAGAGAGAGATGGAAAGCCAAGCAAATTGCAATTGGCAGCAGTGACAGTCAGTAGCAGTTGGGGTCTCTTATCAAAAGACAGGCGGGCAGTGGAGAGGAGGAACACGAAAAAAAGGGAAAGAAGAAAGAATGTGCGAAACGGGTAAGCGTCAAATTGGGGTGAGTGGGTTGAGAGTGTCGGGCCAAGCACTAAAGTAGTAGCCACCAGTAGTGGCAGTAGCAGGCAGTAGCAGGCAGTAGTAGTACTAAGTACTAGCAACCCAGAAAAAAATTTTCGCGCGACGGCGCTTCTTAAACAACAGCAAGCAGACCCAAATAAAGGTTAATGATTCGATCAGTGAAGGGAAGTGTGTGTGTGTGCCTTGTGTGAGAAACAAGGAACTTGTCCAATGGGGTGCTTCTTCACTCACTCACTCACACACACACACACACTCCCTGCCCTTTGGCCCTTCAACAATGGCTCTCTTTTTTCTTTGTTTGAACTTTAAACCGCTGGGACGAGAAACCAACACACATCCCACGAGAGAGCGAGAATGAAAGAGAGGTGATACCAATGTACTCCTCTTAGTGGTCCACATCACACAAACCCTTGCGTTACGCGGTCTGCGTCATTGTTGGTTAAAGCCATCGTGCCTTCTATCTCTGTTCCGCTGGTGTGTGAGTGTGTGTGCGTGTGCGGAACAGAGACAAGAGAGATTACACAAGAGCGATCGGCAACTGTAACGGATTTAATGACGAATAAAGCAAGTGCCTCGAAAAGGTACTCATTTGGGGCTGCTCTTGTTGCCCCACCAACCCCCCCCCCAATTCGCTTCTTCTCGATGGACTGTGAGCCACGCCATGTTGCCATCACTATGGCGGACCCGGCTTGCCACTCTACCTACCCATTGAACCAATCCCACCTTTCTCGTTAGCTTATCACCTTCTTTGACGGACAGGTTTAACATAGTGAGTGGTCATTAAAACTCAGCCATCAGCTTGATTGCCGTGTTTGGAATGAAGAACTCGAAAACCTTGTTGCGCTTTATATACCAACATGGTTGTGTGTCATCAAAAGACGAAAGACACAGAAAGCTCATTTGTTCAGCGTGGGGGTGGGGGTGCCGCTGTGTGTCTGCCATGGGCTGACGACGTGGACTGCCTGCTTCTGCAAGTCCTACCATGTGGCTCTACTCTGAGTTGCTATTGAACTATTCGACGGAAAAGTTGATCAACAAGGCAAAAAAAAAAATACACTTACTACTCCGCTCTAGTAACCCGTCCCCCATCCTTGCTTCACATCACACAATCCTCGTCATCATCATCATCATCATCATCATCATCATCATCAAAAATTCCATTGTTGTGTGCTTCCATTCGGGTTGCTACGCGAGAACAAAAAAGAACGAATCACGATTATGGTATTATACAGAGTTCCCGAGTTCAGCCTTTCCCCCACCCCCTCCCCTTTCATTCCTTTTTCCCCGACGCTTGGTAGTAAAGAACACATACAAGGTGGCAGCTGCTGATTTTACGCCCTCAAGAACGAAGGGTCAGTGCCGATCTGCAATGTAATTGGACCATCTGCAGCAGACAAGCCGGAACTGCTCACTGGTAGACCATTTGAATGAATGATGGATTCTCACACTCTTACAAAACTTAATAACAATTATAAACACACACACGAGAGATTGCATAAATCAAAACCGGAACAGAGCCAACCATCATCATCATCATCTTACTAGTAGATCAAATAATATCAAGAAAGCCACGAGCGTCCCTGCGTGCGTGCGTGTATGTAATTATAAGATTAAATACCCGGCTCCTTTTGATATAGTGCAGCGTATAGACAGAAATGCATATTAGCTGCAGCGCATCTGTGTATGGTTTGAACGTTTATATAATATAGACAAATACGCAACCTGGTTGCAGGCAGCAGACGATCATTTTATAATGCTAACCTGCTAATTACTGATCTGTTGGGCGCATCGTCACTTGCGTGTGGGGTGGCCCGCGCTGCAACGAAAAGTTAAAACCCTGCAATTTTCTTGTCAAGAATACAAAGGGGTGGGAGACCCTGACCAACAAGTGGAAGTTTTTAATGCACCCAGTGAATCGATTAACTCACAGCCCAACTCCCACAACCACCATCATCATGTAACATCATCGTTAGATTTACTCTTTTTTTATTTAATTATGATTGTATCAAGATGGGCTGAGGAGAGCAGATAATCAGACATAGAATGGGCTTATTAGGATAGATAGAATAACAATAACGAGGAGGCTGAAAACACAAAACATGACAGTCGTAGTGTACTACTATCTTCTGCCGCCAACAAGCGCACCTATCATCATCATCATCATCATCAGATCCAATCTATAGAACTTTATAGTAGTATTGTAGAGGAGGGGGGGGTGCTCGATTTGGGTTCGTGTTGGGGGATGGTGCTGCGGGAGAGAGAGGGAGAGAGAAAGACAAAAAAAAGGGCGCTATATTTACTTGACCGATAATCATCAGTATATATGCAGTCGTGCATGAGATCTTGTTCTCGTGTTTGAAAAAAGCAAGGAAAGTGAAAATGATAATGAAGAGGTCAAAGGCCACGTAGTAGTAATAACTATCATATAAGGGCGCGTTTCATTTCAGGACATACTACACACACACTCACACACACACATGCAAAGCGTGTACTTCAACTTCTCGCGCAGCACAACAAACACACAAGCACACACAAGAGCTTGTTTTGTAAACCAATTAAAGACAGCCGGTGATAATTTAGAAGCCTTGTCTGTGCGTGATTGGGGTCATTCCGAGCTAAAAGAAAAACAAGATGGCTGTTGTTGCGTCCAAGTGCTTTCGTGCTACTGCTAATACTAAAGAACTGTTTTGGGTTTGCATGTTGATTGGTGCTAGGTATTGTGTTGTGATGATGATCTCATGATTGAATAACAGCCTCCCTCTTTCTTAAACGGTTAGCGATCATGCGTTTATTTCCTTTTCGCTGCAACCATTAGTTGATTATATATACTTTCCTTGTGCGCTTGCAGTTGTTGAACAAAGTTCTGTTATCATCATTAACGATATTTCCAAAATCCAATTAGGGTCGGTATCTCCTTCTTTTCTCGCCACAGCAGGCGTAAGCAACATGGCAGCAGTACTACTATTATGCGACGTTTATCAAGACGATTATCAAAAACGGGGGGCGTGGGTGCGGAGGGGCACAAAAGGAGGGCAAAAGGAGTGTTTTCAAATAGCTACAGTCTCGATCTCTTTATGACGCAGCAGTTCATATTAGATATAAGCAGTGTTGTATACTGAGGTATAATAATGCTTTTACTACTGCAATAGCACTGTTGCGTCCAATAACAGCTAACCCATTTACAGCCATGCTTTTAATATGTCGGCATCAAAGAGGTGGAGAAAGAAGGTTGTGTGCACAATGCACGTTTTTTCCACTCACAGTGTTACTGCTGCTTATTTATTTGAAAACTTTTAACGAGTTTCAAAGTTACCAGATAGCAGCGGGTAGTAGTAGTAGTAGTAGTAGTAGTAGTAGCGGCAGGTACAGCTTTCGAAACAACAGCTGAATGGCTCAACATAAAATGAAGATATACATCTGAAGCTATAATAACTAATATGTACTAACGCGTACAAAACCTATATGAGCTAAAAGTGTTTCATCAATTAACATCATCATCATCAACTAGTGCACAAAAAAGAAGAACTTCTGTCGCTTTCGTTTTTTTTACAGTATTATAATAGTGCTGCATAAAAAACCACTTCAAACAGCCTCCCCCAAACCCCCAAAAACTGTTCTTGTTGTTTTGTTCCAAGGAACGGGCAAAACTCAAATTGAATTCGATTGAACTATATCTTCTGAATGGTAGAACAGCATGTTACGTTAGAGAGGACTGCATAGGATGAAGGAGGAAGACGTACCATGAGTAGTGGTAGGCTTTTTGATGATAATAGAGAGGGCAATTGGACGACGACGACGACGATAGATGGGGGAAAAATAGAGAGAGAGAGAGAGAGGATGGAAGGAGGGACAAGACTGGGAGCAAGGGAACCAGTAGCATTATGCAGCTAGTACAACAACATCATCATCATCATCGTTACGATTATATGCGGACTCCTGCAGTGTAACTTAAAAACTTGGCAATATGAAACAATGCACGATTTGATAGAAACAATCCTCATGCTGAACACCCAACTTTCTGCTGTTTCAAAGCAACACGCTTTGCCATCTGATATGATGATTCATGGGGAGGGGGAGAAGGTGGGATACAAGCTACAGTTGGATTTTGTTCTATGTGCTGTAGTATGAGCTCATACGGATAAAGAAGATAACAGTATGCTGTTGAATAGCGAAAGTAGCTCTTTTCGATGGTTGTTTAGGTTAAATCTCAGTCAAGATGCTGCTGTTTCTTCCTACATACTATTCCACAGGTAGGCTGTTAGTATATCTTGGAAGTTTGTTCTTGGTTTTCTCAATAATAGAGTTTACTTTTACTACTACTGTAAATCATATAGTCCGGAATTTGTCACAACAACCGGGTATTCGGCAAGCGACATATCTAGCTTGCATGTTTATGCATATCTTGCTTGGTTGTATACTGTAAATCAGAAGCTGTGTGCAAACACGCATGTTATGTATGTGAGTATATATATATGATATAGCTACTCTTAGAAAGGAACGAATAGAACAAAACAGTATCGTCCAATCCATATTAGGCTAAATTACCTCGTATCTCGTATCGAAATGGTAGCTTAGAAGTATACTTGATGTCTATTTGTTCATTTTGTTTTAAGATCCACAATTGACAGTACTGTGTACAAGGTACGGCGTCGTTTTGTAGGTTGCTTGGCGGATAAGTTGTTGCTTAGAAAGTTTGACTCATTCCGACAAAAATTATACACTGGTATTCTTTTATAATATTGCAACTTGCAGTGATGTTCTCATTTTTGTTGGCGCTCAAGTAAGATTCACTTTTGAAGAGGAGGAATAATAGGGATGATATGTACATATGTGCATACTACAGCACCTTCGTTAAGACAACCTTTTTACGTCCATTGTAGTTTTAATAATAGATCATTTTTGTTTCTATGAGTATTCTTTTTACACTCGTTCGGAAACATTGCTTGTGCTTATAATACCAAGTTTGGTCTGCCCGTGTGAAAAGAATACTGCAACTCGAACTTCGTTCATAGTCTCTTCTCACATGTAATGGTTTTGTACATGTAATCAGTCCCACTTGATTCTTCCTTCACACGTGTAAGACACCGCCACTACAGTAGTATACATTAAAATTGATGAAAGACGCGTCAATCACTCTGCTGCATTGTGCGCCGTTCCTTGTATAGTGCTTATTTATTTATGTACTATATGTTTAACTTTAGACTATAAGTACATGTTACTCGAATTCTTACAAGGTCCCGCGCTTTGCTGAGCATTGTGTTGCATCATACCTTCTGTCAGTGATTTTTATTATTTATCGTTACGGTATCATCATCGGCTAAAACACACATTTATAATGTCATATCATCAGCATGGTCCATTTTTAAAGTTACAGGAGTAAACAGACATTGATATACTTACTTCAATATCATGACGACGAATGACGATAACGGTTATGGCCAAATAGCATATTCTCAGCTCGATTTGTGATCCGGGATTGTCTGCTTAAAATACAGACACATCCCGTGCGAAAAAAAAACATGGACAAAATCTTAATGATGGTTCACGCACGTGAATTTATTCGTTGTGGTTTATGCTGATGATATATTGAACAAATGCATGACCACAAGCTTTTTATGATGGTGACCCTGTGCATAGAAATAAGAAACGGTTTGCGGTCTACTGTATAGAGAGAGCAGTGGTGGAGAATACAAAAAATGTGTAATTGGTATGATTGAATCATTACGGATGATATTGACGGCTACCATACAGTATTGACTTTTGGCGCGTTCGCAAAATCTATTTTAAGCACTTTATCTTGTTTTGGATGATGATGAATCTAAGTATGTAAAGTAACGGCATCATATACACTGTGATATGGTATATAAAAAAGAAACTAAATTGTATAAACGGTGCTTTTTGCTTTAAAACTCTAAATATAGCAACAGTATACATAATATTGTCTATCCTCAATAAGCAAAGTATCAAATTAAGATATTATTATTCGGGCGTAAAACAAGGGAGGAAGAAGTAAGAAAAACTCTAATAAGTACTGAGCTTACCTGCATAATGCAATGCAAGAGGCGCCTTCTTTCTATGTGAAAAAAAATAATCTTAGAAAATCCCTACTCACACGGGTTTGAGTATACGAAACAGCGTACACCGTCAACTGTATGTTGAGAGGGTTGGTTCAGGTAAATCATTTGTGCAGGCCTTCTGAACACAAAGAATTTCTAGTTCTGCACATCATTTAAAGGCGTTGTGTACATAATCCTGAAAAAGGTGGTGATCTACAACAGCATATTTCGTTGTACAACGAATACGCGTAAGCACTGCTAATTACTATGTACTCATTTCTCGTTTTTGTGTCATATGCTATGTCACATTGACGATGGTAAAAGTTGTGCTAATAGGTTGTGTTCAATATTATGTCATACACGGCGAATTTTTATTTTCAAAGACGAGTACAACAAGGAGGCTTTAGTGAGATGCATACGCTGGTGTGGTATGACATTGATTGCATTGATAAATATGTTCTGCTTTAATTTCTATTGAATTTGATAGCTCTATTTAGGCTTCGTTGTGGGCCTGACGGAAGCAGGTAAAAGTGTGGCAACGGATGTATTCCTGTTCGCAGTTGTCTTGGCCATGTCTGGCGTATCCCATTGGGCAACGGTCTACACAGTCCTTTTCGGTGAAATGAATGGCATCTAATAATACAGATGTAACGGCGATAATGGTAATCCATTATCATTCAGTAAAGAGATGATTGTACTTGTGATGCTTCGTTAGACATATATATATATATATATATATATATTTACCGGACATAATTAGCTCAGTTGGATCCTCCTCCGCTTCTGAGCAAGCAAGGGCTGTCGTGGCGGCAAAATAGATGAAGACTGGCAGCAAGAATTGGAAGCGCATGATGTTGATATGTGATTATTCCTTCTTATTTAGTTTCTTGGTTTTTAATGTTGGTCGTTGCCGTCGTTGTCGTCGTTTTATATAGTTTTTTTTTTGTTTTCGATATTCACAATATCAGGTCATCAAAGAAAAACAGCCCATACTTATATGTTTGCTAGAAGGTCTCAAACTGACGGGGGGAAACAATATGAGTGAGAATCATTCGATTAATAAAACCCCCGGTGTCCCTTATTCAGCCCTAGTTTTTTTCTCGATCTTCAGTAGAAAGTACTAAAAAACACATGAGGAGGAAGCGTAATAGTGCTGTTGCTGCTGCTACCAAAATAAAACAGCAGCAGCAGCAGCAATAGCAACAGCAAATGATTGTGTACCATACCGCGGAACTCAATATATCACCTATTCAACAACCAACGACCCTTTCTCGCCTCCCCTGCTTCACCTACCTTAATAAGACGAATTATTATAGTACCATCATACAGGTACTGTAAGCGGACATTTTCTGCCCAAGTATGTCACCTAATTAAGGGAGAAGAACAGAGGAGAGGTGCAGTTTGATTACGATGGATTGAAACTGGTAAAGTAAAAAAAAAGGAATTGGCATAGTATTACTTGTGAGGAAACATACTCTTGGCTGGATATAAGGGAATGCTTGTAAAACAGTAATTCTCAAAAGTACCTTTCAATTTGCCCTTCTTTCAGCAACGGTGGTGATATATAGTCGTGTAATTGATGGTGATTTTCCTTCGCAAACTAAACGATACAACAAGCAGTTGTTGTTATCAAGTATACTGGTAGCGTTTGCGAATCCCTACTGCTTATTATACGCTGTTGATAGAGATATGCCAAAAAATTTAATATGTCAGAAGTTTGTTCGTGTGAAGCAACAACATCAAAGATTATGCACGCCACTGCTGAACATCAAATTGCTGTTGGAACATTTAGAAGAAGCTACAAAAGCTAGGGTACTGCAGTTTATTAAAGTGAGCCCTATTGTTCACGCTGCACACACCCCCCAAAATTACATTATAAGCAGCATGTATGTACCACTATGCGAGTGGCTGCAGATGGAACCTCATTATGTGAACAGCCTTTGATGGCCCTTCCACCCAATACTGCTCCGCGTACACGGGACACCATTAATATGCATGTCGCCCAGACTATATGCCGAAACCGCTCAAAAATGGATATTCCATCAGCGTCCCAACATTCTGCGTCAAGCTGGCGTGACAAGACGCGCTGCTACATACATCTTCCTTTTTTGACGTAACGACAAAAGTGTAAAACGCAATGAAACGCTCACTTCAGTCGAGCAGTTCATCCAACAAAAAAAAGCTTGCATCTGAATGCGTCGGAAATTTAAGGTTGTAATCTGATGCTGTTCAAAGATTGCAAAAAGCATTAAAGTACGGACATCTAGACGGCAATTGAACAGAATGTGTTACATACTATTCACGACGAGTATTGCTGACTTTGTCGTCCTGTCGCTCTCAGTGTGGGAAAAGAATAATGCATGGTAGGGTCAGTGCTGGTGGTTACATAAACTTACCATTTTTGTCGCCAGTGAATTCACACACACTGCATATATGGATTGATAACGCCAAATATGTACACAGTGTGTGTGCTACCTACAATTAAAGGGACATCTGCTATTGTGTTTGAGAGGTATTATACTACCCGCTTTAATGCTAGGCTACGTACTTCCTATGTAGTGAAATAAAAAACATCAAAGTGCTCATGATATCAATTGATTTAATATACACTAAATCATATAACAAAAGAATTTAAGTTGATCTTATCGAGGAAGTAAAAAAAGGCAATTTCATATGTACGACAGCCCTTGATAGATAGGTACACCGAGCATGTATTACATAAGAAGCGGTGTTTTTACTTTCGGCTGATGTACTGCTTGGTTTCCGGTGGCCCAGGGTATGTTGTCATACAGAAACATGAAATGTAACACTGAAGAATATTGCATAACTGTGTAGAAAATGATTTATGGAAATACCGTTTTCGTCGGTATTTGTAATGTCAGAAAAGAGAGTTGACAGGTGCACTATGAAATAGTACTGTTTTCCACATGTATCCGGCGTAGCGCTAATGTAATTCGGCCTGACTGCATAACTGTCAATGCGCCGCCCGCCAAGAATTATTAGCCGGTTTTTGTAAGCAGTATACCATTTTCTGGATATTTAATACTTAGTAGAGGATATCAGCTTCGTGCGAACGGGCTCAATTGTATAGCGTAGTCATAAATCACTTCTTAAAGAAGAACACGGAAGAGTCGATAAACAGTAGTATAGCTGTGTGCTAAAGGTCGTACATTGACGAGGGCAGTAAGCGCTTTGTCCTGATCAGTGTATGTATGGGATTTCACAAAAGAAGTATTGGTCACTGGGTGAGGGGGAAGACAATGACACCCAAAAAAATTTTTACAAGGATGGTGGCACAGAGAATCGAGAGAAAAATGGGCTTGTTGGACAACCAAACGCATGTGCGTAGCTATCGTCGCCCATCACCGACGCCGTCAGAGAGTTCTCACGGTTTAGATTTTTAAGTTCCAATGAGATCCACCTGTCAAGTCCCGCTATCTCCCGCTCTGTTATCCACTTGATCTATACATGATAAATGCTCGATTGATTGTATTTACGTAAATGTGATGTATTTATTTCAGGATATCAAATTGCTAGTATGGATAATAGCTAAACAAAGATAGAGAGAGAGAGAGAGAGTATCTGCGTGGTTATATATTTATAGTACAGAGTGAGCATTGCATTATGAAATGCGATGCTTTACAGACAATGAAAATGTAATAACTATAGGGTGTTCAAAGTAGTATTAGATAAAAGTAGTAGTGGTAAAGAGTAAGAAACTATACAATAGACAGCCACTGATGACGAAGACAGTAGAGGACACTAGTGGTAGTAGTAGTAGTCGAAAAATCAATGTGGCATGCTTTTTATGGGTTTAATAGAAACAATATACGGATTCTTTTTGTTGCTCGATATAGAGAGTAGATAGTACGTCCAGCGTTCATCGGGTTTCATCTTTTAGAAGAAAGGCAAGTTCATAACTTTCTCCTCAGCCCAGAGGATGGCGGTCATGACGTACCAAGCAGTGAGCGAAAGAGTGAATGAGACCCAGGCACCAGCCTTGGTCAAGCCAGCGACACCAGTGAGACCGCCGAGACCACCGAAGAAGAAGGTCAAGAACACTTGGAGCAAGACTAATCGAATAATCCAGGGCTGCTTGAAGGTGCCAATGAAGAATACTAACGATGGGACAGCGAATGCAATTTGCCAGAGACCGATGACATGGTGGAGTTCGTGCATACCCTCTTCACCTGCGGCCGTGACCGCGGTCATAAAGCCTGCACCCGAGCTGAACATGACACCGTACGAAATCCAGAAACCGGCGTATGTGAGCATGGTGGTGGCAGCAAAGGTGTTGCCTGCAACCATTTCAAAGATACCGCAGACGAATTGGCCCATGCCCGAAAAACCGAGTGCAACGCCAAGGACGCCCTGAGGAAGCTCGGTGACAATGCCAGCGTTCGTAATGCCGACAAGGAAAGCTCCAAGAGCAAAAGCACCGAAACCAATGGCCATAGGGTTGGACACCTTCTTTGCGTGTTCGGGGACGTTGCAGAAAGGTTCAGCGTGCTGGTGGGAGTGGCTGGAACCGGCACTCTTCTCGACATCAAGGACAATGCTGCCTTCGTGGTGTTCGACTTCGGCTTTCTGAGGGCTCATGGCGATAATGGATGAAAATAAGAGAGTGGTTTCGAAAGAGGAAAAGCGGACGTTTGTGTTTGTACCGAACGAAAAACAAAAGACTTTGACCAAACAGTTATTGCTTTTATACAAATTGATGATTGTTGCACAAGTCGCTCGGCTTTCCCCACAATTTCCTGGCTATATAACTCAGCCTTACCCGATTTGGCATCTCACTTTTAATGGGTGGCGAGGGAAAAAGGAACAATCTAGTAAGGAATATACTTCCCAAAGTCGCTGTAAAATGCAGGAATTCACATACACAGGGTCGAGTTCCACCCGTTATAGACAATAACTTACAACCTGTCAAAAAATGTAGTTTACTTCCCTCCCACTAGGAGCAAACTGCCAAAAAAAAAAAACGAAATACTTTGTATTTTCTCAAAGAACACACGTACACTGTTACCACCACAAAGCTCTATATTTTTGTCCCTCCGAAACTTTACCTTTTCAAGCTCCATCCCGTATCTGGGGTAAAATCGCGACTTATAACCTGGACAAATGAGTGAATTATACCAATGATTTATCTCAGCCAAGAATTCGAAACGATAAGAGCCCTTTGTGTCGCCTTGGTGACCGCTGCCTATGATTCAGCTTTCTAAGCAAACTCCCACGTTTTTCTCTTTCGCCCTCCTCGTTTTTTGCTTTCGAACAGTTTGACAGCATCCTTTTCGCTCTTTTTTTCCCTGTCTTCGATTTTCTCATCAACCCTATAACAGGCAAGCTCTCTTTCCCACAGATCAAGGAGAACTTTCCGAGCTAACAAAAAATCGCCTTTTCTAGCCAACAGGATTGAACTGCCCACCCGGTTAAACGACCACCGAACCTCGGTGATCGAACGCTTTCAGGCGTATCATGTACAATGGGCAGCAGCAAAATAGAAACAATGTACGCGTCAGTTAGTCGCCTGCGATATATACGGCTATCGTTTAAATTATCATCAGCCCCGAGGGTCGCGGTAATAACAACTAGTAGTGCTGCAGCTATGTACCATCATTGCTACCCACAATCCAATTTTTTCTGTCTGATCTCCATTCAATTACCAGAAAATGATCAACGGCATACTAAGGTTGATTCTTCCCGGTTTTGTTCATATTATCTCTGTTAGTAGTTCATGGGAAATTTGCTTCGAAAGCGGATTCAACAGAAAAAACAAGGTTTGAGCCAGCGATCCATCATACACTCACTAACTTGGATGAAGAAGAGCCACACGCACACAACAACCGCACATATACTCACGCGTCATCTGGCTTTTCCCATGCCATAATATTTGATTACAATATACATCCAAAAAGAGGCATATCCACCCACACTCCCCGTCAACCTACTAATAGACGATGCCCCTTTCATGGCTCCAAAAGTAGCGTGATTATCCAAATTCTGATTTCAAGACACACAGACACGCACGGAAAGATCATCTGGCTTGTTGTATTTGCTAGAGCGCGCTTTTATTTGGCAGATCTCCTTTTGGACGCGCGGATGAACGGAACTGCAAAAGCGAACGAATAGACGGAAAGTACCGACAACGATGGATAAACGAAAAGTCTACCATGTATACCGTACATACACCACACAGGGCGTCGTCGTCAATTGCTGTCATCATTCTAAAAAAAAAAGCTACCCTGGACCTTTGGTCTAAAAAGGTCTATCCGAGTAATCGTGCAATATGACAGCAAAGACTACTTTGTTGTTGCTTCATTCAAAAACATAGCAAAAGAAAGACAACAGCTGATACATATAGTGGCTATGTTCCGTCGGATTATATCATTGTTGTAAGAAATGAAAAAGCTTTTAATGGCTTGGGATATAGCTAAGCTAAGCATTTACAAACAGTTGTACACATGGAAATCCTTGCCACTATCGCCACCACTCTTCTCAATCGAGTTGCTGATTCGTACATAATGATACATAGCTCCGTAGAATTTGTAAACAGCTGTTAGTAGTTTGTCGATTCTTAATCAAGTAATTGGCAATACTTCAACATCTCATATGTACTCTCATATTCGACCTATCTGGTGTAAAGTCAAAATGATTAGATCAAAGTTGCAAGTACCCGGTGTTGGTTCCCCTATCGCCATCATCACCATCATCATCACACATAAAATATTAAGTTTGTGCTCCGGCCAAAACCTTCAGAGAAACCGGGGATCATACTCATGGAAAGATAGACTGCGTCCAACAATCGGCCGACAAATGAAATCTATTAAAGAGATGTGTATTTCATTCTCTACAAGTTTGACCTTGAGAATAGGTACTGCCTGTGCGACCGTCAACAGATCAAACCAGGTCCGTACATTTTGTGTTTGATCAGTAGACAAGAACATGCAGCCAAGTATTTGGTTCAGCCCATAGGCGTCAGCTCAAACTGGATATATTTGGGATAATGGTGATAGAGAATATTTCTGTGTGATCCCATGAAGCTGCTGGTTACAAAGAAGAAGTCGTACTGCCCACATAAATTTTTAGTACTACTTTGTAAGTGCATAGTAGTTTGCCATGAAGAAAGATATTTCTATCCCTCAGTTACAGCAAAGCAAAAGATTCTGCTTCGTATGGGTCATTAAATCAAACAGAGAAATTGCGTTCCGCTTGCTCTGCCCAAACTGTGATATATATTTTTTATGCCTGTGCGTGTTTGCGTTGAGACCAAAAGTTCATTATGGACCTGAGACTACCGGAAATAGTTGTACCCAATGGCATTTACGATGAAGAAGAATCTAGCAAGGGACCTGAGATTCATGAGACAAAATTGCAGGTTATGCCCTTAGGCAAAGCTGTTCACACATTACTACACGTTAAAGAAGAAGCTTTCCAACACGCGATCAACAAACCTACCAGAGACTGTAAATGTTGCTTTTTTTATTTTCTTGCTGGATCACCTCTCATTTTCTTTGCCAGAGACAAACAGTAACTACAGACATTAACACGCGTACGATGAATAGCACCAATTGCACGCGCACTGTACTCAATCGATGAATATCTTGAGACACCGCGTTTCGAAGATATATACGATCCTTTGAAAGATCAAGTACGATTAAAAAAACAGGCAAAGTGGGAAGGAGGGAGGCAGCATATTGCTCGCATACATGGACGAAAGTAACGCTTCGTAAAAAACACTGTTGTAGTTCCTGAAGCCTAAGAGTACTCAAGCCAAGGCAGCTTTACGACTGGCACAATATGTCCTTTTACATTCTCGTCACAAGGCTAATTTTCGGTCATTCTTAAAGACGCATGAATTGCAGTCGGGCGATAAGCGTGCGCATTTGGCAGCTGCTTTATTGCTGGAAAGTGTGGCTGTCGACGAATTTATCCCGGACCTAGTACGACTCGCACAACAATATGGGTAACGTCATAATGGAATAAAAAGGTGTATACACTATGGGTGTGCGAGGGCAAAGAAAGAAGGGTAAAAGTTGTTGACTGTGCCGATATGTATATGTATGTATAGTGAGAAGCCTACGATGACTGCATGTATCGCTTGTGATGCAGTACTTGCCTGCTCAAGACAGGCCTTACAACCGAAAAAATCCAACAAGGAAAACACTGGATTAATGATTCAGGTCATTGAAGAGCATGAAGATGATTGGAACGGAATTGAAGAAACCTGGGAATACATTCAGGATATCTTTTCTGTTATGAGAAAGGTACATCATTATTTCTTGTTCTTGCATGGACAGCGTTCAAAGACACTTATATAATTACTAACTGATCCGTTATATAAGTGGTACCCTTTTGATCCAATTGCCACGTCTGCATGGAATGAGCTGCAAATATTCACAGCGTGCGCCAAAAGAGCAATATCTAACCGAAGTAAGGGGATTAAGGATAGAATACATGAATCTGTGAATTTCTTATTAAAACACTTTGGATCAAGACTTGTATAAGCGCATCAACAAAGCATGGAGCAGTATATCTGCCCTTTTAATCTCGAAAAACATCGTATCTAAAAAACCATTGGCTGTCAAGAAGCAATTGGCTTGTTTGCAAGAGGTAGCTAAAACAATGGTTTGTTTTACACATGCATTATACTTATGGTACTACTATACAATTGTAGGAAAGCGATCCATTAGTACGGTATCTGAATATCATTTGTGTTGCGCTGTTGCAAAAGTCCCAATGGATAGTTAATGGAGGTGACAGACTGCTGTCTTTGGAGGAACGAGATATCAAGGAACGAATATATGCCAGCCTTGTTGACATGGTAACGAGTCTCAATTCGAATTTCAAAATTGTCTATTTTGTATGACTCAACTATTTCACGTAGATGGAACAATCACTGCCCTGTCCTTTTGAGACCTGCGGGAAGACACTTATTAGCCAGACAATAGTACATGCTCCACACCTTGTGAATACAGAGCATGTTCCCAGTACAGTATCGAAGAAAGTAATCGAGGCAGCCCTCAAGGGCGACATTGCTTTGGATAAGCTTCCACACTCAGTAGTATTCTCAAGCGAAGCAGTACAAGTACTTGTATCTGCTGTTGGAAATTCGAACGTAAAAGCAGGTGATATGCTCAACGACCTTGTTACAGAATTGGAACGGGATTCATCAAAGGATGCTTTTAACATCAGGTATATTATTGTTTCATTTTTGTTCAGTGGATTAATCATATAATAACGAGGATTTCTCAAAAATGATAACCTTTCTTTTATTGTAGTTGCCCCATCGTCGATGAGCTCTTAAAATTTGTAGCAACCAATGACCTTGCCTGCAAAGTCCTCATTCGGTTTATGGATATTGCTGGTAAGCTTACTATATACCAAGATATACACACACTTAATATTACTTTCTATATACGTAAAAAAAGAGGCTGAACAACAAGGGGAGATTTGCGTAGTTTGATATTTCGATTGATTAAAATGGCCCACGACCCTAATCCGAGGGCCAACCAAGTGTGTAAAGCATTGATTGCCAAGGCATTAATGGCAAAGACTTGGTCGAATGGTGACGGCGTTTTAGTCTTTGTGGGCATGATCAGGTAACACTCGACACAAACACAATCAATCAATATTTCTTTTCTTTTCGCGAGCACTAAATCGAAAAGAGTGTAGATACTTTAAGAGCACGAAAAGATTCCCCGAGGTTAATTCTCACAAAAAATCGCTCACATCACCTGCTGATATTGTTGCCACAAGTTCGTCACCTGTTGAGGGAACAAATGATCCGACTTTAAGCGATGATGGTAAGTAACAAATAGTGGCAGTTAGCAAAATTATTGTAATATATACTCACTACTTGACCATCTGTAGAGGTCCAAAGGTTTGCAGCAGAAGTTTTGTCCGTATTACAGTTATGGGTTATGAAGGTTAGTCAGGATATGATAGATATGTGAATGAACACCTAAATATTCAATATGCGATATTGAATTTTTATTGTAGGCTACCGATGAAGCAGTTCAAAATGGGCTAGGGCAGCTAGTCTACAGCAGTTACTCTGCACCCAATGACGGTACATTTATTGACGCTTGGAAAAACATATCTCATGGAATTGGAAACAACCATCCAGAAGCAATTTGGACTGTCATCATTCGCTGTTTGCATATTATGAAAGACCAGACGAAGTAAGTCTATCCTTTCATAAATGTTATCGGCAAAAATAACTTGTTCGATCAGTGCAATTGAACCATCATATGTTATAATCAGATTAACAGACGAACTTTTTGAAAACGAAACTGAGGAAAGCGAACGTGAAGTGTATACAATTATTGTGAAGCGCCTGTCTCCACTATTAATACTTCGGGTAAACCATTGCTAAAGCACTAAAATTTGCTTTTTTCCAATATTAAGGATACAAATGTTTGCTAAAGCTGTAAGACGATCTAATATGATGTGGTATAGACATTCCATCAACAAGCATATGAGAGCGTTACATTACCTAAAGTGGTTCAAGAAGGAGTGGATTGGTCTACGTTGGACTTTAAAAGTGAAAAAGTAAAATGGTCGTCAGATAATGGTTCCGAGCATCTTGATTTGAGTAAATCCTTATTTGATGAACTCCTGTCCCGGTAGGTTACATTTTTCAAATAATATGTTTAATGACATCCATTGCTTAACAGCTTTACTTTTGGTTTATATTCATTTATAGTGTACGGGATCCAGCGGAATATCAAGAAAATCGAACATTAGCGAAGATATTACTAGAACATATTTTCTGCTTGTAACATAAATTATACCACCTGTAATTTTAGGGAAGACTATATTTTTGTAAAAATGTCGAAGAATACTATTAATACATCTATAAAACCACAGTGTGGATGTAGTAATACTTACTAGTATGCGTACACAGTAGAACACTTGTAGAGTGCTATTTTTAATGTGTTCCCCCGAAGTAAATATTTAGAAAACAAGGATTCTAATACTGCTGGTTTATAGCAGAGACATGCTTAAGTCCTTATTGGCTCTCGTCCTCGCTCAAAAGTACTTCAGACCGATATTCCGTGTCGTAATTGCGGATTGTCTCGAGATAAGCAATGTAGTAGATATACGTAGGATGATATCGTTGATTTTGCCGTTCCCAAGAAGGCACCAGAACAGCTCGATTTCCGCCAAGGGCTCTACTCAAGTTAGGAATATGTGGAACCTTTATATAATTAATGCTCTACATATCATAGGCATCAATACAGCAATATTTACCAGCCAAATAAGCATTCCTAATCAATAGGAAGTTGACCGATTATTAATCAGTAAAATCAACAATGAAATTATCACATACGTAAGTAAGGTAAACAGAAAAACGTTTGCACAAAAGTACTTACCAAACTCGTTTTCCTTTGCGTTTATCATAATGGAATCAACAATATGTACTCGTTATTAAAACGCTATATATATTGGCGAACACGGTTATTGAATTTAACAGGGAAGCACAGCAACACTAGTAACATACGTAACTGGAGTGATGTGAATAGAAGTATACTTTACATCAGAACGTTCAGCAGATAATTGTCGTAGAGTGTGAGAATATGATGGGCAGTATGGTGACCAACGGCCTTCTTTCCACCGGACGGTTTAGTAGTATATCCCATCTTTTATGTATTCGACATTGTGTAAAAGATCGATAAAAGTGTGGGTGAAGGTGCAGAGGACGATGAGTAAAAGAAGCGCCAATGAAGCCATCCGTTTTCTGATTTGGACTACAATTTCGAACACGATTCCCTAACTAAATGGTGAAAGAATATATGTGAATTGCTACTGATCTGTTTGTTATACAGTACATATGTTTCTAGCAGCATAAGCTATCATATATACCTACCGAATTTTTATAAACCAAAGTCGTACCATCGAGTGCAATCATAGCATAATAACAGATATAGCACATGCATCAACCCAACAACTTACAACGTTACTTTCAAATAATATTTTCTACATAAAAGCAACCTATCCATAACACAGAAATGAAGCTCCAAATAATAACTGGATATTCTCGCCCAGGAAGTATGACTATGGCTTCAACAACTGGAAGCAGTATGGCAGCGAGGAAGAGGTAGTTGTAAAGCAGTCGCAAGTACCTCAAGCCGCAAAACCATATGTGGCGTTTCTCTTCAATAACAAAATCGCTTTACAATGAGCATAATAACCGTTGTCGTACTATTGACCCGCTGAATGCAACGTTGACGGAAAACAAAACATGGTTGGCGATATAGATTAGGCAAACTAATGGAAACCTAGCTCGTCTAAATGCTTGCTGGCAACACAGTGCTGTTTGTAGAGATGTGGTACCGGTTTTGAAATGGTGGAAGTTGCTTTGTCGTTGAAAATCATCAAAGCTCGGTCAAGCGCGTTGTGGCATTACGTCGCGATCGTCCTGGTGCCAATATAGCGTCGGGCGATACACCCAGGATATAACAGTGTGGCGTCACCGGTATATAGGATAGCTGGTGCATCCAATCTAGCACCATATCCGGACATTTCGAGCATAAAAGTGGTAATGCGTTCGTCAAGGTGCACAAGTAGTCAGGATGAAACACTTTGGCCGCTTGGATCATGTAAATGATTAGTATCCGGGCGTCTTCATATTATTCGCAAAACACAGCTTTGCTAAAGCACTCGTAATGATTGTAGGCAGGTCATAGCAATAAGCTTTACCGGTGATGTTTGACACCGGTTTTACGTGGATAAGTTACATGTTATCGCTGTTGATAAGCATTCGCTTCATCAAATGGGCTGAATTAGGATGCTGAACAAGGCCGGCTAATACAACATTTCCAGCTGGCGTCTTGAAGAATTTTGGATGATGTTGTATCGCATGTATGAACATGCGATTGGTCTGTCGAAAAATATGATCGAATTTACGGGGCTAGAAGAAAAGGCGATTTATTCTGAATGCTATACATGCGAACTAACGAATGGGGATAGTAAATTTTGAGCTAGCATACCTGCCAGCCTTTGATATTTGACAGCACGCTTACTGTGGACCTCTCGTTTTTGAAGAACACTATGTCTGCTATACTGTATTTTTTTTCCATCGGATGCGTTACGCGCTAATTTCTGGTGGTAATGTCCGTGTACTAGCAGAACAGTAATCATAATTACAATGATTACTGCTCCAACGGCGAGTTGTTGATTTGGTGAACTCTTTGATTTGGTGAACTCTTTATTTCAGGCACGCAAAATATGTAAACCAACCTGTGGAGGTTATAATCTGGCTCCGCAGCGGTAGCAACATTTTTTTCATTATCTTCGCTTGATAGCCGTTTTGTTGTAGCTATCCACAATTGAACGGAGTATTGGCCGACCCGAAGGACACGATGAGTATCGATAAAATACGTAGTAATCCATGGTGAGATGGCGTGACTATGATGAACTTGTAATAAATTGGACCATCGCACGTTGGTCTGTTTATGGCGGAACGGCAGGTTGACAATCAAATGGCGGTATTTGGGTACGCAGAGATGCAAAATTCGCTCTCACGTGTCGATCTGCAAGCACAAAAGTCCATTTGCTGCTGCTAAATCCATCGCAAATGTTGTAGCTTTATCTTCGCCTTCAGATATATATTCCTCAAAAACTTCTCCTAACCAACATGAAAGATCCTGGCGTTGTATCCCAAAGTTCTAGATAGATCTCATGTCGTAAGCGTCGAGGACCATAAGAAACAAATGCCAGGTGAGTATCGTTTAGAAAGCTGATTGCTGGGTCAGGTCAATGCACGCTCCACTCGTTGGTTTAAATACCACTTTCGACGTCGCATATCAGAACCCAATTATGCTGATGAAGGGTCATTAAAAGCCTTGTCGATGAAACAGCCATACGTGCTCCTGGAGGGAATACATGACCCCAAATGACACGAGAAGACGGCCATCTTTTATTGACCACAGCTGTATGGGATCCTTTGCTCGGTATGTCGCTGCAAACTCTCAGTGAAATCAGAGCCATGTCGTGTAAAACGGAAAATCTATAACTCGGACCAAGCGATTCATCTATGCTTTACGTGGTGTAGCCGAAGAGTACAGTGTTAGGTTGAGCTACAGCGAGTGTATTTGGGCAAGAAGTAGCATTGTCCGTCGGAATGTATTTTTCCATGGTAACTGTTTCGCTTCATGAACACGACATATTCCAAGCCATGACACCGCAACAGACCCACCATCTCCAGAAGAGATAGGATAAGACTGCGGTATGGACGAAAGACGACTTTCCACGTCGGTCGTAGGTAAAGTTGTATGATGTTTTGTGGTAGTAGTTGTAGATCGGCTGTAATTTTAAATACGTCGCTCTTTTGTTGGTGTTTCAGAAACGCCACGAACTTGCAGTCCTGCGAAATTACGCACTGATCTATGCAGTTGTTTGTTTGTACGTATATACAATGTACACAACAAACATACAAATTAATACCAGCAGTATCTATTCAGGAATATATGCACGTTATGTTCGATAAGAAATGCATGTGACGAATAATAATTAGTTGTACCAACTACTGCGTTATCGGACATGCTGGCGAAAGAGAAGATTACAAGGAAAGGGTCCCTAAGGAAAGGGTCCCTGGAAACAACTATGATGTTTTCTTTTTGGTCATGTCATGAGTTTGTTCATTACTATGTCATGCTGAATTCGTATGAAATACAGAAAAAATCCACCGCGGGCCAAAATACGTTCTCGCATTTGACGTCATCGGCCCGAGAATATAACGAACAGTGTATGTACCGTTATCCTACTTACCTTCTTTTCCTGCTTTCTTAGCATTAGCGACATGCTTCGTACTACACGACTCTTTCAACATGCATCCCGGGATTTGGTCACGAAACGATCATTCATACATGTCACGAGAGCCACAACAACATCGCAGTGTCCGTCTCTTGCATAAATTTTCTGTTTTCGTTTCGGCGTTTGACATCAAATAAAAGCTCTAATATGATCATTTTTATGGCAATAGCAGTAACGCCCACTCGACCATCACTTGCACGGATAGCAGGAACATCAGCTGCTTTGATAGGATCGACGACATTTTTGAAAAAGCCAATTTTGTGTCAAGGTAAGCTGGTTTGCTTATTCAACAATTTGAAAATGATCAGATGTCATGTCTTACCATTTTTTTTGTCAAAAAGGATACGCTATGCCCGGAGCACCACCGTCTTCAGTGGATGCTACTCATAGCTTTAGTTCAGTGTTCGATGAGACTGGTAGAAAACCAAGCGATGCAGAGGTTGGAAAAACGCTGTTTCACAAGGGCGAGTTGTCCTTTGGCATCGTGCTCGGGTTTTGCACAGGCTATTTGATCAAGAAGGTTGGCAAATTGTTTGCTCTTGCAGTTGGTGCCGGGTACATCTTTCTTCAAGTGAGTTACACGCACTCAAATACAAGACAAACCGTCTTGTCAACATTATGTACGTACCGAGAAAAACTTGCTGATAGCTACTAACTATTACATTCAGTACTTGTCGTTTAAGGGATTAATTACTGTTCACTGGGACCGGCTGGAAGGCGGATATCAGCGTCAACTGGATGTTGACAAGGACGGCAGAGTGACCCACAAAGACGTTCGGACGAAGTGGAATGGATTCGTCGGGATTTTGACTCATAATATCCAGTTTAAATCCACGTTTATGATCGGCCTTTACACTGGTATCCGTTATGGTTAAGAGTTCATTTGCTGTTAATAAAAAATATTAGTTTATATGAATCTTACGACACCGTTGCTAGCTTGCTTCGACAACGGAATAGTCTCACGTTGTCTCCTGTGCTGGTTAACATAATCATGTACTGACTGTCGAGCCAAGCACATTCAGCGTGACCTTATCCAATTTCTTCAGCTGTGTATTAATACTCTTTGCATAAAACAACTCATTAGGTTAGACAAAACGGCAAAGTAATAGATAAGGGAATTCGTGTTACCAAGAATGGTATATAAAAAGAGTAATGGCGTTTCGAGTTAGTGTTCTCTATTCCTTTCTTCCGTTAATCCCATAAAACGCCATGACATCTAAAGCAACTGATTTTGTTCTTGACAAGCCAAACGATCTGGAAGAGTGGCGCGCGAAATTGGTAGGCAAGACCATGGTTGACGGTGATGCTCAAATTACATCAGAGGCAAGTAAAACTAACGACAATATGCACTAACCCAAAAGTCAAGAATAAACCTATTGTATGCTAACACTTCCTCATAGGTGTTCCACGTAAAGGATCTTCCGAACGTTAGCAGAGTCCTGGGACCGACAACGCCTGCAACTAGAGACTATATTCCCAACCGGCTCAACGTCCAAACCGATGAAAACGACAAAGTGACCACGGTGTATTATTGTTAAAAAAAGCCAAAGTAAAAGACGAAATATTCGCAAAAGAGAAAAGAAGGAAGGAGTGATATAGTTTTTGGTAAAAATTGCAAAGGAGGCAGGAGTTACTACAATGATCGGGACGGTTGGGCATTCGCCTGTATGATACGATCTACATCGTGGGGTTCAACATATTTGTCACGGACGTGGGCTTCGTAAGAAGGAGGAGGGAGCTCGTCGTTTGCAGTGATCATTGGATCAAACGGATTTACAGAGCTACTGCTAGCGCTTTGCTGTGGGGGCGTGGGGAGAGGGCGGTTGCGATCACCGGGGATAGTACGTGTGGTGGATGGAGGTGTAGGTGTTGCGGAACGGACGGGGGCAGCTGTCGTGGTTGTTGTCGGTGTTGCAGCCGCGGTACGTCTGGTGGTGGTGGCGGTATTAGAGCCTAATGCTGAATCGCTGCGGCAACGTTGTTGAGTGTTGAAAGAGCAGCTACTGCCTCTGGAGCGGCCATTTGGACTAAGACTAAAATGAAAATGAGGATGAATCAGTTTTATCCCGTGATCATGACATACTATCGGGCTGCAGTTTTTCTGTTCCTTACTATGTTGATGGATCGGCAGCGGCAGTAACAGCAGCAGCAGTAGCAGCAGTAGCATTTACCACGGTTTGGTTGTAGTACGTGTTTGCCTTTTTTATTGCAGCCGCGTATTCTACAATAGAATAATAATGATCGTCAGCATATCATCATCATCATTATCATCATCACAAATAATCTTTACCGTTTCCCGCTGCTTCTATCAGATGTCCTATAGTTGTTCCGCGGTCATTGCTGTAATCTAATTTTTGTTTGATTGGTTTTAGCTTACCATTGACGAAACATATAGCGACAAAGGCGGGAAAACAAAAAAACAACGACTTACTTTTCCAATGCTGGGGTATTGTGGATGAGAAGGATGCTGTAAAAGAAGAAAGAGACGGAAGCGTTAAGAACAGACACACAAGCATGTAATAATGATATCAAAAGCTCACGTGTGTCCGATCTTGCAGTGCCAAACGATGTGCGCCAGTGTTCTCTGGATTCGTCTTGCCTTCGCTGCCGACTCTCTTCTGAGAGTTGCTGTCGCCATTGTGCTAAATCCTGTCGAGCTCTAGTAGTCGTCCGGGAGCCGTTCAGAAAAGGCTTTTCAAGAAGAAAGAAAAACTTTCGCATGAGTTTGTCATTCTGGAAAAGGGGGGAGACAGTGCATTATATGCTGCGGTGCAACTTTACATTATTGTTATCAGAACATGTTCGTCGAGGTGGCGATATCCGCTTTTTTTGGAAGAAGGTTTAGTTTTTCAAAGTGGCAAATAAGGAGGTTGCAAATATTAAACCTAAACTCGATACATACTGGATTACTGCGACAACTTCTGCTTTCTCTTCGATGTGGTACGGGTGGAGGAATCGGTGGCAATTCCTTGATAGTTGAACCGCCGGCTACTGATTGAGGATCTGTCATGTGCAAAACGCATTCAAAAGCATCTTGAACATTCCCGTTCACTGACAGTAAGACATCGTCAATGATTTCTGGGTCGACGTTGGGGAAAGCTTGTCTGAGGGTATGGACCCCATTAGAGGCGGAGGAGGGGGGTTCGAAGGGGTTGTTGTTACTGGGCATTCAAGAAGAAAAAAAGAGTGAAAGGGAATATAGAACCCGAAGGAAAAGCCGAAAAGAAGTGAAGTGCGAATAGAGCACTGGTGCTAAACCTCGTCTTATTATGCCCGCTGTTTCCAATTTTAATGCATCTTTGAACCTGATGGTGCCACAACCCACAAGGTTGGTTTATGCCAAGCGCTTTGCCAAGCAGATGTGGCGATGTTACCTTTGCTACTTTCTGGACGCAGGTAACTTTGTATTACTTGTGTGACCCCGCTTTCTTTGACTTTTTTTAGACATAAATACGCACACCATCGTTGCCCTTCGTAAAGAACAAGAGCTCATTTACGTCATCTTGTCGAAACTCTGCTATAGCTGACTTCGTTACGATTATAGTATCAAGAGGATATGCATTGAAGAACTTACTCTACAGTCTTGGTTTGACCTGATTTCGGGGTTGCTGTCGATAACCTTCTCGTTTTCACATGGAGTTTATTGTGTAATAACTTTACACATGCTTATATAAACCCACAATTGTATTGCGTTTTCTCTACCACAATCCCTGTTGATGGTCGCTCGTCTCCTGATGTGGTAGGCTTCCTCTTAGCCGCGCCTGATTGGCTTGTTTATTCTCAGATAATAAATAAATTTATCCTTAGCCTTCCGGAAAGCACGTATGAGGCTATTTTTTCACAATCATGTAGGGAAGGGAAATACAATTCTAAATGCAAAATGGAATGTTTTACTATTGAGAATACAAAAAGGAAAAAACATTACGATCGAAGAACCGGCGGATCCATGGGCGGGTGCCTACCACATCCTGCGTCTCGCTCCCATCAACTTGTTGAGCAATCATAAGCCGAATACAGTAGTGCGCAAGTGTTACCATGTCTGTCGCACCCAAAGTTATTCTGCTTTGATATTTGATACGGATCGCTGCTTTCAAAAGTGCTTACTGTTGATATTCATTTAGACAAGGAGCGTGACCTGATAATAACATTAAATCAACAAGACGTAAGATTCAGTAACGATGTATTAAAAGTATCAGTATTGAGCAATGCAAATGCTGATAAAAAGGCCTTAGCTGTTAGACGGTCTATTTTACAAAAGGTCGTGCTGGTACCGCCATGATAACCCTGGAAGGGATGCAGAGTGTTGCGCATCATGAGGTAGTTGCAAAGTCGTAAACATGACTATAATCCTTAGCAGTAGCTTCACGGCTCGCGCTGTATTATTCTTCTTTAATTTGATACGATCCACAGTATCAACAGCTTATTTTTACGCATAAGCCTTATCCGATATTACTGATACAATTGTATTCTGATCGTCGCGCAAAACCTTCAGAATGTATCATAGATAAACCTTTGCAACAAAAGTTCGCAGTGACAACTGTTCTAGTCGCTTAATGACTTTGAAGACCAACGAGTTGCCGCGGTATAGAAGAACGAATGGAGAATCTAGTTTGCTGCTAACTGTCGCATAGCATTTTAATCGGTAGTATAGCTCACTTGACGACATGCAATTGACACGCAATTCTCCATGTAGCAATATGATTAGAATAGTTTGTTGGCCTTATTTGTCAGCTGATATAAACAACCGATGAATTGTGAGAGTAGTGATTTTTGCTATCCTACAGGCTCCCTTTTCGAGAGAGATTGTGTAGTCAATGAGCCCCAGCATGCACAGAGTCGTTTGAGTACACAAACAAGTATACATGCATGCATTTCTGTATCATGTACAGATGTACAATGCTCTCGGAAGTGCAATTTTTCTACCCGATTGCTCTTATTCTCGACAGGTCTTTGACAAGTAATGACTGTGTATGAAATTTATGGTAGTGAAATAAGTGAATCTACTAATAATTATATTTCGTACTAAAATGAGACGAACCTGCGTCTTACAGCGCGCTCAATGTTATCATTCCACATGGCGTGTGTAGCTGATATAATTTACAATGTTTTTTGCATTGATCATTCAAAGCTTTATAAGATAAAGCACACATGATTATTGCAATACATTATCAAAACACAGCATTGAAGATTAATTCCACTATTACCCCTATGTGCTGCTTTAAACTGTAAATCTTAGGTAGATGTAAAATATATTATCAATTGCTGAACAAGTTAGTAGTAGTATAAAGAGTTATACTGGATATACATTATACAAGGCTGATGAACATTATAATGAAACTCCAGCTAGTATATCATGAAATATGATATTATTGTTTTTGATGAAGAAGATAGTGATAAGCTGCGGACCATTAATATAGCGCCACTTGTTCCGGTTCCTGCTCGGATCCAAAGCGACGGCGAATCTGTTGGCCATAACATTTGGTCACCAACCAAACACCAGCAGATACCTAACTGACTGCAGCAAAGATCACTATAGGGCTGATTTAATTGATTCGACGATTGGAGTCGAAGAAACTGCAAAGATGCTTCCAATATCCATACGGACCAAAAAATGTGGATGCAAATGCGCGCTGCTGAAGCTGACGCTGCTTGACTGGGGGTTGCATCCGACAAGTATGGCGCCAGTCGCTGCTAAGTCTTGAATTGTGCAAAAACTAGCTCTTGTCAAATGTACACATTATTATGTACACTCTTTAAAAGCTCTACACTGAGATCAGCTACCAGGTGAGCCTTTTGGGTGAAGTGTAAAGATATTTTTTGATTTATGAATTGATTGTTTTACTTTCTACAACATCCAATTAACCTGTATACATACAGTACTAAGTTCCAAACAAAATACATAATAAGAGCGTAGAAGTCGAGTATGGGTAGCACACGAACATTATAATTAAATGCAACTCAGAGGCTCCGCATATTTACAACAAAATCAAAGCAGCAGGTTTGGGTTGGTTTATCATTGTGCATCCATTATAATAAGGTTATCAAGATGACAGTGAGCTGGTGAGCCTTTTTAATATGAAGAGTCTCCATGGTCCTTTGACGGTACTGTTGTCGCTTCTCACGTCGTATTTTAATGCTGCTACTGCTTCTACCACCCTTATATACACAGATACCATTCAACTCAATATATTGACACTTCACATTCTAAAAATCGCATTTATAATGCCTGATAATAGTAAAGAGAGCAAAACATATGCAGATTTATTGTTTTGAAAGGATATACCAAAGTTTATGAAATAAAACAAGGAGCGGCAAACATGACCAATGAATCTCGTGAACTTGATGTTGAATAGCTTTAAACGCCTAGATAAAGAAAGATCGCCTGTCAGTTTTTGCATTCAAATGTTCGTCTTAACCTCTTGTATTTGCGATCCTCACGTACCTTTTGTATGTACTGCATCTTGCTTTTGCGATTTGGGAAAATAGCATCCAGAATTGTAAATCACACTGTATATGTGTCGGTGATTACATCTGTTCATTGATTTTGGATCGTAAAGCCGCACTGTATATGCGTCGGCAGCTTCATCCTTTTTTCTTTTTGTTTGTTGCTTCCCCTACAAGATCGAAACAAACATAGCGTTAGAAAATCAGTCAACTAGATCTTAAATGCCGTTCAGATAATTCAGAGAATAACTTACCATTTATAATGTATGTTGAAAGTATGTGATAATGCGATGCATAAGTGATTGATGTCAAAGAGATCTTCTTGGTTCATGGTTGCTGCTCCTTCGATTTCCCAGTTGTATGGTATAAATTAGTTTTACACTTTTGCTCGTTGGTTTTTTAGTGTGTTCCTCTTGCTCCGATTGATCCAAGTGTTCAACCCAAGCCAACGATGGGATCCGTGGTTGCGTTTTCGGTGAGTGGCACCACGAGATCACCGACCCAGACGATATAAACTCGCTGCCTTCACCAGATTAGCACATGCATGCTACACCGAGCCTGTGGGCCACCATACGCCCACCCATGGCCTGCAAGGCCATCATCGGCGCCCCAGCAGATGATACTCCAACGCACATGGCAAAGTGTTGCGATAATATAACATCGGCACTGACGTCCATGCTACATGCATTCCAGCGCATGTCCTGTGTAGCAAGTGCATGAGAGTGGAGAAATTGGCGGTGACATTTGTGCTGTGTCGTACAGGGAAACGTGAGGAGTGCGAGGAGAACAATGCGACTTGGATCCTCCCTCCCTCAGTGGAAGGCAGAATCTGGCGTGGTCAATGGACTTGAAATGCAACAGCATTGCAATGAAGATCGTCGGGAAACAGAAGCACCAACAGAGACGCCAACCTTGAGAACCGGATACATCTATGCATGACTAGAATGGCTTGAACATTCTAGTCAGAAACCCCATCCCTTATAACGATCTCTTTTTCCAAGTTGCAGCTAGGAAAAAACAGTCGTTATAAGGGATGCATCAAGAGCATCTATCGTTAGTGATTTCTGAATGTAACACTGATAATAGCACAGACCCACGCGTTTTCTCTTTATACGTCACTGAATAAAAGCCTGTACATACCATCATTGTCGTCAAAGAACTGCCTCGCATATCTCTGCTGTGATTCTGATTCTGGACCACCTACAAGACAGATGATGTTGCATCCTCGAAGCCCAGATCGCCCACACCAGATCCCATATACCCTTCCACTGTCCCCCCCGCAGATCCAAGTCGCATTGTTCTCCTCGCACTCCTCACCTTTTCCTGTACGACACAGCACAAATGGCACCGCCAATTTCTCCACTCTCATGCACTTACCACACAATACATGACACACGCTGGAACGCATGCAGCATGGACGTCAGTGTCCGATGTTATACCATCGCAACACTTTGCCATGGGCCTTGGAGTATCATCTGCTGGGGCGCCGGCGCTGCGCCGCACACAGGTCGGCCACCATTGCTCCTATAGATTTAAAAGGGTCATATTAGGTTAGGAAACTGTAATGAAAAGATGATACAGTACATCGTAGTTTAAAAGAATACATACTCTACCTCCTCAAAACTTCAAAATTGCCTTTGCCACAGTGAAGACGGTTCTCGTCTAAATAGAATTTATGCAAGCGTTAGCTATTTAGTCGTTGATCAATATACCAAGTAACAGCATCATATATCGTATGTTATATACCTTTTTCTGGACATTGAATCCAGTAAGAAGCGCCCGAAGGCGCTTTGTCAATAAATAAATAAATAAGTAGGTTGGCGGAAACGGAAGAAGTTTTGGGATGGCGGAGGAAAAGTGGCGGTATAAGCAGGAAGACCTGTCAAAATTAAAGGAAGAAGTCAGTATCCACGATACACGCTATCACGCGTTGAATCCCGTAAAAATCAAGTGAAAGATAACCTTACCAGTATTCATATGAAGGTTTTTTTTTAGTGTATTGATATTTTGATGTTTTTTTGGGTGCTTTTGTGATTTTTTGTTCTGCTTTTTTTGGTTGCTTTTGTGTTTTTACTGTTTTTTTTTTTGCTGCTTTTGTGATGGTTTTTTGCTTTTTTTTCGGGTTTTCTGGTGATTTTCGCGTCGTACGGTACTGCAATAGCAAAGAAAGTTAAAAGGAAAGAAAGCCTTTTCGACCATAAGAAAGAAACGATCAGTTAATAACGCGCTTGTGTTAGTTTTGCGACGGTCGATGAAACAACCTCAGTTTACTTACATTCATGGACCGTAATATGGCCAGTAGACCGGGACAAGATGGGGAGTGGGATCCCACAACATGTCCCTTTCATCGCCCGTCTCCCATTCCATGTCCACTGCTTCCTCAACAACATCCATCTCAACATCCTCCAAATCCTGCAAAAATGCTGGAATGTATGGAGGAGAGAGAAGCTGTTGTTGTTGTTGCCGAAGAAAAGGTGGAGGAGGAGGAGGAAGACGAGGAGAAGTAATAGCAGTAGCAGCAGCAGCAGTAGGAGGAGGAGGGGAAGTAGTAGTAGTGGCAGTAGGAGGAGGAGGAGAGTGTTGTTGTTGTTGTTGCTCTTTCTTTGGCTGCTCTGGCGCCTTCTTCACCTCCTTCTTGACATTGAGCTGTTGAAGCCCTTTATTCGTTTCTTTACCTTTGTTTTTCAACTGTTGAAGTTGCTGCTGCATTCGTGTTATTGGTGACGTGAATGTTGGTGCTGCAGACGATGTTGCAGGCATCAAAGCCGGGGCCATAGGTGGTGGAGGAGGTGGTTGTGGTAGCGGTATTGCTAAAGCCTGTTGTCGGTGTCGGTTCAATCGACGGACCGGTGTCTTGAAGACACGGACGTCATTGGGAGTAGCGTTCATGGACATGGCAGCAGGTTAAGGGGGAAAAGAAGTAAGGCACACGCGACATCGTGCGATATGCCTCAGCGGAACATCATTGCAAAGCCCGCCTTTTTAGGCGTTATATACGGAGTATGAAAAAAGCGCGTTGTTAATGTGGCATATCGCTGGATAATAGTTTATTTTAGATTTCTATATAGCAAAGACATTGATGACACGATAGTAGCACGCCTTCTCATAATAACGCAAAAAAAGGGAGTCAAAGAAGAACGGGCTCCCATGACTTTGTCGCGCCGTTTATATAGAAGCGACATGATCCCTCAATTTCTTCTTCATCTTTGTCACTTTCCACTCTCCTTTTTTGGGTCCTGGCAGGAAATAAACACACACACACACACACACACTCTCTCTCTCTCTCTCTCTCGCTCTGTGGGCTGCTGAGGGAAAGGAATGGACGGATGGCAGATTGAATTCGACCGGGCTACGGCGTTGTCGATGGTGTAAGGAGTCTTTCGTTTGGTGACAGGATGATGGCCAGACCTCGCCACCTCCCCTTTCCCTCCAGCCTGACTATGATACCTCTTTGTCATTTAACGATGCAAGGCGGTGGAGGCACAGTAGTTGCTGTACAAACCGCCCTTCCAAGTGCGCTTTCTTATCAATCATTTACGGTAGATAAGAATTTTTGGTTAGCAAGGACACACATCATCTTCTGAACTATTTAGGCATTAATGCAAGCACCCAAAGCGAATTGTTGGAGAGCGCGAGAAACAATGCTAAGGCCCTCCTTTCAGTCAACCAAACAGAAGGTTTGCTTTGCTATCTGCGTACTATATGCGAAATCAATATATTCACTTTACGACAATACACTTCTGATTCTGAAACATTTACTCTATGTATCAAATCACTGCTGTTGCTATAGGAGTTATGTTGTGTATAATGATAATATCAGCGTAAGTTAAGCATGGAGTGAGATTGGTTTAACAATAACAAAATTACATTGTATAGTATGGGATGTTTACACAATTTGCGTAATTTGAAGAAAACACACATAGAATTTTAAATCTATTCTCTCGTTCTACAACTCGACACTTAGACTGATCGTAATATGTATGCTCACTCGTCGTCAGCTCTTTCATTTCGAATATACATATCCCTGATCTTATATGTATAACATTTTTGTGTGATACGTCGGGTCCAACTACTTCACCGGCTTTCGCATTTATCGTTGCTGCAATATATATCGACTTGTTTGACATTTTCTATAATATACAACAGGCTCGCAGATAAACCGGGCTCCACAATGTAAATAGAAGGAGGTTGCTACATACGAGCACAAAAATTTAGGACACGGCATCTTGTTGGCGAACTGCAGAATGTACAGTATAAAGCTTATTGTCCATGTAGTATCTTAGCTTATCATGGTAGTTGTGGTCTTTCTAGCCGCTTATCATGGAAAATCATTTTACGCATTTATAATGCGGTTATCTTACCTCCAAGTTTTGATTGATACCAATGATGGCCGCAGGAATGATGCCTGTGCGTTGGTGGGTACCAGTACCGGAATGGTAAAAAAGCGTTACCGTTCACACTGTCAAGCACGCGGACAGTGACGTGGCAGATGCTCCTTCTCTGTTCGTCATGATATATTGTCTCCCAGTTTAGTCTCTTTGGATGTACCGATTATTTCCTGGTGCAGACAGCTTTCTTGAATATTGGAGAAGCACATAAACAGTTCCTCATCAATTACGGTGAAGATTCCCTGCATGTTATATTCCATATGCTTACCCTCTTTTTGTATTTAAAGGAAGACACCAGTCTGGCGTCATAAGAAATGGATCAGATAGGTATATGAGAGCATGAGACATCCGGTACCTAATTTCGCCATAAAAATGAAAATCATTAGACTGTGTTCCAATGTATTCAGTGACAAAATATATTACTAATTAGCAAATTGCTTGTTTTCTTTTATTTTAGGCATAAATAAAAACTTTTCTTTCTTTTTGTACATAGAATGATATCGAATATGGATGATAGAATGAAGAAGGTGCGAGAGAAACAGAAATTAAATGTGAGGGGAAAAAAGTGTGTGTATAAGAATGTGATGTATTCCGTTTTACAATTCATCAGTGACAGCACCTTCACTGGCGCTTTTGACTGTCATGACATAACGGGCAAGAGTACCACGAGTGTACTTGGGTGGAGGAGCAACGAATTCAGCCTTACGCTTGGCCAATTCTTCATCAGAAACCTCGACGTTGATTTCACGGCTTACAGCGCTAATGTTGACCATATCACCATCCTTCAAAAGACCAATGGGACCACCGACCTGAGCTTCAGGGGACACGTGGCCGACAATGAAACCCTAAAAATCATAGTCTAGGTGTTAGCCTCTCCAATATTTATTGATGTATACGAGCGAGTAATCATATGCAATACATACGTGCGAACCACCAGAGAAACGGCCGTCAGTAAGCATAGCAACATCGTTACCAAGACCAGCACCCATGATAGCACTAGTAGGCTTCACTGTAAACCAAAAGATAAAATCACATTAATCCGTTATTGGCATGAAGTGCTCTCTTCCCTTGTTTATAATGGCCATTCGAATACACGTTAACTTACACATTTCAGGCATGCCTGGACCACCCTTGGGACCTTCACCACGGATGACAATGACAGTCTTTTCACCTTTTTTGAATTCATTGTTTTCCAAGGCAACGACGAAATCTTCTTCACCATCAAAGACACGCGCCTTGCCACGGAAATCCAGACCTTCTTTACCGGTAATTTTGGCAACAGATCCTTCAGGGGCCAAGTTACCACGCAAAATTTGGATATGACCGGTCTGTTTGATGGGGTTTGACAAGGGACGAATGACATCCTGGCCATGAGGCAATCCAGGCAAGGAGTGCAAGTTTTCTTCCAAGGACTTGCCGGTAACAGTCAGAACATTACCGTCAATCATCTTCTCCTCCATCAAGTACTTGAGAATGGCGGGAATACCACCAGTGTGGTGAATATCCTCCATCACATACTTGCCACTATAATGTTAAGTCAGACATGATTAGTTTTCATACAATCTACACACAAACACCCTTTCTTTCTCGTTTTCTTTTTAATGCTTTTTTACCTAGGCTTCAAGTCAGCCAAGAAGGGGGTCTTGTCACTGATGGTCTGGAAGTCCTCCAAGTCCAAGTTGATGCCCACACTACGGGCAATAGCAATCAGATGAAGAACAACGTTGGTCGAACCACCCAAAACCATGGTCAGCGTGATAGCGTTCTCGAAAGCAGCACGGGTCATAATGTCGCGAGGCTTGATGTCATTTTCCATCAAGTTGCGAATGGCTTTGCCGGCTTCCAAACATTCCTGAATCTTCTCTGGATAGGTCGCGGGCGTCGAAGAACTGTAGGGCAAGGTCATACCCATAGCTTCAGCAGCAGAGGCCACTATAATCCAAATAACACGCACACAGGGGCAAAATTTAAAAAAATTGTTCCTTCTCACACACACACACACACACACACATATCGTGCGCCCTTATTGATGACTTACTGGTGTTGGCAGTATACACTTTCAAAGAGAAAAATAAAGAATACAACATTAGCATGACACACTCTCTATACTTTCATAACATGACGTGCGAAAGACCACTTACTGCCACCACAAGCACCAGGACCGGGGCAAGCGTTACGGATGATATCGTAGCGCTTGGCTTCATCGATCTGACCACTGACATAAGCACCGTAGGCCTGGAAAGCCGAGACAATATCGAGCGTCTCGCCACCACAGCCTTTACCAGGCTTGATAGTACCGCCATACACCATTAACGAAGGACGGTTGACACGACCCATAGCCATCAAACAACCAGGCATGTTCTTGTCACAGCCAGGAAGGGAAATGTTTGCATCGTACCATTGACCACACATGACGGTTTCGATACTGTCGGCAATGATATCACGCGACTGGAGCGAAAAGCTCATACCAGCGGTACCGTTCGACATACCATCACTGACACCGATCGTGTTGAATCGATAACCGATCAAACCGGCAGCCTGAACACCTTCCTTGACTTTTTGGGCCAGATCCATCAAGTGCATGTTGCACGGGTTGCCTTCATACCAACTGTATATATGCAAGTCACACACATATGCGCATATCAACAAAAGAGAAAGCGGATCATAAGTACCGAATGACTCACAGTTTTGAGGAGGAGCACCAAATAACTTACACACTCGAGATACCGACTTGACCTTTGCCCATATCCGCATCAGTCAAACCAGTGCCGTACACTATAAAATAATCACGTGCACGTCCGTTTTAATTGTCAAGAACTTTAAAATATTTTTTGTTTTACTGTTTCAACGAAGCGTACACATGGCCTGCGAGGCACCCTGACTCTTGGGCTGAGTAATGTTGGCACTGTATTGATTAATTCTAGCCTTCTTTTCAGCGTCGGTGGCATAGTGTCTCAATCCAACAGGAGTAGCGGTTTTAACATGGCGACTGTTGTGGTAAACAAATGGAAACAAGGAAAAGAGGCGAAAAAGGATCAGTCCAGTTGTGTCGTTGGTTGGGTTTTGACAGCATATATATATACTGAATTGATCACTCACAAGGTTCCAGCAGGAAGGGACACGGCCCGAGAAAGTATTTTGGACGCCATTTGAGGTATAATATTGGCAAGCACAAGAATAAGAAAAAAAGTGGAAGAGTGGGGAGAAAGACGCGAACAATTATAGATCCCAAAAGCAGCGAAACAAAATTTGTGAATCATCACAGCGCGTTGGTGATATGCAGCCATGATTGGCTCGCGCTAGTTAAATTTGATCTGTTTTGTTTCGGTCCTCTGCTGGCGTCGGGACATCTAAAGAGTATACTTTGTCTACCACGATGGCAAATGTTAATGCAAGAGAAAAACGTTGGTTGCACAGGCGGGTTTTTGTTTTCCACCATAGAGATCCCCATAGCAACAAGCTAATTAGAGTATCATAGCAGCAAAAAATGTGTTTTGTTGGAAAAAAAGGTTTCTTATTTTATATAAGCGATTGTTTTGATTGAATGCGTGTTGAAGGGAATGGGGAAGATTGTGTTGTTGGTTGTGGAAATTTTTTAGTCGTCAAAGGGATATTCGAACGGCTCAAATGGTGGCGCCTCCTCTTCAGCTTGGTTTGCGCCTGAAGATTCTATGCGGAGAAAAGAGCATAAGCGTTAATTAGTTATCCTGAGCGGAACCTCGTAATATCATAATTATCAATCATTCTAGTAGTTCCTTTACCTCCAGATGGCGCACTCGGCTGAATTAAATCTTCCATCTCTCCGGGAGTCTTGTCCAAAAGCATAATGATTCCACCGACGTTGTCCTTCTTCAAAGGTGCATACCGAGAGTCGTCCTTGAACGAAATGTACTTGAGCTGTGCTGGAACCACGCGTGCCATGTTCTCCATAACTTCAAAGCTCTCTTCCCTCTTCTTCTTAGGCTTCTTATCATCTTTGCTGGGGCTGCTGCTGCTACCTTCTTCCTTTCTCTCTTCCTTCACGGGTTCCTTGTCTATGTCCATGTGATCGGCTTTTTCCTTTTCTGATTTCTTGGCTCTGGCCTTTGTCTTTGCTGTTGTGGATAACACGGCTGTGGCAACCTTCTCTACAACGGTTGTGGATGGAGGCTTGAGCTGTGGTGGGTAAGCGAACAAGGATGGTCTGACATTTGAAACAAACTCAAATTTGGGGGTCTAGGTAAACACACAGCAATTTATTTCTTAGCATTCACACAGAAACGATAATTTGTTAATTATTTTTCTCCTTTACCTCCAAGTTTTTGTTGAGACCAATGATGGCCGTAGGAGTAAACGCCAAGCTGAGCATGTGCGTTAATGGATACCAGTACCAGAATTGTGTAAAGATAGCAGTACCAATGATGGCGGGCATGTTGGCATGGCCCGTGCGTGATACAAGGGATATAGTTACATTTCGACCACCTACACAGTCGCTTATTTAACCCTTCACTTTTCTTTCAACTCAAATAAAGTAACGTCGAGAACAAACTAGTTATGAAACCTTACCAGCATCAATGATACCCTGGGCAAGAGCAGCACCAAACTTGGCCATAGGATCTTCATGCTTGTCGCTGATGATCTTTTCGTACAGTTTTCGCACTCCTGCAACCTTGGAGTTTGTGTTTTCGGTTTGCTGTACAAGAATCATTGCTTGCGAAATCAGAGCACCTTGTCGAACAAAGTCAACAGGGTCTTTAGTCATTGGTTCAAGAAGCTCTAAGGCATCCTATAAGAGTGATTGTATGTTAAAGACCAGGTATATGCATAAGGGCCCAATCCACTTATTAAACCACTTACAAGATAACCAGTTCCTGCACAAGAAATACCCAGAGCGAGGGCAGCACCGTATCTGACATTAGGGTTGTAGCTTTCAGCCAACAGCTGGACAATGCGTGGGACCTGCTTGGGGTTTCGCAGAAGAATGAAACCAAGAGCAGTTACTGCAGCACGACGGACATCATCATTGACATCACTGACAGCAACATGAAGCAAACGGCGAATGGCCTTGTTATTGCCAGTACCGCTGTATGCCATTGCGATTGTGTAAATACCACCATATCGTAAGACAGGATCCTGCAAAACAAGAAGGATTAACATCACGTGGGAGCTTCAGCACACCAATGAGTTTTTCTTCTCGAATTACCTTGTCATCCAAAAGCTGATCGATCAATCCATCGGCCTTTTCTTCCTTGCCGTACATGATCAATGAAATACCAACAGCGAGACCGCGAATGATCTTTTCGTGCTGAGTTTCATGTGCGTATTGAAGCATTTCTTCAATAGCTTCGGGGGATGCAGTACCAAGCATGACAAGACCCATGGCCAAACCGGCGGCTTCACCTGCGACAGCACTGTCGCTGTAAAGCGTGTTCTTCAACTCATTGTAGATGTCTGGTATTATATTGATTATAAGTATTTAAAGTTATGTCGGAAAAGGGTGCATCTTTCGTTCATGTACATACCTTCATTATCAGTTGCCATGCCGGCAACGCCGAGACCAAGACAAGCACCATGCTGAATAACATCGCTTTGTGCGTCCTTGAGTGCATTCTTCAGATAATCAAGAACCCCGGTACCATGATTTGCATTGATGAGACCTAGTGCATACAACGAACCTCCCTCGGAGTATACGCTGCTGCCGTTTCCTCCATCCTGGGGCAGATATGGCGATAAGAGGTTCATGGATTGTGCCAATTGACCCTATGTTTAAAAGATGCATGTGTACAACTTTAAGCATTCCGCCCGTTTCCTAGGTATTTTCTGTCACAAACCTCGAAGGCATACCTTATGGATGACACCGAGAGCAGCGGTGGCACTGAATTTAGACCAGTTGGTGGCACGGGATAGCCATTCGAGATTCTGGCGCAAGAACTCGTCGCTCGTAGTACCGGCATGCATGAACGCATTAGCAAAGGTGACAGCGGTGTGATATATCGAGTTTCGAGATTCAAGAGCGCTCTATGTACACAACGACCTTTAGTTTGGTGAATTGCTTATTTTTCGTTTCTTATAATTTACCTTTGTGTTCTTCAAAATCAAAAGATCGGTATTGTTGTTGCGGTACAAGAATTCCAAGTTCAAACGGATCGTCTCTTCGCCTGACAAAATCGAACAGGCCTTCTTAAATGCTTCATCCTTTTCGCTTAAAATTGGCTAAAGGGATACTGTAGATCAGTAATCTGCATTTCAACACCAGAATTAACTCCTTTATCAAGTGCACATACCTCGGTTTCTTCGGCTCCTTCTTGCGGTGCGGGCGTTTCTGGTTGAGGCAATTCCTTAGCAACTCGCAACAAAAAGTCTTGAGTAGCGTTCTCTTCCAAATCAAAAGCAATTTGATATGCCATCAACTTTAACGAGACAAAAAATTAGAAACAAGATTAATAAAATAGGAACATACTAGTAACGATAGACTCTCTCTGTCTCACTATATACCCTCTTCTTCACCCTTCCCCTGAAATAGAAAAAACGTACCACTTCATCTTTTTCGATCAAGTCGCGCAGAAGCTCAGTGCAAGAAGTCGAGTCATTCAAATGAACAAGACACTGGCTGATGGAAATGTAGTCGGGTTCCTGAAGCTCGCGGTATAAAGTAACCAAAAGACGAAGCACCTAGAGGGAAATCCAAATTGCTCATTTAAAAAACACGCCCTTGTATGATTCAAGTTACTCATTCCGTTCAAAACGAAAAACAGACGTTGTCGGTACCTGATTACGGAAATCCAAGTTTTGTACCAAAGTCATGCATACTTCCATGACATATGGCAAGAGTTTGTGTGGCGAACCTCGCTCAATCATTGTTTTTACTACGTCGAGTCGTCGAGATTCGAGCGCAACGCCAATAGCCTGTTCGTATTCGTGATCCTCGGAACAACGCTGGAACATGCGTTCGACAATGTTTTGAAGTCGTGGGTCGATTTCTACAGTGTTGTCACCTTCGGCCTGACGCGTTCTTAAAGAAATGTACTTGTCGATACATTTTGCTATTTTTTTTATAACTCTGTTAGAGACAACCCTTTAAACCTTCCAAGTTCCCTTCTTCTTTTTCTTTGTATATAAACGTACAAATAATCGTTTCTACGTATTCAGATTTTTCTGACAGGTCAAAAATCTGACCAGCACCAAGTGCGAACGTCAGCGACTCGTCAAGTTCACCCAAGTGGTAGTAGACCTATCGATTAAGAAAAGAGTTCATGTCAGGCCTTCTGCTTCCCTTTTCCGTTTTCATTGTTTAGTCGTAAATGAAACGCGATGTAAATGTTAAGCGTACCTTAGAAGCAACCAGTGCGGCTAATTCTCTCTGCGAAAACTGTGAATCTTCATAAAGGATCTCACTAAGTGTATTTTTTGCGACGATCAAAAATCAAGATTATTAGTCGGCATGACAAGAATGGATAAATCAATGTCGTTCTACTTACATTTTCGCAACAGAGTCGGATATTTCTGCCCAGAACTCGTTGACAAGATTGTTTAAATTCTGCAAAGCATATACTTGAAGTTCGGTTTGCTGCTCATCGAGCAGCGCGAGAATACCACCTATTATTATCAAAAAGATAAAAGAGAGACAGAAGGGCGAAAAAGAACGAATCAGTACACTTGCGTATCATTAAAGTCCAATCGCTTAATAGATCATGATATGCAATAGACGTACTTGCTGAAGTTAATGCTGCCATTGACTCCTTGTAATAAAAAGATGAAAGTGAATAGCTTAAAAAAGAGAGGTGCGATGTGGTGTGTGTGTGTCCTGTCTTACGCGTCTCAAGGAATCGAACTTTGAAGGGCCGCCCGTTGCTGCATTCGGGAACCAAAACGTCATCATCAGCACTGCGGTGGACCGACCCTCTTAATCTTCGCTCTGCACCTGTCTTGAAGCTCAATCTTCTGGTGAGTGGAGAAAGACCTGACAAAAGGTATAGGGGGTGAGAAGTATAGTACTCGGTTGTATTTTTCCAGCATCTCGAATTGCTACGTCTCTCTTTGTACTATACAATCTTAGTAGAGCAGTATTTTCTCCAACGATTGCTGTTTGCTCCATTTTACGATCAATATTGAAACGAACAGAGGACTAACAGGATACGCAGTTTACAAAAAAGGGTTGCTGTTCAGAAGCGTTATTACAGAAACTTGTAATATATGATACGACTGGGAGTATACTAAACGCTCTTGGTCGCATTGTACAGATATAAGCGCCATCATATCTATGATTTACCATCAGCTCAACTCAAACAAGTTTATCTAGCATACTCTACTAGTACGGAAACGCTTTGCTCCCCAACACTGATTATCACATCATCACTTCATAGAGCTTCTAAAATACTGCTCACTGCTTCTATCAATGTATGAATACAATGATGAAAAGTACATGACAGGGCTGTGTCTAACGTTGGGTATGCATCCTCTATTGTATGTGCTTTGCTCTTTTTTGAGTTTACCAGTATGGTAGAATACAATCAATCTATTACATAACATAACATGGCTGACACGGATGATGGTGATATGTTGATGTTTGGAGCAATAACTTTTTTTTGCTTGGCCTGACTTATACATTCACAACCTTTGATGCATCTTCTGACTAACATGTACCTCCTTTTTTACCTGCGTCTTTTGCAAACATGTACTCAGCATTTTCGAATGATACTATTTGAAGACCTTCTCGCCATTATCAAATCAGCATCTCAGTAAAAAAAGCAATGTTTCCAGAAAGCTTTAGATGAGTATAATGTTTTCATTAGAATAAAATTAAGATACAAATAAAATACAAAGGATGTGAGTCTTTAACAATGTTGTGTTTATATGTATTTTTAAGGGACTATTTGGGAACGATTTCTTTATGAATGTCAAAGAGAGCTGCTTTCCGCCTTTTTTCACACTTTCAACAGCAACAATGGATGATATCGAGATACTTATTATTTAAAGCGATCTTTATACTTTTGCAAAGATCTTGCGGTCCAGGCTGAACTTGAGCCAAGCCATAATTATTGAACTTACAACGAACGCAACTCCAGCAAATAACTTGTGAGCAAGAAAGGGTTCGGCACCAGCGGAACCATCGATTGCTGAAGAAATGTTGGGACCAAAGACGCTGACAACGTTCGTCATCAAAACTAGGGATAAACCGCTGGGAAAACGCTCCATACCCAGAATTTTTAATGTAATTGGAGATACTGTGTAGTGTACGATGGGATTTGTGTTAGTATCTTGCCTCTCAGTAGATCGACCGGGAAATAAAGTTGAGATAACTTCAATTACTTGCCTAGAGAGAAGTAGGAGCCACAGAAGAATCCAAAAATAACAGCATATGCCATCAGAGAGCCATAATCGTATGCGAATGTCCATATCAGCAACGTGCTTAATCCACTGATCAATAGGAACAAGCTGTTTACATTGACAAGCCCGAACCGATCAGCAAGAAGTCTAATTATGTGATACCATGATAACAACACATTGGAATTAGCAAATTCATGATCAAATGCCATCATAATACAATAGGTGCTCACCCAGCAACGATACGACCGACAAAGTTGGCTGCAGAGCTGGCAGCTACAAGTGACGAACCATCGTTATCGGACAATCCAGCCCAAGTAGCGTAAGCTATATACATGATAGAATTGGCTGATGTTTAAATACACAATTTTTCCTGGATTTTTGGCCGGTTTTCTTACATGGTAAAAAAAAGTACGGGATAAAGTATCCGAGTAACTGTACACATGCACCTAAAGCCCAAATGCAAAAGTTCTTGTCCTTTAGGACGTCAATACGGAAAATTTCTCCAAGCTTTTTGCGTTCCTTTGCAGGTTTAATTCTATCCTTGACCAGTATACACGCCAGAAGGTCGAAACCTAAGCAGATAAACCCGACAACACGGAACGTCCTATACATTTCATTGAATATAAGCATGGTATGCTCTTCGTTAGCACCTCAAATCTCGATGTAGTTTATTTTTAGTGACTCACCATCCGGCACCTAAGCTACGGTTCAAAGGCGTCATGATAAATGGCATAACAAGGCCACCGATGCCGGATCCGCTTGCAACAATTCCCAATGCCACACCACGTTTTCGATCGAAGTATTGCGGTGCTACAGCCATGATGGTCTATGGAATAGAGTTAGAATAAAGTCTATCATCGATGGCTTTTTTTTTATTAATTTTCGGTTTTCTTTACCACATACATAAGTGACACACCAGTGCCGAACAGAATACCTTGTGTGAGGTAAAGATGCCAAATCTTTTCGTAGCTCATTAGCAATTAATCATATGACCACCGCTCAGCATCAGCATTACACACCTCATTAGAGAACCCCGCAATGATCAACCCAATCGCAATCAAAAAAGTGCCTATTAACTATGTAGTTTGCACCTAGGTTAAGCTCATGTGTACCTGGATCGATGAAGTCAGCGGTGAAGATGATTACAGAAAAAAAAACGTATTTTACCAGTACTATTCGTGTACCCCACACGGATCGAAGAACCTGAGCCAGTGGACCACATAAGTTTGCAAAGACCAGGGCAAATGTACCAACAAAACTGAGCTGAAGTTGTGCATTAGGTATGTCGCCAAAAATTTGTCTTTCATAGTAATCCTGCATGACACCTAATTGTTTTAAACCAGGTAATTAACAAAAATGACACAATAGAATGCCTTCATAAAGACCGATGCATTACCCCTATGAACAAACAAATACAGGTTCGTGCTTAATACATGATGCTATACTCAATTTTTATCTAGATAAAACCATACTCACCATGCTGTACTCGTGCCATAACTGGTAAACACCATAGAGAAAGCGCCAACAACGATTGCCCAGCCATAACCACCGTCCGGAATTTTATCTTGAAAACCTTCCTTTTCTCGATCGACTGGTAAAGTTTGACTGCGCGTCGAAGAGACATCGCCGCTGTCTTCATATGGTTCGACGGCCTCTGCCTTATGAAGCACATGATCTGAAACTGAAATAACTTTTTTCGTGAGAAAGCCGAGGATCGGTCGGTATAAAAATGTGTCACCTCCGCATGTAGAAAATATACCTCCATCTCCCTGAGTGGATCGTTGCTGCAACGACGTAGTGCTTTTTCGATTAGGCTGTCGCGACTCCTCCTCATACTCGTTATCTCGTCTGCTTCCAAACAACATACTACAAGTTTAATAGTTTAGCATCGACACGATCAATCAGTGCTTTTTAATGTGCTTATCGTTTTTTTTTGTTATGACAAGATTGATTAAAAGAAGATGCTGGACCTACATAGAGAGCTACAGAATTGAAGGGGGAAAATGATTCTGAAGGGAAGAAAAAGGAATTACAAATAAGTGGCTGATCTCAATTGTGTGCTATCGTTTTTAGGTTTTTCTCCGCTGAAATGCTGAGATAAGGCGACACAAAAATCGCACATCATCGGTTGCAAGAAGCTTTGACGCCTGGAACAACTTGGCGTAATCTTTCATAGAAATCATTGCGCAAGAGTAATACTAGTGGCTGTATCTTCCTCACATATATCATATCTTCAATGCTAGGCTTTTAGTTTCTAATCGCTATATAATGTAACTTTTGTGGGTTGCGTTCTAAGCAGTACTATTGCCGACGACAGCTAGCGCCCCGGTTATCTGTTTATGTTGGTAGTACGTCTGCGGCCATTTTCACTAAATATTATTCTTGTGCATCTTACCATATACACCAGACAGATGATCATGCAGGCAACCAGCTTAACCGAGATTTGCGTGGAGAGACAAGGACGTAATAAGCATGAATGTTTCATGGCAAGGATGATTACAGCACAGGTTGGGCCTTTTGAGACCTTTCAGGGCTTGAAAGGTCGTATGAGGTGTTCGAAAGGCATTAAACTACATCAAACGGCAGCAAGTGGCAACAAACGGCAATTTGTATCTTTTGGATGTCGGTGGAACACAAAGTCATGCAAAAATGATCTGCTGTCCTTTTAGCTGCACAGCGTCTTGAGTGTGGCAGTTTCACCGATGGTAATTTACGTAGAAGTATGCTTCGTGTCTGTTATCATAGTTGAAGCGTTTAGAAGTTCTACTTTTGTATCTCAAAAGAGAGAATAAGGGTAACATGAATAATATCGTAGTGCTGATTGAATCACCTAATACACAACCGTTTAAATGACACAGGGAACATACAGTGGTCCCCAGATAAGATCAACCTCAAGGGGGTCTTGGAAAATTGAAACTGATGAGGGCGGGTATACCTGAGGTATATATTATTCCTTTAAAATTCAGTCAGAAAGGTTTACACAACTGAGGTTTGAATTTATTTTGAGGATGACCTTGACGGGAAGCCGCTGTATAAGCCTTGCAAAAGGCGGCGATAATAACATTTGCTAACTGCGAGTGGTTAAATCAGCGTGCTGATGTTATAGAGGCTCGCGGCAAGTTTCTGCGATGCAGCTGAGACAGGTTGAAGGAGTTGCCAAACTATGATAAACACTGTGCTAATTAATCAAGCAACCGCATTCATACGCTTTTCCCCCAAAATAGATGTCACTTCTTTTGCAATAAGTCAAATAGAGAGTGAGCCGTGCGGGATTAAATTATGAACTATGCAAGTGCTGACACGTGTACGGTGCTCGCATTGGAGCTGAGAATAAGAAGGTTTCGTATGCATCAGGGAAATAAGGATTTAGTGAGAGAGTGCTGCGAAATCAACTTAATTTGCATTGCATCCAACGCGTAATACCGTGGATCATCCTCTAACAGCAGCAACAATGAAATAAACTATTACTTCTGTGGTTATTAATAATAAAATGACTACAACACACATTAACAATATCAGTAGTATCAATGGTCATTAGCTGCATGCGTGTTCTCTTCCTTACAAATTACTCTGTAATTTTCTGAACAACAATGAATTCATAGATAAATTTTCTTCCCCTTTCCATCGGCCAGTGTATGATTCTAAAATGAGAGAAAAATCTGTTGTACAAGCACTTATTGATATATATAAGCCCAAGCCTGTCTGCGCGATATCATCAATCTCGCACTTAACTTTTTCTTCACACATTATACGGTTATTACTTGACGACCGACATTACGTACTATGATCGCTCCATTATTTCTCACCACCGAAAACAGACCAACGTATCGCTCCGTTCTGCGTGCTATTCTTTTTGTAATGATCATCATTGATGGCGCTTTCATTTCGACAACAATAGTTGCCCAAGCCCAACCCATCACAAAGAAGACCATACAACAAAGAGACGACTTTCGTGTACTAAAGCCCTTTGATTTTCATGGAAGCTGCAACGATCCGCAAAAGGTTTTAGGCTGTACCGATGTAATGAAAAATGACGAGCACGGTGAACAGGTTGCTGCGTGTCGTTGTTCTATATATTATTATTATTAGCTTCTTCTGATATAGCAACCTCCCTACCCACATTCATGCATCCATCCATTCACAAAGTGTGACATCAATTAATTGTACTCTCGTGTTAACTACATTTCAAAGAAATTTTTATAAATATAAGCTGCGCTGCTTATTTAAAGCCCTCATTGTTATAATAATCGATATTTTACGGTCAAAAACTTTACAAAGAAAGCGATTGTTTCCAAAATATCCTCCTTCTATTCTCATCAGCGGTCCTTGTCAAACATGCTTACTTCAAGTGGAGATGATGCCCGTTTATAGGTCACGTACTAGAAAGGGTAGTGATGGATAATACTCGTGTTTGTTGAGCTTGTACTTTTACGGATAATGACTAGAGAGCTCTTTGTATATGCATGCTAGATCAACTCCATGCATGGCTTGACGTACATCAAATCATGAGTCATAGTATCATTCATTTGTTGTCTGATCTGAGAACTCGATACATGCATACGCGTGTTTTCTTCATGTCAAACAATAAATTTTTGGAGGCATCAGCGAGAATTCATTAACAAATCAGTACATTCGACGATTAATATTATGGGAATTGTTTGCGGTTCTCCTTCAATTTTCTGTCCACAATAGGCCAATGTTCAAATAATAGTTAAGGAGATCGTACAGGCGAACCAATAAGATCGGGTTACTTTGTTTAAAGCATCAATTCATATTGTTTTCTAAACAACGATGCTGACAGCAGCTTGTAGCAGCAGTCTTTCGTTGCCCAAGTTTTTTAACTTAATCAATAAGAGCAAAAGCGATTACACGCTGCGCAGCCGTTTCATGACAACGACGACCTGATCTAGAATATATAAAGTCTTGTTGGTAAATGAATGATTCATTATTGCATCTTTGCTCTCAGTGTGCTTTCTCTTTTCCTTTCAGAAGTAAACAACGTACCCCAACTATTGTATCAAAAACCGGCGCCAAGACAACGAGACGATATGTATCACCGTTCCTTTGCCACTTTTCTTGCTGCCAGCCCTTTCTTGATGATGGTTATCCTTGGGATTTTCTCTTCCTTCTCGTCGTCTTCTTCGATGGTTGTCGACGCCCAACCTTTAACTTCCATCAAACGTGAAGATCCTCCTAGCTTTTGCGATGAACAGCGTAGAAAATATGGTTGCTCCAACTATTACACAGCGTCTGGCCCCGGTGCTTGCAGATGTCCACTCCGCCGCCGCTAGAGTAGTACCTCAATTATATACTGTTGTTTGATGCTACTATCAGTCTTTTTCCGTACATATATACACAACTTCACTCTTCAATCAAGACAAAAATTTATTTTTGATAATAAATAACTCTTTTGTTTTTTCAAATTAAAATAAGTGTATATAAATTTGAAAGATAGCGTATGTATGGTACCATGTTCGCAAAGCCCGTCTTGTTGCGCAGACTATTGAAGGGCGTTAAAGATTTACTAACACTTCCTTGTATGCTTTATATGTAGGAAAGAGAAGCTCACCATCAGAGCAATACTCATTGCTGTATGCATGAAAAAGAGAGTTGACTAACTACTACGCAGCAGTCTTCTATCAACTTGTATTACGCTGAGCTACTGTCTGTATAAATACTGTAGAGTTCAATTAATGTACGCTTGATGTGAGAATGGTGTTGCTAATAGTATTACAAGACGAAGACCCAGTCGTCGCTGACAACATATTATGAGAGAATTATCGCTGATTTATTTGCTTTCTAACAAAAACATTTCCACAAAAGGGATTACAAATGGTGAAAAATGTACTACGTAGAGGAGCAGTAATAAAGATGAGATGATATGAGAATGATGAAAACCAACAACGACAATGGCTAGACAGAATGCAGCTATATCTAATGGTCGGTGTCTTCGATTGTTTGGATGCAGTACTTCTTGTTGTTGGAAAGGATACCAGCCTGCAAGACTCCGGGGAGCTGTAATTTAAGAGAAAACAAAGTATGTAGTAAATTAGTACGTGGCTTATGTACATTATCCCATCTAGTTTTTATCATAAATATAAGTGTTATGTATACGTACGAGACCAGTGAGATCGCCTTGACCTTCACAGCCATGGATTTTGAGGTCGTCGTCACCACCGTTGCGGCTGTGGCCACGGCCATAACCGTGGTCATAACCGTGATGATAACCGCCGTGGTCTCCACCGTGATGCTCATCGTAATCGTCATCGTGGTCATTGGGACGAGCAAATGCAGAAACGGCAAACATGGCGAAAAGGGCAGTAGCGATTGTAATGAACTTCATGTTGGGCTTTGGATGATTAAATGTAGCTAAGATGATATGCTAGATGATGATAATGTCTCAAAAAAAATGATTTGAGAAGCCCTTTTTATATCTTTTGACAGGCATCATTAAATGCATGCTGTTGCGCTTACTCTTCCTGTCGAGTAAGATAAGTATAATAGCAATTCAAAAACATTATAAGGTATTGCCCTTGTTACCATAAAGCAATCCACATCGAACCTTCAGTGTTCATCAGAAATTGATGTTTTAATTAATATCGTGCATTTTTCTTTGAGCGGCAGTCAAAGAGCGATCACAATAAGGGGCGAAGGATAAACTATGCATGATCGGTACATGTCCCATTCTTCTTGCCACTCCTTTGTTGTGGTCAAGGGCAAATTACACGTACACTGCTCACCTTCTTCTTTTTTGGGGATACATAGCAATATGTAGCATTAGCAACTCTGAGTTATACTATTGTCATTATGGTATCAGATGAAAAATTTAATATATACGTTTAGAAGACAAATATAGCTGCACTATGCTTTCATGCTGTAATGTTTATTGTCGTACACATTCAGAGCGGAGTAGAGCCTTTCGCACTTCTCACAGTTGTCGACCTGATAGAAAGGACAGGTCTGTTCGCTTTTGAAGGGTAAGACTTTTCTATACAAAATTCGTTCACTTTTAAAAGAAAGACTGCACATTGTGTGGATCGATGCTACTCGTGTATTAAGAGCACTGTATTTTACCAAGAAGAGTGACATTTTTTGTTGCTCCAATGAATTCGGAAGAACAGGTGTAACGACAGTAGCAATTTTCTGTTTTGATCCCTTTAACATTCCGGTGAACCGATCTTTGCAGATCCGTACCCATAGCCTTCTTTGTAGGCCGCTATCATTTTGATCTGAATACCTAAAACAGCTATAATTAAACATGATGGGTTCTGTTTGTGTAATGCTATTGCAGGCCATTAGCAAGTAATACATGCTGTATAGCATGCCTATTTTTAATGCGGAAGACCCTCATCATTATGCAAATGAACAACGGATAAAGAAACACTAGCAAGTTTTCTTTCCTCGAATGCAACCTCGATCTAACAGAATGCTTTTCTCCTTAGTGGCTCTGTAGCGGTACCATGGGAAAATCTCGTACTTGGCATTTAAAACAACTCAAGTAGATAGTCATCATGATCAATAGTGGCTACTGCATGGTACGACAAATCATTTAAGCTAAAAATCCACCAGCACACTGTCGCATTGAACCCATCCTATCTATCGCTGATTTATTTGTCGCTTTCTGTATCCCTCTTTTTTACCTTGTGCCACTCCGCTATTGCCACCGTCACCACAGCTCCACCGGCGTCCAGTCCGCTACAGATGTTGCTTTTCGCCTCATATGCCATACATCAGTGACCCTGGAAACTTACCCGTTTCTACTTTTATCTTCAAAAGGCAACAATAATAAATCCAATAACTGTGTAATCGATGTCATATATCCGTCGATGCGAGACACAATGCTGTTTGTCTACATTGTCTCTGATTGCGCGAAAGAATACCGATGACATCTTACGATCCATGGCGCCCCGTGCACCTTTCCCTTTTTACGCATTCGGTGCAATCCAAAAGTGTACGCAAACTAGTCATTCCAGCGTCCTCCTGGCTATTCAACACGCGCCCTTTGTTTATTTTCTGCTGCACCTCTGCAGCCTCTTGCAAATATTATGAGCTTGATCAAGAATCTGGAAAACATGCCTTTTCAATGTGAGACTGTATGGATGGCTGGTTGTCCCATAATCGACCTGATACGAAGGTTCGAGAGCAAAGAATGAGAAGTTTGTAAGTTTCATTAGACGTTGTTTTGCTTCAAAATTTGTGATAGGACATGTACGACCTTCAGATGGAATTTGGTGCGCTACACTTGAGGCTTTCTCTTAAATTTGAGTAATGTTTTAATTGCTTTTTCTGGTTTCCACCCATCATTGATTGCGGATGCATTACTCAAGAGAAACCTCGCTTGATGCGAAGTTGGCTGAATTTAGCTGCGGGAATCTGTGGCCGGTATACGCTTGCCACTGCGTATGCCTTACTTAAATTCAAACCGGTAGTGCCTGTAAGTTGTTTAAAAGATCGTCAATATTGTCGACAGCGACAAGATATTCTCTTGTTCTGCGGCGTATTATTTAAGTATTCCGAGCTCAGTGCGAAGTATTGAAGACCAATCGCCGAAAGATTGTCTCAAGCAAATGTCATCTGTGATGAACCAGGGTCGTCGGTTGCCGTCATTGTGTTGTTATACAAATGTATTGGTTTCTTCATTTTATCTACTATCCGAGTATCCGATCCGTGCCGACTTTGCACCCATTCAACAAGCGAATTCCGAGCCTGGAAAGACTGACATATGCTAACGGCACCATAATGGAAACGATGGTAGTGTTTTGGTCTGTATGTCAGCGTTCCCGTTCCCTATGCTTGCGGGCAGCTCTTGACTCCTAAAAGTATCTGTGGATCCTTTTTATAAGCTCAATCTAGAGCATACAACAGTCAATTTATGAGATTCAGAAAATTGAAGGACATCATACGTGTGAGGGAAAAAGTAAAATCAGTTAAAGCAGGATGAGGCACAGTGACTCCTTTTAGCTCGTTTTTGATTAGATAATCGTCGCGCAGACAATATGCTTCGGATTTCTCATGCTTTTCTCTCTTTTGATTCTAGCATACTCAATAAGCAGGAGTATAACGAAAAAGAGAGATGCTCGTATGGGCTGTGCTGGACTTACTGTAGGGGGGAAGAGTAAAAGGAAATCCGATAAACACCACGCTACATATCGCATTAACAGAAGCACATGCAGTCAGGTTGTCCTGGCGATGCTTCTCGAACATACTTATACAATACTAGAATAACTTTTTCAAAGCTTCATTTGAACTCCAAACTGTTCTCTTACTAGAGTAAAATGAACTACTTAGCCTTTGTTATGAAGTATATCTGTATCTGATCGGCTTCCAACTGATGCTCTCCAGTTCGCTAAATGCGACTCGGATGTGGATCACTCCCATGTCTGATCCGATCGGTGAACAGTCTTAGCGAAACTAGACCTCTTTGTAAGCGAGCTTGACGTTGACCAAATTCTTGTTGCACGTTGTAGTATTTTCAACGACTGTCGGCATTACTAGAGAACATATGGCTGTCTGTGCGTTGTCAGACGGCGGGCCTAGTACATTAATATGGTCAAGAGTAGGATATGCGGACCAGGATCAGGAATGGTACCTTTGCCTCGCAAGTGACTATGTGGATAACGCATGTAATAATACTTCAAGTATATCACGCTTTGAACAGTTTATTAACTTTGATGAAATGACCGACTATATGGTATAGAAGGTTGATGCACAATCGTTTGGTCAAATAAGCAACCCCGCTGCTAATCTCCCAGCAAATGAACCTGACCTTTGACAAACAGTGAAATTGGCATTCGACAATTTCGATACGTTCATTACCGCAGTTCTGGCTGAGCAAATGATGCAACGACAGGCAATCGAGAAATTCACGCCTGTTTAAGCTTCTGTGGTTAATGAGTGCGTATTTCTTTTGTACTTATTCTAAAGTTTATGCCAGCTTATTTGCACACTCGTTTATCTTTGCCTGTTCATCTTATTATGCAGACGGCGCCAAGACCTCGCTGACATCAACCTCAACACTATGCATAGATATCTACTGATAAACCCAAGCGAGCCGTACAGGTGGCAACGCAAAAAGGTCGTTACAGGGTTTGATATAAAGCTACCAACAATGTCGACAGCAAATGAAAGCATTGTCGATGTGGCGTTTTATATCCACCTAGAACGCCTGCGTTGTTATGAGGAGAAGGTGAATCCATGGTTGATCATCACTATTAATCTTTAAAAATGACGTTCTGTTGAAGCTACACAAAACCATGAAAAAACCTATGATGTGTTGCTCTTGGCATGTGCGAAGGACATTGGATTCATAAGCATTTGGTCGCTGAAGCATGGAGCAACTTCTAGAGTCATATAAGTGAGAAAACCCAAGGTTAGGAAAAGAACAACAGTAGTAACAACAATCGATGTATGTTCGCCTTACTGTCCCACATAGTAATACCTAGAGTGTTTCAGCTAAACACTTCTTATGCGCTATGTCTTGTCTATCTAATTATTACAAGGATTTTGATTTTGAGCCAAACCATGAGACGGACAAGTAACAATACAATGCAATTAAGTATCATACCTATTGCTATGGTACTCGTACTATCCTTCTAAGTGTACCTGCAACAGCAAAAGCGAAGATGGCCGCCATTAAAAGATACATTAATGCAGAGACCGCTATTCGATCTTATGTATAGACCAGCGCAACTACAGTATACTGTACTGACGTGAGTCAGCAGGAAGCAAAGGTAGGAACGAGGAGCTCAGGAAGAGCGCAACACAGATCTTTCTTCTTTGGATAGTGACAAGTGATGCGTGTGTCAAACCTCGAACGTTCCAACAGCTTTCCCTTGAAACGAAAACTCCGTAGAGTGAAAGCGCATTGTTACGCAACGATTTGGCCAATTTACTTGGTACTCAAAGTGCACAAAGGAATGGCGGGTGAACAAGGTGATCAATGGAGCAACGAGTTACGCGCAAAAGGGTCAAAAGATGTACAGTAGGAAGTCATCGTTTATGGTGTTATTCTTCTGATCGTCCCAATGGATCTTGAAAGCTGCTAAAAAAAACGTAGAACCCGCACAAAAACAAACGAACCGATTAACTTTATAAGCAGCAATGAAAATCAATGAAGGGTGAGTCAGTTTCACTAGCGGCAGCGTATACTTACCATGAGCGGCCAGCTTATCTGCGGCAGCACACTTGGATAGAGTATGAATTCGGAATGGATGGAGGGAGGTTACACGGCGTAGTTCAGAGAACTGTTGGCGGATGGCGAAATTAATAAAGCAACAGTAGACAAGCACGCTTCACAGTAAAAGATAACGATCTTTTTTTATATACTGCAGCGTTGGAGTCAAGTGTGTGTTGTATCTATTCCCGCACACAGCACATGCAATCAAAAGATACTAATCAAATGGAATAGTCTGTGGACTACGCTCTATACTCATGCTGTTTACCTTGTTGGGTGAAGAATAGAAACTGGCTGCTGGGAGGATCGTGTTCTTAATGTTTACTAATGCTGGATCAGGAACAACTGATGCCGTAGAATCTGTTAAGTTGTTTACCTTGTCAATCACTCCTGTATTGCCATTTGATTGCTCACAGAAAAGCATTTCTTCCGTGAATCTACATGCTCATTCACATTCGTGTCTTTGTTTTCGCTTGACACGGTGCCGTGCACGGACCCCCTCACAACCAAGCGGCGACAGCATCGGAGGTACAGCAGCCCATGGTGAGAGACACGTACCACTACCGCCGAAGCACGCTTGTCTACTTGACCATCAGGTACCACTCCTCCTTTCATTTCCTTTGGTGCTGTATCTTTTGTTATGCCATAGTAGGCAGCCCACAAGTTGATACGCAACCCGTTATCCGGGCCAATGAGAATTCACGGGGATTTGAAGTCCCGAACGAGAAAAATGTCTATATAAAGCGAGCAATTTCGCCTTTCTTTTTTCTCTTTTCTTCAGTTCGTTTTGGTACAGCTTTGGTCTGTAGTACAGATGCACTGCTCTGTGCCATGATCGGGTCATTGCTTGTGCTGGCTATTGTCATAATTCTTCTGATGATCGGCAGATTCAGTGGTCCGCGCCCTGAAGAAAATTTGCAATATATACCAGTGGGAATGTGGTCATATACTCCGGCAGCCGATCGTGAACCTTCGGGTGCATGTGATGCCAACGGTATATGTTGGGATAATTGAAACGAACTTTTTTATTATTATTTATTATTTATTACACACAAATAAGAAAATGATAAACAAAATAAAAATATATTTTTCTTTTTCGCACTTTCCGCATAAACGTTTTATTCGCCTTTTTTTTTATGTGCACGACTGGTTCCTTTTTCTTTTTTCGCGAACAAAATACTAAATACTCCCCCTCCATCCATTCACAGCTCCGTGCTAAACAAAGCGGGGAACAGTGACAGTGGCTCTGTATCGTAGCCGAAAGTAACACGATCACAATGCTTTGGCACTCTTTTTCACTTTCTGTGTTCGCCTAAATTGCCAAAGCAATTGTCAAGAAAAAAATTGTTATCGAGGATATGGTCGGTTATTTTATAAGAGGCAACGCCAGAGCATACGCCAGACCTGTATAATTGTCAGATCTGTAAAAATTGGAATGTTTTTTTTCAGCTGTTCGTCTCTCTCACTCTTCCTGCACGTAGCTTATCACAACACAATTTTCTTATCATTTTGGGTTTCACCTGGATCGAAAAGCTTGCACTGATCTTTCCGATGTGCCTGCTTTTAAAGCGTGATTCTTGTAACAGCTCTTTCCCTCCCCTTACACCTTCACTTCTCTCTTCCTTTTCTTATTTAACTTTACTTCGTTACATATTTTCAAGGTATGCGTTACCTATATGAAAGTGATGATCGCTCACCAAAGATATCAGGGGGACCTGTTGAAGATATGATATATTTGCTCTACCAAAACATGCACGCACCCACACACACAGGGATGCTGTGTTTTCCAGGCCAAGCGATTCGTTACTTATATATGACTTTTGCGGCTCGCAAACAATAAACCCGAGTATTGATTGAAGCATTTTCCTTCGTATCGAGAAGTCGATGGTTTTAGAAAGAGCCTGTTCTAATGTGTATCTGCGTATCGCTATGATAGCATAGATTTAATGAAGTTACTGGTGGTTACAATAGATCAATCTTCAGGGTCCCCCTTTTACCTGGTTCGACTTGCTTTTCCTTTGTCGGACATATTATTTCACGAGTCCGGATTATGTTATACAGGCTTTGTTGGATTAAAAGCCTCGTGCCAAATTTCTTTTCGCGCGTCCCCTTTCACATACACGTAATATGACTGATTTGATCTCGATTTTGCCTCCCGAATCATTCAGTACATCTTCTCGTTTATCGGACAGCGGGCTGTGTCGAATGTGTGAAAGTATGTCGCCGCTGGTTATACGCGATCCCCACTTACCAGACAGCCCTGTGGACACTGGTGGGAATCTCGCCTGATGCATGAAACAAAAGGAGCGACGCGATGCTTCAATGTTTGGGACAACAAGTCGAATCAGTATACATCAAATCTCAAGCCACGTATAAAGTACTGGAACGACTTGCTTGGCGAAGATACAGCATTCGCTTCCTTGGTGATGTAAAACGATACTCTTTTTTTTTGCGTTAAGAGGATCGCGTATTCGGTAGTACTTACTACTGCTTATGCGCAAAAGATATACTAAAGCTTTTTCTTTGTTTTCAATAAAAAAAAATAAGACATCAGCAACCATGTGCATAGCAAACAATTACAACCTATTTTCGACAGTAGCACGTTACTGCCAGGATTCATCAGATATTTCCCGCATAACGCTAACTGCTCTGACGATTTCATTTCACACTTGCGATATCTCGCTGCCAATGCTACTGGACTTCTTGCCGTCATTAACGCATCTTTCAGTGATGTTTGATGGCCGCACTAACTTATCAGACGCTACTCTTGAACAAGTTGATGGCAGAAGCAGACACAAAAGGCCACCGATACACAACATTATCTTCTTAAGACTGGACGGTGTTCTCAGTTTTAAATACCGGATCCGTCCCTTATTGCAGCGTTGCTCCCACATCAAGTACTTGATATTATCGCCTTACTCACGTTTCAACAACGTATCTCCAACCAACATCTATACAGCTTATGAGCTGTGCCCTCTATTACGCTACATTATGTGGGAATGCAGCGAACCAGTCATAGCAGACAGATGGATTTCACTATCAAGAAGCACGAGTGCTTATATTAAGTAACTGAAAGGAAAGCATCGAATGATGGCGAGGAAGGCAGTATGGCTTATGAACTGCTATTCAACGGCAAGGGACACGAGAGGATCATGCCGATAGTAGTAAAATCGCAGCCGATACTAGAACATTTACGTATAGTCGCCTGTGGTCTTTCTGATATTCATTGCTGGGATGTCTTGGCACGCAACCAATTCACACAGCTGACAAGTTTGGGGTTGACGGACATCACTGGTATGTCAAGCGAAGATTGGTCCCAGATTTTGCTCATGCAGCAACAAAATGAGATCTTGGAAGTTGGAATTCGCGCTGGAATAACGCAGTATCTGAACAGCATTATCGCAACCATCGGTACGCTGCAACGGCTCCGTATACTTTCCTTGCGAAATTTCCTTCACATGTTCAGCGAGAATCCTCTTTGCGATCTTACTCCGCTTCGACGTTTGCAACAGCTTGAAAAAATGCGTCTCACGAACATACCCATCGACAACCAAGGTCTAATGCAGTTGTGCGAACCATCACAGCACCCACTAGTCAGGAGATTAAGCTTGAACCCGCACATCACCGTACAGTAATAGTGTCGACGACTTTCTCACAGAGGCAGGATGGATTGTGTGGGCACAACGACTTGAGGAAACCAAAATACTGAATCTGGAACTGACAGCCGTGAAAGGTGTTACTGGTGCTGTCCTTGAGCATTTTGAACAAGTCGAAAGCTCGGTGCTATTGCGTGTTTCACGGATCTATAGTCTCACCAATGCAGGCATCAATGCTTTTCGTATCATTGAAGGATCTAGTAAAAAGATTGAAGTCGTGGGGTGTTCAGGATTATCTCGGACAGATGATCTTCGTATGCCATACAACATATTTTTAATAATTGAGTACCATTGCGGTGATATTTGCAGTCTGGCTTGTACTTTTATTTATAATGAGCTGATAAACAATATTGGCAGCATGTTTAATTAATCAGTTTTCCAGGTTGGATTGTTGTGATATCTGTATAGTCAAACATTGATTTGAAATGTTTACATATACACTTACTAGATCCAGGATTGATGGAAAGGCAGCACGATGTGGATCTGGTCGGCAGCGAGTCTGGTGCCCTTTCAAACCTGAGCGAAAGCACAGACTAATTTTTTTTGGTTACCCTATGCTTTCCTTATATATCAGAAATGCTTGTGTACCTCTTTTCGTCACAACAGGGATCACCTCGCACTCTATATGATATAGTCTCTGTGACAGAAGAGAGAAAAAAAATGAAGTGAGAATATTCTTTCTTCCGTTGTTGAATAGAAAGACCATCGTCGCCTCCTCCCCTCTCCCTTTATGACCAAAAAAAAGCAGTCTGTATGCTGTATGTATGCGCATACGCGCGTTCCTGTTCATGTCGGGCAGTGGATTTTTAATGCCCGGTATTTGGATTTCATTGGCCAACGTGCTGCTGCAACTATACTCGAACCGCTTTGAGAGTTATACTACGCAGAGGACTTATTGGAGTCAAGTTTACTGACAAAGGTCAATATTTATGGTAAGCGGAAACATTATCATCTTCCACATGCTAGGATATATACGGGATTAAGAACATCTTGAAATATAGCGATTCCCGGAAAGTGTTCCTCATATTTTCTGGGCAAATTCTAACTACAGTACTTTGTCTGTTTAAACTCTATATGTAACAAACTCATGAGCAGTTGTTCAGTAAATGAACCCAGTGTCTTAAGCTTGATGCCTACCAAACGAACAACAATACGATAGCAAGCTCAAAACGCCAGAGAAAAGGCAAGCCTGATACAAGACGCTGGAGTGCTACTGTGTGCTGTCAACCAAGATATAAACATCACCCTAGTAAGCTTCCTGGATCCCAACTCCGCTCAATGGATTGGATAGCATTGTAATACCCTGCAGATGCGGTAACGAATAAACAACAGCATTCAGGATGTCTAGATTATATAACTAAAGTCATCCTGGCAATAGCAACATAGAGAGCAAAAGCTAGTTCAGTCTTCCTTACTCTCAAAGAAAGAAAAAAAGAGATGCAAACGAATTATTGAAAAGTAATATGCAAAAGGCAACCATGACTGAATCAACCCACACTTGTGACAAGCATTTACAGTACTCATTGCGCTTTCCGCTACCTCAAAGTAAAAACACAAAAGGAAACACGGAGTGGGTATTTAAAAAAGGTTTGCTTATAGTTTTTTGGCTTATTTTAGTAATGCTGTTTTTCCTCTTTTGTAAATGTTGTTCTATCTCATCATTAATAAAATCTTTCACGAAAAAACAACGCGGTCGTGTTCGTTTGTGCACTTTTGTTGTTAAACCAGGATAGTTTTACACCGGCACATGATGAAATGCAGCATTTATTATTGTAATATGTACAGCTATAAGTTGTTCTGTGTTACCCAAAGCATTGGCATTGGAGCTCCTATGTTTGCGTTCGATGGCTTCAAGAACGCGATGCGTAGTTTTCATGTAGGGATTTTGTAAGCTTTCATGGAAGACCGCCGATCCTTTTTTCCCAAGGTATGCAATATTATACTTGATGCAGCACACAACAATGAAATCCATAAATAACTGTTCCTTCAACTCGCCGCTCCTCTTCGATACATAAATCTAAGGAGAGTAAGAAGAACTTTGATGCAATTAGCACATAGATATAAATCCACAACCGCCACGGACGTGACATATCTTGGACACTTTATCTTTACTCCTCAAATAAGTACCATCATATTCACCACTTTTCAATTCTCTTCGACCTTCATTATCAATATTACTACGTGCTTTTACGATCGCTCCATTGTTTCTCGCTACTGAAAACAAACCAATGCGCCGCTCCATTCTGTTTACTATTCTCCTTTCAATGGTCATCCTTGGTTGTGATTTTTTTTCGACGGTTGCCCACGCTCATCTCATCACAAAGAACGCTATACAGCAAAGAGACTTCTACAGGAGACCGATGGATCTTGCCGGAAATTGTAGTGACAATCAGAAGAGCCTGGGGTGTACTGACATTACGAAACTTAATGAGCATCAGGTACCGGTTGCCGCTTGCCGTTGCTCATTCGATTAGCTTATTTATATAAAGCAGAATCGTCTATGATACCCACCTACACGCACATATTAGTAACATTGTATTTAATATAAAAGCTGCTCTTTATTACGTTCTAGTATGTGATATCCTATTCTGTTATAACAAACAGTTTCGTCCCTTCGAGTCGGCTGTTAGACGCATCCTAACAACAGAGATTATTAAGCTCTAATCGTTATATTTTGCTGTTGGTGTTGCCATATTAACGATTTCAATAGAAGAGTGCCATTATAAGACAACTCTGGTCACTAAAAAGTACTGATGCATGGATCGATCTGTGAACATGCTACTTTTATATATCGGACTTGCCATTCAGAATGTTTCTCACCATAAAAGAACAGCCCAAATACCACCCATCTTGGGTGCACGCAATGGCTTCACTATTATTATCATCATCATCAAATGTCTGTTATACCGAGGAGATGTTACCTAAAGTCGTTGCTACTGTGATACTGTTATACTTTTAAGCGCACCCTCTCTTGTTATTGTTCAAGAAGATGCTTTGATACGAAGGCTTGAGCACCTAAATACAACCAACGCCCCCGACCGACGCCATCAACTACTTGTATTAGGCATTTTGTGCATCTTATTCATTATTTACGCCGTTATCACGTACGATACACTACAAGGTGCGGATTGATATAAGCAAAAAACGTGCGCTGGATTGTTTACTCTTCAGAAAATCTCAGCGACCTTTATCATATCTTCTCTGGACCTTTCTATTCATCTCCGGTTGCACACTGAGATATCTTTCTTCGTAAAAAAAAAACGCGCATTCATAACCATTACCACCGTTTGTACTGATTATGATTAATCTAGTGCATGCGTAGTTTTTTCTGCAGCGAAGCGAACTATTTCGATCGGCTCTGTACACGTATGATACAGCAGCAAGCAGCAAGTGGTGTAACAACAATCCAGCACATGGCTACACCATTTCAATCATATCCTGGAATAAAGCCATCCACTCCCGGCAACAGGTAAAAGTTTAGCTTTTTCCTCAGCCATGACTATGAAACTGAGGTTTTGACGGTCTGGTAAGTAAGGGGCAAACGTGGGGTAAATTCATGCAATTCCCACCACCCCAAAAAATTAAATCATTCGATTCTCTACAGCTGCTGCTAATGCGTCGTCTTTTGTTTACAATGATCATCCTTCTGTACCTACTAATTATTACCATTCTAGCTCAATCATGTTGATTGTATGTAGTCTGGATGTAGCACCAAAGCCCCATGAAAAAAATGTCCCTGCGCTGTAACACAAAAATCCTGCCAGCAATTACAATAGTGATACCATATAGCAACATGATCCTATTGCCATTGTTCTTCTTCGCCTATTCATTCAATTCCGTAGTCCACCCAAAGAACCATTTTTAAATTTTCCTAGTTAACTCATTGAAGACCAGTGAACGATTGAGATAAGTTAACTATTATAAAAGTATGATTTAATCCGATATATGTGTGAAAAGAACTCATAGTACCGCTACCGTGCGAAAGTGCTGGCCGGTTTGGCCAAACATGTAAATTTTTGCTCTCATCTTATACTCCACGTGTACACAAAAGAACATGGGTCCGTTCACACATTCTTTTACTCTGAAGATAGTGACGACGGTGCGGGCAGGTGATCCACATATGGTGTTTTTAGCTGTGCAACGACCGACCGGATATTAGGCTTAGAGACCATTACTTTCTTATGCGAACCTTTCTTCTGCCCGCAACCTCATTTATACATCCTGAGAAGATTGTGTCAGTGTATGAAGCCCAAAAAAAACAATGTCAGTCTGCCGTTTTTAAATGAGTCATCATCAAGCTGTTATACTGGAAAATAAATCTTTCAGAAGAGAGAGCTGGGTATATCTTCTGATTTCAGATGCAGATACTGTATAAACGACAACACTGACACGTACATTAGGCTTCGTTACTGCGCATACAAGGTTATATGCGTGATATTACTGATGCCTGTTAGATTTTGACTATTATTACATATAGAAGAATTAGACTCGAGCCCCATTTTTACTCCATTAGCTGATGAGAACACTGAGGGTGGATCGCTGCTCATCTTGCTTATATATTGTATAATGATGTAGAAGTAGTAGCTGAATGCAAAAGAATGAACCAAAGTGTCCAACGTAATGCTAAAGGACTCACTACTTCTTTAGCGACAATTCATTATGTTATTATTATGCAAGTATAAAAGTACTCATTGTGTTACTAAATGTATATTTGTCTGGGCAATGTCACTGCATAGTCCTAATACTCGTACTTGACTAATTTCTCGCTTGAATAATTATACCCTCCTGTTCGTCTAGTGTCCACGATGTCGTACTTTTGCATCATCGTCACCATCCACAAGAACGCTGCTTCTGGTATCATCGTACTTACCAGTTTTTGCTACTACAACGATATAATATAAACTGTGCTCCTCTTGTCTAAAACAGTTTATGCGCAAAATATACGTATTCCTTCTAAGCAAAAGGTGGTCTTTTCTCCTTTTGTTACCTTGTGTAATATAATCTTGCGCCATGGTGGTAATTATAATCTAAAACTTTACATCACGCAGGTATACAAATCATCGATTGAGGTAGGATGATTGTTTTCATTTTGCAGCAGTATGCAGTCAATATCTCGTAGATCTAGAGCTAGTAAGGATGATGCATGTTATTCAAGTAGTGATAGGGTAATATTGGGGATGTATCGTTCTTTGTTCTTTTGGTTAGGAGTCAAAAGATAGCATCAGTGATGAAAACAGATAATGTCAGCCACCACCTTTTGTTCAATCCTCCTCCTCTTCCCACCTCCTTTCAGAAATAAGGGCAACAAGAAACCAACCAGGATTGATTTAATTACATGTGGCAAAAATAAGTTTACTATAGTAGGAGCTACGATTTATCGAGAACCAAATCGAGAACTGATGTACCCGAAAATAGGTGTATTAATAGTAGCTCAGGAACGACGACAAGTCACTTATTACTTGGAAATGATAAAATGTAAAGATAGTCAATGAATACCAGAAAAAGTAGTTGATACACTTTCAGTTTGTTTGATGATAGGAACATTACCATTCTTGCAGTCCAAAAAGGAGACGATTCTTGCTGATAGGCACTAAAAAAAGGAGCAAGAGTGAATTTTGCTGATAAGGATCTGCCTTTCAACTACCACCGCCATGCGCACGTTTTTTCCCTATTCTTGCAATTGATAGATGTCTATCAAGTTTGTAGATAAGGAAACAGCAGCTTACTTGTTTTGAGAGTTGGTTGGTATTCTGCTTTCCATACCATTGAGTTGTTGACAGAAGCTCTCATACAACAAAATGGCTTTTCGCTTAAGCGTATTCTTGAACAATAATACCCACGATGGTCAGCTTTACAACATGCGCACTGCGCGTGTCAGGGGGGAGGTGGGTGGGTGTGAGTTGAGTATGGTCCAGCATAAGCATGCTAGTTTGCAAAGCACAAATAGTTTCTGGACAATGAAAGAAAGGAAGCTAGGCCGGTACTGGTTACAGCGGCAAATAAAACCATAAATATGTACGAATGCAGTTCCATCTAAAAGAGATGATCCAGATGATGCTCTCATTCAAAGTTCATCATCGTCTTTGAACGGAAAAAGTCAGATTTCAGGGCAAGAGATGGGATCCTTATCACTTGCATTTCCTGTTTTATCAAACACCAAACCTTTCATTTATTCTCCCATAAATATTGATGATAACAACAGCAATACAGTGATTACAGATGTATCATGAAACGATAAATTCTAAAAACGCCGTTCTCCTGCCAATAGAACATAACCGAATTATCGTGCAGGTTGTGGAACGATTCACACTGGTTCTCTGGGGGAGCATTTCCGCGGCTTCTGGACCGAGGGCTGTTTACATTTTGCTTCCGCGGGACTTGGGAGGAGCGTGTGCTTTCAGAACTACTAACATGATTCTCAAAGAACATAAACAACGAATCACTTGGCGCCTTCTTGTCCTTTTTCTGCTGACATTCAGTTGTCTATAGTGGGCTCCATCGGCTACGAGCGTGGAGTGTCGGAGGTCCCAGGCCATCACAATGACCTCCACCACTATAGCAGTAGTAGTAGCAAAAGGTTCACTTGGGGGGAGAGAAACAAGGGCGGGGCGGGGGAAGGAGAATGAAAAAAGACTCCGAGGATGATCGCTGTGGTTGTGCTAAGATGAAGTAATTAGGTTCGAGAGCGCTTGCCAAGTAATACCAGCTGGCGTAGTAAGTTAGCGTTGGTTAGCAAGTTAAGCAAGTGAGTCATTTTCCACCTTTCTTTTGGCGGCCGTGTATCTAAAAAAAGCGTCCGCGGCCGCTTGCGTGGGGAAAAAATTTGGACCAGCCAATGAGATTGCAGAACGATGAGGGTACCTGCGGCCCAAGGTATGAAACAGATTGTTGCATCATGTGGACCTTGCCTTTTATATCACAAACGCTCCCACGGACGCCGGCCAACCAGGATTTTCAGGTATAAAAGCCGGCCACTTTTGGGCTGTTGGCTTTTATTTTCAAGATAACAACTGTTTCTTTATCTCTAAATTCGCCTGCTTCTTCTACACACACACACACACACACACACACACTCAGCTACAATACCATGGATCCCGGATACAAGCTTCTCCAGCACATCAAGACCGTCCCCAACCTCATCAACGAGGACCCAAGCATCGTCACTCCCAAGAACTCAAGTTTCATGGATCTGCCGTGGTCTGACTTCTCCAAGCTGCTGGCTAACCAGGATGCCACCAAGAACCGTCGCGCCTCCAACGCAAGTATAGAGACCTCGTCGTCCACCGCCTCCTCTGACAACCAGGACCTCGGCAACTGGGACTCAATGACTGGCTACCAGGATGCCGAACATCCTCGCCAGTAGTAAGGAAAACAAAAACAGTCGTCATCCATCGTCATCGTCATCCCCTCTCAACATCCGCCTGCTCCAAAACTGTCAAGGCCCTTCCCCCGCGGGTGTCTCCAAAATCCACCGCGTTACTTTTGCATCTCTTCTCTTATTGCTTTTGTCTATCTCTCATCCAATAACTAACTATTCGTATCATTTGAACTTTGCATAAAACCAACAACCCCAACAATAAATCAATTCCAACCACACGGCATATATCACTTTTTGATCTCCTAACCTACCTAACAGAAAAGCAATTTTGCTCGTCTACTACTATCCACAAATGATTGAAAGTGCTGAACCAGGAAGGGAGCCTGAGTGACTCCCCCCTAAACTAATAAGGAAAGTCCTGTGTCTTTGTCTGCATGCACTGCTGCTGCAGTCATCATCGCCTTTTTCTCTTCTACTGTAGAGCTGCTGCACTATGCAAACGCAACCAGCAACGACGGCACTGATGATGGACGACATTGATGATCCTCTCAGCACACTGGAGCATCACCTGTATCAAGAACACACCCAGCACAATCAGCGCGCGCTGTTCACACACCTCCATGACATAACCCTACGCTTTGAGGATGATCGACGCTATCGCAATGACACGCGCTACATCCGCATCTGGTTAAAATACGCCTCGTTCTTTGAAGATCGTAGCTGGATCTACGAGCACATGCACCACAAGCGTATCGGTGAGTACGTTGGGGCTTACTATGAACACGCTGCAGAATATTATGCCATCCATAAGAACAGGCACGTCTTTTCTCTCTGTGATTTAAAGTTTGCATAAACCACGTACTAGTGCCTGCTAATTTAAACCCCCTTTCCCCCACACAACTTCACTAACGGTGATCGACTTGCTTGGTTATGCATGTTGCCATCAGGTGGAAGCACGCAGAAGAACTGCTCAGGCTGGGCATACAGAACAAGGCCGAACCGCTGTCTCACTTACATCAGACACTACTGCACATTCGCCAAAAGCAGCTTCCAAACGGCAGCAAGTTTATAATAACGTTCAAAGACCGCCCCGCTACTAATTCAGCAGCAGCACCTAATACTCCTCTTCCACCAATTACTAATAGCACCAACCAACTGCTAAGACACAGGCCTTTAGTCATTAGTCAAGGACGACAACAACAACAACAACAACACGTCGGTCAGGTGATTAGAGAGGGAGGTGGTGATGTGGATATGGATGCCATCAGGCGACAGCAGTTACGCATGCAAATTGTGCAAGAATGCTACTGCGGCACAGAAATCCTGTCATTCGAAGAACTGCGGGCTCAACTACAGCATCGCTATTGCCGAAACCAGCAGCGGCTGGACGAGGTCAAGCAAGAAGAAGCCGACAATGAAAAAGTGGGCCTAAGAATAGTTTCACACTACGATCGTCAGAAAACGTCATATCATGGGATCGGTTCGCATTCCGAGGAAGCGAGGCAAAATGTTGCTCCGACACCGGCGGAAACGGCTCAACTTGATCGTCACAACGAGGAAGCGAGTGACAACAGCAACAACAATATACGCACAGGCCATCATCATTATCACCAACCACCTCATGGTGATACGAGAACGACCACCACCACTACCAGTGCTACCGCAGCACACGTGGCCTCCATTCCACCCGCCTCCCATTTTATCCGCACAAAACTTGCTCATCTCTCTCCACCATTCCAATCTTACACTGGCTTCCACGACTTTACACCATTGCCTTTGAAGCGGATTCAGGCTAACAAGATCCTCCATTTGGAAGATGGAATGGCAGTTCGCATATTTCATAAAATTGCGCAAGGCGGATTTGCTCGTGTATATCTCGCTGAAACCAGTAAAGGGAATGCTAGCTGCGCAATCAAGGTCGAAACACCAGCCAATCCTTGGGAATTCTATATACTACGCCAGTTACAAACCCGACTTATCGATCACGATGACCGGTACGACAAGGGTGACGCAGTAACAGAAAGACGGCTGTGGCGGCAATCAATTATCCAGGCATATGGCTTCTATCTGTACAACGATGGCAGCTACTTGGTGCTGGAACATGCAAATCAAGGCACCTTGTTGGATTGTTTCAATGCATATCGTACCCAGCACTTGCGTTCGACGATGCCGGAGACGCTGGCTCTGTTTTTCATCATCCGTCTGTTACAAGCTGTACAGACGATCCATGCAGTTGGTATAATCCATGGCGACATCAAGATGGACAATGTCATGGTGGCGTTTGAAGAGCAATCTACCCTACCCCAGCGCTTTGATGACAGTGATGAGGAGTGGCAAAAGCAATATTTGGTGCTAATTGACTTTGGCAGAGCAATGGATCTGACTTTGTTACCGGACAATGTCTACTTGAAAGCAGACTGGTCGCCTCAACCCGCGGATTCGTTGGCTGTGCGTCAAGGCTTGGCGTTCCGGCCTCGGGCAATTGATTATTATGGCCTAGCAAGTATCGCGCATTGGCTGTTGTTTGGAAAGGCAATGAGTATAGTTGAAAAGCAAGCACAAAAAGAAGGTGGTGGATGGCAGATACAAGAGCGATGGAAGAGATACTGGCACAGTGAGCTATGGCAGCAGCTGTTTGAACTGCTACTCAACCCTCCAGCAGATGATAAGCTCAGTGATACGTTAATTGCCAAGGTGACCAAGATGGGACAACAGATACTGCAACAGGACAAGAACTTGGCAATTCGCGTTGCGCAGCTCATAGTACAGTCATCGTATTGAAACGTAATCTAGACACCAGTTTAGATTTAAATGTATTGTATTGCTAGAATATGTGAAAGGGAACAAAACGATGACTATAAATAAAATGTGTATGAATAAGATCTCCAGGGTAAAAACTGCTTTGAGAATATCAACGGTTCACAAACGTGAGTTGGATGAGAGGAGAATAAATTGCGGGAAGGGGGCGGAATAGAGAGTTAGCGAAAGAAAAGAAGGGTTATGCCACAGCATGTTTCTTCTTTTCTTCGTCACTCTCGTTATTGGCATTTACGGCTTGCCAGAACTTTTCCAACTGCTGGGGATCAATGGGGTATGTGTGCTGTGCAGCTGGGAACGAGCGAGACTTTACATCAGCGTTGTATTCCTTCAATCCATCCGTCATTGTCTTGTTCAAATTAGCGTATTGTTTTGTAAACCTAGCAACAGCGTGATTAGCATTCTACCAGAGCAAAACATAGCGAAATAAGTGGGAAGGTAGAGAAAGCTTACTTTGGCACGAAGCGGTCAAATAATCCCATGATGTCATTCAAAACCAGCACCTGGCCCGAGCAATTGACGCCTGCACCAATACCAATGGTAGGCACGCGCAATCGTTGTGTGATATAGCCAGCAATCTCAGCTGGCATAGCCTCCAACACCATACAGAACGCACCAGCTTCTTGTAATGCTAATGCATCTGCAACCAATCGTTGTGCTTGCTTTGATGTCTTGCCCTGAACACGGAATCCACCTAAGGCCGACGATCGTTGAGGTGTTAATCCAATATGACCCACCACGGGTATACCCACACGAGTAATCATTTTGATATGTTCGCTCATTTCTGCACCGCCTTCAAGCTTGACAGCCTAATCGCATACAAACATAGTGTGTGTGTGTGTGTGTGTGATTATTGGTAACTATCTCTATTTTCACATCGTTTAAACAACAGTCGGTTAAATTTGTCATCGGCAATTACCTCAACATTGCCTTCCTTAATAAATCGTTGTGCAACCTTGACGGCATCAACGGGAGAAGCTTCATAGCTACCAAATGGCAAATCCGCTACCAAGAATGGGTTCTTGCATCCTCGAGCAACTGCACGGCAATGATGGAGCATTTCCTATCATTGTATTTGATTTTAGTATACGCGTATATAATTTAGATTTAAACCAATCTATTTACCTCGACAGTAAGTGACGTGGTGTTGTCATATCCCAGGGCGACCATAGCCAGGGAATCTCCCACGAGACACATGTCAATCTCTGCGCGATCTACCATCATGCCAGAAGGGTAATCTTGAGCCGTCATCATGGAGATGGGCTCATTGTGCTTGTACATACGACTAATGGACTTGATGGTTGTCTTGGTTCGCTCTAAACAGCATTACGGAAGGATGTAATCCCGAGATTAGAGTTTGCTACTTTTTTACCACGGCCCTCCTGACAGAATAATGTGGGGTTGGGACACAGGGAAAAGCAAATGGGTGTGTGTGGTTTCATACTCCGCGACACAGTAATACAAAGAATTCTTTACTTGTTGGGCCCTGCGGTGAGCTTTCAATTGGCCGGCTCGAATAAAAACGAACAAGGCAAGGCGCAGCTACGGCTGGCTTAGGTAAACCCGTTTTTGTTGCTGCCACTGCTGTAATAACACGGCATGGTCGTAAACCAGATGATCGAATCGAAAGAACTTGAGCAGCCTTTAACCCGGTACGAAGTACGGATGACATTTTCTTCTATTTAATTCAAGGAAGATTCTAGAAGGGGGAAGGAGGAATAAAGAATGGGTTCTTCTTTTTTTTTTTGTAAAAAGTGGAAGAGAATAAATAAATGTTTTGTCATCGAAAATTGTTGCAAGGATTTGTTCAGGGAGACCCAAAAAGAAACCAGGTTGAGGGAGAAACTTCAACTCCGATTGAAAGCAAGATCAGCTTTCTATACTTGTCCAATGATCTTGATAACGTAAAAAGGCGTCCTACATAGAGGAATTAGAAGGTATTCAAAGGTAACATTGGATGGAGAATTTGCGGTGGACTTTATCACTATGAGATGTGCTATGAGTCTAGCTGTCACCGCCTACTTTGACTTAAATTGCTAAGTCGTAGCTAGCATAAGTATGGCTGTCAAATTACATTGATGATACGCAATGTTTCTGTCATGTTGTTTCATTTGATCAACGCATATAATCTAATACGTTTGTTGCACTTCCTCATGGCGGGTAAGTATCTTCTCAAAGAGGACTACACAGCAATTGCAAACGGATGTAGAGACTGTCCGTTGAGTATTATAACTTGAGCACCGTATACATAGCATCGTAGCTTATGTGGGCATCGAAAATGCGGTAAGCTGGTCCGTCTGATGAACAGAATGAATGCTTTCTTTTTTTTTTGCTTTCTAGTGACATTTCGTTCTGTAGCGGTATGCATCTCCTGTGTAGGTTTTTGTACTATACTATACATCACTCATCCTGAAAAAACGGATCTCGCTGATGAAGTTAGTATAGATATAGCCGAGATATTGTATTCATGAAACAAAGTTAAATGAACAGAAGTATACGCGTAGCTGGTAAGCTGACAAAGGAAACAAATGTATTATGCATCAGAGGCAATAAATTCCTTAATAAGCATCATGCGTCAAACTCTTTATCATTAAGCAACAGCTCGACATTCCGTAATAACCATACAATTGAAGCTTATCTTTCTATAGATTTAATTATTGAGACAGGTAGACACGTTATTTTACATATTAAGCTACAGGTTTCCACCATTGATATGCAAGATTTAGGTGTGTACTATACATGACGATGTCGTGTGCAATCGTAAACAAAGCATACCAAATCGATTGACCTACATATCATCTTTTATTGACACGCTTGAATGAAATGCATAATCTAAAACCACCATAAGATGATATAATGCGCGGTGTCGCTATATGGCATCACTTAAGAAGTCGACACTGAAGAGAAACATAAGTACATTTGTTCACCCTACTCCGTCTAATTGTTTTTATAACATACATGTACCATCGTCTGCGACTGATTACTTTAAAAAGTGTGAGCGATATGTCAAATCTACCATTGTTTCATGAGCTACCAGTCGACCCAAAGTATCCACCACATTCTGCTTGGGACTATGGGGAAAGATAATGATCTTGGAACGTTAATCTTGTTGACGGAAGAGTGTGCTGCAAAAGTACATACTTTTATAAATTGCTATCTAAATTACTTGAGAGAAGAAATACGTAATATACTCGATATAGGCGGCCAAGTAGGTAAAGAAAGGAAAAACCGAGTACACCTTATTGTCGGCAATTCAACTTGACTTACACAATTGATCTCTGGCATTACCGCGACATCAACGAAGGTAAGGTTCCCATTTTCGACGACAGCTATGAAAATTTCAATACATAGTCATTAACCCAATGAGATAATACTGCGCATTCTCCTTGTGCTCGAGATTACGAGCGACCTCCCCGGTTCTACAATGGCGTCACTCGAACTGACATTCAGAGTCCACAGTGTAATCGTTTATTAGGTACTCATCACATGGCACGTCGTGGTATTGTTGGTCTGACTGTCTTGTTGAATGAGCGTTGGGCCTGCCCTCGTTTTGACTCAATGCAAATAACTCAAATAGTAGTGTATGAGCTAGAACGAGTTACTCATACACAAGTAGTTTGATTTACAAACCAGGTAATATTTTACTTTTACGCGCGGGATGAATTAATGCATATGAAAAGCGCATTAGGCCTAGAAGCTGCTTCTACTAATACTACTACTACTACTACAAAACTGTCATAATTTGATTTTGATCCCAATAATCTTAACGGTGCTGGTGTCAGAAAAAGTTCGAATGGTTACGAAATTGTCGGTTCGCTGCAGTAACTTTGGGTTAGACTGGTTTTGAAAATATTTCCCTGCTGATCTGGATGCCGAACCTTGCCGTAAGTAGCTACAGATCTTTCTGTGCGCTTAAAAAGTACATAATTTTTTTTATTGTTGCGGCTTTTTTTGATCCATATATATATGTTCAGGCTCGACGCTAATCGGTGGTTGCGGGAACGCCTATCTTAGAAAATTGTAGTTTTAGTACATTACTTACAGTATCAAAAAATACAGGCGTTCCACGAAGGTACTATTTTCTATCCGACATCGCGTGGTAGACATGAAGAACCTGGTCAGGTGTCACGTCAGCAGTTGCTCCATGTAGGGAGAAATGGTATAAGAAAGGAATGGCATTCTAGAGAAAGGTGGGATAGGGGTGTTGGTGGCAGATATGGCTTTGGAAAATCCAATCGATGCGATATTGACGGATCCGACTTGGTCCCTGTTGTGAGTGTTGCGACTCTTGTTGGGCATGCTGGATTGGTGCACCGCAGTGCACCGTTGACCTTGACCAATTTGCCTTCGCGCCGGTATTGGTGCAGTTTTGTCGGAGAGTGGCAAAATGGGCAAGTCTTGCTGGATCGGTGCTCGTTGGTAACAGTTACATGGTCACGATCGGGGGAACCTAAATGTTGTTGTAAGGTGGCGTTCGCACCACGACAGTGGTCTTTTATCCTCGAGTTTGTTGATTTATATGCGCCAAAAAACGTCAAGGTGGATGCGGATCCACGTACCCTCCACGATGACGCAAGTTTCCGATGAAAGACGTCGTGTCGGATGTCCCTAGTGCGAGCTTCTTTTTGTCGTCTGTCTTGATCACCAGTATTGTAGCCATGTTTCTTCTTGTACTGTTCCCGCCTGGCTTGGTGAGCTGCTTCCAGCGTAGCTGCTGTTTTCTTTCTGGTTGTATAAGTCTGTGCTGGAGGTAGCGGGCGCGCCACAGACGGCAGATCTGATGGCTGTACTGGTGCTGTTTCAGGTGCTGAAGAGGAAGATGGCGATGATGATGGCTGGGGACGGGTGTACGGAACAATTGTTTGGTACAGATCTTTGGCAGTAGTGGTGATAGAAGTTGCTGATACTACAAGCCCTGGGTCCACGCCGATAACACCAACGTTCTTGTTTGTAGCAAGGCTCTCAACAATTTTTTCTTGTAGTAGTTGCTGTGATATACAAACAATGTAAGTATTGCATCAAGTGTACCACGTCTTTGAGTTTGGTTATACATACCTGTTCCTTATCGAGTGCAGCTGGTTCTGCCTTGGGTTTCTGTTGCATCAAATACAGCTGCGATCGGATGTCGGCCAATTGCCTTTGTTTCTGAGCGACCTGAGCAATAACAGAATTTGCTTGCTTGCGTACCATCTGCAGCTCACCATACTTTTCACGGTTCCGCAATTTGGTCATCTTCCACTCGCGACGAAAAGCGTTTGCCAAATCAGCACGTTCGTTCTCAACGGCATTTCCTTGCTTCTGCAGTTTTGCCACTTCAGCAGCAAGCCGCCTTGCGCATGTTTCAAACTCCTTGATACGTTGTGCTTTGATACCTTCTTTCTCATCATCTACGTCCGTGTCCTTCTTCGTTGGCGAACTGTCCTTGTTCTTGTTTCTTTTTTTCGAGGGACGGTCCGATGGCGACGACTTAGCTTTGCGCTTTTTCCGTCTGCTTTTGTTGTGGGCCTTGCGTGACTTTCCCGTCCCTGCTTTGCCTTTTCCCTTTGGGTTCGTACGTGCCATCGCCTGTTTGCCTTTTCCCTTTGTCTTTGTAGGTGCCATAGGTTGCTTGCCTTTGCCAGTAGCCTTGTCATCGACGAAAATATCACTGAGCACACTGCCAGGTTTACTCTCATTCTCGCTCCCTTCTATCAGATCCATGTCCATTTTATTACTGGGACCTCCTTGGGGCGCTTTCTCGGTATCGTGGGCATGGTCACTGTCACTTCCTTCATGTCCAGATACACCTAGTACGCGGACTGTATGACGGTTCACGAACGTCAGACGATAAGCGAAGACCAGGTCCCTTGTCTGCAGTGCTTTGTATATTTTTGAAAGAGAGAAAAACGCTCCAATCACATCGCGGCGAGCTTCACCAATTCCAGCTTGACGCTTGCTGGTGACAGTCTTTCCAGTTGCGCGGCATGGCATCTCGTACTTTTCCGAGACAAGCGTATACAAAGCACTGGCTGATAGATGGATAGCGTGGTCATTTGGGTGGACTTCGGGTGCCACGGCAAGTACATGCTGTTGAGGAACAATTATATCAACGATAGCGTTCGTAATGTATGCCAAAGGAGCAGCCTGGTGCACTGTCACAGGAGCTGGACCTTGTTCATCATCTTGATCTTCAGGGCAGTAGTATGGGCGCAAAGCGTTTGCAATCTTTGCGGCAGCGCTGCATTGCTTGTCAGTGAGGACAGTTCCCTTGAATGCCGTCTCTTTAATGATCTTTGTCGATGCTTGTTTTTTGGTTGTATCAAAGATCTTTTTGATAATGGACGTCAGTGCACGTATACGTCGATTGGAAGGTTCACGCTCGGTTACGCCTGGGCTTCCCTCTTGTTCCTCGTCTCCTTCTTGTTCTTCTTCCTCTTCGTTATCGTCGTCTGTAACATTGAGCGGATCATACATAGCTAGCTCTCTTTGAACTAAACGTGCTTGTCTCTTCGGTTTGGCACTATTGGTTTCGGGCGTGGTATTGGCATCGGTGGAGGTATTGGATTCGGAGGGGGCCTTGTCAGACACAGCAGGTTTCGACTGGGGCTTACCGAGCTTCATATAGTTTTTAAATAAAGTTAGTAAAAGTAGATCTATCCACACAATGATAATCAATGGTAAACAGAAGACGACGTATCATTACCTTTCCTTGCCACTCCTGCACTTTGTGGAACAGCTTATTGGTGGCTTCTTCAGGCCTATCGCGGCACATTGCCCAAGCCAGTTGATTCATGTGATGATTTAGTGTCTTGACGAAATTTCTTTTGTCCAGGGGCATGCTTTCTTCGTTGCTCTTTTCTTCCTTATCCTTGGCCTTGTCTTTCTGATGCTTCTTTCGTGTCTCAGTGTATTTGTGTACCCGTTCCGGCGCAAGATTCAGCCTTAATAAAGCAGTCACCAAAACGCGAAGATCGCGATTGTGTCGCTTCCTGGTCCACAGGTTATCACACGCCGTCGAGAATTCTGTTAACGCGTCGTTCATTGCACCTTTGAACACGAAATCATCTTGTTTTGACACGAGCCCAGTGTCATTGATTTCTTTTCGGATCTCGCAGTAAACGGATGATTCTCGAGTAGAGCTTGTACTAGAGCCGACACAGCCTTTAGAAAAATCATTAATCGTCAACTTTAAGTGAGAACCAAATATTCACCAGCACACAAAAAGCACGTAGCTATGAGCTTACCCGATAGAAGATTTGAAAAATGTTCCCTTTTATAGACTCTTTCTGTGTCGAGCCTTTCTTGATCCTCAGGAATTGGAGCAATAGTTATGACGGTGGCTGCATCTGGTGGAAATTGAAAGTCTGGTGCCAATTTGCGCAGATCGAGATTTTGCTGCTGATTATTGATTCCGCATAGTCGAGCAGCGCGCCCTGTAACAATAGTATCGGTCAATATGGCACCTGCCTTGCTAAGCTCCGAAATGCACCGACCGACGCGTTGCTGTTCGTCTTTTATATCTTTCAGAAAATCATCGTATTTAATTTCGGTCCGCAGCAGACTCCTTAGCGAAAAGGTTATGGTCTCGTACGATTTCGACGCTTTATCTTCTTCTTTGTCGTCGTTTCCATCATCAACATCATCTTTGTAAACATCCTCGCAATGACCGAGAACCTGCTCCCAGTTGCAAATTTGTACGAACGATCTGGTCTCTTCAATGAGGGCGTCCCCCTCTTCTTTGAAATATCCAAATCGGTCGAAAGTCCTGTACTGTTTTATACGGTCACCAAACCAGGAGGGTGAGGAGATTTCTAAACCGGGATGGCTACGGATAATTTCTTGTTGCATTGTGTCATAGACGCGTGGTAATGATTTTCGCTTAGCATGATCACGTTGTTATTGATTTAAAGCGGTCAGGGCATCTTCCGCGTTGACTGCATTTGTGAGGGCCGAGTCGATGAGTTGCCGAACATATTTCTGGATTCCCGTCTTGAACGTCGTCATGATTTCTTCCTTGCTGACACCCGTGCGCACCAGAGATGAAGACTCCTCTTCATCACCCTTTATTTTTAACGTTGCGGCCGACTTTGCTGATGGTGCAGATGGTTTTTGCTTGTTTTGTTTTTCTTTGGGTACCTGTGAAATAGAAATCACCGTTTAGATGGCATACTCTTCCAAAAAAATACCACATTATGACATATAGCCCTTCTTTTCCTAAGCTCACTTTGTGGTCAGGAGTGTCTTCTAAGCTGAACCATTGTGTAGAAGTGCATAAGTACGAGTCGACATGGTGTAGTACCGCCACTAACTTCTTGCCTGAAGGATTAATGATCCGTGCATGCTTCCTGGTCGAAAAATAATACACACGAAGGTTGAATAAATGCGCCAAAGCTACTAAAAGTAGCAGTCCTTTTAATATGATCCCTTCGTTGCTTTGTGTGCGCAGGTACACGTTGATATCATGGTCATTGCCGCCATTGAGTATTTTGTTGAGACTTGACTTTTCGGATGCTTGCAGACCTTGGTGTTTGAGTTGTTTCGTGATCTTGATGAGATTTTCAGCTCCCGGAACGTGGATATTCAATTGCTTGTACGCGGCGTCCAATCTTGTCTCTGTCAAAGTAATGGCCTCAAGCCGCAGTTCTTCGTCGGTGTAAAAGTTTATCTTGTTAGTGTAACTTGCGGTTTTCATCATATAGCACTTTAATGTTCAACTAGAACGGAGAACGATCGGGGTGGTGCAATTTAGCGATGGGTACAGTGATGATAAGTAAGAGTGCCATGAAAGTGAAGGTTTTAGGAAAAGGGTAGGTCAGAAAGGCGAATTTGGAATGTTGGCAAAAGGCGACGCGTTTTGAGCATTTTGACACGGTTGGGAAGCTGTTCACGCCATATAGTTGGATTCTGATTGGTCCACTTTTTTTATGCAGCAAAATGTGCCCCAACAAATTTTGATGTGAATATATCAGTACTTGCAAGGAAAAACGCGAATTAAAAAGGAGTATAGAATGATGGAAATAGTAGCTGCTATACACTCCAGAAGGTAAAGACAGCAGGAAATGCTGTAGAAGAAGGTGGACATATCGGTATTTTATTCTGTCAGTTGTTGTCTTTACTGCTGCTATTGAGTTTACATAGAGCCATTGATGCCTGCTTAGAAGTTATCGATCACGTATTTGATTTCATGTTTATTGTGGATGAAATAGGAAGATACTGATATGCATACAGTAATGCTATCAGAATGACACATTGCTGAAGTGATACTGGTTTGTATACGCAGTGATTTTCTGTGGTAGCGAAAAAGCGAAAATGAGCCTGCGGCGTGCTTCGCAACGTTTTCTATACTTGATGCTCCGTTGTGTGTAAAGACATAGTATCATTGTCTTTTTTATCAACGTCCACCTGCCTCACTTCGCTCGGCTTGAAGAGCTCCTACGCTGAGCTCGGGGTCATTCAACCATTTGGATGTTTCCCAGGGGGGGGGTGGTTTCACCACTGGAACCAAGATTTAAAGCGTTCGAGACTGGATCAGTATTTTTGAATACAATGATGAATCAGAGTTTTGCTTTCTTATCCAGCACCAAATTAATGTCACCCACAGCCAATATTCGATATTAAAGCTGTATCAGTAGAATTATACTCTATATTCTTTATTGTAAATGTTATTGCAATTACAAAGAGGAACAGTGCGATGTTGAAGCTGTGTATTATTAGCAAGTTGCCATGACAACGAAAAGCGTGACAGACAGACAGACGGCCCAAGTGATTTCAGAAGGCGATAGTATCAAAAAGGGCAATTGGCGCTCAGTTTCTCTTTTTTATAAATAAATGCTTGAAGAGCGCCATCACTCTTTAACGTCGATGCATATATGATTTTCTTAATGTAAACAATGATTATTAATATTTTTATAGTGTAAGTGATTATCTCATGAAGAAGGAAAAAGGTAATGAAAAGGTGATGGGACTTGATGGAGCTGTTAATCGTTGGCGTTGAAGGTGTAAGGAAAGAGAAAGGGAACAGTATAGACAGTGCTACAGTGATTGTAGGGATGTTGAAGAGAAGATTATGAAAGAGAAGTGCAATTGGCTGATGAAATGAAAGAAAATATATGATATGATGTAGCAGAAAGGAGGATATAGCCATATAACTTTTCCTGGGGTTGATGTTGTAATGCTCTTTTCTTGAGACAGAAAAGGACGTGATGTACTGTGCTATGAAAAGGCGTCTTGAACAATGGATGATGGATGACGTTGATCGTGTACGAGGAAGGGGTTTAAAAGCATACACATAGTAAATGACGAAGGAAAAAAAAATAATTGCAGTAAAAGGTCGATAGTGGGGGGTTAATAACAGTAGTAAAACAATCGGTGATGTATTTTACTATTTGTTGCTCTAGTATCCTTCGACAGCTGTAGTTTTGATCGGTTTGACTGTCCGTTTTGGTCTGATCGAAATGCTATCCTTGGCACGCCATTCCGCTGGCAACATAAAACGAAACGTGGGATCATCCGTAAATTCGTCCGAAAGTTTCCAGTATTTGCGTTGGATCTCAGCAACCGTGCGAAGTGACTGGACGGCGCCATGATTCGGCTTTACGCTTCGTATAGATCCTTCGTATTTGAGTTGAACGTCCGGAACAAGCTCGGCTGGTAACAGTTGTGCAACGCTAGCAGCAGCACTATTGGCAAGTGGCTCGAGTTCGTAACCTCCTTTTTCCCCCAAAAAGAGTAACACATAAGATGATGGAATGAGATAAGCTTATTCTCGTTTTCAATGTTTTGTCCATCTGAGGGAAACTTGTTTTACCTTCAAGACTAAGGACAAGTCGACCGCCACATATTTCTTCAGCCAAATCCTTGGTCAGTTTAGTAAGCATTGCAAATCCTCGAGGCGTCACTTGATAGCCACCAATCTATAATGCACATCAGAAAGGCTGTTGTTAGTATATACATGGCAACATAAGAGGAAATGAATTTAGTATGTAAAACGTTACATTGTCTGGATGCCCCTCAGCCGCATCAAAGCCCGCCGAAACAAATATCTATCAAGACACATTTTTCGTCAGTTAACAACAAGCATGATGACAAGTAAACAGTATTGGTTAGCAGTTGAAGAAAGGAGTATAACCATGAGGAATGTGTATTAGTTTATTTTACCATGTCGGGAGCGAATTGACGTGCAATAGGTAGTACGATATGATAAAACGCCGCAAGAAACTCAGTATCACCCATAGGTCCTGTAAAGTTATCCATCAGTTACTAAGCGGGGATGTATGCTGTGTGTCTTATGCAAGAAATAGAGGTGGAGTGAACCAAAGAGAGTAGTAAACAAAAAAAATAGCACGTACTTGGTTTCTCCGTAGACGTGTTGAATGCAATGTTCACGTTACGGCCTTCACCAGCATCCTCGCCACATTGATCGGGTGCGCCACTGCGTGGATAAAAGCTACCATGTTCCCACCGGTGTAATGATATGTACAGCACATTGGGATCTTTGTAAAAGATCTTTTCCGTTCCATTGCCATGACTGCATAGAAAGAAAGATCAGTTAGATATATACGAACTCATACACTTGTCGCTTTGATGATCAATTAGAAAGGGGTCCTTTGCTGTCAGCTTACTGTATATCCCTGTTGTTGCCATCGTCGCACGAAGATAGTAATAAGAGTAATAAGAATAGTGAGCTCAAATTTCTTGCTATGTAACCTTGTGGAGAAGGAGGGTGCTACCTCACACAGATAGACAGACACGTACCAATCAATAATAAGAACCTTCTTAATTACGTCTGAGTGCTTTTCCAGGGTTGACGCCACCGCCACTGCAACATTGTTAAAAAAGCAGAATCCCATGGCGCGATCATTCTCGGCATGGTGTCCTATTTCTCAGAACAATTTACTATGAGTTCCAGAAAAAGGAGGAAGCACTTTTCTCCTCTTAGCAAAACCAATCAAACTACCAACAGCAACAACCTACCAGGAGGTCGGATAAGGGCAAATCCGTTATGCAATGAGCCTTCTACCACCTGATCCGTCAATTCCATCAATGAACCAGCTGCAACGCGTGCCGAAATGCTTGTGTAAAGTGGATGGAATGGGGTATCTACGGCTTTTTATACAGCACGGGTATGTGTGTCAATAACCTAATTCGATCCAAGCCATACTATGTCGGATACCGCATACCTATTGCCAATTCGCCACAAATCATTTCGTAGACAAGTTGTGGAGGGTTTACCAAGGTGGCTGTACCATTCAATGCAGCCTGAGATGCAGCTGCACTGGAGAATCGACGGCGCTGCTTCCTGATTTGATTCTTATCTGCCTTGACCACTTTGCCACCTTCTACACCTTGAGCCCGTGCCGGGGCTGGATCGGTTGTCTTTTCAGCTGACGGTAATGCCGTTGTTTCTGCTGTTGCTAGTGTTGAAGACGATGACGATAGTGCTGCCGTAGCTATTGATGATGTTGTTGTTGGTGGCGGCGGTGAGCATAACGGTGATGGAGTTTCCGAAGTTGGCTGGTTCAACAGGTCGCGAATGGAAGTAATGGTGGTCGCACGAGGGTTTGACTCAGTCATGAGATTATCGGCTACGCTTTCCACCGTGTCCACCGGGCAATAACTGCCTACGTGCAATAGACTGTGCACCTTTAACAATTCTTCGATCGTAGCTTCTCGCGCACGCATACGACCAAAGTATCGCAGAAGCCTGTTTTTGCCAATACAGCAAAGTAAAGTAGAGAATTGGTGGTAATAATACAAATGGTACGGTACAAGTGGGAGGGAGAAAGGGGGTGAGTGAGTAAGTGGATGTCGTATGTAAGGTATGGAAGGAGAGGGGTATGAGTGCGTGTGTGTCTCAGTTCGATTCAGTTCAGTTGGATACAAGATTCTTTTTACACACGAACGAACGTACACAAATAGATGTATCTTCCAATAATACATGCACACACACGCACAACCCACTCTACACACAAAGATATGCCGCAACCTACCTAGCATTATGTAGCGCTTTCAGAATAGCATTGATGCGATCTGGCCGCTCAGGATGAATGTGTTCTTGCGAATGACAAGGGCAGTCGTGCCAGCCCATCCGTTGGTCCTGGACAAGGCCGGTATGGTGCCTCACCAACGACATAGCTTCTTGCGAATAATAGAAAGTCCGATAATCCGCCCACGAAGTCTCACTTTCCTTGCCTTGAGGTCCATACCGTAACCGCTTCCGCGCCCCATGATCCTCTGGTATCCGACGGATAGACGAAGCGCCTACCCAGTCAGCATGGTCTGCTGTCCATCCTTCGTAATGTACTAATAAGACCGATTTATCTGCATAATGCGCAGCGTCGCCGTTTTTCTTATTGTTGTCCTTGTGGTCGCGGACGTAGTCACCATCACCATCATCATCAGTAGTAGTACCGTCATCAATCGCTCTTCTTTTGCTGCTGCTGTTACTTATCCTTCTCACTGATCCCCGTTCGTTCACGTTGGTCACAACACGGGCGCAGTACCATTCTCGAGTCTCATCGTCAACCCATTTGAGTGCTTCGACTTGATCTCCCGCCCGATATGGCTTGGTTTCCTGTGTAATCGTCGAATGCTTGGCTGCTGCTGCTGATTCCAACAATAGCCAGTTAACAAACCGGTAGATAAAGCACAAAGTTAGTTTGAGCTATGGGTGGCAGTGGTCTTTGATCTTTGAAAAGAGCATGGAAAAAACATACGATGGGCAGCGGTATGATTGTTGTTGTTACGTCTCTTTATTGATACAGACAATCCATTCGATCCTTCTTTGAATGATGGTGATGATGATGACGAAGCCGGTGCTCGTCGTTTGCGTGTAGGTTTCGCTGCTGCTACTGCTGCCATGTTAATCTTGCTATTGTTGTTATTGTTATTACTACTACTACTACTGCTGCTGCTGCTGCTGCTGCTGCTGCTACCCGTGCCGTTGACGGCCTGCACTGCGGCGGTTTTGGCGATGCGCGATGGCTGTTGACGACTCGCAGAAGCAGTGTATGAATTGCTGCGACGTTGGCGTAGCAACCGCGGTTGATCTTGATCATGCTTGGATTCAGGTGTAGTTGATTGAACCTATTGGAAGCCATCATCATCATCAATATCATCATCATCAGCAACAACAACAACAACAACAACAACAACAACAACAACAATCACATCCGCCTTGATATATACAAAGGAGCTAAAAAGAGAGAGATGTTTCTCGGATAGAAAACGAGGAGCATCCAATGAAGACGTTACCATGGCTATCCAGTTAAACGTCTGAAATGAATGGGATGTGTGCTAGGGTCTCTTCTGGCCAAACGGAAATAGCAGCAACAAAATCCGATGGAATAAAAATTTAAAAGAAGAGGGTTCAAAGAGAAAGGGGAGGGGGGGGAGGAGACGAGAGAGGAAAGAGAAGAAAGACAGAAGCCCAACCACGAAAAAAATCCTCATTTGCAAGTCAGCAAAAAATAAAAAAAACGAATTTTTGCACTGCCACCATAACCGATCCCTTTCTCAAATCCACTGTGAGTCTTTTGATCAGATACCATCCTTGCCAATACTGTTACTCCAGAGCAGAAGAGGACATGCTTTTGTCGTTGGCTTTTCTCCGTCGACATACCCACTGGCGTGCTAGGTCATCTTTGCGTATTCCGTCTGTTAGGCCACGTATTGGGGGGAGTAGTTCATCTATCCGAGCATGTTGCCTATGAAACCGCCATTGTTTTTAGCGGAACCCTAATCTGGAAGTCGGCTCGATATTGCTTGCGTCATGGAAGCAGCAGAACTCTCATGCGCCCAACTGCTGGTGTAGCAGGACTGCAAGCAAGACATCTCTCGTTCTTTTTTTACCCGACGCTTCATTCAACTTTTTTCCTCTTTTTTTTTTTAACCAATTCTTCTTTTGTCGCGACCAATTCGTTGCTTTCTCTCTCTCAGAATGCGGCGTCATTCGCTCGGCTTGCTATTGTTAGCCTTTTTGTACGCTGTGCACGCGCAAAACTATTCCCTAGGCTATACACCGCTAACGACAAGCTTATCGCCCCTTGGCGGTGGCGACAACGACTGTCCGGAATGTCCACAGTGTTTCAACTGTTTGCTTCCTGGTTTCGAGTGTCTGCATTTTGCCAATTGTAGCGAGTATAATGGCAAATGCAACTGTCCACCTGGTTTCGGCGGCGACGACTGTAAACAGCCATGTATGTTACCGTTTTGCTTTTCCTTTTCCCTACGAGCTTTGATATACGTGGCTCTCTCATCCACATGTATCTACGGGTATGCTGTATTTCCATGGAAACTAACTTTTGGTTTTTGTTGCCATAATAACAGTATGTGGTGCATTGGCCGATGGACGTAATAGAAATCCTAGAGAGAATGATCACTGTGATTGTCCAGAAGGATGGGAGGGTATCAATTGTAACGGTATGTCTTCGGTATGGAAAAGAAAGGGTCACAGAGATGCATAATACTTGAAGTCTGAATTTGTTGCAATTGCTGCGTTATAGTATGCACCATGGATTCTGTATGCGATCCTCTGGTTCCCACAGGTCAGAATGGTACTTGTTACAGAGGCGGTCTGACAGTTTTCGAAAATCATCAAATGTGCAACGTTACAAGTAAGGCCATCGACTCCCCTCAAACGCCATACTCCTCGAGTGTTTTATCTTTTTACTATAACAACGTGTACTCATCCACACACGCAAAACTAAATGGCCCGATCATCATCACCACGTTATTTTAGATCGTAAGATCCTCGAACAGTTGAAAGATCAAGTACCACAGGTCACTTTCTCTTGTAATCAGCATGAGGACTCGTGTGACTTTCAATGTAGGTAGTTACATCCATAGCAGAATAGAACAAATGGCACATATACTAATCTTGATTTATAAACTTAAGTCTGGGTCGACGAAATCGAGTCATTTTATTGCCATTTGGATGACTGTCAGTTTGATCAAGGTAAGATATCGGATGAAAGACAAGAAATTCTCCTAGTAGATCCGCCTTTTAATCAAGAATTCGAGGGGTTCATTGGGAATCATAGAGAATACCTATGAGAGAAACATGACCAACTACAGGTGTAACAATATCGATTGTCGATGCATCAAGGATGAAATGTTGTGCGGCAAGGGTGGCAGTATTGGTACGTTACTTTTATTAGCCGCTACATGATTGTGGTCTACTACATGTAAATGTATGTACATGATACTCACATTTGTTACGCGCGCACTCTCTTTTTGGGTATTCTTGATATTAGACCTTACCGATTTGCTCAAGGATGAAATTCAAGGTCCAGCTACATTTAAATGCGTTGGTCCCGATTGCTCATTTTCTGGTAATGCTTGGATCCAGGGGGGTTGGTTATGTGAGGAGGGATAGATGGGTGGTGATTAAGTAATTAGTTGCATGACTTTGTGGCACACACTCCACCCATTCATCCTCTTACCAATGTTGTATATGTTACCCATGTGATATATAGAACCGGCCATGGATGATCTCATTTCTGCTATTTTCGGCGATGATTCGATTTTCCTTTCGTGTAGTTCGGGAGAGTGCTTGCATTATACCATGGTTCCGGGCTTCAAGGTAAATATCTACTACTTTCTGCTTGCAGAAAAAAAGATATAGTAGCACTGACTACATAGTATATTTATTGAATGATGTAAAGCGACCCGAGCGGCCCATAAATTGGGTAATGATCATCAGTGGTATGGCCGGTGTTGCTGTTTTCCTGATTATTGTTGCTGCACTCGTGACCTACCTCGCCAAGAAACCCAGCGGTGCAGGCCAGTATATCCAACTCGCCGATGATGAAGCTGGCAAGTTGATGGCGGAGCATACGCCAACGAGTCTTATTTTTGACAGCATCTCATACAAGGTGGGCAAACTGCCTATTCTAAAGAGCATCACGGGCATGGTCCGACCTGGCGAAGTGCTTGCTATTATGGGACCTTCAGGATCGGGCAAAACGACCCTACTGGATATTCTTGCCAACCGCACCAAAACAGGACAAGTGTCTGGCGATGTCTATGTCAATGGCCATTCGCTTGCTGCTGCAGAATACAAAAAATTGATTGGTTACGTCGACCAAGAAGATACAATGATCCCGACGCTGACTGTCTACGAAACGATCTTGTACTCGGCTCTACTCCGCTTACCTCGATCGATGAGCACTGCCGCCAAGAAATTCCGGGTGATGGAGGTTATGCAAGAGCTGGGAATCGATAGCATCAAGGAGTCAAAGATTGGACAAGCAGATGATCGATCCATCAGTGGCGGTGAGCGTCGTCGTGTTGCTATTGCGTGTGAGCTCGTCACTTCACCGTCGATTTTGTTCTTGGATGAACCAACGAGTGGTTTGGATGCATACAATGCTTACAACGTGGTCGAGTCTCTGGTGACGCTCGCAAGGGATTACAACCGCACAATCGTGTTCACTATTCACCAACCGCGATCCAACATTGTTACCTTGTTTGATCAACTTATCGTGCTTGCCAAGGGCAACACCGTATACTCAGGACCTCAACTTCGTGTGCAGTCATATTTTAAGAGCGTCGGCTACCCTTGTCCTCCTGGCTTCAACATTGCTGATTATCTGATTGATTTAACAATGCAAACGGTAGAACCACAACAACAGCTGGCCGAAAGAGACGAACTGGATGATATCAATCAGCCACCATCACCGTTATTACGACAGAATCAACCATCCCACTCACTACTGGGCTCTAACAGCGGATACAATGATGATCTTGAAAACACGAGCGAACAATGGGCTTCTGAATTAGGTGCCCGACAAGAACGACTGCGAAGAGAGCGTATAAGGAAGAAGCGAGAGCAACTGACTGCTCCAGATGTCGTTGTCGATGGCAATGGGGACAGCTCGTCCACCAACTCAGATACTGTCAATCCTCATTTGAAACGATTGATTGAAGCTTACGATAAGAGTGTTGTGGCGGTCGCCGTGCGTGATGATGTAGAGCGCATACTTGCGGCAGCGTAAGTTCGAGAGCGATATCTCCCAACTTCCTTCATACAAAAGAGCTAACTTTGCATATATGTATTACAACAGTCAAGGCACCCCAGAAGCCATAGACGAAGGTTCAGCACCACCTATTAAACCTGTCAATACGTATGAGCGGCCTGGATGGATCGCCCAATTCCGGATCTTGGCAGACAGAACGTTCAAGAACTTGTATCGCAACCCGATGCTCATGTTCGCTCATTATACCATTGCTGTTGTTCTAGCATGTACGTTTCAGCCCACTACTTTTTGTACTTTCCTCTGACCATTTTGTTTTCTGCTACCTCAAAACGCGATTAACCCTTTGGAGTAATGTAGTAATCTGCGGAGGACTCTTTTACCAAGTCTCAAACACTATTGCCGGTTTCCAGAATCGTATGGGTCTATTTTTCTTTTATGAAGCCCTGTTAGGCTTCATGTGCCTTACGTCACTCCAAGTATTCTCAAATGAGCGTATATTGTTTGTACGGGAGCGTGCAAATGGATATTATTCTCCAGGAGTTTACTTTTTGTCAAAGGTAAGAAACCGAGATATATATATACTCAGGACTTGCGATGTGTTTGAGCACTGTTTATGACTGACGCTGTTGCTATCATCAATAGGTGCTGTTTGACATTATCCCATTACGTGTGGTTCCACCATTGATGATGGGCTTAATATCGTACTATATGGTTGGACTTGTTGAAGGCGTACCTGAATTCTTCAAGTTCTTGCTTGTCATTGTACTTTTCAACCTCACTGCAGCTGCACTTTGTTTAGCTATCGGTGTGGTATTCAAGAACTTATCTATGGCAAATTTGATCTCGTGTATGATGATGTTGTTCTCTATGCTTTTTGCTGGTCTTTTGTTAAACAAAGGTAAGAATTCTTATTGAGACATATAGAGAAAGGAAGACAGAGAGCTAACATCAGGTTACTACTAAATTAACCATAACGACAAAGACTCTATATCCCCTTACTTTGGCTGGCTCAAGCACCTGTCATTCTTCAATTACGCGCTCGAAGCATTACTTGTCAACGAAATGCTATACTTGCAGCTGGTGGAGGAACGATTTGGATTAAATATAGATGTAAGCCTTTTCTCAACTTTGTGACACTTGTTACATTGTATCGCTCTCAGAAGGCTAAGGTGTACATAACAAAACAAAACAAAAACCCAATTTTAGGTACCTGGTGCGACGATTCTGTCAACATTCGGATTTAATGCAAAGAACTACTGGCCAGATGTCATCAAGATGGGCATCATGTTCTTAAGCTTTATTCTGTTCGCTCTCCTCTGGCTCATTTTCTTTGTCAAAGAAAAGAGATAGCCAAAAAGAGAGAGTTTCCCCATCCTTTTTCTTTCCCTGTCTACTAAATATTTGGGTATGGACAAATATTCTGGATATTTGTTTGTGCGTGGTTTATGTGATTGTGTGTATATCTGGGCATATAATAGATCATCAACAGTATGGTTTTTTTAATACATTTTATGCTTCAGTAATGACTCAATTGCTCGGTATAGAAATAGAGGCATTGACAGAATTACAATATCATTCATGACGCGTTTGATATATATAGCATCGTGGGTTGGTATGTAAGCCAGCTGTCTTCCTCGGATTGCATAGAAATATATGTAAAAAGATCACTCGCAGAATCTATTTCTGGACGCATCTCCTAGTTGGTCTCTCACGATGTTTGTATCAGGTAAATAGAAGAGATAAGACGAGACATGATTGATCACATGAACATGGTGTGTCCAAATATACATCCGTGTGAAGAATGCGGGCAACAACAAACATTAGTGAGAACACGGCCCGTTTTATAATAGGGCACAGGGCTTAAAGGTACAGTATATCCTTCTTTAGAAGTCAAGTTGTGTGACGAAATCCTAACGTAAGAAAGGGAGTTCCTGAAATAAAGCGCATATACTTTATAGGTGTATACAAGAACGAAAGCTTTAAGAACTTCGATGATGGTGTATTGACACGTATGAACTGGAAATCACGAGAAGAAATAAGTGCTAATCATCAACGGTAAAAAAAGATACCAAATGTACTAACGACGGGCTTCTCGCCAGATTATGTTGCTTCAATTTCCTCCACAGTCAAAGCTCTACATAACGAATCATCTTGTTATTAAATTGTGTGAACTCGATTATTACCTGTTGTTTGTCCACAGAATGCGTCTTGGAAAAGGGTAAGAAATTGGTGGCAGAATACCCATGCATGCAAAATTGCATATGCAGACAGTGTTCTCGAAACATTGAACTTTATATCGATTTACACATTGTGAATGATAGTTTTATTTCTGGATGTATGTAAATTGAAGATCTGTATATACAAATACTAATGCATCCCGTTGGTTTGCGAGAAGAATAATTTCCTTTTTGAATCGAGTGCCTGTAAACGCTCTTTAAGCAAGTCAACATAAAGAAAAGAAAACTTTATCCAATCGAGCTATTGATTGTTTAAGGGCTATACAATGGAGAATGAGAGCGACTGATGCGCTAATAACAATCATGTGAAGAAAAACAATCGGTTCTAATACATTGTTATGACAAAACTGACCGTAGACCCCTTACACTTGTTTCCAGCGAGTGCTGCTCAACGGATTGGCCTATATGACTGAGCAGATGTACTTTCATCCATCAGTAAACCAGAAGTAGAACGGGTGTTACATAGAGTAAGCATGTCCATTATAAGGCCAACTGGCAGTTCAAATGTGTTACCTCTTGAAAATAATCTTCTGTATAGACTAAGTCCATCGTCTTTAACTTAGTTGCTTGTGTACTGACCGAAACAAATGTCTCTTTTCTACTTTATGTCGACAGAACAAAGAAAGAAGCTACATAATCGATTGAATTGATTGAGGTAGGAGGAGGGTCGGACAGCCGGCTTAACTACCACGGTTCATAAATGTGTGTAATTAACCATGCAATTTATTACTAGAGAGAAACAAGGTTTGCGTTTCAGTTGTTTCACAGAGCCCTCCTAGCACCATACCGCTTTTGATAAATATTGACTATTGCTGAAATGTTCCACAATCAAAGTGAAAAAGACATGCTCAAACACTTGATTAGGAAGATGCGACGAATCAAATAGACGCAGTAAGCATGTAGTTGTGGGCAACTGGATTGACCCTCATTCACTTTACTATCTGTACGACGATGTGTAGAGACTCAGAGATTGTATACAAGCCAACAAATAATAAAATACACATAGAATGGGCTGATTGTCCATTTGCCCAAGAAACATCAGTCGGGCTGCTGCACCCGACAAATGCACTGCTTCCTTCAAAACTTTTGCCCGTAAAAAGTCAGTTTTCAGTGTCAGCAGCAAAACAACAACAACAACAACAGTAATCAACAATCGGCAGTAATGGGATGCTAAGAGACTTAAACAAAAAAAAGATGCGCGCTGGTAAGTTCGAGTGGGACAAAGTAAGCCTAAAGTTTAAAAATAAAGAGGTTGAAGACTTATATGGCCCAGGGGGGCAAAAATAGCGAATAAAATTTCCTTTTTCGGGAGAAAATAAAGGATATGAACAGACGAGTGAGCCTCTATTTCTTTTTTCTTTCACGGGCGACGACCTCCTCTTCCTCTTCCTCTTTTCTTCTTCTCAATTTTTATTTCGGCGCTCTCTCCCATTCTTTTACGATTCATTCAAACCTTATAAGTCATCATGAAAATCAGCACAGCCATCCTTAGCAGCTTGGTTGCCCTGGCAGTGACCCCATCGTCATGGGTACTTGCCCAAGATGGCACACCCAATATCCCAACCACCAGCACAGCCAGCACCTACTCTTGCGATTCCAATACATGCAAACTTCCTAGCTGCTTGTGTGCCTCTCAATCTCCACCTAATGGATTGAAGCCTGCTGATGTGCCTCAGGTTAGTACGCGAGGGAGAGAGAGAGAAAAAGCAGTAGCATTTAAGGAGAAGAGCAACAGTTTTCTCACTCAAACTTTCTGTATCCATTGCACGTACAGTTTGTTACCATCACATTCGATGACTCCATCCAGGCAAAACTTGTCGATACGGCACATGCACTTCTCAACGTTCGGTAAGACGACTATCCTCACCAGCAGCAACGATCTGGACTTCTTGCGTCCTCACATTATGTGCATTCTTTTTTGCAATGGATTGACTCACTCCTTTTCTCAAACCTCCTTACTTGCTGGATGACAGCAACCCTAACGGATGTCCCGCAAAGGCAAGTGCCGGGGAAAGAGCACAGCGATTTTTGCTTTTGTGTTACGTGAGACGTGTTTTATCTAAATGAGCTTGTGTGCTTTTGCCCTTTCCTTTTTCTATTACCGCTCTTGATTGGTGTAAAACCTCTTATTTAATACTGTAGGGCTCATGGTATGTTTCGATGGAGTATACTGATTTCTCGCTTGTCCAGCAATGGTACGCGAACGGACACGAAGTAGCAGAGTAAGTCTAATGAGATTGTTTTCTGACAGACATACAAAACCCGTATACGGCGGACTTACCGGGATTTTGCCATTTTCTATAGTCATACGTTCTCTCATGTCGGCATGTTTCCTTTCAGATATTTCTAAAGATGATGATTAACCGATCGTGCAAACAAGGAACAAAGGCTAACTTTCTATAATTATAATTGCTACTGTATCTTCCATATCTCAATAGGCACTCCATCTGCTCAGTAAGTATCTCCAAATATACAGACATACGCAGCAGCATCTTGCATACATATAATGCAATGCATTTAGCCACTTGTTCTTATGTTATCTCACGCATCAAACACGCTGAACTGTAAATAGAGAAATTCAAGCAGCTCGTGCCATGTTGAACCAATACGCTGGTGTTCCTCTCGGAAAGATTCAAGGTTTCCGCGCCCCGTTCTGTACGTTATCACCTCTATAACCAACACTATCATTGGCATCTAGTCACTATTGCTGGCAAGAAGAAAGATAAAGTCGACAAAAACTTTGTGTGCTTACTCGCTTTTGCGAACCTTGCCTCAATAGTGAATTATACGGCGGATACGCTCACTGAAATCTCCAAGCAAGGTTTCTTGTATGATTCATCAGCAACGGCTGTAACTGATGACTGCTACTGGTAAGTGTGGTGTTAATCTGTGTTTTCAAAATGTACTATATTTGGTGAATAGAAATTTTGACCATTTAAATATTATAATGTATAGGCCATATACCCTTGATAACGGCATGGCGAACGATTGCTGGACTGGTGTCTGCTCGGCCGGTGTAAAACTTCCAGGTTGGATTATGGTTCTGGACGACATCAACTTTTAGTGAGTCTATTTTACTAACCTAGCTTTGCATACTATTGACTAGGTGTTTGGGAGATCCCTATGTATGCTGTACTTGACAACGCCAACACACCCCAATTGATGGATGTCTACCTTGCTGGATCCAGCGCCGATGTTGCCACCTGGACTTCAACTAACTTCGAAAGACACTACAACGGAAACCGCCAGCCATTCGGCATCTATGTCCACCCGAGTAAGTTCTTTTTCTTACATACCTTCTTCCTCTTTACCTCATTGTCCTTCTTCTACTCTTTCTCAATGCCTCTCCCACCAACACCCCTTAAACCCCGCTTACCCCCTCCTTCTATATACACTCGTTCTCCTCTTCCAATGTTGTCTGATTTTCTTTTACCGCCCTATGAAATAGCTCATCTCACGACGTTCCCTGGTGTGCCACAGACACCTGGCTCTGAAGATCCAGAAGTGATGAAGAAGGCTGTTGTCGATGCTATCCAGTCTATCACATCCAAGCCGGATGTATGGGTCGTCTCCAATGCTCAATTATTAGAATGGGTATGTATTCTACTGATATACCTGCTATGGTTGTATATATATAAAAAGAAAGAGAAATCAGTTAACTAACATGGCTCTCCTTGAATCTTTGGATCCTGTAGATGAAGAACCCGGTCCCTGCCAGCCAACTTGCAGAGCAGAGCTACATGAAGTGCGATCTCCCCAACACCGGCAAGGAGATCTGTAATGGTCTTCAGAACATCACTGTCGCCGGAGTCACTGGTGTTGTATCATCCGCTTTGACTAATAACTGTAACTTTAATACTACCAATTGGGGCACTTGCTTTAACTGCCCAAGCACTGTCCCATCTTTGGATAATCCCACACCTCCTGCCGCTGTTCAATCGACCGATCCATCTTACCGCCATCCTGTTCCTGATAACTGTGATAGTATTTGGTGGGATCCTGGTAAGATTATATAAATTCATCAATCTGACAGAGTTGATTACATATGTGAATAGACCTCTATAACCTAAGATATTTTTTACAAAACAGTTGCCGGCCAATGTTTGTGCACTCAAGATAGCTGTGCTTATAAGGATACTGCCGTACCTGTCAACAATACCAAGGACGGTGGAAGCAGCGATAGCAACGGCAGCAATGATGGTGGCAGCGCAGCGGTCGCCGTCTCTCCGATGGTATCCTTAGCAGTTATCGGCAGTGCTGTTGCCGGTGCTCTTTCTCTCCACCTTTAGATTTTTTTTAATTGCTCTATTTCCCTTTAACCTTTCCCGCTTAACTTGTTTTTCTTTCCGTAAAATACTATTGTAAAAGTAAGCTGCCAGCAGTAGCTTGATAACAAACAAACACACTCCACTTTATGTTGAATGACAACTCGAGTCATACTTATCTATCCTTTCTTCCAAATTCCCTTTAAACTTTAATCAACAACAATGCTGTCCAGTCTTTCCATCACCCCATCATAAAAAAAACTCGTCATACACTGATAAAGTGCACCTTTCTTGGCCTCATCGGTTAACGCGAAAAAATGAAATGTTGCTGCTGTATATATCCGCTCGCTAAACCGACCTTGATTCCAGCAGAATTGGATCGCTTTAGCGTAATATCGTCGGCTCAACATAATAAGACATGTGGTAGATGTCAAAATGTGTCGATTTTTTAAATAGATAAAAAAATTATTATCAAATGAGAGTGCGTGTTAGCTTGCATGTGTGTTGTTGCTGTTGAGTGCAGGAGGTGCTATGGCGTGTGAGGTTTCTGTGGTTGTGTATAATGTACAATTTCGTCTATAATGATCCGGTAACGGTAAGGATGTCGTTTGCTTCGATGATACTATTGACAAATATACACTTAGTCAGAATATAAAGCAGGTAGATAGAGAAGCAAAACCACTTACTCGACTACGTTAAATTCAACGGTGCCATCATCACCACCAACGGGTACACCGGTAGTCTTATTAACCCATTCGCCATACTGACTTGGTTTCCTTTCTTCCGTACTAGTTGCTGTAGGTCCTACTTCGTCATCATCATCATCTTCCTTGCTTTCATCTTCGTCATCGTTATCATCTTGTGCAGCGTGGTCTTCAGCTTCAATTTCGGACGCGCGCCATTCATATACATCAGTTGGTATGCTTTTGCTTGGGATCGACGCATTGAATGTGCCGTAAATCAGCAGACCAATATGATCTTGCGACTGTAAGTTAATGCGGCCCACTAAAAAACGGTTGAGAAATGTCAGTTTCTTGAACTGACAGTCTCCATGGATATACCACAACCGTGAAGTGCATGGTGCCAAAGCAATGCGTTGCTATGTATATTACCAAGTTTTGTGCCCTTTCGCGGTTTCCAAACCAAGAATTTGACGCGGACGAAAAAGTGACAGAACGGTGAGTCATACAGAATCTTTCCCTTGTCTGTCAAAAACTCAAGATTCGAATGTGCAAGAACGATGCCGTCTAATTGTGGAACAAATCTAGAGCGTGTAATAACCAGTTGTCAACAATGGTAAGTTTTTTTTGTTCATATATCATACTAATAGCTCCACAGAAATCAAGTAAGAGATCATACTTCATGAGGAATGCATTAAGCTGCTCAATAACGCCTTCCGTGGCATTTTCAGCCCATATGGGAGCCAAATGGAGGTATAGTTGGGTGACGATTTCCGAGAACGAGCTGTAGGTGTTGATGGTGGTGGTTTTGGCGACAACAACGGGGCTTGCTGATTTGGTTACGCTGGTGTTGTCAATGTTGCTGCTATGTTTATGGCTATGCTTGCTGGTCTTTTGCTTTTTCTTTTCTTTTCTATCCTTGTCTTGGGATTTGCTCTTGCGTTTCTTGTCTTCTTTGCCCATTTTCGATAGTAGTTGTAATATTTTACAAAAAAAAATATGCTTGCTTCTGGGAAAGAAGGTCCGAAATCCCGTTTTCGAGTATAAAAGTAGGACTTGCTTTTCCTCAACCTCCGTGGCTTGGATCGAAATCGACCAGTACTGAAGAACTTCCTGTAAACACCATATTGATGTAACAAGAAAATTATATTTGTTGAATAGCAATGCACCACTATAAGCTTGTTCCAAAACAAATAACAGGCATTCATATTCTATGTACTTACGTAGCTGTCTATCAAAAAAAGAAAAAATGAGGCTCTTTAAAGAAGCCCTGTGGATAGCCTTCTGCTGAAGTGGCGGTGATATGCATAAAAGCGGCAGATGCGTGTCACAGCGAAGCATGTAGCAACTATGTGCTGCAACACATTGTACTTGCTTCAACAAACAATTGCCATTGTCATCTAAGGACTTTAGTGCATAACCTGTCATTGTTAGATTAGAGCTCCTTGACCCCGCAAAAGTAGAAACTGTTCTGTATAAGATCGGCAGTCAGAAAAGTAGGGAAGAAGGTTGTTTCTCAAAGAGCATCCTAACCACTTCACCCACCCCTAAGTGATAACAAAACTTGTAGTCGAAAATCTCGTTGATCAGACAAAGAAATCCGAGGCATGACTTCATTTGCAGACGTTTCTGTCTTCAAGTACGTATATTTCAATCTAGGGGTATGTACTTTATGTGCACCTAATAATGGTGCACATATTATCATCATACATTACATATACAAAACTGGCTGTAACCCGTTTACAAAAAGCAGCCATCATCATCACCATCGTGTACGCATACAGGAGGGCGAGAACGAGGCAAATTGCTCTCTCCGAGCAATCAAGCTGATGATAAACTTGTCAACAGGCACTTGTACTCGTGCTTCAGCTCCCATCTTACAAGGGATTGCACAAACCTCGTCGTTGCTACTGTCTGTTTTCAAGTCAAAGCCATCTATTAATAACCGGAGATCGGTGCATAAAAAAAGAAAGATTATACGACACTTATGCCACAAGAGCGCCGTTTCAACATTTGTAGTACGGGAGGCCAATTTCCCGGTTCACCAAAACAAGTAGAACAGAACGTCAGGAAAGATGTTCGTAAGATACTCCAACGCGATCACTCTTTATCATTTTCTACAAAACAAGAACAAAATCGAGGAGACTCTGATCATTTCCACTCTTGGATAAAAAAGGCCATTGGAACTCCTTCCTCTCCTTTTTCTATATACACCTCGTCACTAACATTATGAGTACCACTTTTCACGATCACAAATACAATCGTTCCCGCTTATGTTTAAAAAAAGAAGCGCACGTTCATACAGGATTCCTGCTCCATGTGCCACAAGGCAAAGTGAATACATACCGCACCAGCCTATGCTATTGACCAGAAAGAGAGCGAGGCAATTGAGCGAGTGGGTGACTGGGCGAGCCCGCTCTTTCTGTCGGATTTTGTTGTCATAAAGGGGCAATTAAATAAAAGTGGCACAAATAGGTAAATTCGGCACACGAGGTCGCATCTCAAACAGGAATAATTTGCGGGAAGCGGGGAAAAGCTAGTACCATTTCGGAATGCAAGTCGTGCAACGTTCAATGAGATGCAGTAGGTACATGCCACGGGGGGCAATTGCGGAAGGCTTATTTTGTTTGTGTACGCGTGCCTGAGAACAAAGGATATGGATTTCGTAGCAAAAGGCATAGTGCTTCTCGTCGTGCTGTGCATGATATTTGACGCATAAGCAGGTACATCAAGCTGACTGCATGGGTGTGTATGTCAGAAACTACATATCCTGGGCTGAATTTCTTATTGCGAGAGGAAGTCTGTGAAATAAACCTGGTGTGTGCGAGTGGTTTTGTGCCATTACGTCTAATTTATTGCGCATCATGTTTAATTACCTAAAAGGAAATTACAGCTAAACCTTGTTGCAGGGAGTCAAAGAGTATAAAAGTCCCTGCTTTCAAGACTCGCTTCAGCTACATCCTTCTCAACAACAACAACAACAACAACAGCCCTCCTCCTCACAGTCCACTCATTTCAAGACAAATACCCATTCCTTTCCCTGTATATTCACAATGAAGTTCTCCATCATCTCTGCTGCTACCCTTGCCATTGCCGGCCTTGCCTCCGCCGCCTCCATCCCTTGTGAGAAGTTTGTCCGTAAGTGCTAGAATTGACCGTTTCCGGTCTACAGTTGCTATTTTCGCGCATACACATATCAGAAACAGAAGCTAACGATATCCTATCTATGTTTCTTCTATACAGCCACCGAGGGTCTTACCTGCCAGGCTCTTGCCGCCAAGTACAACGTCAAGGTTGACATGCTCGCCAGCACTAACGGTCTTTCCGGCGACTGCGATTCCGCTTTGAAGAACACTTCCACAGTCTGTATCCAGAGCCACCACACCCACACCAAGCGCTGCCTTGCTGAGAAGAAGGCCGCCGAAGAAAAGGCTGCCCAGGAAAAGGCTGCCCAGGAAGCTGCTGCTGCTGAGGAAGCCGCTGCTGCCGAGGAGTCCTCTGATGACGAATCTTCTGAAGAACCCGCTGATGAGGAGACCACCTCCAGCTCCTCTGGCTCTGGCCCCTCTCCCCAGGCTGTCCCTGCCTCCGAAGCTGGTAGCTTGAGAATCGTTAACAAGGCCAACGAAAACTGTGCCTGGTACTATGTCATCACCTCCGCTGATACCGGCTGCGCTGACGTCGCTGCCAAGAACGGTATCACCACTGACGACCTCTACAGCTGGAACAAGAACCTCCACAGCGTCGGTGTCCACGAGTGCGACAACTTGGACGATGGCAAGGCTTACTGTGTTGGTCTCTAAGTGACACACATCTAATGTACTTTAACATCTTCACTTCATGCCGTTCGAATAAATTGTATCACATAAGCATCAACAATTTATCATTTTTGCATTTGAAAAGTTGACTTTGGGCAGTGTTATAGTGTGACGGTGGGAAGTGCTTTATGAATTGTAGCAGTAGTTATCTGTTGACGGTGTGTTTTCAACATACGATAGAAAAATAATCTAGTACGACCTTCATACAGTCTTTAAAATGTACATGTGCGTAAAACGGATCAATTGGAGACGATTGCTCTCTTGAATAAATTCCACTACTGTTACATCTCAAATGTATCTCGTCAAATCAAATACATGTACCAATTTTGTTTTTGCAATACTTTGCAGGAAAAACGGGAGAATACCGAATATCCAGGACCCGGGTAGTGTTGCACAACTTCAAGGTTATGTTGACAGATTAATTGCCTTGTTCCATCTGGCTAGATACGGTTCGGTTTCCAAAGGATCGACGATCGATAACGTCAAAGTAGGTGCTTACAAAAACGCTCAACGATCAGTTACCATTGTACGAGTTATGGCACTCAACACGAAAGCACAGCCCGATATATGCAATTGGTTCATATTTCTTAGCTCGCTTATGCTAACCACCCATTTTTATATGATATTGTGCGCGTAAAGTGCTCACATATTTTCTGTTCACAATGTATATTGACTATGATATATACTACTAGAGGCCTTAAGAAAATAACTTCATGTATAGCTACGATACCATGTACATTTCTATTACTATCACTCATCGTTCAACGAATATTTTATTCTATCAATTTCCAAATTAATTCTTATCTGATTGTCTCTTTCCCATGAAATCAATATACCTACAACTTCCCATACAGCAGGCGCCGAGCCAATAAGCGGTCTCAATGAGTGTATAAACAGGCGCCTTATTATGCTCAAAGACGTCAGTCGCTGATAAAGCAAGTCCTTGTTTCTTGATTGTCTCGCATGCTGTGAGAGGGAAGGTGTTGAGAGACCTACTGTAATGTGATCACACGTCAAAGACTCATGGTCGACAAGGAAGCGCTTTGCAGGTACCGCTATACTCGCACGGATAAACTGAAGGACCGGATGTGTCATAATCACCTCCTTACAACATAGCAATCGTTGCCATCGTTACGTTACCTCACATGCTGCTGCAGAACCCCCATGCGTAGCTCATATAGCTTTCTCTATGTATTTGTTATCAAAACACACCTCCCCTGGCTAGTAGTACCTCCACCTTCTTGTGCGCCCTCTGAGTGTAAACTTCATTTCACTTCTTGCACGATTAACCATCATCTCCTCGTTAGTGCATACTGATGAGTTGACAGCGAATTTGGCATTATCATAGTAGTCACTAGATCAACTTAGTACTTTGGTGCTTTTGTGTACCCATCGCTGTACCTCTATTAGAGGAATCTCCTATTCTATCTTTCTTCCCTGTGTATTTCGTTTGTCTACTTTTTACACTGTAAAGCGTCAATCAGTAGTATTGGTGCGTATTGTATCTGTTGTTTCGGCCCCAATTCTACCACTGACACAATAAAACAGACGGTTATTCTGAGACAATTATAGTATATACACATCAGTACTTTAAGCGTATGTGAGAGGCGTACGCATAGATTCGTTTCCAAACACTCTGTTTTTCCGCCTTACAATACAATAATGTGAATCTTGGTGTTGTCCCACTCGAACAGTCGTATGTGGTGTTGGCTATTCCTAAATTTCTGTTTTCACATTGGCTTTTGATACGGACACTCTCTTCTATTTTTGATCCTCATCAGGTTACACTCATCCTATAAATATATACTTGTGGGGGTTGTCCGCAAGGATGTTCACTTGTTATTGCTACTACAGATCAGTCGATATATCAACAGAAGAGAACCTTAAAGGGTACATGAAAAACATTCCTTAATGCTTTTCAAACTTTCTAGGATGTCTCTACACGGATGTGTTTATGCGCAGTAATTTCAATAAAGTATGAAAAGGCTCCTCAATAACAGTATACTTTAATATATATATATATATATATATTATATTAAATCTTCAACTTCTTTCAACCTACGTTTATCACCCTACTACTGTATCCCAACACTATGGAGCAATTGATTGAAACTACTTACACCGAATAAAATATGCACTGTTACAATACGTATACGTCAAGTCCTATTAACTACATACTGTATAAGCACTAGCTATGGTGTGCATGCATTTCGCTAGAATACCTTCGTTGCTAGTTTTTCAAAAGAGAATACAGAGCGCAAACACATTTTTAAATACATTGTGTGGTAAAACACATTATTACACTGTCCAAAGACATCATCAGATAAGATATTTGGTTAACATCAAAAGTATATACAGACAACTACCACAGCAACCAGCTAAGCATTGTAGCATAGACACAATTGTAAAGCACGGAAACACTATACTCGGATTATCCAGCTTATGTAAGCAGTAGCAGTACGATTGCCATTATATCATGAATGTGGAAGATCTTACACCTGTACAACGAGGGGCGGCTATAAGCCGATACTGTATGGACTGACGCAATATGATGCATAGGCGTATGTCGTTAGTGATCTCTTGATATCCTTTACGATAATTTAGAAAGAGAAGGTCTGCTTATGATGCACTTAGAATGGATGTCTTGTCACAAAAAAAAAAAGCACCTGGCAGTGGCAGGTGGAAACGAGCGGATGGGCGATGATAGCGGATAGTGTTATGCAAGCTAATCAATACTTATCATCAGCTGGTTCGGGCACCGTTTCACTGTGCCGATCCACGCCTGCCGGCTATCGCACATGCGATGAAGACTGCTGTCTTCGCACGTCGCTTTTGCTCCCAACCCAAAACCACTCTTCTATGCATCGCCATCGTTCAAGCGATCTGGTCAGCACATTGGTTTTTCATATTCGAAGGCCACCCTTTCATTCCGCAGGCAGTAGCTGCTCATGCCACTGCCATCTATCACCGCACATATAAATAGGTTTCTCTTTTCCGTCACTTCTCTGTTCCTCATTTTCTCATACATGTATTCACACCCAATAGTCCGTCACTCCTCTGGACACTCTGTTGGGAATAAGTTCTGCCTCCAGACCATAAAAAAATACTTATGATCAGAATGATTGGGCATGTACTAGTTTTGGTTAGCGCCAAGCTCAAGCCAGGGATCAAAGGGTCTCGGTACAGTGTCTACCGTCAATGTTGCTTATGTTGAATACGAGATTACTTTTGGATTTGTACCGCGTCGATATTGGGCCGGTGAACAATAGCTTCGGATGATAACGATATATTCGCGCAAGGTGTTGGCGAAATTACATCATTTTTGGTTTGGAGTAAGTATGTGCTGAATGTCGTATCCAGCTTCCTGATGGGATAAGTGAGCCATTGTAGAAAGTCTCGGCCGTTGTTGGATTAACCATGGTGCGATGTGGTGGCGTGGTTATTCGGTTTTGCAGCATGGAGAGTAGAACTTCGCCGCGGCACTCAAAGCTCTTTGCCCAGAAAGTTGTTTGACGCACTTCCATCGGTAATCTCTTTTAAACTTGACATTGTCATCTTCTCTGATGCTGCTGTTGTTGCTGCTTGACTTGAGAAAGTACAATTCATTGCGAAACGTAATGTCGTAGAGCCGTCGTAAAGTGTCGTGAGCATATTGAACTTGGTTAGTTGTCTGCTAATTTACGCGTACTTTGTGTTTATTAGTGATTGAGACGAGGCGATAGAGTTAATCCAACCGTTGTGGCGGTTTGCTTTGCCCAGTTGTTGTAAAAGACCGCTTGGCAACGCTTTGGACTGTACATATGAATTATAATCCATACTAAGCACATACGTAGAGCATGTACCTTGATGTGGCTGTTACAACTGCACCAGACCTCAGTGACGACATAATCACAGAGAAAGAGGAAGGTATGATAACAGTGCGCATCATTCTTTAAAAGTCATTGCATCAAAGCAACTATCCTTTAGTTCGAACGCTTCTTTCGTATACAAAAAGGCGACAGTCTTTTCAGTTCGGCACGAAAGTAATGTGGCTTCTTCTTATGTAAGCATCTTGTCACAGTACCACTAATCTCTGTTGATAAAATATTTCTCACAATTTCAACATTCCTGGCACTTGTCTTTACTTTTCCTCAGGGATGTGTTGCTGAAACCTATGTGCACCTTCTGGCTTGACGGGTGCACGTACCTTCCTATTGGAAAACAAGCGGCGACGTTGTCGGGACACGCCCTGCATGATACCGGTGGAAACCTTCGTAGGACAATAATACACGCAAATCACACACGCCTTCTTCTTGACCGCTTGACCGCTTGACCGCTTGACCATGTCTCTTCTGCACATGTTTTTTCTTCCCTACCCTTTGCTTTCTCACATGTTTTGAATGACGAATCACAAGTCACGTGACGTGTTTTTTTAAGACAGGGGTTTGAGTTCAAAAAATGTAAATACGCCCACATTTTTCAGGCCATTCCCTTTTTCTCTTCACTCTTTCTTTCCTTCACTTTTCTTTTCCCTTCACTCCCTTGGATCCTCCTGGTCTTTCTCTTGGCTCTTCCCTTGGTTCTGGTCTTCCCTCGCTCTGGCTCTTCCCTTGGTCCTGGTCTTGCCTCTGTCGGTCTGGTCTCAGCCTTTTTCCCGTGGTCCCCCTGGCTGCCTACAACCGGTCCCTGCTTGGGCTGTCTAGTCTGGCGTTCAACGGTGTTGGTCACAACCGGTCTTCAGGCGAGATCAGAGGACGGAGAAATCCTTTTCGGTTTTTCGCCATAGAAATATGGTAGTGTCCTTTCGGTTGGATGCCTTGTCTGCTGGTCTGGTCTGGTCTGCCATGGTGGGGCTCGCATGAGGAGCCAGGTGCCACCGTAAATCGCGTTCGACTCTCAGGACTCGACTATCGGCATTCGACTGTCTGGCATCGACTGTCTGCGATCAACTCTCTGGCATTCGACTCTCTGGCATTCGACTCTCGGCATTCGACTCTCGGCAATCGACACTCGGCAATCAGCTCCCAGCTTCAGTGTTCGGCTCCCAGCATCCGAGTATCCAGTAAGCAGCTCCTCCAGCATTCGACAACAGCAGCAATTTTTTTTTTTTCTTTTTTGGGTGTTTCGAGAGTCAATTCTTTCCCCTACCCCCACCCCTTCCCTTTCCTCTTCCCTTTCCTCTTCCCTTCCGTCCTTCCCTCCCTTCCTTCCCTTCCGTCTACCCTTCCATCTTCCTTCCGTCCTTCCCTTCCCCCTTCCCCACTCACAGGCAATCCACAACCGATTGCTTGCACTTGACTCTCGAAACGTAGCGTACGTCATGGTTCCCACTCGTTTGTACCATGATGGCTGGGTTTGTGGTTGATTGACCCAGCCAAATGTGTGGGAGACTGGGACTCCCAGGCCGAGGCATTGGTGGCTTTCTTTTCCTCCCCCTTTTATATACTTCTTCTGTTTCTTCTTGCTTTCTTCATGCTTTTTGTATAGCCTGCAGGTTGTGCGAACTGCTTGTTGAGGTCACTTTGTAAAATCGCGTTCTTATTATTTGTCTTTATTGTCCACTGATTGTGTTCTTTTAATAAAATTTGTACCCTTCGACTATTGATATTCATAACGATAACTTTTGTCTTTTATAAAATGTTTCTTTACTCTAATATTACAATGAATAAAAACCTGCTCTTTTACTTTATGTCCTGCTTAAACTCATTTACAATTTCTTTCCTTGTGAAGATATTTGCGTGTCGCTTCACCTTGCAATATCCATTTTCTTTCTGACTGTGTTCAATCGTCTTCGCCGCTTCATTTGACAGTTAGGAAAGAACTCATGTTTTGGCGTGCTGTGTCCTTGTTCTTATACAATGCTGACAATGTCAAATGGCTCACATTAGATTCGTAATTACTTTTACTTTGCATTGACTCGATCGATTCTAAACATAATATCTAGGCAACCGTTTGACACAAGCATAATGCACTGACCATGTAATACAATGTCAAAATTCTTGTGAGAGCCGTTGCATGTATCAGTTTTTTGGGCACGTCAGAAAATATCTTTAGAGAAACTTTTTCTGGCAACTGCCAGGAACTCTTTATGAATAACTGGGAACCCGTTGTTCGAGTTGTGTGTTCAAAAACTGTCATAGAATTAGACTCTACAGTAGAAATGCTCGACTTTTTTTGGAGACCCGCAGCTCGTTTGCAAAGAGCGACTGTTACCATGCATGATCTCGCTCCCCGGTTGAACCATATTTAATTACTGCTTTATGTCGTTAGCATTCAACCACAAGCTTGACTCTTTGCTTGATCTAGTACGGTCATTGTAATACAACAGTAAGTACATTGTTTCACATATATAGATTGGGGATTTCTTTGGATCCAGATGCGTGCATACATAACTGTCGACACACAAAAGCCATTTTGATAGACTTCAAATGACAATGTAATTGGAGCTATAAAGCTGGCCATGACCACCAACATGTTAAAGTGAATCAAATTTTCTACAGTACAGTATATAACATCAGCGTCTCATCATTGCTTATGTAATCAGTACAAACTCATCTAATGAACATGTATTTAAAGTATATACTTTCATTAAGACGATTACGAAAACCAACAAAAAGACAGCATTATGATACGAGGATGATTCCTGGTCTTTTATTTTGTATGAAAAATATATCGTTAGGTAATAGGACATCCCGTCAATATATAGTTGATACAAGCAATATTTGCAGACAAGCCAAAGGACTATCAAAGAAAGAAGTTAGAGCAAGCCATACTTGGAGTATTTAGTAAAAGCAAGCAACAATTGAAACAATCACTCACCACTTCGTATTTCCAGAACAGATCGTCGCGGCCCCTACCCTACCCTCCCATTGCTGGGAGAACCTCCACTTTTGTCTGGGCTCCAGAACCTAGCATAGATGCAGATAGAAAAGAAACGAAAAACAATTATCCCCTCGCTCGCTCTTCAGACGTTTTCTTGTGTATATTTTGCCACTAACCTTTCTCTGTGACGCCTCCTCTTATCCGTGTACGTGACCTCACCATACTGCCCAATCCCGTATGGCTGCTTGCTACGGCGGCATGACCCTGACAGTCATCGCGTTTAGTTGTGGCCGCGCTCCACTGAAATAGCCTCTACGTGTTGCCGACCCGTGCCCCGAACCTAACGTCTATGCGCGGCCGGTGGTCAGTTTATCGAGTCATTTCCAGGACTCAGCAAGCGGTCACAGGGAGTACAGGATCAAGAGGTGGGCGCAGGTCACGATTTACTGGAGAGGTGCATGCGCAATCGAACTTACCATGCTTTCGCTCTTCCACTCGCAAGGTAAACCAAAATTTCTTTCAGGCCTTCCGACAAAAGAGAAAAAGGTTAGGCATCGCCCAATCCGCGAACCAATCCTGATAAATCTTAACAACTACAGCAACGAAAGCACGTAGAAAATCAAGTTATTAAGACGTAAATACCAGAAGAATGCTACCCTAGTTGAAGAAGTACAGAAAAAAAATAGTTACCCTGTAGTCGTCACGCATATCCGTCCGCCGCCGCTACTACTACTACACACGCAAAATCAACGACAATGATTAAAAGAAACGTTGGTGACGCATTGGAAAAAAAAAACAAGTTGGAGATCATTGAAATTTGAAAGGTGTTTTTTTTTGGGGGGGAAGAGAAAGATTAAAGTAGGAGGAAAAACTTACACTGTAAAGGTTCCATAGTACACCGCGTGTGTCAAAAGCAGATTCGCCGACAAGGGTTCATAAAGAAAGCGAATTGCCAATGGAGTATGTGTTAGAAAAAAGAACTCTTTTAAAAGAGCGAGTGAGGAACTGATTGAAGTAACTCGTTCGCGCATTGCTCTACTTACAGGCCCAGGTTTGTTGCCATCACGGTTGAAAGAGACAAGAGTGGTGATGGAAAAAACCTTTACTTGACTGTCAAATTATTGAAACAACGACACAACCATGGCGCACTGCCCAAGCCTCTCTGCTTCGCTGCTTTTTTCTGCATGGGATATCATTAAGAGAGAAAAGAGGAGGTTTACACATACACCAAGTATCTCCATGTCTCCCGGTTCGTGCCTCGTCTGCATTACACCCAGGTTTCACCTTGGGACTGAGCTCCGCACCCTTTGCAGGTACCTTTTTTGTGTAGACGATGATTTATTGAAATACCGTTGTTGTCGGTATTTATAATGTCAGAAAAGAGGGTTGACAAACGCACTATGAAAAAGTACTGATTTCTATATGTATCCTACGAAGCGCTAATGTAATGCGGGCTGCTACACCGTCGGGCAAGAAGGTTGATCCTTGAAACACTTGATACCAATGGGAGTTCCATATGTGGAGTATGGTAGTGGCGATGATACATATGAAGGACAGTTTGAACTCTGGTTTGACCGTGTCTCGCATGCTGAATATCTGATATCATTATACAGTTGTTCCGCCTTTGCAACTCCAGACTTTTTGCAACAATACCTTCGACTTTGCCACGTATGATATTCTTGAACCTCACAAAGCTAATCAAGAGCTTAGTTACCTTCGGTCATTGCAAGGCCTCACTTTTGCAACTTATTTTTTTATACCTGCCGCTTTCGCAAGAAGCGGGGATGACTGTACATAGTTTTAAAATAGCAGACAACATTTGCTGCCGTACTTTAGAAGTGATGGTGTCCTTTGACGAATTTGGTGGGGATATGACTGACACTGCTCTCGACTAAAAAACGAAAAGTTGTTAAGTTATATATCTTTCCGTACATTTTATGATTACTGGTTGATATCTAAAATCATCTTCCTATTGTTCCAGGGCTGCAGGATAAAATTGTAGCGTATACTTTAAGAGAAGTGCTACGCGTACGAGTTTTTCTAAGTGGGTTTTTAAGGTGGTTGTGTTGTGAAACCTCATATGGCCAATCCGATTGCCGTCTTACACGTACGAGTTTTTTGCTAAAGGAACTGAACAGCATATGCGTACGAGTTTTTGTCTACGCATCAGTCTTCCCTTCTTTTAGATGGCCTTGTCAAAATAACTAGCTATTGTCATACTTCTTGATGTAAAACTGCTCAATAAATCGGCGCAATGGATTTATTTACGCTGTTCTTTTCGAGATCTTACACGTCTGTTCTGCCACCATACAGTAATGGCATATATAAGTTTGCATTCGCTTCTTTTCTTTATGTTCTTGGCCTTTTCCCCAATATTTGATGCCACACCAAGCGATATCAAGATTCTAATCAATCAAGCAATTCACTTGTTCATGTGGAGGAGTTTTCTACCGAGTCCATATAGTTAGCAATCATTTATAAAAAAAGAACTTTGGGCAGCGCTCTTTTACGCGTACGAGTTTTTTTCTATAGTGGTTCCACGCGTAAAACAGCCCTTTAACATAAGCTACTGTGATAAGAAGTCGGTGTTTATGTATAAAAAGGTAAAATCCAAGAGAAAATATAAGAGAATTAAAACGCTAATTCATGTGAGAGTAAATATAAGGTGGATAACAGTAATTGTGTCTGACAGAGAAAAATAGAAATGAAATGGAGGAGAGATAAACAAATGGGTTGTTACAACAAGAAAAAATCGGAAAAAAGGTAAAGAAAGCTGTCAGATACTATTTATACGTTTCTGGAAATACAATGGAACCAAACTGTGCACTTTTCCACATGCGAAGTCGTGCATAAGATGTGAGATCTTCAACACCTTCTATCTGCATTAGATCCCATTCATTTAGATTTTTGCTCCTTCTACCTTCTTCCAGATCTTCAGCTATAAGTAAAATGGCTGTTTCCGGTGCAAGGATCATTTGGATGTAAGACATGTATGTAAGGCGCAATCTTTCAATGTTATAGTCTTGGTCTTGTTATGAAGTAGGGAGCCAGTACTTATCCTCACTATTATTTCTACTTAATATGTTAGATCATAGTCTTTTTACATTTGAAACGCATATAGTACTCGAAATTACAGTGAGCAAGTTTCCTATGAAACTTCCACTTCCTATGGAGCTGTTTGAACGGTCTTCAGATTAACAAATAACTCACTGCAAGCAGGCTTAAGAAAACTCGTACGCGTTAGCAGATAGCTGTCAAAATTTACCCCAGCTAGTTATAATTTACGTAGAACCAGGATAGAAAAAACTCGTACGTGTAAGCAGACAACTGTCAAAATTTGTCCCCGCTACTTATGATTTACGTGGAACCAGGTTAAAAAAATCCATACGCGTAAAAGAGCGCTGCCCAGAGTTATTTCATAAGCGATTGTTACCTTTGTGGACTCGATAGAAAACTCCCTCCACACAAACAAATGAATTGCTTGATTGATTAAAATACTGATATCGAGTTCAGTGTGCCATCTAATATTGGGAAAAGGTTAAGAATTAAAGAAAAGAAGCGAATGCAAAACTTATATATGCCATTACTGTATAGTGGCAGAACAGAATCCTGTAAGATCTCAAAAAGAACAACGTAATTAAACCCATTGCGCCGATTTATTGAGCAGTTTTACATCAAGAAGTATGACAATAGCTAGCTATTTTGACAAGGCCATCTAAATAGGGGAAGACTGATGGATAGACAAAACCTCGTACGCATATGCTGTTCAGTTCCTTTAGCAAAAAACTCGTACGTGTAGGACGGCAATCGGATTGGCTATATGAGGTTTCACAACACAACCACTTAAACCCGCTTAGAAAAACTCGTACGCGTAAGAAAAAAACTCGTACCCGTAGCACTTCTCATTAATAAAATACTTCTTTCAAATTACGTGCACAAAAAAAGATGAAAGCTTAATCTGGATAGTTGACTAGATGGGAGAATGAAAAAAATCTATAGCTAGAGATTTACCAGAGCCGATACAAGTACTCACATATAGGATCACCGTCATCTATGAGCGAGTGTACTAGAGAAGCTGTCAAAGGGCCTGTACGTACTTCATAAATAACTGCTTAGCCGCTGTTCCTTAGCGTAATTCTTTTGCTATACATAATACTGTAGTTTGGCATTGAATGGCTCCTTTACGCTGCAAGATTCTAGGGGATCCGTAGTCTTGAACAGTTTATATGACTATCGCTACAGTATGTATTTAATACAATATCACACATAGATACTAAAAAATGCTTAATGCATTTGACAATACCTTACATATTGGCGAAATACAGTAGGCCGAAGCTCATCAAACGGTAACTATTAATTGCTTCAATTCGTATTAAGAGTACGCGTAGTATCAAGAAGATTGTTAGTGCAAATTGGCTTAAATAACGTTATTGAGCAACGGGAAAGATGAAAACTTCTCAATAGGAATGACATTATAGAAGTCGTGCAAATTGGTCTGCTACCTCCGTAGGGAGGGCTATGCTGCGCACAATATACTACAATGCTAATATTTTTATATGAAACATTTAATCATACTTTTTTTTATTGTAAAGTATTGAATAAATATGATACTGATAGATGATGTTGAGCTGGGTTTTTATGCCGTACCGCATGTGAAATTTGACGCAGGTATACTGTAGCAAAGCAGCAATGAAAGAGAAGAACTGAGCACCGTATTTCTAACTGCAATCGATTGCCGGATCACTACATGTATGTTTATTAGCTAACTATTAATAGCATCTATGCACACCCTTTTGGTAATTATATATTACGTACGGGAGGAAAAAAACGTTCTTCCGTACCAGATACTTCTTAATTCTTATCGTTGTAACCATGTCGCTCAACTGATCTGGAACACCCGGCCATGAAACCGGCATTGGTATCCCGTGGAGAAAAGAAGAGGCGGAGTTTCTGGTGAAATAACTTTTCGGTTCCGTGGAGAAATAGAAGGCGGACTTTTTTTTTGGCAAATCTCTATCAGTATCCCGTGGAGAAAAGAAAAAGCGGCTATTGTGGCGCTATTCCGTGGAGAAAAGAAAAGGCGGTCTGTATGATCAATCCTTCTCGACAACAGCTTGTGATTTGTCACACAGAAGAACAACCCTTTTGAACACAGTTAGCCATTAACAGAAGAGACAGCAGATGAGATCAACACAGGTAACGTGTACTCATCCGGTTGAAGGTATTTTTGAGATCTGTATAGCCATTTTGATGTGGACACAAAAATGCTCTTTGAAACCAATCTTCTTTCTCCTCGTACGAACTAAGCAAGAGTTTGCTGCTTAGCGATTGAGATCTATGGAGTAATTCGATACGAGTGATGATTATGATATATTGGTCGATAGCCATCATTGAGCTCTTATTGCTACCAACCTTATCTCAACTGTGATGATCTAACATTACCCAAGCGGATGTGTATATGCGAAAAGTTGTACCACCACTAAATATAATGTATAGTTTGGCATGCGGCACTACAAAAGAAAATGTGGAGATGAATAGCTGGATCCAAAATCCAAAATTGATCGCTATCAATCACAGTAATCACAAGGTAATCCCAAAAGCGCTAGCTTGGTTACTCAGAAACGAACAAAGAAAAGCACTCGGTTATGATTTGGTAAAAATAGCAAACATGTTGAATCTATATTACGCCAAAATTCGGGATGACTAAGTGCGAGAGGGACGAATAAAAATAAGAATCAAAAGAACGAACAAGGAGGATGATTGAGAACAAGGAGTTTAAGACGAATTGGTTTCTGTAAGTGTAAATGTGTAAGTTTTGCGGAGGAGGAAGAATAATACATGGTATTTGGAGGGTTTACAGATAGCAGATGATGCTTTCGGCAGGAGCATCGCCAGGGCAATCCTCCAAACCGTTAGGATTCTTGCTCTGCCAGTTCCACAAGGACTCGCAAGTCTCTTCCAAGGTCTTTTCACACTTCCAGTTCAGCTCCTTGTTTGCCTTTTCGGGGTTGGCCGTCAGGTTGCGTACATCACCAGGACGACGTGCCACGATCTTGTACTTCAAATCACGTCCCACGGCCTTGCTGAAAGCGTGGATCATCTCCAGAACCGTGTTACCATGTCCAGTACCCAGATTGTACTCGGCACAACCAACATTAGGTTCACGCATCTTGGTTAAAGCCGCCAAGTGACCCTTGGCCAAGTCAATGACGTTGATGTAATCTCTGTAAAATATGCATACATGAACATGCATGAGCACATTACGGTCTTTTCCAATTCTTCCTCCGCGCACGACCAAAAATAAACAAACTTTACCTGACACAGGTACCATCGGGGGTGTCGTAATCTTCACCGAATACGGACAGGCATTCGCGCTTGCCAATGGCAACCTGCGAGAGGTAAGGCATCAGGTTGTTAGGAACGCCGAGAGGATTCTCGCCCAAGATGCCGGAAGGATGAGCACCAGCTGGGTTAAAGTAACGAAGCAACGCGGCGTTCCAATTGTTCTCGGCTGTGCAGAGATCGCGAATGATGTGTTCAATAAACTGCTTGGTGCGGCCGTAAGGATTGGTGGCGCCCTAATTATAGCAGCAAGAACGTGTAAGTATGTAAGAATGTACTTGTTATCCTGAAAATAGCTTCATCTCTAAGCCCTTCCCACCAACCCCAAACAACATTCAACCAGCCAAAATTCAAAAGGAAAAAAAAGAATAACTTACAGTGGGCAGAGTTTCGGGAATAGGGATAATGGCGGGGTCACCATACACAGTGGCCGAAGATGAGAACACAATGTTGTGGACATTCGACTCCTTCATGGCCTCGAGCAACAAGATGGTGCCCGTAATGTTGTTGTGGTAATAGTCCAAAGGAATCCGGGTCGACTCACCAACGGCCTTGAGACCAGCAAAGTGAATGACAGCCCAAATGTCGTGTCGCTTGAAAACCTCGAGCATAGCCTTCTTGTCAAGAATGTCGACCTTGTAGAAAGTAACCTTCTTCTCGGTAAGTTTCTCGATGCGGCGGACGGCCTCATAGGAAGAGTTTGTCAAATTGTCAATGATGACCACGTTTTGGTTCGCGTTCAACAACTCAATGACAGTGTGCGAGCCTGTGCGAGAAAAAGAGGGTGAGTAAGAAGAGCACTTGTATAACTTGATGCCATCCGAGATGGTCAAAGCCTTACCAATATAGCCGGCACCACCAGTAACGAGAACAGCCTTGTCTGACATTGTTGTGTTTGTATGTTTGGAGTGTTTGTGTGTTTGGAGATGAAGAAAGTGAGTGAGAGAAAGAGAATGAAACTGGGCCCTTTTTATTCAAGGCTTTGTTTGACACTCCGCCTTTTGCAAGTTGACGTTTTGGTTACATAACGGTATTCTTCCGCGGATCCTTGAGCCCCGGCAAAATTATGTAATTAGAGCCACGGTTGCTGTTTATCCTTGCTTACGAAAGCTGAGCTAAATCGGAGATGGGAACTCTGGTGTTGTCTTCGTGAGTAATCGTCAGGGACTGACTCCCTTATTTTGTACTTTGCGTTACGTTGATTAACCCAGTTGCTTAGCGACATCTGGTCTTTAAGTTTATCAGAAGAAGACTACGATGAATGTGATGAAATGGGGTGTATGCTTTATTACTGATAATATTTAGAAGATGGGATGCACAGTTTTTACAAATGATGACGAGGATTGTGATGATGGAGATGCACGTCTGCGACCAGTGTGAACAACAGTACGGACTCGGCTGACTTGATGGAATTCAAATGCGGGTAATGACAGTGGGGCAGTAGGTAATGACTGCGTTACGATTTCTTCAGTTTCACGTCCCTGCGGGGATGCGGGGGATAATGTTGCCCTGTAGTTCTCGTGCATCTGGGCCTTCAGGAAATCTAAGCTGCATGGCTCCCGCGGCTTTTGAAGCTTTTGTAGATTGCGCTTGATTACTTTATCATCGATCTTCCGGCCCGTTGTTTCTCGGGCATCACCCAGCAAACACACATTGTTGCGCGACTGTTGTGTAACTGCTTCAAGTTCGCACAAGGTATCATCCACAGTACAAGTGACGCCTTCTTTGATCTTTTCCTCGTGTGATGGCGTTGTACATGGCATGCTGGGCTCTTTACGGAGGACATGGTCAATATCAACTGCAGAAAAGAATGCCACACTCTATTGTAAAAATAGAAGATATCAAGTCAATTTGCGTCACCACAAGAATCTCAGCTTTGCTAACCTGTGGTAAGCTTTCAACACCCATTTTCCAGCTGAACAAAGCTCGTGTCCAAAGATTGGCCACTTGAAGGGCCAGTGCTGTACGGTGCTTATCTTCTTCGGTTGACAGGTACCGAACTTCGTCGTGTACTGATAGCATGAACCTTGCATTGATCTGATATCGATCGATCAAGTGGGCCATCGATGTAATTAATAGATGGAGGTAATCCACACCCGAACTCTGCACGACCCAGTTGACACGGGAAGTAAGGAACTGTGTGCCTGTATATCTCGGCTTCAATGCATCCGTGATCGCACACCCTAACACCGGCGTTCGAGGTTCTTTCGAGAGCGCAATGTCTTCAAGTGCGTTGAACATGTAACTCTCGCTACCGCCATGCCAAAACTGCCGATCGAACCGATTCTTGGTCGAGTGCTCCTTTTCGCCTTTCGTACTTGCATATAGTGCAAGCGCACGTTCTTTTGCTGTTTCAGGATCCATGCCTTGACTGTATTGCAATAGCAGGCTGGTCGCATATTTTACGCCTGCGCCGTAGATCCGTGCATAGTTGAAAATCTTGGCCTTGTCACGGCTGATACCCAAAATACTGGCCGTCTTGGAGTGCAGATCCGTGCCTTCTGATTTGGAGCCTTGCAGCGTCATCCAACCAAGAGCCGACGCACCATGAAAGCCAAATTGAGCGTCGCCAATCACACTGGAAATCCATAGTTCTTCCGAGTCAACGTCCGCACCAACGATCTTGTAGCCTTCTGGAACTTCAACCATTGATTTCAGTTCAGATCCGATCCGGTTGGCCTTGGCGTTACTTGCAGTCAGCCACGTTTTCTCAACAGCACGTCGAGTAACGGTACCCATCGTTACCATCTGAGGGAGGATCATGCCATATTTGCCGTCGTTTTGTTGCCGCTTGGGTAGTTTCATATCGACGTCAGTATTGTTGTCCCACACGACAAACTGACCCAAAATACGTTCTCGTGCGCTGATCCAATATGCTGATTTGGCATTGAGTTCAAGCGCCTGCTTGGCTGCTTCATACTCGGATGTCATTGTCCGGTCTTCATAAGCACCAATGTATCCCTTCGCGAGCGGGTTACCGCAGTTGGCGTCAGCACCGTCCTTGTGAGGAACCTTGATATAACTATAAGTATCATCTTGAAGTATTGGCTTGGGTGTATTTTCATCGACTTGGCTGAGTAGCACCTTGTAACACCACCCTTGTTTTGGAATATAGTGCAGTGGATGACCGTTCCATTTTAACCGCAGAAGAACTGGTGCGATCCGTGACCGAATGGATATTTTGAGCTTCTCAGTTTTGGAATCATAAGCGTCCTTGTACCATTTAGGCTGTCCTTTCAGCTTGCGCTGCCGGGGGTTGACATGCCAGTCCAGCTGGCATAGCCATGGGTCATTTTGCCACACCTCTGGTTGGTCGACCAAAACGCGCGCCTTTTCTGCTAGGTCGCTGAGCTTAACATCCACCATATCGCTTAACTCATCATGCTTCCTTGATGATCGCTCCAAATAATGTTCCCATTTTTCTGTCACGGTCAAAAACGAGTTGCCCATATTTAACATGCCAGCAAACGAGACGGGATGTGGACAATTGGCGCGAAACTTTGGGAGTACGACCTTGTAGATGCGATGGGTCATGTCCACGTCCAGCGCGCAGTACCGCATCGCTTCTTGAAAGTTCTCTTGGATATCTTGTAAAGTGCCGGTTTCAAAATACGATCGTACAGATTTATCGAGTTCGATATCACAGTGGAATTTGGCAACGTCTTTGAGACTATTGAGCGAACTCACATCAAAAAATTTGGCTTCTTGAAAATCCGGCTGTGATATTTCTCCGTCCACAGCTCCAACCGCGCCAGCTGTCGTAGCGCCCATAGCGGCTTTATCCTGTTGGTTCTTCCTTTTGGTCCACGCCGGTCGTTGTTGCGAGCAGAGTCCGGACACTGCAATATGCAGGCTCATCGTATCAAGATACCGTATGTCTGATTGTGCTCGACTATACTCATTCGCTATTCGTGCTCTGTCATATCCAACATTATGGCCAACCACTATGCGCTCCTTCCCGCTACCCAGGGGTATGAGATGATTAGGGTTGTCGCTATCACCTGATAGATAGGGAGATGTCCACGAATACCACGCTTCGCCGGATGCTGCCACTGCCATCACCGGATATTGGCCGGTGTTTACCAGGACTTCAACATCAAATACGAGCATTTCTTCCTCTGGGTGATCTACCGATGCCGCTTTGCCGCTACCTTTGTCATATCGCGTCCATCCTGGTTGCTGACTCCACGTGTTGGGCATGGATGGTAGACTGATATCGGCAAACTGTTCCGCTTTCTCCAAATACGATCCACTCTGCTCAAAACCAATCCGCATAAAGTGTTCTTCGATGTCGCGCCCGTATATTTCAGGAAGTTTCAGCGCTATTGGTTCCTGTACATCGCTGGCCTTGCCCCATATGCCTTGCAGCTCCAAGTGCTCTTTGGCAGCTGCTTTACGCGCCTTTAAATCTCTTGCGCCACTAGGTGAGCTGCGTCCAAATACTTGCGCATGAAGCTTAGGTGACAGAAGTTGAACGTTGGCTGCGTTGATTCGCACTACAATGAGTGGTTGAAGGATGGTAATTGTGTCAGCGTTGTCGGGTCAACTTGAATGGTGAGCGCGTTTTAATGATCAAAGTCATACCATCAGGGTTATTCTTTTTTGACAAAGCTGCTTTTGCAGATATAACTCTGCTGGTGTGTAGTAGTCTGGCATCGATCGATCGTGTCGTCAGTGTAATGCGTCGCAATACTTTGGTGTCGCAGGTGATTCTAGTGGACATAACCAAGTATCAAGCCACTCAGCAGCCTTTGAAAATTCCTCCTCGCCTCTTTTGAAATTGATTGTTGTAGCTCATGCACTTTTTTCTCCGCGCCCCCAGTACAACCGAATAAAACCAAATGCTTGAAAAGATCCTAAATTTAGATCTGTGGCATCACCTTTCTCTCTCTCAAAGAAAATCATTCTGGCAGCACGACAGGTTTTATGGCTCGCTTATGCTGACTGGAGAATGACTGTCTCATAGCAACGATTGTGAATTTCTTTCTAGCTGAACACGACCATCGTAACTATTTTCTTTGTAGTACACACACTTAAGATATGTAGACTAAGCGCACGAACTATTAGCACAGTCAAGTGAGCTTAGTCAGCTATTAGTATCTGCTGTCATAAACTTAAGAGAGATAAAAGTTTGGATGACAATAACCCGACATTTTGCTACTACGGGACGATGTTGTCATCATAAATTGTTGACAAGGACCATAATGCATAAAATGTGTTCCTGACAGCTTAATATCGTACCCATTATATAAATAATGATAGTCGCTTACCAATGCGATCGTCAATATTTCTTACGTCACTGTTGTTATCGCTACATGATTACGCGTGGCAACTTTTCTGTTACTACTATGATATGAACTACTATAAATATATATATATACAAAGGAGCAGCATATATCATTGGGACGTCATCGTCAAAAATAAATAATCAGCCATTTTTGAGAAAGGGCTGTTGTGCGCTCACAGCAGCATTTACTACTAAGCCGTATTGTGTATAAACTACGGTCCGGTACTATGCTCCCCCAGTAATGCATTCATACGACACTAAACAAAAACTCTCGTATTACATAGAGTATCGCTTTTCCGGACAAGTATACGCGCCGACTTCATCATGGTTCTTGACATGGCGTAGTGCACTTCATGGGGGTTCTAAATAATGGTTCAAACCGCGATCCGTTGTATGTCCTCGAGCACACATTGACAGATATGTAGCCAGGAGAGATTCATCAGTAACAGTAGAAGCACTTGCGAACTGCGTATAATAAATGGTGGGGCAGAGTGGCTGGAACAGTCTTTCATTAACGTCAGCGTGAGGCCTTGCCAGTCTGGCAATGACCGGAGGTTGCCCTGCCAAGTGGCAGTGCAGAATTTTCATATTCAGCGAAAAGTTTTTTACTATAGGAACTGATATGGAAGAGCGGAGCATACACGTCATCTGCATACATTCTAGGTGCTCATCCCCTGAATTCAGTAACAGCAAGCAGACAAGTCTATCAGTCGACTGTTTACAAGATTATGAGACTAGAGCTATAATGTAATGAGTAGAGAAGGACCAAAGAAAAGAGAACATCCTGGTACATGCTATATCCTATCAAGTGTGCCTCGTGTCACTATAAATAGATTGATGTGATACAAAGAACAGAGACACGGTCATCGCTTTCCGAAGATTAACCTTTCAAAACTCTTTGGTGTGTGGCCCTCCTCCTCCTCCCCCCCTCGTAACCCTCACCCTCCTTCGTAATCTCTCTCCCTTTTGCTTTTTGCACTTATACCGTCTCATCCACTCGTTTGATTTTCCTTAATTCCTCCTTACACATGCTTACATAGACATTTTATCATGCCACTCAAACGTTCCATCATCCTACAATCTATTTTTGCATTCTGTATAATCTGTTTAATATTCATTGCGCGGCAGGCAAACGATGCTTCTTCTATACCAGCAGGTAAGCGCGAATGATCTTGACTCCCACGCGGGTGTTTCTTTCTATAGTCGGAAAGACAGGCAGCTGAACCCTGTTTTTCTTTAATATTGCTGTTAGGAGGATACACGGATGACTGTACAGACGAAACGTGCCGTCAACCACCACAGCCGCTCGAATCAAACAACGAGGTCGTGCTTTCCCCCGAGGATATCATTGACGATGCTGCAGAACTCGACACTGATTACAAAAACAACAGCGAAAACATTATAAATGAGGATGTCGACAATGGAGAGACTGCAATAGGTATCAACCCGATTATCGAGGAAAATGGTGGATTTCCGTTCACGGTGGTGACAGCCGCCAGCAGCAACCACTTTTGCGCGCTCGAGAGCATGTTATATACGTTTCAGGAGCTCAAGAAATACGTCGCACCTGAAGACTTTCCACGACTTGTTGTGTACAGTCTCGGCATTGACGAACACCAGCGGGCTATCGCTGAGAATCTCTACACCGAAGGATATTTCGATGAATTGGTCGACTTCAATTACGACGCATACCCGGCATTCTGGAACGTCCAAATCAATCGAGGACAATACGCATGGAAGCCAGGAATCGTCAAGGAGATGCAAATAAAGTATGGTGGCGTGGTAGTCTGGCTGGATACAGGCGATGTGCCCAATGCATTATTTATGCGAATGATACCGCAATATATTCGACGCCACGGTTTTTGGTCGCCACGGAGCACAGGCTTAATCAGTTCCAAGTTCAACCACGCAGGCATGTTCAATTACTTCAAGTTACGGAGGAAGGATTTTGAAATGTTTGAGAACTGCAATGGTGCTGCAGTTGGATTTGATGCGGATAACCAGCAAGTGGTGGACGAGCTCATTACGCCGTGGTACGATTGTGCTATTGAGGAAAATTGCATTGCACCACCTTCTTCGTCTCGGCAAAACCATCGTCAGGATCAATCAGCGATCACCTTGCTGGCAATCCGCGCTGGATATCGGTGCTTCGAATACCCCGAGTTTCATGGCCTTACCATCCATCAGGACGAATACTGCCATCAGCGGCTTCTGGTGCTTGAAGATAGTGGCCTTTTGTTACATCCTTCAACTATCGGTAAGTAGGATTGGCAGGAAAAAGATTGTTTGATACACGAATGATGGAAAGGCTTGTTATTGATTTCAGTTATGTCTCTGCAGATGTCTAAATGGGTCATATCGGAGAGTGCTGGCCACCATATACAACTATTGCATTCAAGTATAATAATAAAACATTTTCATAAGCTTAAGGGAGCGGATGCCATATTACAAATTTGCATCTGTCAATGTAATTTCACGATTGAAACCGGTTTTCTTATTAAACATTGTGATAATTGCATTCACGGCCAAAATGGCATCTTACAAATTATTAAGCGTGGACACCCAAGGCTTTATTGTCATTATTAGGACCGTTCGTACTTTTATCTGCATCATCCTCTACAACTTGTTCTTCGGCGTTGCCGGTACTTTCGCCGGATGTTTCATCTTTACTGTTTCTTTTCGTATCACTGGTACTGGTATCCTTGTTGTCTTTATCCATGGTGTCACTGTCGTTGTTCTTGGAGGGATGTTTTACAGTTTCGTCGCTACTACTCTCTAAAGTCGGCTCTTGTGGCTCTTGTGTGTATGTTTTTTTAATTTTCGCTCCATCCTCATCCTCGTCACTATTGTTTCCGTCGTTATTTTCGTCCATGCCGTCCATGTCGTTTGGTTTTGAGGATTCGTTATCGGCGGTAGAATTATCTTCTTTCGCTTGTGTATCGTCCTGACGATCGTCTTCGTTTGTTTCGAGTTCTTCCTCAACCAAGTCATCTTTTGATTCTACACCAAGTAGCACCTCTAAATCGCTATTGTTGATCGTCGTTGTACCATCCTCAGGTAATTGAATATTGGCGTAAATCACATCCAGCAAGCAGCTCTTCAAAAACGGTACACAGCACCGCACATACGCAAGTATAAATGATCGTACGACGCCAGTTTCGCTCTTGGATTCATCCTGCTCATCGGCATATTGTTTTACAGCACTGCCGATTTCCAAAAAGCAGGCATCCAAATGACTTTGAATCGGTCGGAGCAGACTGACAGCGGGTAGAAGACGAAGGGCGTTAAATGCGGAAAGAATGGCGTTGGTATAGATGGCAAGAGGTGGGTAATTGACTAAAAGCATTGGCGGCTGGTTGGGGTGTCGACTGTAATCGTCCTGGCTACCATTTCTGTTTTCATGCGACCGACTACTTGCTGACATCCACGTATTTGATTGCTTGTCTGTTGTGATGGTAGCGATCAGTTCCTCCGTTGCCTTGTCAATCCACTGCAGAATCAATGGTCGCATCGTATCCTCAAACGCACGAACAAACAGGTAACGGAAATCCAAACCAATTCTGCCGAGCGACATGCCGCAATACTGGATCTGAGTGAGAAGGGATGCTATTGAAGATGTGTCTGTGATTTTGGCAAGCTGTGTCTTTAAGGTGGCCTCAAAGTGTTCGTCTATTAAGCGCACCATATAGTCGGATAGAATGAGGATGCTCTGCTGCTCTTGGTGCGAAAAGACAGACATGTACTGCGTTGCAATTTCGAACATTTGCTCTCGCATCACGTCGATATAGCGCTTCATGTACTCAAAAGCTTCGTGCTGTGTGTTGTTTTCTTCTTTGCGAGTTTTTATCCGGTCCAGCCGCTGAGTCAAATAGTCGTGTCTACACCGGAGAAACACCATACGTAGTTCCACTTCAGACTCGAATACATCCATACGTCGCAAGTGGCCGATAACGTTCATAGCTGCTGCTAGCTTGATGGGTTGCCGTAAATGTGCAATAAGCTGAACAAGCATCAAATCGGCGGATGCTTGAACTTGTTGCTGGATGCTGCGTACAATCGGTAACGGATAGCGGACCAACAAAAGGCGTACATGCGATGCAAGATCCATGGCTTCTGAATAATACCCGTTCCATACACAGGTTTCCATCAGTTGTGGTATTTCTAAAAGATCCACAAGCACGTTTTGGTGTTCCAGCACGTGTGTAATCTTGGAACGCTCGTCGGCAATAGACTGGGCGCATTGGCCAAATACTTGGCAGGCGTCTCGTAGGTCGGGAACGGACGTCAGGAACTCGCTGAGGTGATCTTGCAATTCGTCAAGCGTTGAATCGACTTGTTGGCGACACTTGTTGGCGTATATAAAAGCAGGGTAGTCATTAAATGCCAATTGTTGGGCATCTCTTTTCATCTTTTCTTGTTCGACGCGAAGCTCGTCAGGTTCGCACAAGAGTTCTTCCAGGGGTAGCGATGTCAGGCGTGTAAGGTAATCGCGTGTCCATTTCGATTTTCTGACGGCAAGTGATCGTTGTTCATCCCATGATTCGGTAAGCAGTTGTAGTAAGGCGTCGTTGCCATCGAGATCGCTCATGGCGAAGTTGTGGAAGAAAAGGCAGCAGCAAGCGGAACAGCAGCTCGGAGTTGAACAGTTGAACACGACACTTTACGTACTCTTGTCCAGCTCTTCCTCAATTCATACTTGATCACGCCATGCGACGTAGACCTGCCGGCATCGCTCACGCACAGCAACGCACTAAACTCGATGTAAGAGCAATGGTTTTTTGTTGTGCTCAAGTATGTTTTGTGTCCCTCTTATTGAACCTGTTGCTGTAGAGAGATTTCCAACAGATCGGTGATAACATTGCTGCCAAAGAGCTCGAGCAGGTATTATATACATATATTCAAATAGCGATAGGCACTCGTCCATCTATAAATAACAGAATGCACATATTTTGACAGCTCCAAAAACAACTGGATACATTCAAAGAAAATCTTCAAGAGTTTGCCCGGAAGCATAGAAAGGATATACGCAAAGATCCGACGTTTCGGGCCCATTTCCAACGCATGTGCGCCAATATCGGCGTCGATCCTCTTGCCTGTAAGATATATTTCTATGTCTTTCAAACCTGGAATACCTTTACCTCTGATAACAACGCTTACCCTTTTGTATTAGCCAACAAGGGTTTTTGGGCAGACTTGCTGGGTGTCGGTGACTTTTATTACGAGCTTGGTATTCAAATTATTGAGAGTTGCATAGCGACTAGATCACGCGACGGCGGATTGACGGAAATAAATGAGTTACAACGACGCTTGGATATAATGCGGCGTAATGGGAAGGGTGGAAAGCAGCAAGAAATTACAGAGTATGGTTTTCTTTTACGACAAAATAAAAATAGAAGCTATGCTCACTGTGATATTATTGGGTACGATGTAGAGATGACATTGTCCGGGCCATTCGCACACTGAAGCCTTTAAGTGGTGGATTCGAAGTAATACCCATTGGCAACCGAAAAATGATACGATCTGTACCCAAGGAATTGGATAAGGACCAGTCTGCATTGCTGCTACTAGCACAGGTATAGCTGATTGTCATGGACTTAATGAGTATTCAAGGATGGCAACTGACGTTAAAACAACTAGAAAACGGAATACTTGAATATCAATATCATCCGTAATGAATTAGGATGGAATGATACGAGAATCAAGAATGCTTTGGTAAGTAGTTTATGTATGATGTGAATTGGTAAAATTGATGAAGCTTTATCAACAGATTTGCAAATATTTTTCGTACAGGACCATCTATTGCAAGACGGCTTAGCATGGATCGACGAACAAGGCGAGGACGGAGACACATATTGGATACCCAGTTATTTTCATTTGGATGAGTAATGCATTAAAAAAATGGAAACTTTTTATTTTACTGCAAAAACGTTATACACAACAAGGCAGAGTGGTTGGTTGAGAGAAAGAGAGAAGAGCGATAATGAACTATTGCCGATCGCGGCCAGTGGTCAAGAGACGTTCATTCTGATCTACTAAGTTTGCAGCCTTTTCAGCGAACTGGAGTGACAAAACTTGGAGTCGCGAGGGCTCTACTCGGTGCAACACGACAGCCTGCGAAACCTGATCCAGCGAAGCCGATAATTCTTCGTTCCAGATGAGCTTTGCGACGATAGCCGACACTCGTGCTACTGGTAGATCGAACATATTTGCGAGTTGTGCGAGGCCAAGGGTTGAGTAGTAGGATGCGTAGGTAAACAGATATGTGCGGAGGCCTTCTTCCTGGATCTTGTGGACAAGCATATCCTTAATCTCCTGGGTCTCGGGCATCAGGTTCCAAATTTTGATAGCCAAAATGTAATCGCGGGCACGTTCCCACTCGCCGGATGCAAGTGCCTTGGCCGCGCTCATGATGTGATCTCTGGTGTTCTCGGGAGGACCAGCGAATGCCTGGCGCTCGTTGTAGTCGAGGAGTCGGCGGAAGGGACGGGAGATCGTTCGCTTGTTGTTGGGACCAGCTTGTGCTTGTGCGGGAATTTCGAGGAGCATGGAGCAAGTCAGGAATACGCATTCGAGGAGCTCAAGGTTAATGTGCATATGGAATGGAAGCTGACGTTGACGCTCAAGCTGCTCGAGTTCTGGCGTGGTCTGCTGACCGTATCGCTGTGCCTGGACGCCCTGTGCGAGCAACTCCTTTACTCGACCGGAGCCCTGGATCTCCTGCAAGCAGGCATGTGCCTCCTTAATCAAACCGTCGCGGAATGCGCACAGACCAATCTGGACCACTGTGCGGTTATACAAAATTTGTGTAGAAATGTCGGCTTGGTGGATAGACTCTTGCAAATGGGACATGAGCAACATGTCGCGGGCGGTGTGGAAATGCTTGTGAAGAGCATAGTGGTAGATGTGACATAACATTGCACGGGTGCGGAGGACTGACATGTTCTGCTTGTAGAGGTATGTGCACAGCTGGTGAACCAACTGTGAAGGCTCTTCGACAGTAATAACGTTCGATTTGATGTAATCGGGCAAAAGTGACTTGGAGATCTTTTCTGTCGACTGGATGACTTGGTTGGGCTAATACCGGTGAAAATGCTTAGTAAATCCACTTTCCCCTCCTTGTTGCTAAATCACTTTTACCTTATAGTACAAATGCTCTAATCGGCGGATGATGATTCTAGGCAAGTTTCCGAGCATGTTGTTTGTCTCAATGTATGCTTGTGCTCTCACCAAGACGGCATACAAGGCTGGCTCATCACGCAAGCGGTCGATGTAATCCGTGGTGTGAGGATCGATGCTCTGCAGCGACTTTGTGAATTCGTCATCCAAACGCTCGACTAAACTGATAATGGAGCCGCGAATGTAGATAGTTTGGCCCTTCTCAGGAACGATGTCTTTGTCATCATGATCAAGTTCGTCAGCATCCTCACGGACAACAAACGAGGTCTCCTTTTCCAGAATGCTGAGCAAAAGATTCACTTCGGTCTCAACCTTCTTCCAGACATCGACCTGCATATGCTCGGCCATGCTGAGGTTAACGTCGAAACGCGATGGGATAAGAGCCAAGAGAACGAGAATCTTTTGGAATGATGATTCGGCTGCTTCGAGAAGACGCTCGAGGGTGGTAATTTGCTCATCACGGTCAGTATTCTAGAATGAAAAAAGCATAAAAAGGGTCAGTCGTCAAATTACTGCCTTTTTTTCTAACATTTCTCTCATTTCTCTAAAACAACCGTTAAAATTTAAATTACCTTCTTGCCACGGCTCTCCATGACTTCACGCAACTTGACAAAGATGTTATCGGCCGTTATAGGAACAATCGTCTTTCCACCCTTTCCAACAGAAGTGAAACCATCCAATTCAGACTCATCGACAGTAGCAGTAGCAGTAGCAGCCTTGGGCTTCGAATCCTTTGGTGTAGGGCTCTCGGGCTTCTCTTCCTTCTCAGCCATGAATGCCTCAGGATCCTTCTTGTATTCGGCAATCTGTTGCTCGTACTGCTTAGTGATCTTTCGCATCTTTTGCTTCACGTTGGTCAATCCCTTTGACGCAGCGCCCTTCTTTTTGCCGCCAGCCTTTTCCTTGGGGGCTTCCTGCAACATATTCTCAATTTCGACAATAGTCTTGATATAGAATTTAGGAGTAGGGATCGCATCGAAACCGGACGTCGCCTTGTTTACGCTGGCGGTCAACTTGTCGAATTCTTTTCAACACGAAAACCACAAATCAATAAAAAACCGATTGAGTCTCCTGTAAATTTTTTTAACCGTAGAATTCTACACGTCATGTGTGGTTGACAATTACCAGACGAGATAAGATTCCAATCGTTGTTCTTTTGACCGTTTTCGATCGCCTTGAGAGAGCTGTTCATTTCATCAAGACGCTTGTCGAGAGCCGATTTCACCTGACGCTTACGACCGAATTCTTCATCGGATTCTTCGTCCGAGTCGCTTTCAGCACCTTTCAAAAATCGAGATTTTTTGGGCTGCTCTTCTTGGGCTTGTTCTTCTTCATCCGACTCTTCAGCCTCTGAGGACAATTCCTCATCTGAAATGAAAGACTCGTTATCAGAAGATTCTGAATCGCTTTCTGAATCAGACACCGAACGGAAGAATCGCGACATCGTTAAGGAGACCTTTTTTTTTTTTACAAAGGGTGGAGGGTTTGCTTGCTGTTGCTGGCTTTGCAGTGAAAAAATATAAAAAACTGCAAGTCACTTTTTGATCCTCCTTCCTGTTTTGGACATCAGCAGCACGACGCGTCTGTTGCTTGCTGCCTTTCATCATGCAAAAACGAGCCACTCCAGACACCGGCAACACACCAGCTATTGTTGGTCCACTAGCAAAACGACGAGCATACCATCCATGGATGGAACCATTTGAGCTAGGCAAGAAAGCCTTTGCTGAAGCAAAGTATAAAGAAGCCGTCGGTCACTTTTCGAACGCCATCAACCTCAACGACAGCAGCAACATAACGCTGATCGATTGCCGCGCAGCCGCGCATGAAAAGGATGGAAACCTTACCAAGGGATTGGAAGATGCATTAACAATGATCAAGGCTAGCCCAACACACTCTAAAGGGTACCTTCGAGCCGGAAAACTTTTCTCGCTCCAAGAACGTCTCCCAAAAGCTGTCGCAGTTTACGATCGCGCGTTAAAGACAGTTGCAAAAACAGATCCACGCTATACCCAGTTGACCGAAATGAAAAAGGCAGTACAGAAGCAGCTCAAGAAGCAAAAGCAACAGCGAATCGACTTTGTTAAAGTACTGCCATTCGATATAATCGAGCATATTTTCGAGCTGCTCTCCTTTGAACGGCGGATACAATGCATGGCTGTCTCCCGTTCCTGGCGCACGCTGCTAAAGGGCTGGTCTGGTATGTGGCGAGAAATCGACTTTAGCTCGTCCAAGCTATCGGCACATGCGATGAAACAGTACATGTCTTATGTCAACGGCCGCTACATGCGCAAATTTACGATGGCTGGAAACCGTAACCGATCAAACAAAATGCTGCAACTATTGATAGACCGTGATTGTCACTATGTTGAATGCCTTCGTAAGTTCATATTCATTTTCAGTATTAACTGCAAATATGATTGATTACCCTTTAAACAAACTTTAGGATTTATCGAGTGCGACCTGCAACTTGATTTGCTTTTACGCACTCTGCGGCTTATGGGAAGGCATTTAAGGTTTTTGCAGCTGACGGATACGGGCATCCCATTATCAACACTTTCGGAAGTTCTCGAGATCTGTCCAACGATCTCTCGAATAGTATACCAGGACGAGACACCTTCAGACTTACAAATCAAGAAAGCGCTTGCTCTCACGCACATAGAATTATCGTTTACAAGCAGCCGATCCATTGACTTTGCAACTCTGAAAAACCTACTTGTACACTGTCCACATCTGACACATCTTGCGCTTTATCCCCCGTACGGCGATGCTGTATTCTCGTTGGCATGGCAGTCGTGTCCTCAGTTGACCAGTTTCCGTTACCAGCAGCATCATGCCGGCTGGGATGACATGGCAGCATCAGCAACAGCAGCACCAAAGAAACGTGGAATCTCCGAACTAGGATTTCCCACGTTCTGTGAGATTAGCGACGACACTGTAGCATCTGCCATTCAAACGAACCACAATACTTTGGAGATCCTTGACATACGTGGTTGTGCACGACTAACCTCGCAAATAACGGAACGACTTTCTGCTGTCGGCGCACCACAGCTACGTGAATTATATATAGAGAACTCAGCAGCATTCACCGAGGCCAGTTTGTGTGCTGTCTTGCAGAGTTGCACGGCTCTACAAGTGGTGCACCTCCAGTCCGTAGCCTCGGTGACAAACACAGTTCTTAAGGCATTAAGCGGAGCAACGATGCTGAGAAAAGTTAATATATCAAACTGTCCCAAAGTCACGGGTACTGGTTTGCGACAGCTGGTGGATAATGTGGATGGATTGCAACTACTAATGCTTAACAACTGCAATGCCATAAGCCAAGATGCAGTCAGTTATGCGCGCGACAAGTTGGGACGACATGGGGTTGAATGTAGATACAGCACGTATAGATAAACTGTTCACTACCGCCATGCTCCTCCACGATAAAGATGTAAATATGTAAAGCTTATCTGTCCGGAACTTGAAGAGCTAATTGAACCTTATCAAGGAAGTGTAAGCCCGCAAAAAAACCGTATAATAAAGACAATTTATCAACCCGCGGATCATAAATGGTGACACAGAGCCTGTGAAGACCATCTACGACCATCACAATGTCTTTTCTACAGAGTGAATATATCAGAGGAAAAACGCAAATTGAGGATTACACCTTCACAAACTCATATGTTGTTGCAGCATGTCTCCATGCAGCTATCATGATCAAGCCGTATGGAAATTTCGATCCGTTGTGTGATCTTTTGTTCCGGCAAATCTGTTTGCGGTCACTGGGACCATTTTTGGATGAATTTGCATCCGTCTGCCTCCGCTCTTGCGGATTTATCTTTCTTTGTTGAGAAAAAATAAATTAACCTTCTTTTTCTACAACTTTCTTGTTCCCGTTAGTATACCATGAGCAGTGGCAGTGGGGAGACTGCACCGTTGCTCAGCAACAGATCCGTGTCCAACAGAACCTATGTGGAGGATAATGACGACATCAGCGTCGTATCGTCAAGCTCGTCTTCGACCGAAAACAGCGCCAAAGCGAAAATGGACGACTTGGTATCCAAAAGACTGAACGGTGCCCATCTTTTTGTAATTCTCATAGGGTATGAAGAAAAATTGCACTAAACTTGAGCAAGTAGTAAGATAGGGCTACTAACTCTCTGGTTGGTTTGTCAGCTTATGGATAGGTGTATTCTTATCGTCGCTCGACTCGAGCATTGTCGCAACAATTTACCCAGAAATCGGCACACAGTTCAAGCAGTAAGGACCATCGCGGAGAAATGTTCAAAAAGTGAGCTGTGGTTTTGCAAGCTAACCGGGTGCGTGTTGTGTACTTTAGATCAAATCAAATTATCTGGGTTGCTACCGCTTACATGTTGAGCTATACTGCATTACAACCACTATGTAAATTATTCTTGTGACACCTTGGAGGAAAAGAGAGAGAGGCTGACAATTTATGTGACCTACAGATGGACGAATTTCGGATGCGTTTGGTCGTAAAAACGCTCTCGTGTTTGCCGCTTTAATTTTCTTCATTGGTTCCTTCTTCTGTGGAGCTGCCAACAGCTTGTGGACTTTGGTCATCGCACGCGGTGTGGCTGGCATTGGTGGTGGTGGTCTCAATACGGTAAATAAATATAGGAGTATCGTTTGCATATGTATGGGTGTAATTTTAACTTTTACGTACAGATGTCAGCAGTGATTACTTCGGATTTGGTATCATTGCGGGAAAGAGGCAAATTCCAGGGTTATGCAAACATTGCATATGGCGTAAGTAGTAGGACGAGGAAACGATGGCATTAGAAGCATGATACAATGATAGAAAGTACTAATACCTGGTTGTGTATCTAGTTGGGATCTGTTATCGGTGCCCCATTAGGTTATTACTGCCCTCTATTGTTTTTCTGCCTGATCCTAGATCATTTCACTTTAAGAATGCTCACACATTATTTTCTTGATAGGTGGCTTTATTACGGATACCATTGGCTGGCGCTATTGCTTCTATATCAATCTACCAATTCTTTTGATGACACTTTACGTATCCGTCGGAATCTTGACAAACTACAATTTGAAGGAACAGGAAGAAGAATCAACATTATGGGAACGGTTTAAGAAGATCGACTATGCAGGTGCCATTACTGTAGTGCTGTCTGTGGTTTGCTTTATGCTGGCAACTTCTTGGGGAGGCAACACGAAAGCCTGGTCTGATCCACTTGTTATTGGTACGCTGAGTGGAAGCGTTGTGTTTGCTATTGCATTCTGCATCATCGAAGCTAAAGTTGCCAAATTCCCTATCATGCCATGGCATATCGTGTCTAACCGAACGGCGTTCGCAAGTGCGCTAACGAACCTTTTCGGTATTACCTGCAGCTATGGAACGACCTTCACTACGCCCCTTTTCTTCCAGGTAATGACTCGTTTACACTCTATCATGTTACTCCAACATAAAGTCATTGATTCAATTAAATCCGCTCGATGCTCGGATAACAGGGTCTTTTGGGATATACCCCCTCACAAGCTGGCTTGTTCTTCATTCCCAAAGTCATTGCAATGTCTGCTGGTTCACTGACATCCGGTTTCTACATGTCACACACTGGTGAATATCGTCGGTACTTGTTGTGTGCATCCGCATTAGCACTTGTTTCCATGATTTGCTACTCGCAGTGGCAGCCAACAACGTCATATTACTTTATCATTCCAACTCTCATGATGGATGGCTTCGCATCTGGATCTATCATCACTTCGGCCTTGATTGCTATGTTATCATGCGTGGAGCAGCATGGTAAGCACACTTCTAATGCTTTCTTCTTAAAATGCTAGTTTTCTGGATCAATAATAACAATGCTCTGTGTTTGTTACATAGAAATGGCAACGATCACATCCATTTCGTATCTGTTCCGATCTGCTGGCGGCGTGATAGGTATCTCGGCAACGTCCGCTATTTTCCAAGGCGTTGTCAAACATATTCTTAGCGAAAAGATTACCGGTCCAGATGCAGACAAGGTATAGAGGGAGAAAAGCCTGAAATAATGTTTTGAATCTAGTAAAGCTAAACTTTTTTTCGGTCTGGTAGATTATCGACATTGCACGCAAATCAATGACCGACATCCGCCACCTTCTACCGGATGATGCTTTGGAAGTTGTGCTAGGAGCATACCAAACTGCTTTGAAAGGCTCATTCTTTTTCTGCGTTGTTGTATCCTTGTTAGGTTTTATTGCTTGCTCATTTATCAAGCAGAATCACCTTGAAAGCAAGGTTAGAAAATAGATCAGCAGTACCTTTTCGCTTTTTCATGCTTGCACTTGTATTGTATATACCTAGATAAAAGAATACACAATGTAGATTGTGTAATTATATGTTACAATATGTATGAACCACTTTCTTTCAATTTCTTCGATTTTTTTTTCGTATGGACACACACCTTTTTTATCTGCGGGATTCGGGTAGCAGCACCACAGTTTACATAAATGTATGTAGTTGATTTAAAGGAGTGAAAACTATGGTTATCTTCAGGTCATTCTCTGATTAGCGGAGAATACAGTAGTGTTCTTTGTCCTTTTGATAACAGTTTAGAAATTGAAGGACTATGTAGTTGTGAAACAGTCATAAGCGATAGAGGATGATGGAAAAGAAGGATCGTTAATGGAAAATTCTCGATGATAACTTCCAAAGTGATTAGGGCTCGGTTATGTTGCTTGTAGAGGGACCAGATGACGTTGCATTCAGCAGAACGGAATTGATTATCGAAAAGTTATCACTATGCAAGCAACATGTCAATTCATTAAACACCCCACCTGTAAGCTGACGATATTTGATTTTTGGTTACAAGATAACAGAACATCGACCGTATTCATTTAGGTTCTAATTCAACCATTCGTATACGTCTATATAATGGTGTAATAGGTGGCTTTACTCAATTGTTGTTTACATCGGCTTCAGTTTGCTCTTTACCAAACCCCAAAGACAGCACTGTAGTAGAATGTGTACTTGTTTGGGGCGTGTATGCTTTTCTAAGAAATTCAGTACGTATGGATGCAGTAAAAAATGATCAACGTATTGCAAACAATGAATTTAAATCGGCCTCAAAATGATGTCTTCGAAAGTCAAGGTTAACCCTGAGTAGCGTGTCTTATAGTTTGGTGCCCTATACAGTACTGAACCCTACAGTAGTGTCAAAAAGCGATTTATCACGAGCTCCTTTTTTTATAGGGTTCGATCCGTTGAACTTTGAGTTAAACGACCCATGGAATTGAAACATATGTACGCTCCTTTTAAGGAAATGGCAGGACCACACTTGTACGAAAAATCCCTACACAGGTTGGTACAAGCTGTACATATACAGTAAATGGTTGTATGAGTGTGATTTGTGATGGTAGTAGTTTAGGCATATTGTAAGCAGTTGTCCGATATGCATGTAATAAATCGTGGTGGAAATCTCGTTGTGCTATGTAGCTAACGGCAGTAAAACGTAAGGGTATGTACATAGCGATGATAGTAGAGATAACAATAGTCCATCAATTGCCGTCAGACCTTATAATGTGCAGCGGGATACACAATAGTACATAACTACACTACTACATTATATAAAAAAACATGTAAGCAACATCACTGGTCCTAAACTAAACATAATAATTAGCTATGGAACGACAAATCCGATTGATCTGGCTGCCCGGGGAAGATATGTACACACAACTTGTTTAGCTGCTGCAGAAAAAAATACGATTATCAGAAAAATGTACCACCTTCATCACATCATAAATCTAGGAAGGTTACATCATGACGCAGCATTCGTATTTTATAGGAAAATACCTAGTACTACTACAAATTACTAGCTTTACAGACGATGTACACGCGAATTAGCTATGAATAGAAAATAGGAGAAGCGATATGTACAGAGACAATTTAATGCAAAGCGATTCATGGAGAGCGCGCTTGCCATTATGAAAAAATGACGATTTGATAGATCGTCGACGTCACACGCGGTCATAATAGCTTGGGTGAGGGTTACTCAAATCGAACATTCTCTCAACCCTAAACCCAACAGACTTTAAAGTATGTATATGACACCGTTCTATATACCACAATTATATTGGAACTTCGTGCGTAGATGTAATAGTCTTTGAATGCGGATAATTATAGTGCATAATCACTGTATAAATAATAATTATTGTTATCATCAGAAGTGATAAATAAATCGACTTTATCATTAAAGAATTTGTGATGATATAAAAGACATTGATCATTTACGTACGTACGTTGACGATCAACAAACAATATGCCCCCAAATGCAACGTGGTCTACGATGTTTGTTCGCGATCGATTGAAATTCTAAAAAAAAAGATTGCTAAAAAAAGCAGAAGAGGGAATCTCCTGGAGGGTGAACAAGAAGAAGAAGAAGGATTGAAAAGGGGAGAAGGGAGGAATAGGAAAAAGAGAGAGAAAAAGACGAGGATGTTAGTGGACACAAAAGTTTCCGGAACGCAAATAGCGTTCAAATTACAGAGTAAAAAAGACCTTAAAGCATGTGTTGAACTTATCGTAAAGTAGTGGCAGCAATTACTTCGTAGCATTTTATTATTAACGATTAGAGCATGTAATTGTTTGATCTTAATATTATAAGAAGGAGCTAGTATCAATTGCTATTGATATCAAACACCAGATATTGTGTATAAAAACGAAAGTGTATAGGGTAGTGTAGTGTAAAGAAGAAGAAAAAAATGTATGTAATCAATTATAATCTTACAGAAGGGTGTATGTAAAGGAAAGGAGAAAAAGGAAAATCTAAGCATGATTATAAAGACGGTATCGTGAAAAGCCAAGATCGGCAGGAAAATCAATTTCCATTTTCTCGGTCAGCTGAATAGCAGCAGCGCGTGGCGTTGAGGGATATTCAGGTGACGAAGTCAGTGAAGAGACGGAGGAGCAAGGTGATGATGAGAAGCAAGGAGAGGGAGGAGTAGGGGGCAAGCGCGATGACGGTGGTGGATAAGGTGTTGTTGCTGGTACTTGTACCGAGCGAATGACTGTGTGTTTGGTGTTGAAGTTGTTATTTTTGGGTGCTGTGTCGGCAGCGACGCGCAAGGTACTTGGCTCGAATGTTGCTTGTGTGTCTTCTTCGTCGCTGAAGCCGTCAATGTAGTTGCAAAGGGTATACATGAGCGATCGAGTGTATTTCAAGGTGGCAGGTTGGGGAGACGCAACAGCGACAGGAGCTGGGACAGTTACAGGAGTATGTGGAACTTTGGCCGATGACGATGTGATATTATTGGCAGTGGTGAACGATCGCATGCGCGCAACGCGCAGATGCAATTCTGGAAGAGAAATACGACGAGCAGGATCCAAGCAAAAAATGCGCGACAAGAGCTCGTTCAATTCATCTGAGATGGAAGGCAAGATAGACTTAAAAAATCCACGGGGCTTCTTGACATAGGTGGAGAAGGTAGGATCTTTCATAGTTGCCTGGCGCCATGGGTTCCGACCAGCAGTAAGATTGACAAGAATGACACCCAAGCTCCAGATATCGTTCTGATAGGTGCTGTAGCCCTTGACACGCTCATTGTTCTTGACCAACTGACCTTGACACTCGGGCGAGAAGTAAAAGCTAGATCCACAGCCGAACTCGTTAGAGACGGATTGTGTGGTGGCCAGACCAAAGTCGGCGAGTCTGACTTGCATATTGGAAAACATCAGAACGTTTTCAGGTTTTAAGTCTCGGTGAGCAATGCCCACTTGATGGCAGTGGTGTACGGCGTCTAAGATCTGAAGGAAAATGTGCTTGATAGCTCGGTTGTTGCCAGCAATGCCTTGTTGTTGTGTGATCGCAGAGAATAAGTCGCCGCCAGATGCATATTCGAGAACGATATATGTTCGACCATTTTCGCGAACCACTTTTTCAAGTGTAAGCACATTTCCGTGACCTGATGCGCGTGCGTGAAGTTCGATTTCGTTTTCGGCTGAATCTGGTTTCGTGATGAGTTTTACTGCATATCGTCGGCTGGTGGGGACGTGGACGCCAAGGTAGACGATACCGTAGGCACCGACACCAAGCAGTGAAACAAGCTGAATAGATCGCCTGTCGATAAAAGTGTTCAAAAGGGATTTTGGATTAACTGGTGTGGTTGAGGCTGCAGTAGTTGGCGCCATTGTATAATAGTTGTTTTAATTATTTGATGTGTTTCATCTTTTTTTTTTGCGCTACAAGTGCCGATATATATACAGATTTTGACGTGTGAGTACCAGCTAAATTACCTTGGCTAGAAAAAGGAACACGGTCCGTGTAGAAGGAAGAGCCCCTTAGCGCGAAATAGTGAGATAGATAGAGTTAGAGTTAGAGAGAAAAATACATAGGAGCGGAAAGGTTTTCCCCTGCTCCCCTTAGCCTCCCTATTTCTTTACTACCAAAAGCGTCCACGCTCCTCCCGGCTTCTATGCAAATCTACTTATTGATGCACTTATATAGTGTCTATCGGTAACACCATGCAAACCATCATCATCATCATCATCATCATCATCGGCATTAAAACGGTAACACATAAGCCTGGTGTACACCACTGAGGACGAGTGGATGTAAAAATAAAACAAAGTATTATACGCAAAGTAGTGCTAGCTCGACGACGAGAGAAACCCCCCCCTTTTAACGTCCTCCGAGGTATAATCCTGGGAACCACGCGGCTGATAAGCACCACCCAAGTCACTTTTTACGGTAGGAATTATGGACTGAAGTGCATACACGCACAAACAAACCGGCCAAGTAGTCGAAGCATACATGTGCTGCAGGGGGTGAAAAAAATAAGGTGCCCAGTATGGATTGTAACGGCTTAGTTTCTCCCACTCTCTCTTATTCTTTATGCCCTTTTCGCTGTTGCTGCTACTACTGCTCTTCCTATTTTTCCCCGCTTTTCCCTTGTCCAACCCCTTGACCTCCTTTCACTTCCTCTTTTTCTCTTCTTTCTGGTTTCCCAGGCAATCCATTCAATTTCGCGTAAATAGAATAACCGTTGGTATCCTCCTATCACATTCACCGTGCTTCATTTATGGCGACTTCTTTTTAACTGGAGCATAATCTCCCATTCGGTTATGGACCAAGGGAGAGGAAAGAAGGGGGACAGAGGGGGAATCTTTTTGCACTAGGAGCAAAAAGAAGCTTGTGAGATACGATGTCTTTTTTCTGTGTGTGTGTGTGTGTGCGTGTGTGTGGCGAGAACTCATCAATTCACGTTCTATCAAAATGAAGGGGGTTGGTTATACGCTAGCCAGCTTTTTCTTCACATACTGTAGACGAGTTCATTTGCTCCTTGCCTAACTTGAACCGGCACCTTTTTGTTTGAGAGAGTTAACTCTATCAGCGACTTGCAAACACGTTTTGGTTTTCTGCAGAAACGTGAAGGTATAAGTAATATATGGATATTAAAATGTAGGATCCTGGTTTGCCCGGGAAAAATAAAGGAAGACAGACGGAAGTCTGGCAGCTTTGTTATAAAAAACTTGATTTGCCTCTCTTCGCAGATCAATCTGGGGTAGCAAAAAGTATCCAATAGTAATAGATAGTAGTTGGAAAACGCCTCAACTTGTTAGATATTACATACATCTTCCTTAAAAATTTGGCGTTTTTCTTCACGATGTACAAGTGGGTTAATTAAGGCTGCAGATCTACTAAGTCGGTGTAGTGAGTATGTGCGCTGCATTCAATAAGTTCATATGTGCATGAACCTTGTTAAACAGTAATCCGAGCTGTGTGCACGACTTCATAGTCCCTTGCAGCAAAAACAAAACTGGTAAGCGCAGTATTGTCTGTTGATAACCTTAATGAGAAGCGCTCAGCGGGCAGAACAATACCATCACGCTTATTTTGACTATTATTATTTATTTCTTCACCCTATTTCATCAGTCCTAAGGGCAAAGCGAGTGTGGGACAGAGAAATGAGGTGTTCGGGCCCTCTTTTCCATTTTTTTCCAGATGCAAAAAATTCTAATCCTCAATCTCGCCGTCTTCCAGAACACTGCTCTTTCCTACGGGCGCTGCTGCTTCCTCTTCTTCCTGTGCCTCTGGAACAACCTGGGATGATGTGTCCGTTTTGGGAGAAGTTGGCGTGGGATGAAGGGGTGCAATGACCGTGGATGCTACTGCTGAGGCAACTGCAGCCGCAACTGCCTCAGATTGTTGTTGTTCCTGTGGTTGCTGTTGCTGCTCCTGTTGATCTGGCTCTCGTTCAGGTTTTTGTTGCGCCTGTTCTTGCGGTTGTTGCTGCTGCTGCCGTGATGGACCAGGAGAAACAGATTTCCCGGAAGAAATGACCTCGCCCTCTTCTTCACTTTCCATAGCTGTTCCAGCATTATTCTTTTTGTGAGAGGAAGTCTGTGCGGGGGTGTTCCCTTCCCCCGTCGCTTCTCCTGATGCTTGTGCCGTTATTGATGATGAGGATGCTTGTGCTTCTTGATCTTTCTCTGATTGCTCGTTTGTTTGTTCTGCGGGTCCCGGTGCTGGTGCTTCGTGATCTTTTTCAGATTGCCCTGTAGTTTGTTCTGCTGGTGCTTCTGCTATCGTTACTTCTGGTGCTGGTGGTGCTTGTGCTGTTACTACTGCACTCGATTAATTTTTCTTGCATGTCTTTGCATGAACAAGGAAAGCAGCCCTTTCCTCTTCACTCTCTTCGTTTACTCCACTTACCAGGCTCTATTTCCTCTTTCATGCTTGTGTCCGAGTCTGCATTTGCCCCTAACGCTTCTTCTTGTCTTTCCTCTCTATCATGAGGCGCCGTATCATTAATATTGCTATTGTTATTGTTATTACTGCTACTTTCGTGGGGTTCTTCCTTGACTTTATGGGCGAGTAAAGTCTCCTCAATCTGCTGTTCTTCTTCTTGGGTCATTTCCACCCCTTCCATTCGATCTTCAACACTTGACGATGAAGCGCGTGTGTGATCAATGCTGTTTGTTTTGCTTCCACCACCATTCATTCGGTTGCCGTCGCTTTCGTCGCCGTCATAATTTTCGTAATCAACACGACCGTAGTTTTGATAATGTCGACTACTTAAGTTTTGTACGGTGCCTTGTGCTTCACCCTCGTCGGAATCGTAGAATTCATTATCGGGTACGATGCGTCTATCCCAGAAAGATTCTGCATAATCATGAGTTTCAGGACCCTAAAATGGTGAAGTTTCAAAGGGATGCGGAGGGGATCCGGGAGATAAAAAACGAGTAAAGAGGAAAAGGGAGTATAAACAAGTAAAAAGGAAAAGGGTGGGGGGGGGGTGGGGGAAAGGAAGAAGGGTAGGAAAACTTCTATCATCAAGCTTATACTTACGGGGATAGCGGTCATCGGCATCTTCTTCATCCTCATCGTCCGATGCATATTGGTCACCAGGGACATCTATATTTGTTACATATGATAATGATATGATGATCGTTTGTATGATATTAGTTATGACGATGCATGCACTCATCTATACTCCATAACCTTTGATTATGATACGTGCACATACAAACACAAACTTACCTTGCATCTGGACACTAGGAGCAAACATCGTCCTTGAAAGATTCTCGAACACTTGTACCCTAGATTCTCAAATGATAGTTTAGCAATCGAGAATAAAATATTGCACACAAACAAAAAAGGGGGGACGATGATGCTGTATGTGCGCACGATCGACATGTATTGAAGCACCTACTTTATCTTTTCCAGGTAATCTTGGGTGTTCATGTTCTCCATATTGCTTGGGCGCACGTCCAATCTGTAATCGGGGCCAAAATACTCATAGTAGTCGTTGTACGGCATTTCTAATCCGATAGACATGTCAGTGCACAAGACACATAGCTTATATGATGACTTGATATGGTGCTTATTATTACCTGGTCCAATATCTTCGCCTACTACAACACCGGTTTCATATGCCCATGCTCTTGCAACGTTGCGCATTGTGTAGCCTCCTCCACCAAGCACAAGAGTAGGATAATTGAACTTCTTCACAAATTCTACGCAATTGGCGTGCCCCTTCATCGACAGGTTGAAGCAACCCAACTTATCACCACTTAGCGAGTCACCACCACATTGTAGAACGATAGCAGATGGCTGGTACCATTCAACCACTTTTTCAATTGTCTATCCAAATGTTTCGGTTAGTAAAGACACATCTTTTTCCCTACTGATCTTTATTCATCGTATGAAATAATCAAGAACAGCCAAAGTATTTACCGGCTCAAAAACAGATTTGTAGCTTTCGTCATCGATTCCGTCGCGTAGTGGGAAGTTTACGCTATAGTATTTTCCTCGGCCAGCTCCCACGTCCTACATCACCAACATTAGTGCATTCATTCCCCTCGATATGACGAGGCCTTCCTTTTTCTTTTTCTTCCTCTTTCCTCCTTGTTCATTCCCTTATTTCCTTTCTTCCTTTCTTTTCTATCCTTTCTCCTAAAGACAAAAAGATCACTGACCTTGAGTTCACCCGTGCCAGGGAAAAACTCGCCGTATTTGTGGAAACTAACGGTCATGACACGATCGGTAGTGTAGAAGGCTTCTTCCACACCATCACCATGATGCACGTCAATGTCGATGTACAACACACGGGCATAGTATCGTAATAATTCCAAAATGCCAAGCACGATATCATTTACATAACAGAATCCGGATGCCTCTGCCTTCTTTGCGTGGTGCAAACCGCCAGCCCAATTGATGGCAATGTCACACAAGCCGCGGTTCAGTCGTGCAGCGCCCTCTACATTATTAATTTAAGCAACATTCGTCAAAAGGGATCCATTATCACTACACTATGCCATTGTGTTTTATCCGCAAATATAAAAATATCAAATACCCATAGATCCACCAGCACTGAGTCCACAGTATTCAAACAATCCTTCGAAAACAGGGCAATCGTCTCCTACATTAACTATAAAAGGTAATATCAGCAGCAATCCAACAGTATATCAGATGAACAGGTGTAGAAAATGTATATACACACATTTTGCTTGTTCTTTAGGATATTGTTCCATGTTTTCAGGCGTGACACGCGATAGAAAGTCAATGTAGTCGTCCGTATGGAATTGAGTCATCTCCCACTTGTTGGCAGGTTTGGCGCGCTACATAGTACCGGACACGAAAAAAAACAACAACGATTGATCGTCAGCTCCTTTCCCCTTACGCTTTCTCGCCCTGTTCTCCCTTCATTAACGCGCGTTTCCTATATACTCACATAGATCTCCATCTTTTTATAAAGGCCATAATTCATTACAAGCCCGTGACACATTCGAATGCGGTGGGGTTTCATGGGATGGCCAGGTCCATAATGGTAGTTTCCAACATTGGCTAAATTGTTATTATCAATATAATATTACACCGCAATAGTCATTGTTGTCAATAAAACGGTTCATAAAGAGACAAAAGCTGCGAGTTCCGCAAAAACGATTCTGCACGCGTTTCAAATTTACCGTCATAAAAATAGCAAACTCGTTTCTTCTGCTCAAGTGACATTTTGTGGGATTTTAAAGGGGAGGTGGAGAGTGATTCGTGCAGAGAAGGGAGGTGCAGAGCAGACTAAAACGATCTGGTTGAGCGCTGGTTCAAATGCTACAAATGGCGGACACGAATAATACAGAGGGAGGAGACAAGAAGCGAAGGCTTCTGACCAAAAAGAGTCTATAATTTTTCTTCGATCGATAAGGGAGAGTATATGTACAAGAAAATTGTGAGAGAAAGAAGCCGTGTGCGTTTAAATGAAAGGGTTTTTGGACATTGAACAAGGTATTATTATAAGCTAAACTACCTTTTTCTTTCTTTTACTGTTGTCCTGAGCCCAATCCGTATTTCTCAACCACACGGTTCACATCCGTAAGGCCACGAAGATGGCCCTGGACAACAACAGTGGCTTTACCAGACCCACCGCTTGTTACGCCTACAGCACCGCGCACAATCCGGGAAGCAACCCGCTGGAGTTCAGGGACATCCACACGATCGATATGTTCCAGCATTTCATCGATACCGGTCTTCTTGCCATGAACTTGCACCTGTCGTCCCAAATCCTCGAGCTGCACCATGCGGCTCTCCAAATTCATCAACAACGAGCTCTTGAGCTGGTTCTTGGCACGGCTCAGCTCTTGCGCGTTTACAGCTAAATGTGCCATAACGTCACTGCGCGATACAAGGTCCAACTCTCGGCAGATGACCTCTAGCAAGGCATTTGCATATTCAGGTCGACATGAGCCGGCGATACCGAACAGACCCGAGTCGGTGTAGCAATGATTGAATGCCTGGCACGACTCGACCCAATAATGTTGGTTCAGGACATTCGTAAAGAGACGAGAGTACATGCCCTTGCCGGGACCACCAGCAGAGAAGGAGCCACCACCACCAAGGAGGATCTGGAGCGTTGCCAAAGAGTAAATGTCTGAATCGTTTATGGAAAGACCTTCAAATGCAACGTAGACATGCGTCAAGGGTGCTGCTTCCAAGCCGACATCCAAGAAAGTGTTGCCGCCGGTATAGTGGGCTGGTTGCGTAGCCATATCGTATACGTTGCTAGGCTCTTTCTGTTGCTTGGACGACGACGAAGAAAAGAGCGACTTGACAATCGATGGCTTGTCTGAAGGATCCGTAGATGTGGCGGCTGCTGCCTGACGACGAAGTGCTTCAGCATGTGTCTCAACAGAATCCAACAGAGGTTCCTGGGATTTAGCAAGATGACCAAAGTACTTGTTGGCCAATCGTACAACCTGATCGTGTTCAGCACCACATGCAGCAATCACCATACGCTCAGGGCGGTACCAATCCTTCATATAGCCCTTGATCAGTTCGGACGACATGGATTCAAGGTTTTCAGGAGGACACAAGAGCGGATTGCCAAGCGTGTTACCTTGGTAAGCGACCGTGTGCAAGATCTCGGGCAAGATCATTTCAGGCTTGGACCAGATCTCCTCAATCTCGTACATGGCTGTCATGCGTTGCTCGTCTACTTCGTCAGGCGCGATCGTTGGATTGCATACCACGTCTGAGAAAAGTGATACGACGCGTTCGAGATCTTGTGAGAAAATGGCCGATTGATACATTATACATTCACGCGATGACGAGCACATGATATTGCCACCCAACGATTCTAGTTCTTCTACAACTTGGTCTGCACTTCGGTTGGCCGTGCTCTGTTTAATTATAATTATGCACTCATTATTAATATTTTTCTTTTGATTATTGCTATTAGCCTCTTATGCGTTTCTTTACCTTGAAAGCTAAACGGTCCAAGATATGGCTCACACCACGGTACTTTGCAGTTTCGTATCGGCTGCCTGCGTCGACATATACACCCACCGCGCCGAAATGTCCCGGTGTACTTTCGGAAGCGACCCGAATGCCATTAGGCAAAGTAGTAATTTTGCAAAGACCGGGGGACGATTTTGAATATTCTTGCACAATGGTGGGAAACTAACGGATAAATAATCAAGTTAATTTAAATCAAACATGCCACCAGAAGAGCGTGTCTATTGGCAGTAGTGACGGGTTGTTATTGTGTTTTGTTGCATTGGGGTAGTAGAGGAGGAGAGAGTGTTATGTAGAAAGAGCGATTTTTCAAGGCGAACCTCATTTGCTGGCTTGCTGACTGTTGCCTCTCCACGTTTGATTATACTGTCTCGGGCAGCATGTTGTTGTCGAAGAAGGGGAGTTAACAGCTTGCCTCGCTGAAAGAGTCTGGACGCCATGGTATGAGTACGTATGTGAGCAGAAAAGAACTTGTGTACAATGTAGCCCGTCTCGGCTCCAAGCAAAAAGCGGAGTAACGGTACGTCCGCCAGCCTGTAGTCGACCACCAACAAGGCGACGCGCTTTTTACACTGCACTCTCTCCATCTTCAACACACACAAAAAAAATGAACAAACTCGGGTCACTGTTGCTGGTCATCGGCACCATTGTTTGCTTGCTCAAATCAGCCTCGGCCATTAGCATTGATATTCCAGCCCATGGTCAACAATGCTTCTTTGAGGATCTTGCCATTGGCGACAAGATGACTGTTACCTTCCAGGTACTTGACAAAAACTACGACGAAACATAAATGCAAAGCATTCGCAACACCTGTCTCTTGAGCAAAGTACATTAACAATAATGCCCATGTATTCTTTTTGTTAGGTCGGCGAAGGCGGAAATCTCGATATTGATTTTCTGGTAACTATACACCGATAGAAAGCAAGAGAAGCCTTAGAACTATTAAGTAACGCTCGCATATTTTCATGTGCGACATATAAAAGATCTCGGATCCTCAAGGACGCTTGATCAAGAGCGGCGCACGAGAATCGACGGGCACACATGTGATTGAAGCAGCTATTGCCGGCAAGCACACCTACTGCTTTGGCAACCAGATGTCCTCGGTTACTGCCAAGTCTGTCAACTTTAACGTTCATGATATGCAAAAGATTGAAAACAATGCCAAGGGTAATTAATATGCGTGAGCTGTATAATACGGATATACGCACAATGATGTATATTGACGTATTATGTCCTTCTTTTAGAGGATATTGATCCAATTGAGCGCGAGATCCGTGAGTTGGCCGACAGTATTTTTGCCATCAAGGCCGAACAAGAGTACATCGTCGTTCGCGAGCGACAGCACCGTGACAGTAAGTTCTCTCTCCCTCTGAAAGGCGATACGGAACTGAATTGGTGGAAGCTAATGCAATCGTGTCTTTATAGCTGCTGAAAGCACCAACGCACGTGTAAAATGGTGGTCTTTGGGCCAACTGGCATTGCTGGCTGCCGTCTGTTTCTGGCAGGTGGTCTACTTGAAACGCTTCTTTGAGGTCAAGCGTGTGGTATAAGAAAAGGCAATATTGTATAAAGATCACAGAAACAAAAAGAAGAGGAATATTCTTTGATATCAGACTATTACCAGTGTTACTATTATTATTATATATACAAATATGTTGTGCTATTTTCTACTTTTCTACAAACGGTCGTACACCATTTGCTCTATAGCAGCCACTTGTTCATCTATGGTTTTATCACTTGTGTCCAGCTCTACTGCATCCTCTGCCTTTTTCAGTGGAGATACTGCTCGTGTTCGATCCGCTTCATCACGTGCTGCCAAATCCTTTGCAATGGCATCCACCGTCTCACCCTCGCCCAGTGCGTTTTTGCTCGCCAGTTCATCAAATCGACGTTGAGCGCGCACACGCGCATCCGCCACAATAAACACCTTGAGCTCAGCATCCGGTAAAATCACCGTGCCGATATCTCGGCCATCCATCACCACACCTCGGACTTGCGTGGACTGCTTGAACAGAAATCCGCGCCATGCTGGATCATTGGCTCGGGCAAGTGCGCGTTGTTGGTTGGCCAATGTGGCACGTACGCCAGGATTGGACGCAATAGGGCTGATGTTTTGCACAATACGTGATGTACGGATGGCATCGCTCACATCTTGCCCATCCAGTTCAACTTTGCCGAGACTAGGAAAACGTATCTGTGCACTGTTCGCTGTCTGTTTCACTTTGGCATCGTTGGTAACTTGTACGCCTTGTTCGAGACACTTTAATGTCACCTGTAATATGTATTTGTGCATATGTGAGCGTCTCTTTCGTCTTGACCATCTCCTTTGCCCGAGATTCTTACAGAAAAGAAAGCTAACTTACTGCTCGGTACATTGCGCCCGAATCAATGTAGCCGAAGCCGAGCTTCTTTGCTAATAATTTAGCAGTCGTGCCTAATTGTTCAAAGCACACAATTAGCGAAGGAGAGAAACAAAACAGAGCGACACCGGGTTAAACGTGTGTAAATACATGCTTTTGCCTGAAGCTGCTGGACCGTCAATGGCAATTCGAAACAATCGTGACATGAAGGACGACAAGGGTTAGTTTTATTGACCAAAGGAAGCCCGCAACGGGAGTATCTCAGATAGTCTGCTTTATTTTTTAAAAAAAAGCAGAAAAGCACACTTGAGGGATAATGTTGTCAAGTACAACAAGCTGGAGTAGAAACCTTAAAAAGCTGGCATATGTGTTTTGAAGAGCAAGTCACCAGTGGTCGCATGATAAGTTTGAGGAACCCACGGAAGATATGCCGCCCTTTTAGTTTCTTCTTTACCCTTTTTTCCTTTTTACCACACACGCGCGCTTGCCCTTCATGCTTAAACCCAAAGTCATTTCCCAAGTTTTACAACAATCAGCAGACAATGGCCTTAAAGCATCATTGTAAGATGATAACTTGTATATTCTCTCATATCACTCTTGCTAAGTTTGTTTTCTTTTTTTTTTGCTAAAAAGACTCATGACGGGTGAAGGTTCATTGTTGGCATTCGCGGCAGATAATGGTCGTTCGCCCAAAACTTATGCAGCCATTGCGGCTAATATCTGGAGTTCATATAAGCAGCATTCCGCGTCAGATAGCTTTTTAAGAGGTGATCCGACGGCCGGATTACGATTCCTGATACTCGACTGCGAGGTATGAAGAGAAAAAGGTGTGTGGAGAGGAAACAGAAAAAGAAGAGTTCACTAAACGTTTGCTTTTCCGCCAAGTAGGAAGGTATCGTATTTGTGACAGCCATTAGTTCAATGTTACTCTGCCTTGTCGGTGACAGGACGGTTGAACTTGGTATTCTCAGAGCAAAGGTAATATGGAAAGGGATCCCTCTCTCACTCCCGACAGAAAAAGAACTCACATCTTTTTTGTATATATTAGGCTGAAGCAATTGCACGGCATTTGGAAGAACCGCTCAGCCATGCAGCCTCTTATCAATCATATGCAATCTGATATTGTATGAACATTATCAGAACATTGTTATATATATAAATATATAAAGAAAACAAGGAAGCCAAGAGGCACTATGTACATATTTTTACTCTAGTTATTCAAATAATGCAACATGGCAACACGCTTTTGTGAATCCTTCCTGGCTTGTCTGGCCATCACCTTGCCAGACGGTCTGGCCTTGGCCTCTGGCTTTTTGTTTCGATAATGTTCCTCAACCTCTTCATATCGATGCGTCACACGTTTACGCTTCGACTCGCCATGACCCAATCCAAGCGTGTCTTGTTTTAAAGCTGTGGCGATCGGATGGCGTCTTCCTTCGCCTTCGGGGCCTAACCCTTGATCATACTTCCAACCTTGTGATTTTAATAGTCGAAACCCAACGTTGCTGCCGTTCAGCGCTAGAAATTCGGTTGGTGTGGTTGTGCTGCTGCTTGTCCTGTGCGCAATGCCTCGTAAATGCTGTTCTAGTGAAGCGATCGGTACATCCAGTTCACAGTCGTGACAACGAATCTTTTCATCTTCTTCGTCGTCTTGCTGCCCTTCTTCTTTTTTTACTGTAGTTGGAACATGGGCATTTGTGTTGGACTGGGTATCTTGAGTGTTGCTGCAGCTGACGATCGAATTGTAAAGACTGGCTACTTGATCACCACTGGCTCCGGCAGCCGATGGACTCACCAATGAGAGCGACTTTTGAGTGCTCGGTACAAAGTCAATGGGACGTGAATATTGCGTTGTTTTTCTTATAGAATGATCATACTCCATGGATCAAGCGAAATCAAAAGGGGGCATGTATATTTTAAAATGTATGTCAAACAAGAAAACAAAAAGAAAAAAATGCGAATACAGAGAAAGAAACTTTAAATTTTGTCACGCTATTTGCTGCTATATGTAATTAAGCAGTGTACAACACACCATTTTATCATCGGTTCTGGTTATGTTCCTGGGAAGCCAACAACCCCAAAAGGACACTGCTTGCTGGTGATTCGGGTAGATCCACAGGGAACGAAACACCGTTGAGGATATCTACATTGTCATTATGAACCAGGTTTCTCGGAGAGTTGTTATCTCGCTGCTGTCGAATGCTGCGCAGTTCTTGATGCTGGGGTATGGATGACATGTTGCCTAGCTCACCGGAATAGGGTCCTCTCAATTGCTGTAGTGGTGAAAACTCATGCGAAGGGATCAACGGTTGTGCAGATGATGGCGACAGTATCGAAGGACCTCCGAGGGATGCAGTATTGGAAGTAGCAGCAGCAGCAACGTTAGCAGAAGAGGAACCTACTGCGGGATTGCTGTTGTTGTTACTGTTACCGTTATTATTATTGTTGTTTTGGTCGTTGATGATGGTGTTCTGTGTACCAAAGTAGTTGTTCCATTCTTCCACGTCTAGTGATGAAGGTACACCCCAGAACGCAGTATGAAACGGATCGTATTGCTGTTGTGCATTGGCAACAACGTCTGGAGCTGCAAATGGATCCATAGTCGTACCCGGCTTGCGATTGACGAAGTCATTAGCATTGCTGTCGCTATTCTGCATCTGAGAAGAGTCGTTTTGTTGTTGCTGATCGTCAGCCGACACTTGCTGCTGTTGTTGCTGTGGAGAATTCGGTACGGCAATGGATGGGGGTGGTTGAGTCAACAATCGACTGTTGCGACGTGGAACATACTCGTCGCATTCGAGATTGATATCGCGCAAACCTGCCAGTTCACCAAGGATATTGCAGCACCGAGCCGCATTCATCCACGTTGTGTCGATCTCGTCTAGCGCTCGCATGATTTTGTTGATATAGATTTTGGCATCAAACACCTTCTCCGCCTCGTCCGAAGACGCCATTTTTATGAACATGATCCCGGCCGTAAACAGACAATAGACAGCATAGTTGAGTACGAAGCGAATGCGGTTCTCGCTGAACATGACGTTGACGATATCCAAAATTGAGCTGGCAGCAGAGATACATATTTTGTAGGACGGTAAAGACGAAGGTGATTGCGGAGAATGGCCCGGAATGAATGGTCGATGAAGTAAGATGAGTGTCGTGTAGTAAAACATGTGAATTTGTGCAATGGCAAGCGGAGGGCACTGGGCCGTCTCGCCAGATTCAGTGTTGGGCGGCTTGTACTGCAGGGCTGGCGGCAGTCGGTTGTACCAATTTGTCAGCTCGCGGTTTAAGCCCGTGAGAACATGCTCGAGATGTTGTTGCGATGCATGATGCCTTGCTTTTGCATAATACACATTGCGCAGCACGTGGCCCATAATGTCGGTAATTTTGATGAGATGCACAAACGTTTCGACAATGCGTGGCTTTGCTGGATCGTTTGCTTTGTCTCCCGATGATGGTTCCTCGTCGTCGTCGGTCGGAAAAGGTACATCGCAATCGCGTTCTTCAAATGTCGACGAACGGCCGTAGATGGCGCTAATCAGTCGATCAACGACAAAACAGCACCAGAACACTCGCTTTCGTCGTTCACGTTCGTCAGGGGGTATGTTCCAATGATCACAGTTGCGATGTAATCCAAGATCTTGCGCCATACGGAATGCCTAGCCAAAACGAGCGATCATGATACTGAGTAACACACTTCCCTTTCCCTGGGCCTTTTTTATCGCCGACCAAACTTACCATGCCACTGTATAGCCAGCCTCGAACATATTTCATTGTACCGTGTTGATGTGTAGCCAAGAGCAACAATGCTTGCACAGTTGATATCCGCGGGACATCATAGTAATCATCGAGCAATCGTTTGGCACGTTCGAAAAAGACATCGCCAGCGGTATCAGCGGACGCTGGATCAGCCCGCACGCGAACATCAGGCGATACTCGTGATGCTACTGCATAGATGGCGTTCAGCAGAAGGGGTGAAATAGGTTCCAGTGGAGAGTTGAGCGAGGACGTCAGGCGCTTCTTGTAAAATAAGGGTAAGACCGGGTAAAAGTGTTCGAAATACAGGTTGATGAGATGTCGTGACAAGTCTTTAGGCGGTAACTCGAATGGATCCAGCTTCGTAGTTGCTTTCCCCCGTGACGGTGATCCCGATTGCGACTTGTGACCCCACCCTGTGAAATGAAATGCCCCATTTTGATATGTTCGACTGTTCTGAAGCAAATAGTATCCCGATGACTTGCCCAGATATCGCACTTGGCCATTCTCGTCCATTGACAGCTGGCCCGTACTATCGCCAACAGAGTCAGGGCTGCTCGGCATCGACTCGTGGTCGTTGTTGTTTGTGTTGCCACGGTTGCTATTGTGATGGTTGTTGTAGTCTCGCGAGTGTTGCGACGGGCTGCCGGCATCGTCAGCAAAACAAATCTGTGAGAGCGACATTGGTGACTCGTGCGGCGGAGAGGTGGATCGTGAGTAATGGTCTTGTTGGCCGCGTTTTAGTCGACGCACAGGGCGAGTGTTGATGACCTGACCAGTGGTCGTCTCTAATGGCTGACTGAGTTCTGCGATAAGCGCTTGGGCTTTGGGATCCGGGTTATCTTGCGACATGTCTTTGAGCAATCCCTCCAGCTTGCGAAGTCGGTTCTCAACAGCTTCAATATAGCCCTTCGGCGGACCTCGCTTGATATGACAATTAACAATTTGGAACAGAAATTAACAACTTTACATACAGCAGGAGCTGAGATGAATGTGCGTGGTCAACAAGCACTCTGACTCACTCACCTTTTTGGTCATATCTTTGTAGCTACACTCGAGACTAAATGCTTGGCAGTTGCCGCAGATAGGAATAGCACCATCGCATTTTATCTTTTTTCGGCGGCATAAATCGCTGCAAGTTTGTTTGTTGTGCGTTTTATGTTAGTACAAATAAGAACCACCATTTACTCCTTTTCCTTTCTCGATTGCCAAAAAGAAAGGGGTCCTCCGAGATCCCGGAGTAAAAAGCTTACCACGCACGGCTCACACGTTGTCTCTTGCTATTCGGCTCGTCTGTCGAGTTTGTCATTGCAGCGAGTGCAAGGGAAATGGGCGAATTGGGTGCAAATAAAGGGGAACGGCTATTTGCACCACCCCACCTGCACCACCCCTCGGGTAGTGACTAGCTTTTCGGAGGTGAAATGGCATGGCGGGTGGTGAGAAACGATGAAGGGTGAGACTATGGCCTATTGTTTGTTTAATGCATAAATATGTGTAGCAGTACCACCACGTTTTTCAATTGTATCCATAACTATAAGAAACATAGTGATCATACAAACATAAAAAAAAAGGAACACTAGTGAGAAAAAAAAACGCGACTAAATTCACTATCTGTCAAAATAATGTAAATCATCAGTAGTAGCCTACAGTCATCGCAGTATTGAGCACTATCGTTGACGAGAACGTTTGCTAAAGACTATGACACACTAACCAGGATGTTGCTACCGAAAAAAATCAGAGAGGCTTGAGTTGAGAATCAAAGATGTGATCCTTTTTATAATTTTGTGTGACAAGGAAAAGAAAACGCGGTCCATTTAGCAAGCATGTCGACATTACAGACGAGATCACCAAACATCCCCGAGGAAATCAACCAAACGTACGAATCGTACGACATTGCAATTACATCCTTGCAATCTTGGGCGTTGAAAAACAAGTTCCAGCTTTCAGTAATCAGAGCTGATAAAATAGGCCCCAAGCGAAGGTGCCAACTTGGCTGTAAGCACTTTGGTCAGCCCCGTGACCAGACACCGAAAGAGCAACAATCGCAGCAGCAACAAACAACAATTGTTATTGACGATTCTGAGCAGCACCGAGAAAAAAAAGAAAGGACGTAGCAAGGATTCTCAACGGATTGGTTGCCCTTTCAATCTGATGCTACGACCATTAGACAGTAAGAGCCAGCAATGGCATGTAGTGAGTATCTATGATAGCGGACACAATCACCATATGGCTTTGAAACCTAGTGCCTACCCACTGCACCGCCGTTTGAAAGGAGACGTTCTCCAGACAGTGCGTACCTTGATCCTCGACCATGCCACCAACATAGTCATCACAGACTTCCTACGCAGCAAAGGCCATTCTGGTACCACCGCAAAGGATATTTCGAACATTCGTCAAACAGTGTTTAACAACGACCCTGACGGTGCAATGTTCAACCTGATCAACCTTCTGCAAGAGAACGATTACCACGTCCGTTTTGACTCGAGACAAGAAGGGGAAAAGATTTTCCTCAATGCGTTGTTCTTTGCCCATGGCGATGCTATAAAGGTTGCAAACCAATTCCCGGAGGTGATCTCCATGGATGCCACCTACCAGACCAATCGCAACATATTGCCTTTTATAAATGTGATTGGTACCGGAAATGTTGGCGTGAAGGCGTTAAGAAGCTTTTGTGTAGCTGGAGGATGGGTCTCGAATGAGACCACAGGGTCGTATATGTGGTTTGCTCAACAGCTAAAGTCAGTTGTTTACTCGTCTTCGACAGCGGTTTATCCAAAAGTGTTCGTCACAGACAGTGAAGCGGCATTAATGACTGCGCTTGATTCCACTTTCCCTGAGTCTACGAAGATACTGTGTAAAATCCATTTGCATAGAAACTTCAAGACGAACCTTCGAAAGCTTTTTGACACTCAAGAACAATGGGACCAGGTAGAAAAGGCGCTCAACCTTTTGATGTCTAGCTCTTACAAGGACAAGTTCGATGATATGATGGAGAAGGTGTCCGATCAAAACTAGAGCAAAAGGCGCTTACTATGTTTGAAAATGCAATACTGTGTTGTTCAGATCCTGAAAAGGCACGAAGCTACTTGAAAAGGTAGATGATTAGTGTACCTTTGAATGTTGTCCAAATCCTTGTGGGGCTTTATGATTGATCTAGCTCATATACTCTTTCTATATAAACTCGCCTTTAGGGAAAAATGGGTTGGTAGTGAGACCGGCCAACTGCGACACCTTGGAAATACGAGTACCAACCGGGCTGAAGGTGCTCACGCCGAAATCAAAAAGTACATCGATCCATCCAGCAGCCTTCATCTTTCTTTCACACATCTGAATATGTGGTATAAAGACAAGGTATATACATTCATACGTTTTGCTGAGAAGTGTTCGCATCGATTCATGTTGTTGCATACTTATATTTAAGTATCGGCACGTTTGGGGTTTGCGATAAGCAATACTGTGTAATTGATGATAGCCGCTTTTGTAAACACCAACTGGAATCAGCAGGTTGATAAGGAAGCATTGAGTGCTAATTTTCATCTTCCTGAGGCATATAAAACGCGACTTGAGCTCCTCAGTCGTAATATATCTCGCTTTGCTTTTGAAGCCATCAAAGACCAGTTGAGATTTTCGAACGTGCTGAAGACGATGCATTGCAAGTGTGCCTTAAAGATCCATTACGGAATACCATGCTGTCATATGTATCCAGCTGACGGGCCCATTCCATTGTCGATTATCCCTCGGCGTTGGCACTTGTTCCCAGAAAAAACAGCATCGAATCTCAATGGTATGGCTATTGCAGAGTTTAAAACAATGGTGAGTATGTTCACCGACGATTTATGAGCCGGTTTTCTTTTCTTCTTTTTTGCAATAGACGAATTTGTCGATGTGCTCTCTGCACCTAACGTTATAGCAGTTGTGGACGACCACGAGAAGCCAACGATCGAAAAGCAAGTCGCCGCTGAGCTTGTCCGGATTGAAAACCTAGGATTCAATCTCCAAAACCAGCAGCAACTAGCAGATCTTTTGCATAAATTGAAGGCAATCAGTAATGATTCGTTCATTGATATGCATGAACTGCAATCTCCACCTGTGCCAACAAAGAAAACAACAGCTCGCACTACTGCAAATAACGCCAGCAGTAGCAGCAGCAACAGCAGTAATAACAACAAACGCTTGCCAATTACACTCGAAATCCAAGATGAGCAAAGCAAGAAAAAGGCCAAGACGGGCTTCGGAGCTGAAGCAGCAGCCACATGGTATGTACCAATCATTCCAGTGTGTAATATAAGCTGATTGTGGTGGGCCGTTAATATAGGGAAGGAAAGGGCAAGGATCTGGCGGTGCTATTGGCTGGTGTCTTAAGCACCGATGTACCCAAGCAGCAAGTCGCCACTATTGTTAGTCCTCAGCCTGATGGTAATTGTGGTTTTCGTGTCTTGGCTTTGGCCTTGAAAAACGATGAGGATATGTGGCCATCCATCAAAGACGATATGTTTGTGTTTTTGCAGCAGAATCGCGCTATTTTCTTACATCTCTTTAGAGAAGATGAACTGGCTTCAGTGGAGCATAAGTTATCCGATCGCTCCTCTCCTTGCAATACTGCTTCATATTTCAATCATTCTTGTGCAATTCTAGCTGCCAATGCGTTCTCAAAAGCCATTGCTTGGTATTCTGTTGAATTCTCAACTCTATACATACCTTTCCTTTCCGCTCCTACAGGAAAACCTATCAGTATGCAGTTGAGCAATTTTTATTTCTACCATGTCTCTTTTAGACCAGCTGCCCAAGTTGTGTACCCTTCTGTCCATCGCTCCCATAATCTCTTTTGTACCCGCCACAACTTCACCAACCATTCCTACTTAATCGACCACAAAAAATAGACCTCTTCCCTTCTCTCTTACTTTAAAAACGTCAAACAATCAGCTCGCAAACAGAAATATTGCTACAAGATGTGTAATCGAATAATGTAAGCAAAAAGAAAATAGCGTCAAAGAAGTGTACTAATTATCAATCAGACCATGAAAACATGATATATTATGTAAGCACCCATAATACAATAGTTATGGTCTTGCTGTAATCGTACTATTGCAGCACTTTGATTATAAGAAAATCGAATATCACTTTAGAAAAACCGGTACTTTACTGACAGTTAACGAGTAGTCTAGTTACCTTGAACAATAACAGATAGACCCATTATAAAGATTTCATTGAAATACATGCCTCCTCTCACCACCCTTCATCGTTTCTCACCACCCGCCATGCCACTTCACCTCCGAAAAGCTAGTCACTACCCGAGGGGTGGTGCAGGTGGGGTGGTGCAAATAGCCGTTCCCGTTCTCACAACGGTTCTTGTAAATCCAGCTGTTAAATAGAGGACTTGTAAATTTTACAATGGAAGCTGGTAAAGTTAACAGGAAATCTGTGAGCTTGTAAATTACAATAATAACCATTGCGAAAGTTCGGTGTTGTAGTACTACAAGGATTTTACGTCCTCAATTTACAAGTTTTGTTACAAGCATCGCTGCGAGTGCTCTGAGACGGCGATATCAATTCATCCGACTAGTGGATAACGTATGTGATAGAGGATGGATCGAGGACATATCAGAACTTCTCTTGAAGTCGCTATGTTAATTGGTCACATCTTTGAAAGGTGAATCATATGTGTGTGCTATAATGTTTAACCGAATATCTTATTGTTGATATCTTAAGCAGTGTATTAATATGGCTCACCACATCACCCCCTTTCAGGTTGCTGATAAGCCAATGATATGCATTTTCCAACCCGTTTCCCATATCCCACTTAATGGTTTCTCCTCTATATAATAGTAGATATCGCTTAACCCATCTCTGTGTAGTATGAAAATTGATCTCCAGCTGTTTTGCTGCAGCATTTGCGCTCGAACACTTGTCGACTTCCAACTTGAAGAAGCGACCATTATCTTGAGCAGTGTATCCAGCATATTCACATTTTTCCAGCTACTTCTTTCATACGCTTGTCTTCACCATTACCTTGCTTATCTAATCCATCGGTTTGTTTTTGCCTTTGCATATACTCAGAATGAAATGTAACTGATTCCACGACGAAATGTTGTTTATCAACACTGTAGTCTATTAGTTCAGGATTGCCAAGCTCATCAACGACATTCCTTGGCCTTCTTTATATAAAAAGGGTGCGCTCATGTTTGGTTATAGAGTAAATAAGGATAAGAAATGGATTGTTGAATAAAGATTTTTGCCCAGCTAGCGACATTAATTATCATTGGCTAACCAGGTGCCTTACCATAGAGCGCCGCTTCTCTTCTTTTCCTGCTTATAATGTATACGTTACTAAGGGGATTATACCAACACATTACTCGTAAAGAAGAATACTATGTTCTCATTATTGGTCTGGACAATGCAGGAAAAACGGTAATGCCCTTCTTAATCAGGGCTTGTCATCCTTTACACGCACATTCGCACATTCTAATAAACATTAAATAAACATTAGACTTTGCTGGAACGCATAAAATCAACTTTTTTGGGTGTAGCTGGTCTTGCACCTGAAAAGATTGCACCTACTGTCGGCTTAAACAGTATAGTATCTTTCCTTGAATTCAATCTTGAAATCGTCCTTGTTGAACGTTTGACGGAATTGTTGATTACCATTAGTTGGCAGAGTGGATATCAAATCATCGCGCATCAACTTTTGGGATCTGGGAGGACAACGGGATCTCCAGTCGATTTGGGAACGTTATTATACAGAGTGTCATGGGATCGTATTTGTCGTGGATTCAACCGATAGCAAGCGGCTAGAAGAATGCAAGGACACGTTTGGTAAGAATTTCTTTTGTCCGTGTGCTCGATACGAGGGAATCAGACAGAAGAAAGTAACGAATACTCTGATTTTTGCCTAAAGAAAAGATGATTACCAATGAAGAAGTTGAAGGCGTGCCCATTCTGATGCTTGCAAATAAGCAAGATGTCTCTGGAGCGTTGCGTGTGGAGGAAATCAAAGAGGTGTTTAACAAGATTGCTGTAAAGCTTGGTGCACGTGATTCGCGAGTACTGCCTGTCAGTGCTTTAAAAGGGTAAGGAAGTGTTTGTTTGTTTGTTTAGCCAAAAACGCTCGTAAAAACAATAGTGCTTGATAAGATAATTACATCGGAAATAGAGAAGGCGTCCGAGACGCTGTGGATTGGCTCGTTTTGAGATTGCATAGGAACAAAAACAACCGACCTCCCATATACCGCTAGTTATCCTTCTCGCGCCAAAAAATTATTGTAGATAACACCACTAGTAGACCACCAATATGTACCTCTTTACGTCAAATAACCAACTTCCGTAGCATAATCAAACAGATCTTCCTTATTCACCACACCATATTCCAACAGTCCACCATATGATATTAGAAGAGCAAAACTTTGTTTTTAATTCTCTTAGTGTGTGAAAAATGCTAATTACAACTTTTTTATTTTACATATGGGAAGGTGATGAGTTTCTTTTTTTAAAAAGATGGAATTTGGAAAGGGTGAGAGAAGGAGATACCAGTGATTTAGGCGGTCTTCTCACGCATGAGGTTGAGGGCAGAACCAGCCTTGAACCAGGCGATCTGGCCAGGGTTGAAGGTGTGGTTCAAGGTGATATCCTGGGTCTTGCCATCAGTCTTGTGGAGACGCATGGTCAAGGGCTTGCCTTCCTGGAAGTCGGTCAAACCAAGGATGTCGACATTGTCGGTGGGATCGATCAAGTCGTAGTCAGCGGGGTTAGCGAAGGTCAAAGGAAGCATACCCTGCTTCTTCAAGTTGGTTTCGTGGATACGAGCGAACGACTTGGTGATGATGGCAGCACCGTTGAGGTAACGGGGCTCCAAGGCAGCGTGTTCACGGGACGAACCTTCACCGTAGTTTTCGTCACCAATGACAACCCACTTGACACCACGGGCCTTGTAGTCACGAGCAACGTCAGGAACACCACCGAACTCGCCAGTGAAGACGTTCTTGATGCTGTTAGCCTCACCGTTGACGATGTTGATAGCACCAATCAACATGTTGTTGGAGATGTTGTCCAAATGGCCACGGTACTTGAGCCAGGGACCGGCCATGGAGATGTGATCGGTGGTACACTTGCCCTTGACCTTGATAAGGATAGGGATTTCCTTGATGTCCTCGCCGTTCCACTTTTCGAAAGGCTTCAAGAGCTGGAGACGGTTGGATTTAGGATCGACGGCAACGTTGACCTGGCTGCGGTCGGCGGGAGGAGCCTGGAAGGTGTTCTCACCGGCATCGTAACCGTTGGTGGGCAAAGAGTCACCAGTAGGAGGGTTCAACTTGAAGGGCTTGCCATCGGCACCAGTCAAGGAGTCGGTCATGGGGTTGAAGCCCATGTCACCGGCAATGGACAAGGCAGTGACGATTTCAGGGGAAGCGACGAAAGCGTGGGTGGCGGGGTTGGCGTCGTTACGGCCAGTGAAGTTACGGTTGTACGAGGTGATGATGGAGTTCTTCTCACCCTTCTTGATATCCTGACGGTCCCATTGACCAATGCAAGGACCACAAGCGTTAGCAAGAACAACACCGCCGGCGTTGGTCATTATGTCCATGATACCGTCACGCTCGATGGTGGCACGAATCTGCTCGGAACCAGGAGTGACAGTGTACTTGGACTTGCACTTCAAACCGTGCTCAGAGGCTTGCTCGAAGAGCGAGGCAGAGCGGGCCATGTCTTCGTACGAAGAGTTGGTGCAGGAACCGATCAAACCGACCTTCAATTCAAGGGGCCAGTCGTTCTTGATAGCGGTTTCCTTGAACTTGGACAAGGGAGTGGCCAAATCAGGGGTGAAGGGACCGTTGATGTGGGGCTCGAGCTTGTCAAGGTCGATATCGATCATTTCGTCGTATTGAGCACCCTCATCGGCGCGCAAGTTGGGAGCGAACTGCTCGGCATACTGGGCAATGTTACCACGGTTGGTAGCACGGAGGTATTCAGCCATGCGGGCGTTGAAGGGGAACATGGAGGTGGTGGCACCAATCTATAAAACACGTAAACAATCGGATACGTAATTTAGTATTACGCGCATCATGCATGCAGCTACACTTGATGATTACACAGAGGCGAATCTGTACGTTACCTCAGCACCCATGTTACTAATTAACACAAGGAGTAGAAGATGGAGCGATAGAAAAAAAAGGGGTTGATGGCATAAGGCGTTAATGTGGCGTACTCATTTAGCGATCGTGACTAATCTCACACAAAACGAAAACCAGCTTACCAGATAGTACCCATACCAGTGCAGGAGAGGGTATCGACACCAGCACCAGTGTACTCGACAATGGCACCAGTACCACCCTTGACGGTCAAGATACCAGCAACCTTCAAGATGATATCCTTGGCCGAGGTCCAGCCGTTCATCTTACCGTGGAGGTTGACACCAATGACCTTGGGGCACTTCAATTCCCAAGGAATGTCAGCCATGACATCGACGGCATCAGCACCACCAACACCAATGGCAACCATACCGAGACCACCAGCGTTAGGAGTGTGCGAATCAGTACCGATCATAAGACCACCGGGGAAAGCATAGTTTTCCAAGATGATCTGATGGATAATACCAGAGCCTGGCTTCCAGAAACCAATGTCGTACTTGGCAGAGGCAGTGGCCAAGAAGTCGTAGACTTCCTTGTTGATGTCAATGGCGCGGGCCAAATCGGGGACACCGCTCTTTTGGGCCTGGATCAAGTGATCACAGTGGACGGTGGTGGGGACGGCAACGCTGGGGAGACCGGCAGACATGAACTGAAGCAAGGCCATCTGGGCAGTGGCATCCTGGCAAGCAACACGGTCAGGACGAAGCTTGAGGTAGGACTGGCCACGAACAATGTCCTGGTTCTCAGCATCATCCAAATGGCCATAGACGACCTTTTCAGAAAGGGTCAAAGGACGGTTCAATCTATAAGCGGTGACGATGATATCACAGTTATTCTTTCTGTCGTGTTCTGAACCTTTCTCTCTGCGCACATTGATAGACCCGATGATCACGAAAGAGAGGGAACTGTCACACTTGCCTTCTACGGACGATCTGAAGGTTGTCCTCGATTCTCTGGTAGTTGACGAACTTGTCCTGCTCGAGGACGGACATGGGGACCTTCTGGGCGGCCCAAGTGCCAGCAGCCTGAGCGTAGGTACGCGAGGGGATGGATTTGATGGCGGGGGAAACCGACTACATGAAAAGAAGAACAGACGCGTTTTCAGTCCTGATGGTTCCGCTTCCGCATCTGGCGCTGGGTCTACAGCTAGATGACTTTAGCTAAGAATCGTTAGTTACCTTGGCGGCCCGCATGAAGGTGTTAGAAGACAGCATGTTGTATGTGGAAGCTCTGCCAAACAGACAAAGACCCGGGAAGAGCAAAAGAAGAAGAGAGGGGGGGTTGGAAGAAGTTGGAAGAGAAGGAAAAAAAAGTAAATAAAGTCAACCCCCAGCATATGTACTGGTTGAAGCTTTATATGCGGGCTTTGAAAAGACTCTGAGGTCACACAGCCGCAAAGCACAATTCGGTTTGCGCCATGTGAAATGCGATAAATTTTTTTTATTACTTACTCCACACACAACGTCATAGCAGCTGATAAAAGATAACACGCTCACGGCCCTACCAAATGGCCTCGCAGGAAGAAGCCGCCTGCTCTTTCGCGACACCCTCCACCACCTCCTCCTATTCCTTGGCATGACCGGCCACAGCCAAAGAGCCGCAGTCTGGCTGTGGGTGTGGCAGCAGCAGGCGGCAGAACCAGCGTGTTCAAAGTTTGGGGATTACCAAGCACCAATATCCATTTTCCGGCGGGCCAGGAAGAGGCGTAACAGGGCCATGCAAAAGGGCCACGAAATCTTCTGATGGTCCGACGGATGAGCTGGCTTAACGTTTATCCAAATAATGCACCCCTACTTCTTTGTTTTAGCCGGACTTGACCCAGACCTCCTCTTCCACTTTCCGTCCTCCCAGAGAAGGTCAGTTCTCCACATTTCCTCTCTCTCTCTCTCTCTTCCTCCCTTGCGCACATGCTGTGCACGACATAGCAAATCAGCCAAACCGATAAGGACGAGCTTGTCAAAATTTGGACAATCTATTGTTCCTCGTTTGCCCCACCGCGCAACGCGACTCCGATTCAAAAATAGTTCTTTATGGCAATTTCGCGAAGCTTGGATTCGCAGCAGCAGCAGCACGCACACAAGTTTCATTTGCGAACCAACTTGGCGCGAGCACGCAGAGACGGCGGAGATTTTTAGCGTTGAGAAAAAAGCGTGCTGTAAAAGCATGGCCCTCCCGAAAACAGCAAGAAACCCTTTTTGCTGCAAGCTATACAGTGTCGACCTACTATGCCGTCAGCACTCCTAGGCCCTACGTACGTGTCCTTGCTGACTCGGAGACAGATGCGAGCCTTCTCAGGACTGCCACCACCACCTGTGCCAACGGATCCGGCAACTGCAGGATCGTTGGGTGGATTCATCGCAACGATCGCCGACAAGCTCGGAATGGGAGAGTAAGGTTTTTTTTTGTTCTTCTGGTTGCTTTTTTGGGACATGGTCGCGTGGTAACTTGCTCATCACGGGGATATCACACACACACACACTCTCTCTCTCTGATCATTGCTCATAATACAGACTCGCCACTGGTGGTCTTCAGTTGGCTGTAATTGGCGGTAATACATGATACCCATTCTTTATTACTGTACACTATTATCGCTACAGTGCATGCTAGTACAAGTGACTCATTCTTGATTATGCAGGCGCGGTTGCTGGGTTCCGCTACTTTGGAGGCTTCTTTCTGGAATATCTCAAGAAACAGACCGTTGCAGCTGTGGACTTTGATAGTCGTGACGAATCGTACAGGTGAGCACTCTAGTAAGAGCAGCCCCCTGGGCTTGATCACCCTTTGGGATTCGCACGATCTGGAGCGTTGGTTGTTATCTCTTTTCTGTTCTTCGTGCTACTGACAGCGAGAAATCATGTGAAATATTACGTATTAGTTGGATCCTCAACTGGCTGAACGACCAACCATATTCGCAAAACGCGTCGCGCTTTTCTGTGTCGACGACCATCACCCGCGCAGGACAAAGGCTGATCGGCGAAGGTCTCGATGCAAGCAAGCTCCCTCCTGTCTACTTTCTACCTGCTCCAGGTACCCCTTTCCTTCTCTACCCCCTTTCCATCAGGCTGGACATCGAAGATGCGCGCTCGTATGTGTGGCCTGATCAACTTTAAATCATCTATATATAGGCATACACGTCTTTATGTACAAGAATCGGCTACTTTGGCTTAGTCGCGAGCGCCCTCAGCCGTCATCTGCAGCTGCTGCAGCTACAGCCAACAATGCGGCGTTAGAGAGAATACAAATCAGCACTTTGGGTAGATCGCGAAGTTTGTTGGAGCAGCTGGTTTTGGATGCGCAGAGGCAGTTTATCGCGCGCGATCTTAGTCGTACGGTCGTTTATGCAGCTGGTGAGCAAGGAAAAACGGGGATTGTCTAGCAGTATACATCATGATCTCTTGTGCATATATTAAAAGTAACTCTGCATATCCACCTATGCATATTGTATAGATCAATATGGGGCTTGGAGGAGGACACGTTCGCGACCAAAACGCCCGCTCAGCACTATTGTTATTCCAACCAACGTCAAGTCAGATCTGGTGGTGGATGCCGAAGAGTTTCTTGGATCAGAACAGTGGTATAGTGATCGTGGTATACCTTATCGACGTGGCTATTTACTATACGGCACCCCTGGATCAGGTAGATTGCCTGGATAAATGGTGGAAATGGGAAAAGGCTTCCGGTAAACGGTCGGACATGTGCGACTCGCGTACCCCGCTCGCTAACTGTATACATACTTAGGCAAAACAAGTTTTGTGTATTCGCTCGCAGTAAGTTTGTTGGGAGAGTAAGAGGAAGATAGATGAACCAGACAGCATGAATGTAAAGACGACTCAACAAATGTTTTTGGCGCTCCGGGAATTCATCGAAAAGGGCGAGCTCGGATTGGTAAGGTTTATGAAGCATAGAAGAGGACAGGTGGTTTCCGAAGCTTTGAAAGGAGAAAAAAGAGATCTAATAGTGGGATCTCGATAGAATATTTATGTTGTGAACCTCAGCAACAAGAGTTTGACAGATGACACGTTGGGAGAACTGGTGACAGAAACACCTAGCAGGTGTATTCTGCTGATTGAGGATGTGGATGCGGCGTTCGTCCAGCGGACAAAGGGCGAAGGCAGCACAACGAACAATATCACGTTTTCAGGTTAGACCGCGATTACATAATCCAAAAGGATGCCCTATGTTTACTATAAAAGGCCGGGAGTAACCAACACATACTGGACAACCTAGGATTGCTCAATGCCATTGATGGTGTGGCAGCCCAAGAAGGACGGATATTATGTATGACTACAAAGTAAGAAGGCTCGGTTCTTTTGTTACCGTGCGCGTTGTTGCGGAACAAAACTCAACTGTTTTCTTTTCTCGCTTTGTGTAGCCATATTGAAAAGCTTGACGCCGCCCTGATAAGACCAGGTAGGACAAAAGAAGAGAAGATCATCTTTTTCCCCGCTTCTACATACTCCGAACACAAAAAAACCTAATATGCGTTGGCTCGCATTCATAGGCCGCATTGATGTTCGCGTTCACTTTGGCAACGCCACCCAAAATCAAGCTTATGAACTGTTCCAAAAGTTCTATCCTTCTTTGACACCGGATCGCTCGCATGCACTGGCAACCTCCTTTGCTGCTCAAGTACCTGACATGCAATTCAGTATGGCGCATTTGCAAGGTTTTTTAATGGGACACAAACAGAGCCCGGAGGATGCTGTTCGACTCGTTCCAAACTGGGTGACCTCGCATAATGATAACGCCACTAATAACGATAGCTCAACAACGGATAAGGATGAGTAACTCTTATTATTATATAAAGGGGTGATTTTGTTTGCTTTGATATCTTGCTCTTTGACTGTGGAACGTGGGAAAAGACTGTTCATGCAAGACTTCTCCCCTTCTATTCCAATTGATGCTTTTATGGTGGCTTTCCTTTTGAATTATGGTTATTGGACACGACCGACCTTTTCAGTTGTTTCTATTGGTAATCGTGTTCTTGGTGTCAAGAAGCGATGCAGAATATATACCAAATGGGTCTGGATACGAGCTCACAGTGGAGTGAAGTAATATATCATCATATCCTCTTGTGTATAAGTTTTTCTGATCAAATATCTAGAGAAAAGACCAAATCTGACGACTTTATCATGAACATCATCATGCATTCTTCCGGAATATAGTATGGAACAGACTCCCCAAACTATGTATCTTGTAGAAAAGTTTTCACGAAAAGTAGTCGTTGACTCGATCCGCCGTAAGCAGCCTACGTACACTTGGAACTGAAAGGAACTGTGTGCTACTGCGGTAAACCATATTAAGGAAACGTGTTCCGGCGCAGGATCACCTGTGGTAACAACAGTTTGGTAGACTATAATTGCACATGCATGAATACAGAAGCTTCATGCTTGTAATTGGAGGATGTAATAAGGAGACATAAACAAGCACCGTGTATCATGCATGAAAAGTGGCAGTTATACGTTTCACTCTCTCTCTCTCTCTCTCTCTCTTTAACTTCTACACCACCAAGTCCTTTCCCTTGATATCCGTTTTACTTTTCCTCTCTTTACATACGAACATAATGTCGAGTCGATTGATACCAGCACAAACCTATGAAATTCCTGTACATCCATCGACGGAAGGCTATGATGTTTTGCGTATTGCTGTTGAAAAGCACACCTATCCAGCTCCCAGACCATTGCCTGCTAACCTTCGGATCGCTTTTCTTTGGACTCATGGAACCGGATTCCATAAAGAGATGATGCATCCAATTATGCGACAGTTCGCTGCTCAGTTACGGGCTACACCAAAATACAACAAGGTCGAATTTGACTTTATATCCTGGGATCAAAGGAATCATGGTGATAGTGCTCGGCTGAACCACGGATTACTTGGAATGAATAGTAAGAAGAAAAAATACAAGTTCTAAATCCATGCAAAACCCCTCAGGGCTTTCTCTGACGATTAACGAAATGTGTCCTTTTTCTTCAAAAAGCGTCCTGGTATGATTTTGGTATGGATACGATACACATCATTGATACATTGAAATTGAAAAGAGATTACGATAAAGTAATCGGTATCGGTCACAGTGTTGGCGCAACTTGCATGTGAGTGGTCTTGGTGCTAGCCAGCAGTCATGACACACGCACCCTAATACTGGTTATACATCCGGTTGACAAGTGATACTGGTAATAACTTTGTCCTCTAAATGATAGGATACTTGCGCAGTTTGCTCAACCTGGCATATTTGATGGACTTTGTAGCATTGAACCGCTGGTAAGAGGTCGTGTGCTAGATTTTGAACATCGCTCAAAACTACCACCACTCGTTGTAACGTTGAAAAGACGGGATACTTGGGAGAACAGGTACATTTTTTACTTCCTTTCGATCGATGCAAGTACATTATTAGGCTCTGTAACCATCATTACCTAGTCATCCTGCTAATTGTAGCTGAAATATGATATAGAAATGCGTGCATGGAATCGTTGAGAAACCGGCCATTTTGGAAGAGTTTGCATCCGGAAGTCCTCGAAAACTATGTTGTAAGCGTTTCACAACATCACTGTTGCTTAACTGTTATGTGTGCTGACATAGTGGTATTTTTATGTTATCAGCATTATGGATTATATACTACGGACGACGGGTCAGTCATGTTAAAGTGCACGAAAGAACAGGAGAATGTAATGTAATATGGATGGATGGTGACTGTACGGTTGTTGACACCTTCAACTGACTTAACTAACTAGTTGACATACTGGGGAGATGCATATGATTCCTACACAGCATTCATGTCTCTGAAAAATCTCTCCGTTCCTCTTCATGTGGTGCTCTCGGACGAAGACAATTGGTGAGTATTGAGCTCTATTGCTAAAAAAAAAAAAGATCGGATTCGGCTCGGAAGAAGGGTATTGATGATGCGCACTAGGTATACGACTGCGATCGCATCAGCCGACGAGTTCATTCAACAATCCCCGTTGATAACTGCGAGCAAAGTCCGTGGATCACATATGGTTCCTGTCCAAGATCCTTTGCGAATGGGTGAGTATCTCAGGAATTCGGGTGACAATAAGTTGTTATCCAGCACTCTAATAACCTCACTCTGTAGTTCCAGAAATTGTATTCTTAACGGAAGTTGTGCTAGCAAACAATAGAGTTGCTAAAGCGCATTTATAGCAAAGTGTAAAGCGTTATATATCCTACCTGTTTCCTTGCATTTTGCCGGCGAAAGAAAATAAAGAAGAGTACCACAGGTTGTCCACTTATATTAAACAAGGGACGTGGTTACACGCACACTCCTTTTTCTTTTGCTTTTCCGGTCCTATCTGGCAATTGGACTGATAATATGGCAGACTACGTTCGCATACTATATCGTCGCATTTTGTGTGAAGGGTCTACCTTTTTCGATGATCGTACTAGGTGTGTAATTAAACAATTGCTTTTGATGTTTTACTAATAATTCTCAATAAAGAACATTTATTTTTAACCGCACGCGCAACGCTTTTCGCGATTACAAGAACTGCACCGACGAAGCACGAATCAAGAACAAGTTACGCGAGGCTCGAAAGGTATAAATTAAAAAGGGGCATTTGCTGCAGACTCAGCGTTGACAATGTAAAATTGCCGTAGTTTTTACATCGTGTAGAACGTGCTAATCAGGGGCATACCAAAAGCTGCTTGAAGCTGTTACAAGCCGCGTACGGACAACGCGGTAAAACACGACATCGATTACTACAGGTAAGTTGGTGGTGGAACAGATACAAATTCTGTGGTAGAGAAGGCTAAACCTATACTTTTGTATAGCCTTATACCTTGCTTCCAGGCGACTATCAACATCCAGAGCCATTGATCCCACATGTATCAAGAACAGCACCTCCACCACCATTATGTGGGCCGCTGAAGGCATTGGTCGCTTCTGTTGTTAAAAAAAATCTCGACCCGAAACTCCCTGAGCCCGAATACAAGCCATTGCATCCAACACGGCAAGCAAATCTGCTATGGCGTTGGAGAACGAACTTATTAGAACGCGTACCACCTCCGCCTCCCTTTGAAATCATATGTGAACTAGAACGACGCGCTGGCGCGCCCGAATCCCATCCAAGGCATGTTGCCAACTTGCGTATCGGTGGACCCTCATGGGACGATTTATATAGCGGACAAGAAGGCCATCCAGACTTGATGCATCTTTGTCCGTCAGCAAACTTAGTACCCAGATCAAAGGTGCCTCGTACCCGTCAGTCATTGCCCTCTTCACCTTCTGCAGCCGAGCCATCGTCTTACTCGACTTTATCCATGATTCAATATGTCAATCCTGATTTTGAGCCCTTACAGGACCAGACTGATTATCGAGAAAAAAAGCTGAGAAAAGCACGACGGATGTATCGACGAATCCTTAGCAAAATGCCATTCTTGTCGCCGATGCCCACTGCCAGTGCTTTGTGGGACCCAAAGATTAAGTATAAAGTTTCTTACTCATGCTGGATCCCACAATCGGTGGTTCGCATGGAAAAGGTGTCAGATAGCGCTGTAAAGGATACCAAGTAGCTTCTGTATCTAGTTGAATCAAACATATCCCGTCTCTAAAAATGTGCGTGAGATATGAGTTAAATAAATAAAGTTGTAAATAATGCATGTGAAATCTTATGTATGTCCTTCAGGACTACTGGCGTCGTAATTAGTGAAGTGGTTCAGCAGTAGCGGGAGTACCAATGTGTATCCTCCTTTGTTGCGCATCCTATTGACAAAACAAGGCTTAAGATATTTAAAGCATGGCTATACTTATGATCGAAGGTACACCCCAGGGAGAGCCAACACAATGACGTGTGTTGTATCAGTCGCACGATTTCTGTTCTGGCTTTTTCTGGTTTCTCTTGGAACACTCGCCCGTTCTGACTTTCGCAACTTCCTCACTTTGCACATAAAAAATATGGGTTGCTGTGGAAGCAAAGAAACACATGACGAGGTGATTTATTTTTTGCTGATCTCCTTTTCTATTTAAATCTTGTACTAATAGTCCTTGACCGCTCACTTTTCTTCTGTTCAAACTATCAGGACGATGTGAATGCTCCATTGTTGCGAAACGAGCTTTCGGACAACACAGGGTAAGATTTCGCCTTGCGCTTTTATCTCATGAGTGAGCTTTCGGTCCAGGAATTTAAATTCTCTTTTGGCATAATTAGGCAAATGCACTACAATTCGTATGATACCATCGATGTAAAGAAAGAACAAGAATTTTGGAACGACATCATTGAAAGAACAACGCAGTAAGTATACTGTCGGGTTTGCTTAAATAAAGCCTTGCGCCGACAGTCTAAAGTATATCATTAAACTCAAACTCGGTAAATTTACCACCTTTTCTCCCCGTTTCAGTAATTTGATCGATATCTCGAGTACACAAGCCGACCCACTACAAAGTCAAGACGTGGAGGAACGAGCGGAACGATATAAGCAGTTGTTACGGCAGCTGCCTGACACAGCACCGTCATCCAAATACATGAACGGAGCAACGACAACGACAACATCAGCATCATCCACATCACCGCCAGATCTACTAGCCCTTGCCCGACCGTATCAGGATACAGACGAGATAAAGTGGCTTTCTAAAGCGATGGGGGATGTTCAAAAGGCACTCGACAAGATTGAAGTTGAACCAGTGGGCGATATTGTTGTCAATCTCACCTTGACAGATAGCGTTTATTCATAAACAAAATAGCGGAAAATACACATACATATACCACCATTACTTTATCGCATTCTTCTATCGACTCTTGTACTATTATCACTGTCAACGATATTGTTGCAATATGTCTAATTGTTGACGAAGATTATATAATATTCTTTTTTACGAGGTTGATCCGTTTATTTAGTGCTTATGGAGCAAAAAGTGGCATCCAGTACCGAGGTGCATGGTGCAAGAAAAGAAAGGGAAAAGTTTTACAAGTTATGACTATAACTCTTCTGCGTCGCTATATCAAAATGCATGTGCAATCCACTTGATTCTAGTGTTTTTGAATAAGCTGAAGGAACTACTTGTTTGTACTCTTTGATATGAATGCACCATGTGTGTTCACTCCCCAGAAAGGGATCATTACATTTTATAACTGAGGGATATAACAAGTGCTACTTATTGAATGGAATGACGAAAATATACATAGAGCTTTATAAAGCAAGGTTCGTCTGATCACCCACATCCCGTACGCTACAAGAGTAGATCAATATATAAACGGGACTCGTTGCCAAAGTCACGCTGGGTAACTATAGCAGCCTTCATTAAAGAATCGAAAAAAATCCTTAACACTATTTCTAAAATACATGTTCTGGATACGTCCTATATCCACTAAAAGATATGCTCTCAACAAACGACAGCGATTAAAGTTATAGAACTGGGTTTTTAAAAGTCGTCATTAAGTCGCTATTTCGTCATAAGGATTGCTGCTGAGTTTTTCTTAGGCTGAAGTTCATGCAGCCAACTACAGTAGTTTACCTCCTTGTTCTTCGTCTCCATGGCACACGAAACAGCAACTTTAAAGCTATTACTCATTGGCAACAGTGGAGTCGGAAAGTCCAGTCTTCTATTACGATTTACTGATGACACCTTTCTTCCACCGGACGAAGTTTCCGCTACCATTGGTAATTTCCAGCTTTCTAAACCATACTGAATCTAGTAAAGTTAACCCTTGTTTCTGGAACGTTATTAAAAAAACCTCATTCTTTTGTATATGTAAACTATGGTAACTATACCACTGCAGGCGTTGACTTCAAAGTGAGCATGATGAATCTCAACGGTGATACGTACAAGTTGACCATTTGGGTAATGATCAAAGTGGGATTTAGAAGACAAAAGAAAATGAGTTCTCTTTTTATACCAGAAGAGGAGAATGCTGAATATAGCGTTTTTCTTAGGATACGGCGGGCCAAGAACGGTTTCGCACATTGACTTCTTCATATTACAGAGGCGCTCAAGGTGTCATTCTAGGTAATATACAGCATACAGTGGAGTCTAGTCACTTTCTTCCGTCCCATCGAAGACAGCATAACTAATCAACAAATTAATATACTCAATAGTATATGATGTATGCAATCGCGAAACATTTGATGCGTTGAAAACCTGGATGAACGAAGTAAACACATACTGTTCCAGCCAGGATGTGGTCAAGATGATTGTCGGAAACAAAGTGGATAAAGTAATACTATTGTACAAAAGCTTTTTTTCTCTAAATGTGTCAGAAACCGACTAATTTGGTTTACATGTAAAAACAGGATGGTTCACGCGTAGTGTCATATAAGGAAGGTGCAGAATTAGCTCGAAAATTACAGACCCTCTTTATCGAATGTAGTGCGAAAACGAAGGTCGGGGTCAAAGAGGCATTTGAAGAACTAGTGGAAAAGGTACGTGCTTGGACTGATTTTTGTTTTCAAAAGGTATCGGGACCATGTTTCTAAGAATATAAACTGAGATCCTAACGGGCATCAATATGACATTGTAGATTATAGAGACACCAAATCTCTGGCAAAAACAACCAGCATCATCTTCTAGTGTCCGGGTTACTGCTGCAAATAATAACGGTGGCTCTCAAGATTATTGTGCCTGCTAACTCATCCACAGTTGTCCATATTTCTATTGAGGGTCTTAACGCGTAACCTGTGTATATATAATAGTTTCTCTCTTTGATACCGATCGCTTAATCTCTTTAACTTATATTTTAAGGACAGGTATCACTGTCATCAATCTATCCTCTTTTCCCTACAACAAATACATGAATTAATCCAACTTCAGCCTCCCTAATTAAATGTCACTTATTTATCCGAACAATGCGCGTATATACGTAACTAAACGGGCCCTAATCCAGCATATAACTTTCAGCCAATTGTGCATGTATATATGCTTTATATGCAGTTGTTGTGTAGCGATTGAATAACTGTTTTGAGATCCTTACAGCTAAAAAAAGTCTACGATCAGCCATTATGTAAAATACTTCTGATATGCCAACGACCTTGTGTGATGAGAATTAAGATCAGGTATATACGAAAGTATTAACGAAGTCGGACGATTGTTGACATTGCAGTTTAGAACTCTTACTGATAGTATACTAATGCTGCTATGTAATGATACATGACTTGCACATGGTAATATAGGGATGTTTGAGAATCGATTTTCTTTACCTGACTAAGTGTACTTACACCTGGAGGAGGTAAAAACGATGTTAAAGTTACTAGCCTGTTTACGGTTTTGTGTCTAACATATATCCATTCGTTTATTCATTCAGGAATGGATATACTATAAATTTTACTGTAAAAGGTTTAAAAAGAAACATACAGTATATCATACATTGGATCTAGTCGCCAAAATCTAACATCTTGAAAAAAAGAATTATGCAATGGTCTTAGATGTCTTTGTTTGCTATTCAACAAGCATATGTATGTATCTACGATGAAGACAATTTTTAGTTTCTTCACATCAACACTACTCGATTCTTGAACAGCTGTTATGGTGTGCTGCAAAGTTTTGAAAAATGCGATAGCAGCACTAGAGTATATAGTCAAAGATCTTATGATTATTTTCAAAAAAAATATATACTCTATAACAACGTACACAATCGCTTATCGATTTTAACCAGATATATACTACGGAGGAGAGATAGTTGTATGTATGAACCATAAATTTTCAGCAGGATCCATGCCAAAACGACGAGATCAAAGCTGGGACCAATCACAGAATAGGTAACATTAAAGCTTTGCCCGGTTTTCAGAGAACTCGATGGCTCTATTAGTCAATTGAACGATATCTGGTACTAACAAATCCGGATGTTCGCCTGGCACCATGTGCGAACCTTTAATCATGCTATTTGTCAGCATAGGGGATTGTGCTTTAATATCATCGGCTGTGCTGGGGTCGGTGCTAGAAGGTGAAGAAGAAAGTTGTTAACAAACTCTTGCTACATAAACCTCACAGAAGCTGGGCACTTACAAAGTTGAACCTTTGGCATGACTGATATGAACTGGAATTGTTAGAGAACGAAGGCTTCCAAAAGCACTTGCTGAGCCAAAGACACCAGCCATGTACACGAGCTACATAAAAAAGCTTGGCAGGTCAATCCTGATGCTTCAGTGTATGTAAGTTGTAAGTCTAAAGATATAACGTACATGCTCTTCCAACTTGGGGCACTTTAACTTGACTGTGCCTTCGGGGGTATCGTACAATCCATAGTTCTATAATGAACAGTTTAATTTTTAGTTTTGAGTATTATTGATAGTGCTGTGTTCCTGGTGTAACTCACAATATAGTTTTGAAGAACTTCTGGGTGAAGATCGCGCCAGAAAGGGCGACCATCCAAAGATTTGAAGCACTCCTCACTATAAGACAAGATGGTGTTGACTTTTCGCTTAGTGCATATATTTCTCGCGATACATATCGTCGAGTTATCTGCCGAGTATATGAAGGCTTACCGGCTCTTCCAAGTATCTCTACGCTTCAGGGCTCCCTTGATAGCTGGAAACTGTGAACGAATCGCATGAGGAACAATAACTTTGCCAATAACAGGTTCCGGAATGCATAATCCGTCAAACGTCTTGGGGTTCATAAATTCCGCCAAAATCCTTGAGTGTTGACCATTAGTCACTGGTATATCCACTAGCCGGGAACTAGTCGGGACTTACATTGCCGAACCACCAAAACTGTGACCAACACCAATAAGCTTGTCATAATTCTCCTTGAGCTTCATTTCTTCGATAAGCTGCATCGTATCCATGGCGTGATCGAACCATGAATCTAATAAAATGATGGAATATTTAGCTCCGTGCAATATCAAAATGCTGATGCTTCTTGTTAAGTTTTTTTCTTACAAGTTGGGATATGAACGTGGTCCTTATTGAGGCGAGCGCTGTCGCCATGGTTGCGTGCATCCCAGGCATAAAAGTCAAAGTGAGTCTGATTGTATTGGGGCAATTCACGGAATTGATCGATCGTGCAACGCATGAGCGGGTGGAGCATTTCCTTGTGGAAACCGTTGGCATGAGAAAAAACAAAGGCGATCTTGGTTTTGACAGGCTGGCTTGGTGCAGGGAACTCATGCTTTTCTACAACCAGGCGCTGGTCTTCAGAGCCTACAGTTCCGGGATGGACTGGGATATCGGTGGTGAGGGCAGGTACCAAGCGAACCATTATGCGAAAGAAAGCAAGTGTGCGGGGTAATTGGGTTTTTGGAAGATACTGGTATTATATAAAGTGGTAAATAAAAATCCGATGACAAAGATGATTTTTTGACCCACTTCCCACCATATTTCTCACGTGAAATATTTACACTAATTTCTCTACGATGCTTTTTTACTTGACAGATGCTTCTGTGCTATGGTGCGGAAAATTAAATGAACGACAAACTGGCACCCACTTTTAAGGTGTCATAGCTTTTGATGTATGCATGAGAAGCAAAAAAACCTTTGACGATTATATTAGGCATCTTTGTTACAGGTTTTTTTTTTTGAAGTCGGCCGTCTAAGCTGAGGCTGATCCAATTGAAATAGCCAGTAAAGTAGTTTATCCGATACCCGCCACGGCAAAAAAAGTTTGTCCGAGTATGCTCTCTCTGTGGTGAAGCTCATTAACACACACGCTGCTTAAGATATCATAATATGATATTCGGTTAAACATCAATGGTACATGAAGATAGTAACTATAGAAACGGCTAAGCACATTTGCATAAAAACAATCCATCCGCTTTATGGAAAGCAGGAAACATTCTACTCAGATTGTCCAGCTTATGTAACAAGTAGCGCGGCCACACACCAGCTGACGCTAGTTTGAGGCATACAGCAAGAGTATAGATGTGCAGGCTGAGCGAAGAGGTCAAATCAAGAGTTTTTTCAAGTCATCGCTGTCAATGAATAAATTTCTCTCCATATTAGGCAGTTGAGTTTGTCGTTCCTGCACCATACGTCGATCCACTAATTTTTTATGTATAACAGGAAGGAACTTATGTCACTCCAAACAGATAGAGCAATGTATGGTAGAATTAAGAAAAAAGGAAATGTTTGTTGAAATGCGCTAAAAAGGACTATGTATTTATTTACAAAGAGTTCAATGGGAATAAGAAAGAAAGAGGAGAGAGTCACATCACTAAGCTATGGCTTCAAAGTTCTTCGATACATATTCAGGGTATTTCTCGTTGATAGCAGCAATCACTGCATCCACATCATGACAAAGTGTTTGAATAGCCGAGTCCCATTTCGAAATTTCCAGCATGGATGGCTCGATACGATGATCCGTTTGTTGGGTTCCATTGGCTGCTGCTGCTGCGATGGTGATGGCTGAGTCTGCATTACGCTCGTTGTGTGCTGCACCACCTGACTCGAACGAAATAAGGCGCTCCAACTGATCTATGCTGCCGACCATACGGTTCTCGGTGATCATCTGGCATGCAATGTCTTCGGCCTTGTCACTCGATACGTTGAGCAAAGAAGCCAATTCGTCAAAGGTGATGTTATTGTAGATTTTAGAAGCAGACAGCAAGTTGTGTTCGCGAATAGCGCGGTCGAGCACGGTGGTACCGTCGCCGAGCTTTGCACGATGGTGAGGCTTAAGGGTGGAAAAGAACTCTGCAACTTGTTCGGGTCGAATAACACGTTCAATGTATGTCTTTTCGAGTACCGGAAATGAAGAGAGATGATGTGTTCGTTCGTCCTTATAGAGTGTTGCTAGAGTACGAGAGCGTTGTGGACCTGCCCCTGCCAACACCGCGCATTGAACTGCAGCAGTTCTGTTCAAGGGAAAAAAAACCTGTATCAGTATCTCGCCAGGCCCACTACAAGTCTACGCATCACACGCATCAAAAGAAAGAAAAAAATATAGAGCTTACAAGCATTGTATACGTTCATCCTCATCGAGTTGCGCAACATAGCTGAGCTCATGGTATTTTGATGCGGCTTCCAAGAAACGGCGCTTTGCATCGAGAATGCGTGCCTGGGACAACTTGAACTTTAGGCCCAGTACGAAATCCGTCGAGTTTGGTATCAGTAATGCCGCACGGTTGAGGTACGTTTCCGCGGGAACAGGTTCGTCAACTTCGAGGAGCAGCTGTACAATGCGAATATATACTTGGAGCTTATAGTCGTCCGAAATGGCACTAAATCATACGACCTTTTGTATGAGTAATTCTGCGTTACTCTTGTTATTTGAGTATGGATCTTTTGTATTACCGATGTCCCGAATCAAGCTGGATGGATTGAAGAACTTTGGCAGCCTCGAGGAAGTCTTCTTCTGCTTCGTACACACCAGCAAGCTTTTCTCTGAGTCGTGAGAGCTATTGAGATATTGATAGTGTCTTAGGTTTGGCTTTTGGTATTGTATCATATACCGCGGTAACGACGCGCGTCGTTTCTTCTATATTGCCCAGCTCTCTTTTACCTGCTCTTCGAAACTGACAGCTCGAGGGTTCGCTTGGTCAATCGCAAATGACAAGAGCTGCTTTTGGATTTCAGTGTCGGCGATTCGGTTGTCGAAGAGATCGATGAATTCGCCTAAGAGTTGGCGCGACACTACTAATCCTACTTGCTCGTTCAAAGCGGATTCCACGTAATCCTTGAGGTGTTGTATTTGATCGGGTCCCAGGGGCGTAGACGACAGAATGTCGTCAAGAACGCTTCGGAAGCCGTCGAGCTTTTCCTTTTGTTGGGGTTGAACAGTGCAATCTTTAAGGCGTTTCGAAACGTCCATGTGGCGAACAAGTTAAAATAAAGAGGGCTCAGCACAATCAATGCTCAATGGGAGTGCTGCGATTTTTAATGTACGCTGTTCCAAATCACTCAGCTCTAGTAGACACACATCACGCTCTTTATTTATTACGTGGTTTTTCATCATCGATATATCTGTTACAATGGTTTCATTAGAATTCCATGCTTGTTTGTGCATCATCTATTTGACGCGTTAGTGAATTGAATGCAAGTAAGTAATCCTTATTTGTTTATTACCTCTTTTCTCTCTTTGTTTTTCAATAATTAGGCTATTGACGAACTTCTCGAACGTCTCAATATATGGGCGTAGCGACGTTTTCTTGTAGTCTAACGCTTTTGACAGTAAATGGTACAGTTCAAGTGATATTAATGACAAATTATTATCTTACCTGGTATTTTACGGTCCATGTCACCATGTTCCTTTGCATCATACGCATTGAGCTCTTGAGAAAGCTGACTGAGTGTCGGTACTGCTAATGGATCAAACTTTTCACAGATTTCTGGCTTGATCGGAACACATACACGCTCTAATAGTTCATTAATATCATGCAAAATGCAACTGCACATACGATTTCACTTCATACATACGAGTTTTTGGATGTACACAGAAAGGACTCTTCAGCAAATGGTTGATTTGTACTGAGACTTTGTCATCGAGTCGTGGATAAGTGTACTGGAAAATTAGGTCTCTTGCAAGAACATCTCGATCCTGACAACAGCGAGTTAAGCAATAGCACAATATGCGCTTGACTACATATGAAAAGACAAATACCAATTTCTTTTTGCGCTCAAGTTCTTTTCTCAGATCACTCCATTTATCGTGACCTCGTCGTGACGGTGCGCTGTTCCACATTGTGTCGAGCTCTTCCCTTATATCTACGCACAATTTAGCAATTTAACCACACTAGCTCTCAAAATTTGTCCTAATTCACATTTTTTGTACTCACCTGCATCGGGTAAGAAGTCCAGCACCTTTTTCCAGCTTTCCGGTGTATCCAATGCTCCTTGTGTATCCAATACCAGTGATCCAAAGTATGGCTTGACAATTTCCAATGATCGGCTATAGATTCCAAAGATTAGAGATCACGACGATTAAAACAGCATAAATTCACGGTTGACATACGCAAGTGAAGGATGTAAAGTGGATGGTAGTTTGACTTTTCGTGCTGTATCTGCACCCCCCTGTGTGTGTTTTTTTTTGTGTTATTAGATAAACTTTTAATCAGGCACCGTTCAGATTGACCACCAAATACCTTGATGATCTCCAAAAAGCCAACAATAGCTTTTCGGCTCTCGTTGTCTAGTTTCCGCGCGCGTTCATCGGAGACCCAGCAATGCACACCGCGACGACCCGAGTATACCCAAAGCAAGTGCTTAAAACCAAAGTCCTCTATTTTCATGGATGAGTTTTCTTTCATGTTTTTATCGCCTATGCACACAATTGGTATTTAGGACTTACCGCGTAGTGATACGTCGATCACTTTGATGGCAATAGTCATAAATTCCCAGCACTTGTGACATATATCCCCACCACTGTAAATCACACAAATACATTAACAACTAAAGGTTCTGCTGACTTTCTCCCTTTATAACTGCAACAGCACATACCTGCAGCATGTTCGAATTTCATCATAATCGGTCATATCGATATCAAATACCAGTTCTTTTTCCAGCGGTCGAAACACTTTCTCATTCACGGTCTTCTTGTCCTTTGGCTAATATCGCAACATGCATAAGCTGATGATCTAACCACCGTTTGGAAAAACACAAAAAGCTTTCATTCTCACCTTTACTGTATACACTGCACCAATGTCAATCTTAATAGGTTGCAAACGTTCGATCTCCTTCTTCATTGCATCGATATTAGCAAACGAGTTGTAACGGATATAGATGTCGGACGGTAACGTAAAACTGAATTCTCGGTGTGTAAAGTTGTTGCTTATATCTAATAGAAAGAGCAAAAGTTTGCACGATGAAAGTTATCATATCGGTAACCTCTGCCACCATTCACATAACACTCGCTTGTACGTGAGACGCACCTAGTCCATAATTGAGCCAGTTAAAATAGGTTTTATAAGGAAAGAATCGTTGGTAAAATAGTCTCAACAAGAAAACTTGATCGTCTTCTCGCGATGCCGGTCTATCAAACAAAACTAACGATCAGTTTTCGTGGAACTCTCAGGTACCCAACCAAACCAAGAACAACAGCCCCGCTTTTCTTTTCTTTCTCGGTCTAACATACATGAATTTCTTATGATATTGTGGGCGTTCAGGAGTTTGCAAATGCACATTGGCCAAGTGACCGTCGACGTGATCAATGTCGTCTTCCATATCGTCGTCAAAGATTGACATGTCAACATCTTTGAGTTCTTCGCTAACTGTAGTGAATGACGCAAAATGTTAATTTGTACTGTACTCCTTTGATAGATTTAATGTTTCAAGACATACTTTGCTGATCTGCCATGTTTTGTGAAATATAGCGATAAAACGTTTATAGAAATTAAAGTTGAGAGGTGAGTTGACACGGCTTGTGGAAAGACGCGGTGAGACGCGAAAAGTGAACACCAATCCCGAAATCCCAGCCAGCCAGAGCAAAATAATTATCTCATGGATCTAGGACTTGAACGAATACAATCTCTGCTGAAAGCGCTTGGCGATCCCCAAGATCAACTACAGGCAATTCATGTTGCAGGCACTAATGGCAAAGGCTCAGTGTGTGCATACACAGCCTCCGTCTTACGTCAGCTTGGCTTGACCGTCGGTCGATTCAACTCTCCTCATTTACTCGAGCCCCACGACAGTATACACGTCAACGATGGTCCAGTTTCAAAAACCGAGTATGAACGTACATGTGCTCATGTCGAACACGTCAACAAGGAACATCAGCTTTCAGCTTCGCCTTTCGAACAATTAGTTGCAGCAGCTCTTTGCATTTTCTCGGAGCACAAGCTCGACTGGATTGTTATAGAAGTCGGGCTGGGTGGCACACTGGATGCGACAAACGTATTTAAACAGCCCAAGATAACGATTATCACGGCTATTGGTTTGGATCATGCAGCTATTCTTGGTGGAACAATTGAATCTATTGCAAAAGCAAAGGCAGGAATCATGAAAAGTGGCTGTCGTGCCGTACTTGCACCTCAAGAGGAACCTAATGTGGTCGAAACTCTGATTGACGAAGCTCACAGGGTGGGCGCGCCGTACAAGTTGGCCAAGGAGGCTGAACGCGATGGCGCTGATGGTGCTTTTCGGCTCGATTTGGATGAACACCTATATCGATACACAGTTCCATTGCGTGGCGATTATCAGCGGGCTAACTCTGCGACAGCAATTACTGCGCTTACTTGGTTACGAGAGACAGGCGATGTTCAATTTACCGACGAGCAATTAAAAGAAGGTGTGGCCCGCACACGATGGCCCGGCAGACTCGAACATATTCCATCCGGTGTAGTCAAGGGTATCAAGTTGCCGTCAATCCTGGTGGACGGTGCGCATAACCCTCCTGCTACACGCGCGTTACGAAAATATGTCGATAGTCTTAATCCACAGACTGTTGTTTGGGTTATTGGTGTAACTTCTGGAAAGAACATTGACGAAATGCTGCAAATTTTGTTACGACCCCAGGATACTCTCTTTGCTGTACCGTTTTCCCAACCCGTCGGGATGCCCTGGATCCAAAGTGTGCCACCCTCGGAAATCGAAACCGCTGCTTCCAATTTAGTCAGTCATACTCAAGCATTTAATGACTTATTATCATGCTTACAAACCCTGCCGCTCAAATCACCCTCTTCATGCATTGTGTTATGTGGATCACTATACCTTGTAGCTGATTTTTTCAGATTGTTAAGAGAATAAATAAATATCAATATCTTCAATTACTAAGTTATACTCAAGCGGTGTTTCTACTTGACCGAGCTTCTCGTTGTCTCGTATCAGACATATACAAATGACGTAAGTATTCATGGACCTTAAACCTCATAACAGCTGGTTCAAAAACTGTCTGTTTAAATATTTATTGATTGATCAACGGTTTTCTTAATTCTGGAATAAACAGCATTATAACAACTTGCATTTATGAAGGCAGTTTTAGGGAAAGGTTTAAGGTATGAATTTTTATAGACTTAATTGACTGTATCAACGATGAATACCGCATCAAGCTGCTAAACTTGAATCGTCAACACCCACGAAGGCACTCAGTTTGATTCTCAAAAAGCTGTCATCGGTGTCCCGCTTTTGCTTATGCTTAAACAAAAATGTATTAGAAAAAGATGCTTCCTCTGTAGAACTTGTGACATTATCATCCATTCATATACAAGATGGGAAGAAATGGTCGATTGCGTATAATTACCACTTCTTCGATAAAAACATAGCAGTGTTTATCCATCTGCTCATACAGATGTCTTTGCTACGTGATATCTATGCATTGTTTTATGAACATTTTAAAATTTATGTTTATTGTGGAAGACTAAATGAGCGCAGAATTTCTGAAGCTGGTTCTTCGTCGTCGTCGTCGTTGTAGCTACCAACTGGGTGGCTTAAGCCCTTAATCTCCATTAGGACACGGGTTAGTGCTGCCAGGCCATTTGCCACAAGATAAGCCGGTATCAGAGCGCGGAATTTGGTTCATGATGTGGTGGACCGTCTGATTGTTAGGTAGGAGGTCTAGTATCTGGGCAAATGGATCCGTGAGTTCTTTAGGCTTCGGCAGTAGCAATGGGCAGCTAGGGGAATGGTTTTCTATATATTTCTTGGCCCCACAACGACAATCCCTTAAGTGGATTGAGGGAAGCCAATACATACGCCATTTGACTAGTCGGTGACGGACTCAGGAGAATGCTGGGAAATACAGAATGGGGCCATGTACCAAACGCCATGAATGATAAATCATTATCCTCCTTTTTTTTCGTATACAAAGTTCCGCCCTTGAGTGAGCGAAGCTAATGATAATATTAACAAAATTGATAGCTGCTTATCCAATAATACCGTTTTCTGATCCAACGATACAGTATTTTGCTTCCTTTTTCCCGATAGCCTCCTCGCTTCTAATAACGGTATGAATGATTGCGATTGTCAATCATCAGAGCGCAACTGTTTATGAAGCCACACTCGATCACGTTTGCACATTGTATTTTTGCCGATTTCTTTTCCTTTTCAATTTCACAATGTTCGAGAGCTCCAACAACAGCATAGGTGATGAGATTACAGACCTAAGTGAGCAGTCTCTTGTCAGCTGGCTAGACGTAGGAATATCTTGGTCGCTCATATTAATATCTGGTACGTAGAAAGAAGGGAAGAAAACATTTGATTATAGAAAGATGACATAATCAAAACCATGTATGTAGTGGTAGTTAGTTTGAGTATGGGTACTCGGTTAGAGTTGCCTATTATAATATCGTCAATTAGATGTCTTGTACAATTAACAGTGATGGTAAGGATCCATACAAAGTACGGCTTGGTTGTCGTTGACTCCCAAGAACAGTATAAGACACGGTGAACATGATATTAATAAGGGTGATATTCTCAAATATCTTTATACAGGGACTTGTTTTGGATGGTGTGATGTATTCAGGAAGCATTTTTTATGTAATGCTCATGGCATGTATGTTACTACATATCCTCCATTGATTGATGAGAAAAATGTAGATGAGTGCCAGATAAGTGGTCTTTTTAAACTAACTTTCAGCCATGCTTGTATTACTGATCTCGTATTTTAGTGGTGCTTGTGCTTTTGGGAGGGTTAGAACTATGTTTCATACAGCCCAAGAAAGTAATCCGTCATTTTGTAAGTACGTCAATAAATACAGAGTACGCTATTATGCGATGTATTTGATGAACTCTAACGCCATGTTCATGGTGCATAATATGATGACTACATGAAGCAGTTTATCATCACTGTGATGATCTTATTCATCAGTAATGTAACAATCGCCGTTTTGGGGTCCATCTTTGCATTACGACAAGTGCCTTTCTGGGAGCCTTCGAAATTTATACCAATTCTTGGGATGTTGCTTGGCAAGTCGATGAACAGCATAGCGATGACTACACGCCAATGTCTTGATAATATAAAGTAAGTCCCAGAGTATCTTTTTATCTATTTTTGCGAGGAACGAGTAAAGCAACGTCTACGCCTGTTAGTTTCTTTTCTAAATCGACGAAGTATCTATGGACCCATCTTGGAGACCAGACTCGCTTTTGGTGCGACTCGGTACGAAGCCATTAAGCCATTTGCTACCGAGGTGATACGACTATCCATGCTCCCAGTGATTATGCAGCTCAGTGTTATGGGCATGATTAATATCCCAGGGACTATGGTCGGGTTGATTTTGGCTGGTAAACCAATGACTGATGCAGTCATTTATCAACAATGCATCATATTCATGGTAACCGCCAGTAGTGGGCTCGGTGTTATAATGGCGGTAGTGGTAAGTGTAGCCGCTAGAAGAAAGGGTCGAACGCATAGAAAATAAACGGTAGACTGAAATTGCTTCTATACTTTTTCTATAATATTACTGCTACTAAAACAGATGTGTATGTTCACTGTAATCAACAAGAAGCATGCAGTGTGTTGGAATGAAATTTGGGACCGCAAGCCTTTGACGCCGCTTAAATGGATACGCTGCAATTTCCATAGCTTTGCTAGAAGTTGTTGTCGTCGTAAGACTCATTTCACATATAGAAGCATAAAAAGTAGCGAAAAGCAATACCGATACGAGGAATTGGAATTACAGATTCAGGCTGTATAAGAAGAAGACGTAACTGCAAGGACGCATACTTTCAATATTTGCACCACAACCACCAGTAAATAGGATTAGCACCCTCGTATGCACACACTACTGTAAAATGATGATACGTATCTGTTCAATGTATGGCCATTCGTAGCATATCACTGTAGTATATCTATTCCGTTGTATCATGAAATCTTTTATTAATAAGATTTCTTTTTGCGAATAGCTTACTTGACATTTGTCACTGGTACACGTCCCCGTATATATGATAGAGCTAATAAAACGTGGCCAAAAGTTTATGTCGCTGTCCACAGAAACCAATGTGTCGTGATGCGATGAGCTCTGAGAGAATTGCCATGTTGGTTTCACTAAAGCGATATTTAATTTAACGAGGTTTTGATCCTCCAGAGTTTGTAGAACGCCCGAGTCTCGGTCCATCCTGACCAATTAGTTGCCAAGCAAGAAAAATGGGGGTGGGTCCAGCAAATTCTAGAGTAGAATGTTAAATGTAGCTTCATGTATGACGTTGCTATCTATGATCAGCTGCAAGGACTTGGTGGAAGAAGAACGAAGAGACTTGGCTAAATAGAAATTTCCAAACAGGTTCCCAGAACCAAACAAAAAAGCTATGCTGCGATTCACGAAAATGGGCCCGCGAGCTATAGACGACGTGCGGTGCATGTCTGTGTATGTACAGATTCACCATCGGTGGTTACATATGATATTATTGTCAGTGGTTGTGGCTAGCATCAAACCGAGCTTTAAATTTGTGCGTTATCTTCATCTCCTTTCTCTTCATTAGGGGAAGAAAGGACCAGCGACATTGCGTAATGGGGAAATCAAACAAATAAACCAGCTCCTTATAGTATTCTCACGCGCATAGACCCAAGGTTTCTGCAAAGTTTGTTGTTGTTGTCGTTGCTGCCGTCGCCAGTTGGGCGTTATTTTAGTCGATGATCTAAAATGTGCTTCGTACCAAAATATTTACATTGTTCCCAAAATGATGTGTTGACCTGCTCTCTACAGGATAACAGTCCCCCTGGCTCTGCTTATCGGCGCGTGGAGATGCAGCTGTTACACTAAAACGGGACAGCCTTTTTCTTGGGTATAAAAGGCCATATTCTCTCTTTTATTTCCTTTAGCTTTGAATACATTTTTGCTGCACACACATATAGTATGCCGCAAGACTATTCATCGACTAAACATCAAAACGATGGAGATTTGGAACAAAGTCAAGAAGGGCCGTCATCATCATCTTCATCGTCTCCACCCCAAAGGCCCAACAAAAACGTGCCACCGTTTCTTGAGCCAGCAATGAAATGGATACTTGAAGCTGTCGGATCATCGAAAGGCGAGTATGCACCGCTAATTAACCGTGGAAAAGGAACCTTGGAGCTTCCACGAAAAACCCGGCGCAAGGTCATCGTTACAGTTGCCGCTATTGTTGGGACTCTTTTTATCATTGGAGGTCTCATAGCATATACTATCATGCACAGTGGCGGTGAAAAGAAGCACAGAGGTATGCGAAATCCAAATGAATTATCCTTTTTTGATGAGTGCAGTAAACACAGCGATCCATGATACGGGAGGGAAAAAGTGTATGACGATATTCATATCGGACGTTTAGCACCGAGGTTTACCGATCCTGAAAAGGTTATCATTGATGTACCATCAAGCATTTCAGTACGCGAGTTCCTCCGCACCTACACTTCTGAAGCCCATCTTGCCGGCTCGGAAGCAGACAAACGCCAAGCTGAATGGACGAGAGACAAGTTTATTGAATTTGGCATTAGCGACACAAAGATTGAAACCTACTATCCATTGCTTAACTATCCGATTGATCGACAGTTGGCCATTGTATCCGGTCCTGAAGAGCTGCGCTACAAGGCTTCACTTAAAGAAGACGTGGTTGAGGAAGACAAGACCAGTTTTGATCCCGATGCAGTACCAACGTTTCATGGTACGCCCCTTGCTCATCTGCATATATTTTTAGAGTGAAGCTCAGCGTGCTTTTATGTGTTGTTTGTTAGGCTATTCCAAAAACGGAACCGCGCTAGGGCCCGTAGTTTATGCCAATTATGGTCGTGTGGAGGATTTCCAGTTCCTCGTTGACAGAGGCGTCAATCTTAAAGGAACAATCGCTTTGATGCGTTATGGAGGTGCTTTCCGTGGCTTGAAAGTACGGGCAGCAGAACAATTTGGATGTATCGGTGCTTTGATTTACTCGGACCCGATAGACGATGGACCGGTTGGCAAGGAGAATCATAACAATCCAGCTTTATCTTATCCAGGAGGACCATGGTATGTACATTGCTTTTTGCTCTGCAAGAATAATTTACTGGGCCGCTTGAATGTCACTGATATTACCCGCTTTGAAAGGCGGTCACCTTCTTCTGTACAGCGAGGATCCGTTCAATATGCATCTCTACTCACGGGGGATCCATTAACACCGGGTTGGGCTGCAACCGAACATGCTGAGAGACTCAACCGCGACGACTCCCCAGGTTTACCCCAGATTCCTTCACTACCGTTATCGTATCAAGATGCTTTGCCACTGTTGCGTGCAACTCAAAACCATGGCGTTTGTGAAGGCGAAGATTGGGCTGGAGGTCTGGATCAAATTGAATACTGCAGTGGACCCAGCGAGGGAAATGTTTACTTGGCAAACATTGTCGACGATCACACTGCACCTATTTGGAATGTCGTTGGCCGAATAGAGGGAGCTGAGGAACCGGAGCACGCGGTAATTCTTGGTGAGTCTAGATGCTCCTTGCTTTTACACGTGTATGTTTGCAACATGCATGCATGCACGCTAATTGTTACATTTGCTATTGTTCTATAGGAAACCATCGTGACGCATGGGTGTACGGCGCTGTGGATCCATCGTCTGGCTCAGCCGCTATGGTAGCTCAAACAAATTCACTGCTTAATGTTGCTGGGTAGCTAATGTATCATTTTTTAACAGCTTGAATTAGTCCGCACCTTGGGTGCCCTCCTGAAGAAAGGATGGAAGCCGCGCCGAACCATTATCATCGTTTCTTTTGATGCAGAGGAGTACGGAATGGTAAAGCAACATCGATTGTTTGTCAGTACACACCATACAGATTTCAGTACTAACTTTGCTTGGAAAGGTTGGATCCACCGAGTGGGTAGAAGATCATCGTGATTGGCTCAACGAACATGCGTCTGTGTATGTAAACGTTGATATGGGTGTCAGCGGTCCCAACTTCATGGCTAAAGCTTGCCCGTCCCTCAGGCAAGTACTGTACGACGTGACAAGCCAAGTTGAGGATCCACGATCCAACGGTGGCAGTGTCTATGAGGCTTGGAGACAATTGACAAATGCAGATACGCCTGCTGTGGGACAGCTTGGGTCGGGATCTGATTTCGTTGCGTTCATCAGCCATGTTGGCATCAGCAGCGTCGACTTTCGGTTTGAAGGCGACTATGGTGTTTATCACAGCAATTATGACAGGTACAGCAGAGATTAGAAACGTGCAAGGGGGGGGATGTTATGACTGAAATTGGACTATCTGTCAGTTTCCATTGGATGGAAAAGTTTGGTGATCCAACGTTCAAGTATCACGAAACGCTTGTCAAGATCTGGGGCCTTTTAACTCTGCGTCTGTCGGATGATCCGGTTCTACCTCTGTACCCTGGCGACTACTCTGCAGAGATCAAAGAGTACGCCGAGAAACTGCCAATCTATGAAACATTCGGTGGTCCTTACAAGCCGTTCCTCAAGTCGCTCAAGAAGCTTACCAAAGCAACACGCCGATTCGAACGACGACGAGGCCGCCTTGTAGAACGTTTGGAGGAAGAATTCAGTAACTCCACCGATTCAGACCTTCCCAGTGTCCTTTCCAAACGTATGCGAGTTGCCAACGAACGTCTCACGCATTTCGAGCGAGGGTTTATTGATCCTGAAGGATTGAAGGGTCGCCCTTGGTTTAAGCATATTCTCTATGCCCCGCATATACTGACCGGGTATCAGTCGCAAGTGTTCCCGGCTCTCTCAGAGGCCTTGGAGTCCGGAGATACCGAAGAAATCGGACAAGCTATCCAACAGACCGCTGGCCGCATCCGAGCAGCCATCGAGCTCCTGAAGGCAGACTTTGATGACGATGAAGATGACGACGACGACGACGATGATGATGGTGATGATGATGACTAGTTGTGCGAATGACGTTTTTTATTTTCTTTCAAACTGCATAATACAATTTCCACCTGCAAACACTGGCTTTTTCGTACTTTTGTATTCGTTCATATGCTCGGCTACTTTATCAACCACACTGGTCTTATCTTCTTTGTCGAGCCGCTGCTGACCCTTCTTGGTAACGATTTCGATCTTGACCTTGTTGCCTTTTTCCAGAAACTGCTTGGCGCGAGCCAGTTTATGTTCCATGTCATGCTCGCTAACGTTCCATCCAAATACAATTTCTTTAACGACCGCCTCGGGATGTGCTTGTTTCGATTTCTTTTTCTGCTTTTGCTTTTCAAACATGGCCTTCTTATCGAATAAACGACATACTGGCACTTTGCCTGGCTGGACTTCCATCAAAAAGTACTGAGACCGGTCGAACTTTCGTAAAATATCATTGAGACGTCCGCGTTGCTCAATCACTTGGCCTTTTTCGTCGATAAAGGTAATAAAACGCGCCGTGATTTTTTCATCGCGTCGCGGGCGACCCATGGGCTTGCTGGCAGATTCTGATTGACCTGCTGCTCCTGCTGATGCTCGGGTCGTGCTTATGAATGAGCGTAGGGATGCCGCAGCTGGAATAAATGGTGGTGCACTGTGTTGTGGTCGTGAAAGAGGCACCCGCGATAAAGTGCTCAGGCGTGTGTATACACGGAGCTGTCGCGTCAGTGCCCTGTACATTGTCGATTGTGCTTGAAAAAGTGAGGAGAAGAACAAACAGAAACCGAACGATGCTGACTTCTGGTTTAAAATGCGACACGCGATTTGAAACGTGCCAAAAGCAGCTCAGCCTAATTATAATTTTTAACAGTCAAGAATTAGCTATGCCGTAACAGCAGACGTATCTACTGCTTTTAACACGAGCAGACAGCATGTTTCCGCGGATGAAGTTATGTACGAGAGCATACACTGTCCCAAGACCGTTTCCATCCAAACGCGCACAAAATGTTTATAATGTGTTTAGAACTTTTCCATTGTTTTTACGATATTAGATTACATAAAGTCATCAAAGTCATCATACACATCTCTGTACGAAGCACCTTCATCCAAAGTAGCACTCTTGCCGGCAGCAGCAAGTTGAGGCTTTCCTTTCTTCTTGGTTTTGGTGGCTTCCTTGGCTTGTCGCTGCTTTTCGTTGGCCATGGCCGTCAAGCTGGATGCAGCCTTGCGGATATCCATATCCTTGCATGGGACGGCAATCTCACGAACAAGGGTGTCAAGGAACGCGCCGTAGTTTGCGCTTTTCTGTTGACAGAAGGATTAGTTGTCCGTTAAATTGACAACACAGGTCCGACATCACGATGACACTTACAGAGTTTGCAAGAATGATCTCTGCGAGACGCTTGGCATATTCGTTGTATTCTACGCGCGTCTTGGGTTTGTATTCTTCAATAGGCTTGTTCTTGTCCTCCTCTATAAGCACAACCGCAATCTATCAGCAAACTATTCCGCCCTTCCCCAACATCAGCAGTAACTTTACTTGAGACAGAAACGCCCGAAAACAGATCCGTGGCACTGTTCATATCAGCCTCTACTTCAAGTTGGCGCATTCTTTGTTTTCTCTCAAAGGCATCCTCTTCGGTTTCCTCTTCTCGGGCGCGCTATAGTTAATTTACGCGGTTACTGAGTTGTCAAAGGATTGATCGATCGATCGATTGATAGAGAAAGGACACTTACGATTTCAGCCTTCTTGGCTTCGAGGGCCTTCTTTCGTTCTTCCTCAGCTGCCTTCTTCTCGGCAATCTTTTGAGCAAGAGGGACTTTCTTGCGGACGGGAGGCAACTTCTTTTCTTCCTTCTGTTCTTCGTCAGACGATTCTTCCTCCCAGTCGTCCTTTACATCGTCCTCGACATCTTCGTCGTCCCACTTTGACTTCTTGGGAACTGCAACCTCGAATTCTTTTTCGTCCTCTATTGATTGCGGATAAGTCTTTTTTTGCAAAATTGAAACCCGTATTTTTATTTTTATAATGCTCACCCCAATCACTCATTTTTCTGGTTTGGTTTAAATGTCACGAGCAAAAAGAAAAAAAAATTGTTTGGCGAAGCCAGCGGCGCTTTGTTCCGACTAGCAGCTTGCTGTATACGGACAATAAAAAAACATAAGCGCAGGAGCCAGACATATCTACAGTAAATACTTTTTTACATACACACTCATACAATGTCGTTCGTGGCACGGCATCGGACATCGTGCCTGTTAGCCACTCATAATGTACCTCGAATACGGTCGACATTAGCTACACGGTGCTACTCGACACTTAAACACAAACAAGGGAAAGACAGCACCGTGTTGACAGAATATGTTTATGGACGAACTCGGATCTACACAAACCTGCAAACCATGGCCAAGGGAAAGCCAGCAACGACGGGAAAGACCCGCATCGGATCACCAGTGACATCGCCGCCGCTGTCATGGCAATGGCTTCAAAACTCTGAAAATACTTTGGCTTCAACGAGCACTGCGATCGGCGGTGATAAACCCGAACGTCGAGACAACCGAATACACATTCTCGGCTCCCTGAAGCAAAGCATGCGTGAAATGTTTTTGCCTGTCGGGTAGATAAACCTTTCGTTTTGTTTATACTCGTGAATCTTTATTATCGGTATCTGATGTCTGGTTCATGTAGGTACCCAGAGTCAGTTCATAGCTGTTACAAGAAATTCCACTTGTGGCTAGGATTGGAAACCTATGTTGGATCAGCAGTAAGCATCTGATATCATGGTGTGATGGTGTGGAACGTATATTACTGGGGCTAAGCGAAGGCGACTAATAGATTGGCGTGTTATGCTCCCAAGCAATGCTCTCGTCGCTAGGCCTGGGTGCAGCTGAAGCGACTGGAGGTGCTGTCGCTATCCAATGGTGGGTGATCGATAAAGACACGGAAGTTACAGGGCCATATCTAACACAAATAATCACCTTAGGGTTTTGAAGGATGGTATTGGCGAATTTGGCAAATTATTCTTTATCAAACAATTTGCCAGCTCCTTTGATTCACATCCCAAAAGCTGGAAAATTGTAAGATCTCGCATGATTGCAGTAATATGAGTGTTTGTGTTATAGTGCTAATGCGTCTTAATGATACTAGGTGTGTGAAGTCTTTTCGGCTGTGGGTTGCTTTCTTCAACTGTGCACTTCTGTGGTATCACCCAAATTTTTCTTGCCCCTTGCAGCAGGTAATTTCCGTTTCAACTTGTCTATAAGCTTGTTTCTGGGTGGAGCACCAGGTGCTAAATGGATTTTTATCAGTGGGAAACATGTTCAACTTGGTTCATGAGAGTATCTGGGTAGCGAGCCATATGACTTTTACGAAGCATTTTGCTGTAAGTTCTTAAATTCAATGTGCAGACATAGCCTTTTGCTGAGACTGATCTCAAATACCTTTATTTATTTATTTTCCTCAAAAAAGTTAAGCGGCAACATTGGCGATATTGTAGCCAAGGACGACGCTCAAATGTCAACAGCCCATCTTCTCGGTATGCTCACGGGTGTTGGTGTTATTTCACTTTCCCATGAACCAGTATATCTTTTTGGGGCATTTGCATTGCTTACACCCATAAATATCTGGTCCACTATCAAAATGCTTCATGCAGCCGACTTTGAAGTTCTCAACCAAGCCAAGTTGACACTGCTCAGCCGCACATTCATCGATACTGGCAAAGCTGTCGATTATAAGGAACTGAAACCTCGAGAAAGTGGCTTCGGCGAATGGATCAAACCTGGTGCCCACGGAGCCATTCGTCTCAAATTAGGATGCAGTGCAGAAAAATCGTTTGCCTCGGTTGCTGAAGTCCAGGAAACGGTAGATGTGCTAAAGGTAAATATGAATGTGTGTTGCGATGCTGACATTACTCCGAAAGACTTCAACCATTATTGCTTTGCTAACATGGATTGTTGGATATAGAACGAAAATTACCTGCTGAGCTACCGGAAAGGAACAATGCGTGTGCTTTTCCACGACGATGCTGAAGCACCCGATGTGATCCAGTCAATATTACATGCCCTCAAGTTCCATGATACCCTTGCGAAGAAAAATATTCAAAAAGAAGCAGATTGGTCGGGTTATTTGGCTGCGCTGGACGACAGCTTAACTTGGACAAAGCAAAGCGTTTCTACATTCGAGACATCTTTAGAGGAGGATGGCTGGCAAAGCGAAGCTGTTTACTGGAATGATGGGTACGTGAAGAAGAAGTTTGAAGCAAATTTGCAAGATGTCGCGGTTCTAATGTATGTTGCTGCACATGTATAGTGGGGTACGGTTAAGCTGGGAAGGTCACAAGGCATCAGAAAAAACATCATAAACATTTGCATTCCTTCGTCATTTGTATATTACATAAACTAGATTTAAACATAGAACACCCTGCTTTCGCTATAATTGATAAATAACATACTTAATGGAAACTCAACCTTTCAGTCAGATTGGCTGGCTATGCATTGTTTTCCCCAAAGGTAAAGTGAAGTTTGTATATTGTTTCTAACGTTTCTAGTATGACAAATGAAATTCGTTGGTTTTTATTTCCTGTGCAACGTATCACTAAAAGAACACCATGTCAGTCAGTGCATTAATACTTAAAAAGCTATGAAACGTATCTATACATAGGCATCCTAACCAGTAGCGACCTGGAGAAGCACGAGTAGCGGTTGAAGCTACATCTCAGATGACCTTACTTTCCCGCCTAAAAACAAGTGCACTGATAGCTGTCACTGTCAATCTGAAGTGCAAGCTGTTACACCAACGATCGGCTGCAGTTCTATGAAGAATAGCATTGCAAGCTGACAGTGCTGGAGTTGCAACACATGTGTATGTTGCGACCCCTTGTTACCCAGATGTACTGTATTCCATTTTCGCAATAGCATCGAGATAGTAAGTATCGTGCAATAGTATACATATCCCTGGCGCTTGTGTACTTCATACTTGAACGAAATAAAATACATAGCAAACTCACTACGAAGGGTCTGTAATCATAAAATTGTATTACAGTATACTTTTTAGTATTTAATCTGAACGCAATTGTATTTACCTACACGTAAATGGATTAAAAATTATCTTCTGTAAGTTGCTTTCATGAAACAGAGAACATAAAGTTACGTTTGCGCTTCCATTTATACCGACTTGTCGGATAAATTCTCGGCATGCTTCTGCTTGACTATTTGGGTATTCCAAGATGTTGCTTAGTGACACATTATGCTTGGCTTGATTAACCCCGCTTTCAAGAAACGACTAGTCTGTGCGCCATCAAGTGAGTATTAGAATGAGGTACCTGTCCTTCTGGTGACCGGTACAAACCGTTCGTTTCACACATAAATATAGCAAGCTATTCTCTGTTGGCCAACCATTTGGTAACTCTTTTTGTTCCTTTCTATCACCAGCGAAATATGAGCAACTTTGTAACAGAATACACCACTCCCTCTGGCTTCAAGCTAAACTGTAAGTCCTATTGTATCCTCGCTTAGATATTATGCTAACACACTGGTTCGTAATAGTAAACACAGCCTTGTTTATCAATAACGAGTTCGTTGCCGGTGGCAGTACCATTGATACCATTAACCCCGTCAACGGTGAAGTTATTGCAACCGTTCAAGCAGGTATGTACTATTAACAAACATTCGTCACCATTCCTCGAGGTTTGATTGTTATTTGGTATTGACACAAATACTGAACTATAAAATATTAAGCCGAAAAGGAACAAGTTGATTTGGCCGTGGAAGCTGCAGAAAAGGCTTTTTATGGTGGCTGGAAGAAGAGCACCGGACGCGAACGCGCTCGTCTGATGAACAAACTTGCTGACCTTTGCGAACGGGATGCCGAGGAGCTTGCTCAAATTGAAACCTTGGATAACGGAAAGCCACTGACCAATTCTCGTATGGTGGACGTACAGATTATCGTTACACAGCTGTAAGTCCCTGTTCTTTGAGCATATATGCTGATACACCAAGGTATTTGGCTAACATCGCATAATGTACACTAGTCGCTACTTTGCAGGCTGGTGTGATAAGATTCATGGCAAGGTTATTGAAACAGAAGGCAAACTGTCTTACACTGTTCACGAGCCAATTGGTGTCTGTGGCGGCATTATTCCATGGTAATGAAAACAAACGTTAGGCGAGTTTGTGACAACCTGTATTAAATTGTTCTGCTGATTCTTTTTATATCATAATGACATCAGGAACTTGCCTATGGGAATGCTCAGCTGGAAAATTGCTCCTGCTGTTGCGACGGGCAACACTGTGGTCATCAAGACTTCTGAACTGACTCCCCTCTCTGCTATCAAAGTTGCTGCTTTAGTCAAAGAAGCAGGCTTTCGTAAGTATTTTATCTTTATCTTGGATACATTTTTTACACATACTGGAAATCTGACAAAATACTCCTTTTTAGCACCTGGTGTCATCAATATCATTACCGGTTATGGTCACATCACTGGTGATGCTCTTGCCCGTCATATGAAAGTGAGCAAGATCGCCTTTACCGGAAGCCTTGCAATTGGTCGACAGATCATGCGTGCTTCAGCCGACTCTAACTTGAAGAAGGTCACTCTGGAATTGGGCGGCAAGTCGCCAAACATCGTTTTCGACGATGTTGAAAACCTGGATGAAGTCGTCTTTTGGTCAAGAATGGGTATTTTCTTCAACGCTGGACAAGCATGCTGTGCTGGAAGCAGAATTTTTGTGACGGATCGTTCTCATCAATTTATTACTGTACGAAGAAATATTTTCACGCGTCGACTCATTAGGGAAAAAAACATCATATAATAGGTCCAAGAAGGTATATACGACAAGTTCGTTGAGAAATTCAAGGCCTTGGCCGCTTCTGGCAAGGTTGGTGATCCGCTGGAGGCGGACACTTTCCAAGGTCCTCAGATCTCTCAGCGCCAGTTTGATCGCGTGATGGACTACATTAAGGCTGGCAAGGAAGAAGGTGCTACATGTCTTTTGGGCGGAAACCGTGTCGGTGATACTGGCTACTTTATCGAGCCCACTATTTTCACTGGTAAGTTTAATATGTTCAACAACATATTGATGTGTCACGTTTTCGTTTCTTTGCATAATCTGAATTGACTATAACCATTACCTATTTTTGCAACTACTATTAGATGTTACTCCAAAGATGAAGGTAAGTTTCTCTTTCCATGATCTTAATATCAGGCTCCTATGAAGCGGCGTAGGGAAAGCATTGCTTCTAATATACTTAATCGGTATTAGATTATGCAAGAAGAAATCTTTGGTCCAGTAGTTTGTATCTCGAAGTTTACTGATATTGACGATGTCGTCAAAAAAGCTCATGATACCATTTACGGTCTTGCTGCTGCTGTGTTTACGTCAAACATTACCCGTGCCGTCACTCTTTCGAACGAGCTAGAAGCTGGCACCGTCTGTAAGATACAATATGTTTTTATAAGTTCCGTGTTTTAAAGCAAAAAGTGATCGGTTCATCATACTCATCAATTGTATTCTCATAGGGGTCAACTGCTATAACATTATCAACGAGAACAGTCCATTCGGCGGTTACAAACAGAGGTACACAAAACATCATACTCATCAATTACCTGGATGACTTACATGACTGGTACACAGTTGATATGATACTGACCTTTCACTCGTCATTTTAACAGTGGTCAAGGTCGAGAAAACTCGGAGTATGCTCTTGCCAATTATACCCAAGTTAAGGCCATTAAGATTAATGTCGGAAACCCCCTTTAAGTTATACCTGAAAACTTGTTTTATAGCATGTCTATTATTTCCCACTATTAATGATAGTGATATATCTAACAGTTTGTACTTAATCAATGGAGCTTTTTTTACCAACATTATGTCGCTTATTCTCAAAGAACAATTGATATCATAAACTAGTTGTGTGAGGTATTTTGATGTCTTAGCAGTGTGAAAAACTCTCCGTAGTTTTTTATGTAAAGAAATGGCGACATAGTAGTCTAGTAATTTCTTTTTATGATATTATTTTGACTGTTCAAAGGAGATTTGCTCACAGCTCTGTCTAGCGACCACTTACCAGCAGGTAAAGACTTGGACTAACAATACCAGTCCTTATTTTTCTTACCAATTAAAAGCAAGTTTGTGTGAGATGGACATAAAGGTAGGAAGATTATGTTACGAGTTTATTTCGAGATGGTACATACCGCGCCGAAGCTAACTCACAAAGTTTAAATATGTGATGCAGACATTATTTTGTTTTTCGTTTATTTTCAAGTACTGTATTATGTATGTATAAATGGTTCATCTTGTTTACAGTTTTCTGATGAGTTTCGGTTAAAGAACTCATCTTAAACTTTGGTTCTTTCTCGCAGGCTTCGTCTTGTCCTCGGCCTGATCAGAATTCAGGCCTATTCCTATGTCTAGGGTTGAACGACTCATGAAGCAGCACAGCATCTGAAAAAGAGTTTGTTCTAGGCACCCGTCCATAATTGTCATTTTCAAATTGTCCTTGAAGATTACTGGTTAACAACAAAATGCTTGCTTAACAACTCAATTTAGTATATGACATTTTCGCAAATGAATAAACTTACCCTCCGTAAAAAACGCTGGATGAAAAGCCATAGGTTATTAACAACACCCATCTACTATCGATTCAACTTGTTATGAGCAGTATTTATTTGCAGCCTTGTCAACTGGTAAAAAAAGGCAGCAATTGATTTTAGGCAGTAATTAATCTGCTGTACATACGCAGTGGTGGCTGGCTAAAAAAACCGAAGTGCACCGAGTGATTATATGCTATGACACATAATGGATTGCCTCAGGAGTTTTTATATGATGAGCATAAGTCGCTTCGACGAAACAGACCACATGGGAGCAACTAGCTATGAACTTACAAAGCTAGAATCAATGACGAAGCACACTCCTGTGGATACACCTGCCAACACATATGTACCCGGGATTTTTCTCTCCTCTTGCTCTCCTTCCTAAAAAGGGCGGCTACCATTAAACTCGTAGATAGCTTAATTATTATAATACTTGCAGTAACAGAATCCGTTTAAGGTTTTGGTAAGTACGTTGGCAATGGCGAGATTATAGCCGAGAATTTCTGGTTGTGGTTCGTGGTAATCTTACTTTTGCTACTAAAAATAGACAACCCTTTTTGTTGTATCATATAACAGGTGATATACACGATCCTTGAAAAGTACGCTATCGTAGGTTCGAGGAACAATAAACATTCTAAATAAGCAATAATAGACTCAGCTACAGTATTATTCTTCTATCTAACCATATGATATAGTCATATTCTCGTATAAAATGCGTAAATTGCAAGTGCGTGCTCATGATGAAAAATGCGCTATGATGAATTATAGAATTAAGGGCACTCTTCATACTTGTGATATTCTGAGGATTAGGACATGTATACTGTTATACATTGTTTAAATTTATGGAAGGTCTTTTTCGCAAAATGCATAATTTGAACTATCTCTACTGTGTACAAGGGCATAACTTTCTTATAGCGATCCCGTGTAATACTCAGCCTGCAAATCATGACCCACCGCTAATGGATTCGTGCTTCTACCTTTCTATCCGCTTTCTCCCTTTCAATGACTACGCTGTTCTTTCACCCTTTCCCTATAGACTCTCGCATATATTATGCGTCACGTACATATAACCATGCTCGCGTCGCTCTTTGTGCGATAACATCTCGTGGTTATACGAATCAAATAAATCAAGCACAATCTTACCATGGACAGTAGTGGGATTGAATAGGCACAGGTATGTTTTATTATACAAGACAATGGTTAATGGCAATGGAAGAAAAGGGGAAAAAAGGAATTGATGAATGATTATGTTACAAGGAAGAGGGTCATGCTTTTTCTATACACTTTTGTTTACGCAAAGGCAGGGATACCGGTGATGGCCTTTCCGAGAATCAAAGCGTGGATATCATGAGTGCCTTCGTAAGTGTTGACAGCTTCAAGGTTAGCGGCGTGGCGGATGATGTGGTATTCGTCGCTGATACCGTTGCCACCCAACATATCACGGCAATCACGAGCGATGTTCAAGGCTTTGCCGCAGGAGTTGCGCTTGATCATGGAGATCATCTCAGGAGCGAGTTCGCTAGAGTCCTTGAGACGACCGACCTGGACACATGCTTGGAGACCAAGGGCAATTTCAGTGTGTGCATCAGCCATCTTCTTTTGGATCAATTGCTTGCTGGCCAAGGGCTTGCCGAACTGCTTACGGTCAAGAGTATACTGTGGTAGTAAAATGTCAAACGAAATTAAGCTCCATTCGAACCTTTTTGTACAACCATTGTGTAACTCTCGATGTTCATCTGCCTAGCAAACTTACTTCGCGAGCAACTTCCAAGCATGCTTCGGCAGCACCGAGGGCGCCCCAAGCAATACCGTATCTGGCGTTGTTCAAACAACCAAAGGGACCCTTGAGACCCTTGACAGCAGGCAACATGTTCTCGACAGGAACTTCAACGGTATCCATCATGATCATACCAGTGATCGAAGCACGAAGCGAGAACTTGCCCTTGATGGCGGGAGCTTCCAAGCCCTTCATGCCCTGTTCCATAAAATATTCAATGAGCGCCTTCATTCTTCGTTTGTCTCCTCGCCCGCATCTTAATGTGTTTTACCTTTTCCAAAATAAAACCGCGAATGGGAGCACCCTCTTCATCCAGGTTCTTGGCCCACACGACAAAGACATCAGCAACGGGAGAGTTAGTGATCCAGGTCTTGCTGCCGTTCAAGACAAAGTGACCATTGACCTTCTTGGCAGTGGTCTCCATACCAGCTGGATCCGAGCCGTGATTTGGTTCTGTTAATCCAAATGCGCCGATGATCTCACCCTTTGCTATTGTATTGAAGACATATGAACAACAAGCTTTTAATCGCTCCGTCATCCCATTAACCATAATTCCCGTGGTGAACGGAAAACATACCAAGTCTAGGCAAATACTTCTCCTTCTGGGCCTCGGTACCGTAGGCGTTGATGGGGTGCATAACCAAAGAAGATTGGACGGACATAGCTGAGCGGTAGCCAGAGTCGACACTAGTATCGTCCATATTGTCAGTACAGCCCATATGATGCGTAATCCCTTCCTACACTGCAGCCAAGCTTATTATTTACCGTTCAACTTCACGTGCAGTCAAACCATAGGCAACCGATGAAACACCAGCACAGCCAAAACCATCAATAGTGGAGCCGAGGAAACCAAGCTCACCCATCTCAGACATGATATCACGGTCGAACGCTGATTCAAAATAAAGGAACGCACATTAGTTTCTAGTTCTCTCATGTATATGTGGTCCGGGAAAATACATGCGTGTGTTTTTTAACGCTTAATACTCACTCTCATTGCGGTAACCTTCAATAACGCGGGGCAAAAGCTTTTCCTGACAGTATTCGTTTGCAGCATCACTGTGACATAGGAGTCAGCTAGCTGATATTGTAATGCTATCAAAAGATTCCATAATGTAGACATACCGAACCATCTTTTCCTCATCGGTCAAAAGCTTGTCAAGATTCAAAGGATCTTGCCAATTGTACTTTGCAAATGTGCTTCCTGCACGGACGCCAACGGTGCGCTTGGCAGCAAAAGCCGTGGCGGACAAGGGACGGGCAAGACGTGTGGCGAACATGATAAAGTGAGATACAGGAAGAGTGTAGAAGAAGGAACCGACGGCTTCTCTCGGCTTTTTGACAAGCTTTTATACAAGTCAGCAATAATGGCAATCGGATTTTCCCGGACTTTTTTGGCAGAGACCCCACACTTTACTTTTCTCCCACCCTTTCGTTTTTGATCTGCGAGTTGCGTGTGAAATACTATACTGCCTAGGTAACATGAAGCTATCGCTTAGCAATAAC